TCTGAGTCTAGGGACCAATGCGTTACTGGGGCTGTACGTGATCACGTAGAGGAACCGATGAGAATGCCAGGCAAGTGAATCGTCGTTTCAACAGCGACGCATGATCATCATTATTTGGAAATTCTCATAGGCACCGGCAGGCCTACCGATTCTCACCATACGATGATGTTTTATTGCTTTACATATCATATCAAAAGAGAAACGGTCATGGGTTCTCTCATGTGTTTCGAGCAAAGTTACAGTAGTCACTACAAGCATTGCTCCACCACAGCAGGCCAGATCGTCACAGATCGTCATCCTCGTTTGACGAGCGGGAGAAACAGGAACGTGGCCCGTACAGCCAATCGAATTCTAGTGAGCGTATGGTCCTGGCCAAGCCACCTGAGCCAGACCAAGGGAGATGGTCCAGGCCGACGTTTTGTGGAACAAGGGAGAGGAGAACAGGGACTGGATGTGTTGCCGGAGAGATAGGTGCAGTGAAGCCCAAGCACCCAAATTGATACACAGATTTGCTCGGCCGAGCAGAGCTTCTCGCCGCGTGTCACATCAAAGGGGCGTTCGTGGCTGGGCCGGGAGCTGGGAGCACACCGAGCAGTCTCACAGACGCTTGAACATGCTCACAGGGATGTGATATCTAGCACAAGTCGTAATAGCCATCGTTCGATTGGCTGGCTCCGTCTATGATCGTCGACATTCTCCACATCAGGCCCGTGCTCAGGCTCGGATTTCCGTTTGACGCCGAGCTACAGCGTTTCAGGGTCAAACTGATCTCCCAAGACCTATGATTGGATCTTTGACTGTATGTGGCAGCATTCACGAAGATTGGCTCTGAGGTCAAGGAACAGATAGTTCCCACAAAGCTCAATCACAGTAAGAAACATAAGGTAGAGGGTTATTGTGGAAGGGTGACAGACTGGTACGATTGGCCCAACGTCTAATAAATATGGAGAAGCTGATAGCGCTTCTCAACCCACTAGAAAGGTTCATTAGTCAGCAGTCCAGTCTGTAGCAGGCTAACCTACCCTATATCTCGGATTCGGAAGTGTCTCGTATGCTAAAAATATCAAACAAACGCCTCTAGAATTTAATTAATTGGTTTGCGAAGCATTCCCGTACGATCTTTGACTGGTTTCTTTGTTTTAAATGACTATCTAACTGAAAACACTATATGTTATGGCGATTTAGACATGGAACAAATAAATGAGGTTATGGCCTTGGAGGGTGTTTGGAAAATCATCGATAATCATAGCAATAAAGGTAGTAGTAATGCACCTGAATATTTCTATTTATAGACTTTTAAGTTTAATGTATTAAACTTGCACGTGTATGATATTGAAGCTTCCAAAATGATCCCCCTCCCTCTTAGAGATGGCTAAATTCCAGCACAATAACCGGGATCCTAGGTACTTACTAGTAGATGAAAACCTAACCACCCTTTCTACTAGATAACCCAATCATGTTTATTATCGCAGACATTTTCATCACCGCTTTCCTTGAGGCGCCAACCATGTCGGGAATAGAAGAAACGTTTATCGCATTCATCTATCAACAGGTCGTCGGAATAAAAGACCGCGTAGCCATGAGGATGAAGACGGAGATGCTGCTTTTCTGAGAGCTTGCAACCGACTGGCTATTCCTATGAGACGTCTCTCTAATCGACAAATTGGCTCTTGAACTTCCGAAATCCCTCAATCCGTCGTGTTGTTTCAATGTTATTTTTTCAATGTGTGGCTTCGCGTCAAGTTCCGGACCCATTTATATACGCGTTCTTATTGGCCAATTTCTTTTGACAGGCTGCCGTCGCGTATCTGTGAATTTCGTTGCTTCATTCAAGTAATAAAGGAGTCTCCAAAAGCGCGCTTCCAAAGGGAAAATCAGATTCATCAATGGCCTGTTTACAGCATCCTTGCCCCTTTTCGATCCCATCAATTCGTAAGGGGTTGGCTGGTTACGACAATGTATACACGGCATTCTGTCGGCGGCGTCACATTTGACCCCTGATCCGTCTAGTTACCTGTGAGATAATCCCTGTAGGCCACCCGAGTTCGACTGGTCGGATTTGTGCCATCGGTGTACTCGTCCATGGTTGAAAGTTGGTTATTCTCGGCTTTGATACTTGGAACATGCTGGCGAGGCTGGAGTTGGCTTTCGCTTCACAAGACGGCCAGGGATTTAAAGAATGCTGAGTAAGTAATCTTAGCAGCTCGGCGACTTGACGCCAAGATGCCTCGGTCTTTTCCAGACGCCATTCGAAAAGTCTATTTTATCCCAATGCGACCGGACCTACATTTGAAATGACGTCACGTCAGCGACTTCGGCCAGGCCAGTCACCTCGCTGACAGACAGACATTCTGTTCCCTTGATGAAGCAGGGCCCAGGCAGTACTTGTAATCCTGTATCGAGTCCAAGACAGGGTCATTGCACAATTTCGATGTATGCTCCTTGACATACTATTGCCAATTGCTTCTTTCTTAATCTACAATGCCTCGAATACCCGAAACGACATCAGCTATGCAGGAGCTGGCACAACAATACTCCCTGTCTGCTCGAGGCGCTCAGGGGGTATTTGATCGAGACATTTGGGGGCCTCGCGAAAAGTCCATGGGAAATCCATGGTCCCAAACGAACCCTGAAGGGACGTAAGTGGGCATTTGTTCATGTTTACTCCATGCCCCCCTGACTTGAAAATGCTAGAATCATCCTCCTCTTGGCCGAGAATAGCCTCATGCATGATGAGGTTTCAGAATTTATCAAACAACAGGTTGGAATCTCTCTACAGCCTCAAGAGGACTCACCCTAACATGCACAGATGTCTGTTCTTCCCGTCAATCACTTAACCTACAGCACTGGCCCCAGGGGATCCCGTCGTCTTCGTTCTACGCTGGCAGAGTTCTTCAAGGAGGAATTTGGGGCTCGCGAACCTATGGGGGTTGATAATATCTCCATCACGCCGGGCTTGGCCAGCGCAATAGACTCGTTGAGTTGGGCCATATGTGACGAAGGGGACGCAATCCTCATTCCACAACCGCTCTATAACGGTTTCAACTTCGACCTGCTGAATCGTAGCGGTGTCCGGATTGTCGGAGTACCATATAGTGGAATTGAGGGGTTTTCAGGACTTGACGACCTCTTCAAAGCCGAGGTAAACAAGCTAGCCATCGAAGCAGCACTAGAGAAAGCATCTCGAGATGGGATCCGAGTCAAAGCCCTCCTAATCTCCCAGTAAGCCAAATGTGCTAAGATAGAGAGCGATGATATTGACATTTTCTAGCCCTCACAACCCTTTAGGACGATGCTACGTTGGTTTCCCTTTTACTCATTGTTCTACCAGATACTAATCGCGACCACAGCCAGTCGAGACTTTAATTACATTCGCCTCAATCTGTAACCAACATGGTCTACACTTTATTTCCGACGAAATTTATGGAAAGTCAATCTTTCAAAACCCGGCAATTCCGGACGCCACCCCCTTTGTGTCTACGTTATCACTCGACCTTCAAGGTATCCTTGACCAAAACCGGCATCATGTACTATATGGTGCAAGTAAGGATTTCTGCGCCAATGGACTCCGTCTAGGAGTTGTGTGTACCCGAAATAAAGGAATCATAGGAGCCATATCTAGCATCAGGTGCGTATGACCCAATACATCAATCAAGGTTGACGTATCTGACGTTGGGATTAGCATGTTCTCTTGGTCTCCACATCTCATTCAGGACATGTGGGCGGCTATGCTTGAAGACCGCAGATGGCTCAAAGGCTTCCTAGAGACCAAATTAACGCTCATGAAGGAGAACTATCAAATCGCAACATCATTTTGCCATGACCACGGCATCCCCTTTTACGAAGCGTAAGTAAGCCGAAAAGCCTCATCATTCATGAGCTAACCAACGAAAGCAACGCGGGCCTATTCCTATGGCTGGATCTCCGGCATCTGCTTCTACCACATGCAACATCTAAGGAAGATGGGGATAATGTGTTAGCCACAAAGGCCTCTAATGCGAAGGTGCTTCAAGACCGCGAGACCGAAATAATAGATTTGTGCCTAAAAAACGGCGTGATGATAGCTCCAGGCCATGTCTACATGCCAGAGGAGTATGGCTGGTTTCGAATGACTTTTACTGTAAGGAAGGATGCATTGCGAGAAGGTTTAGCTAGATTATCGAGGTCTTTGCAAGAAGCCAGTGTTCAGACGGCTAGTCCCAGCAGCTAGTATAACTTGACTATGGTATATGAGCAGAGAAGAGACGATCTCAGCATTGAGCCTTCATTGGAAATTTTCATCTTCAAAGGCTTCTATGACACGATGCATTGATTAAAGCCATCTAGGGGCATACCAAATAGGTCGGACTAGATTTCATCATTCAGAGCATATTGCTTTCCATTCCTCACATTTTTCGGGTCTAGCACAGCAAACCACTCCTCTTCAGTAAGCTTACCTACAGCAGAAGTTTATTGGACACGGCAGGAGATGCATAATTAGTACTTTGCGAGATCCTATCAACCAACTGATAACCTATCCTTTCCTAGGCAGTATACATGTTTGAGCGTCTGACCTTACAGACACTACTATAGCTAATGATAGTGCCAATTTTCCTATGTCAGTAGATGGAGTTCTAATGATAATTTGGATTGTGCGGTCTTCTTTAAAAATCAAAGTTGATCATCGCACGAAGAGAGTTCGCAGATTCCACACCTGACTAGTTACACTACACGACTAAACGTGACATTCTGAGCTTCTGGTTATAATGAACTAAGTCACGTTGTACTGAACCAGTTTTGGCTGGTGGCGTAAGATTTAACAGAGAATAATGCCGAACGACAAGAGCTGTATCGTTCCCCCGCATACAAGAGTTATAACTCCCATCACGTTGCAGACAATCGTGAGATTTTCTTTACTGGAGATAGAGTAAGCGCAGAGTAGGGCACCAGCCACTCCTGCTACTCCCCAGGCCACCAAAACCGAGCCGTAGCTACGCGCGAAGGCGGCGGGCTGTGAGTGATGACGCTTAATGAGGCCAGGCAATATCCCGAAACCCATTCCGTGCGCGAGGAGAATCGAAAGGAGAGTGATCGTAGCTTGAGGACCGCTCGGGTACTGTGCCAGCCTCAGAAGCATAGCTCCACGCAGGGTGAACAGCGCAGAGAAACTGGCTCGCGCACCGAGCCACCCCTGAAATGACTGTGCAAGTAGGCCACCGAGTGCAAGAGCAGCCATGACGAGGGGCAAAATTAGTGCGGTATACTGATGGTCGGGCTCGCTGTATAGGTTTGCTAGTGGTAGTATCCCAGCAAATGCCGTCATGCCCGGTAGAGCATTGAAGAAAAGCAGTGCTCGGAACGCTCTTCTTGGGCTAGCCACCCTTTGTTCCGAGTCTGGTGACCCCGTGAATTGGGTGAGGTCGTTGGGCAACGCAATCATCGTACAAAGGGCAACTGAAATGGAGATGTAGCCTGATAGACGAACAAGGTGCCCGAGACTTTGCTGGTCGATCGAACTGAAAGAGAAGTACGAGTATGAACTTATGCACGCTCCCGCACCGGTAGAAAACCCCAAGGGGCCGATAGCACTTCTTGCCAGCGGTCGGCGTGGAAATCCCTGTCCGACCAGGACGATGACTGATAGATAGGTGTAGCCCACTCCGATTCCTCCAAACGCAACGGCGACCAATATGCCCATGAAGTTTGACATGGCTAGTGCATGTCCAATGGCTATAAGTGCCAGACCCCAAATTGCGGTTCCACTGGCAGCTGTGGCACGAGCACCCAAGGTCGATAGTAGAGACGCGCATGTGCCTAGCCCGAAGGAGAGTCCGAAGCAAGCTGAAGCGAAGGGTGCAAATGATGACTGCTGAGGCTTACCCAGGAGCCTAGGAATTTCCGATTGTATGGTGCTGAGGGCGTACGCACCGCCGACGCAAAACATGTTTGCGTAGGCCGCTAGTGCCAGGGTTGATGGACGAGCCCCTGGATGATATGAAGAATGTGATGCTTCTGTCATCGTGCTGGTTTCGATGAAGGCAATCGCGATTGGAAACCCTTTCGCTGCTAGTTCTTATGGGAGACACTGTTCGTAATGAACGGCATATGATCTGGGGCAACAATATTCTGCGGAATTTTCGAAGCTGGATGGAATCGAATACCTCCCTGCTTGAATCGAGCTCACACGTTGAGCCATGTTAGCAGCCTTTAATTAGTTCTTCGTGACAATGACGGAAACGAAAGAGGTAGTGCTCACATTGGAGGCTACCTATCCCCACTCGAAAATCCATCATAGTGAACTATGTTACTGGGGCGCCTTGCCGCTTGGCGGAAGTCATTCCGCCTCGAAGTTGATACGAAGTACGCTCCATTAATAGGCACACTGATTAGTCTCGAATAATCTCTAGAGCTGTTGTGAGTTGTATGTCTGATCTGAATGAGGAGGCGTGGACGGTGCTCCGCAACAACCGCTCACGCCGGCGGTAATATTCAAACCTGCCGCTGTTATCTTATTATCACCTTGAGTGGGGGAAAAGAGACCAGGAAAGTCTTAGCATTTGCGCGAACGTTAGGCCGAAGAACCTTCGGGGCCATCCTTCTATATCTAGCGTCATTGTCGTCGTGGCTGCGGCGGGGGAGGCGGAAGCACTTCCCGCCAACCGAAAGTTGCGAGTCATTTCCAAGGCCCAAGGCGATGCAATATTGGCACTACCGTCCCCAGTCTCTTATCTCCTACCCCGCCCCAGCCCCAGGCTCCCTTGATTCCCGGGAACTGTCTTTGTGGAGAGAAGGTCATTTCCTTCGATGCCTGAGGGACCAGTGAGTGTACTGCATCTTGCTTAAATTCAAGGCGTTTGCCTCGATTCTCAAGCAACATGTTGTTGACAGATCTGGATTCTTCCGCCGTTATTCGCCTAAAAGCGCCTAAAAGCCCAATAATCGCCTAGCATGTCTCCTCTCACTCGCCTCCCAAGCTTCCTCGCCAGCTTGAAGCTGAACTGGACCACAGCCCTCGTCGTGTCTGTCTGCGTTGTGGACTCTGTGACAATCGCGTACGATGGGTCTCTGATGGGCTCCCTCAATGTGATGGAGACCTATCACAACTACTTCCAACTTACAACTACGACCACGGCTATCAACACCTGTGCGACATTTTTGGGAGCTATCCTGGTTGGGCCGTTTACCGGCATCTTGATTGACAGGAAGGGTAGAAAGAGTGGCTTATGGGCAGCTGTCGCCATAAACATTCTCGGGGCCGTCCTGGCCGGCTCCGCGATCAACGTCGCTATGTTTATAGCCGCGCGCATTGTCATCGGTGTCGGTGTAGGTTTGGGACAGACAGCCGCAAGTACATACGTTGCTGAGACGACTGCTCCGAAAATCAGATCCTTTGCTCTTGGCCTCTACTTTTCCTGCTGGGCAGTTGGCGCACTGCTTGCTGCGGGAGTATCGTACGGGGTAGGTGATGTTGCTAGGAATAATTCTTCTGGTGTCTCAAAGCACCATTGATCCTTCCAGGGATAGCTAACATTTAATAGTGTTCAACGCTCGAACCCTCGAACGCATCCTGGCGAATCCCATCATACCTACAGGGAGCCATGCCGCTTCTCATAGTTCCACTCCTGTACTATATCCCCGAATCTCCTCGATGGTTAGCGTTCCGCGATCGCCGGGAAGAAGCGTTGGAGATCATTTCGAAAATCAACGGCAAGCCTGTGGATGATGAAGATGTACAACTGCAGTTCCAGGAGATTGTTTCATCGCTCAATCACGAAAAGGCTCAGTCCATGAGTCTCAAAGCCATTGTTCGCAAGCCAAATAGAAAGCGCTTGCTTCTCGCGCTATCTGTCGCACCCCTTGCCATGCTCACAGGGTCAAACGTTATAACGTGAGTCAAACCTCGAGCCTTAGTGAAATTTGATGCTTACTTGCCGTCAACAGGTACTACTTCGGAAGTATGTTGACACAAGCCGGCATTGGAAACCCTACGACACAGCTCCAGATCAATGTAGTTCTTTCTTCGTGGCAACTTGTGGTGGCCATCACCGGCTCCAGTCTCGCAGAAAAGCTTGGCCGTCGTTTCTTGGCCCTATTCAGCCTCGGGACATGTTCTGTGTTCTTTTACATCCTCGCAGGATTGACGGCCAAGTATGGAACTGCCGGGGACAGATCAGGCACGTATGGCACAGTGGCTTGCATTTTCCTTTTCCTTGGATCATACGCGTTTGGTATTACCCCTCTCACGGCCATGTATGCCCCGGAGGTCCTGTCGTACAACATGCGCGCCAACGGAATCGCGATGCAGGGCATTCTCATCAAGTCTTGTGGAGTCTTGGTCACGCTCGCCTTTCCATACATGCTCGAAAGCATCGGCTGGAAGTCGTATATTATCAACGCTTCGTGGAACATTCTTCTATGGCTGTACATTTGGTTTCAGTGGGTGGAAACGAAGGGACTCACCCTTGAAGAGGTAGACAGAATTTTTGATGGCGAAGTGCTTGTTGGAGCGCCTGTGGAGTCTGCTGAGAAAGGGGAGGTGGTTGTGTCAGAGGTCAAGGAGACATGACGGCAAACATCACGGGCGGCTAAGAAATCTCGTCCCTTCTAGGACGTAGTTTCTATGTGTTGCTCTTCTATGTGTTGCTCTTCTATGTGTTGCTCATCTACTTGGTTCCTGTTTGATCATCGATAATTGAAAGCTGGTGCCTAGCATTGGAAGCCTCCTTTTGAAGCGGTGCCAAATCTTTAGTTCTAAGTCGCAAATCATTATACGTATAATCTGAGTGGTGCTAAGAAGATAAAGCTCTGATAGCCCAACTAGCTAGGGATGAAAGAAGATGAAACGGTCCTACGTGATATTAAACTGGATTGTCTTCGCTCATGCAAGCCGCACAACCTGGTTAGTTAAGGTGGTCTGCAGGGCTCTCTATCGTAGTGCTATCATCACCTGTTCACTCTACGTACGCTCGTCTACGGCACTTACTACGACAAGGCAATGTGCACAGCTCGCGATATCTTTGACGCACACTAATTCACGTCCGTCATGTCTTCATTCCCTACTTAGATTAGGATGACCATCCCCTGTTGCTGGCGGTTCGGGCGGAGGAGGGTTTGCCGCTCATCCCCACACAGTCGAAGGCGGCGCTTTGGAGTGAGCTCTCCGCTGGCGGGAATTGCACGAGTCACTGCCGCCTTGCAGAGATCCACCCAGTCCATTCCGGAAACCGGAAATGACATGTCTCTCACCTTGGGTAGGCGGCGTAGAGAGCCTCGGGACCTGTTACACCCGGGAGTCCCAGATATGCTTAAGAAGCCTCCGCAGGCCATCATTCGACCTGCAGGCCAGTCCGTGATAAGGCAGCTCTCCATTTGACACAGTAGTTCTTTAAACTCCCTTTGACCATGGCACCCCACGCGATAGACGAGACTGGTTCGGGTCATCTTGTTGACAATTCCACAAGTCACAAGCAGTCTACCATTGCCCAATTGATAGATGCCCTCTCTCTGGACGAGAAATGCAATCTGCTCTCGGGGGCGAATATGTGGGAAACGCACGCCATTCCACGCCTCGGAATCCGATCCCTCAAGACGACGGACGGGCCCGCTGGAGTGAGAGGTTCAAGGTGGACGGATGGGACGCACACAACGCAGATCCCCTGTGGTATCTCTCTCGGTGCAACGTTCAACCCCGAGGTTGTCCGTCGTGTTGGGAAGATCTTGGGCTCAGAGACTAAGAGAAAGAGAGCGCACGTGCTTCTGGCGCCCACCATGAACATATCCAGATCTCCATTTGGCGGCCGCAACTTCGAGAACTTTGGCGAAGACCCCTTGTTGACTGGTATTTTGGCGAGCGCGTACATTGACGGTGTCCAAAGCGAAGGTGTGGGCGCTTGTATGAAACACTATGTTGCCAACGACCAAGAAACAAGGAGATTTAATATGGATGAGAAGATCGACGAGCGCACTCTTCGGGAAATTTACTTGAAGCCCTTTCACATGGCACTGTCCGTGAATCCCTGGACAGCGATGACGGCATACCCCAAGGTCAACGGGGAGCACGTGGACATGAGTCAACATCTGGTGAAAAACATCCTTCGTGAGGAATGGGGTTACAATAACCTGACGATGAGCGACTGGGGAGGTCTCAACGATACGGTGGAGAGCATCTTGGCCACTACGGACCTGGAGATGCCTGGACCACCAATGAGATACGGACGAGCTCTAAAGGACGCAGTTATCAATGGAGACGTATCCGAGAAGCGTCACATAAACCCCTCGGTGGAGCGGGTGCTGAAGCTTCTGGCCAAGGTAGGGAGGCTTCAGGGTCCTGGAGCTGCCGTCGCCGAAGACCATTCAAGCGAAGCTACTAGGTGTGAAGAAGGCGAGGAGGAGTTTGACGATCCAAAGACCCACCAAACAGTCAGGGAAGCTGCGGGAGAGGGCATCGTTCTTCTCAAAAACGACTCCGGCGCACTTCCTCTAGCACCAGCCAGGCTGAAGAGACTTGCCATCATTGGGCCGAACGCCAAGTATCCGACCACTGGAGGAACGGGGAGCGCCATTGTGAATCCATACTATGTCACCAACCCTTACCAGTCCATCGTGGATGCTTCGAAAAGCATAAATCCTGACTTGGAAGTGCTCTACGAGCGAGGCATCTTCACTCATTTGCAGCCCCCCCTATTGGGTGACTGCCTCGTAGCCCCAAATACGAAACAGCCTGGGATGCAGGTCGATTTCTTCGATAGCGAGAGATTTGAGGGCCCTATCGTTGCCACGACAAACTGGCACGATTCCCTCGTGTACTTTATGAGCGACGGGGACGTTCCGCTTTCCCTTCGGGGCACCAAGTACACCTACAGAGCAACGGGCATTCTCCGGCCCAGTGTTACCGGCACATACGACTTCAGTTTCTCGAGTACGGGTAAGGCTAAGCTTTTCATCGACGGGGATCTGGTCATCGACAACACAGAGTGGACACAGATTAGCGGAAATTTCATGAATTGCGGCAGCGTTGAGAAGTTTGCAAGCCGCGAGCTCGAGGCTGGCAGGTCGTATATTGTGTCTGTGGACAACTTGGTCGTCCCACCCCCTACTCCTGCGCACGACAACACTCTCTTCCACAAAATATCTGGAGTCCGTATAGGAATGCTCTACCACCATGATACGGACGCCATGTTTAGAAACGCCGTTGCCACAGCAAGCTCTGCTGATGCTGCCATACTTGTGGTGGGACACAACAACGACACAGAACGCGAGGGGTCAGACCGCACATCACTTGCCCTCCCTGGGCGTACTGATGAACTGATCCGGGCTATATGCGCCGTCAACAAACACGTCGTCGTCGTCACACAGTCAGCGTGTGCCATTTCCATGCCTTGGGCAGCGGAACCCGCCGCCATCGTTCACGCGTGGTACCAGGGACAAGAGTGCGGCAACGCAATAGCCGACGTGATTCTGGGCGCCGTGAATCCTTCCGGGAAGCTACCCGTGTCATTTCCCAACCGCATAGAGGATCACGGCTCATATGAGTGGTTCCCAGGCGACGCGGCGTCTGATCAGGCACAGTATGGCGAAGGTGTGCTGGTGGGATATCGGTGGTTTGATGCTAAGGGACTGGAGCCTTTGTGGCCGTTCGGATTTGGTTTGAGTTACACATCCTTTGCGATCTCGAACATATCGACCCAAGGCGGTATTGATTCTAGTGGCTCTGGAACTATTCTTCTTACAATGACGGTCACAAACGTCGGCAGGGTACAAGGAAGCGAAGTCATTCAGGTATATACTTCCCCCTCGCCTGTTTTGAAGGAGCTCGGTCTATCAGCACCTCCAAAGTCCTTAGCCTCTTTTGTCAAGATAGGCCTTGATGCGGGAGAGTCCAGAGAGGTACAAATTCCAGTGCAAGGAGACTCTTTTGCCTGGTACGCTGCCGAAGATACTGGCACGGCCAGACGGGGCTGGAGGGTGGATCCTGGCGGGTACATTTGTTTCATTGGCACGAGCTCCCGTCACATTGTGTCGGAGGTGAGCATCTCAATAGGGTGATCTAGGCTATCTGAGCATTCTATATTTTGCCTTGACCGCATATACAATACAGAGCATCGCCTCAATGCTAGACCCATGAGCTGTCCAATTCTCAAAGATTAAGATAGTATCGTCCTGTAGCTGTGCTATTCCATCTATCAACCCAGCCAGCTCGGGATAGAGCGAAGCCTTTGTTAAAAGAAGAATGCATGCTAGTGCACTTCAGTGGCTAGTGTTAGCATTTATCGCACACCTGGGTAGATGAGACTGTAAACCTACGAGTGGAGGAAGATTTCTAGGGACGCAGAAGGCTGCCTTAAACGCACTACAACAGTCTTGATATACTGCTGACAGTGGGTTAGGCACTCGCTTGCATTGGAGAGTGTCTGCTGTGGGATCGCGTGCCCTAGAGAAGACAAGTGGAACGCACGCAGTAAGAAGGGTCGGAAGATAATGTCTCCCGCAGCGTGGTAGCGCATCTTTAGGACAGCCTGCTCAATCGTCAAGTTCTCGAGAACAGCAGGCGGTTTGATAGACTCTGGCAGAAGCGTGAACCATTCACGCAGCTGGTGTGCGAGCTCATGGGAGATCCGAAAGGAAGGATCGCTGCATCCGAGAGACTCTCTCGATAAGGTCTGCTTCCGAGATTGGTCGTACAGTGCATTATGAATGCGATTTAGCAGTTTGCGAGACGAGATGTTCGCTAGCCAAGAGAGCATGTGAGGATCCGCGGGAGTACCACAATCTGGGAAAGGCATGTCTTCTACAAGTTGCTCCACCCCGCTCCTTGGTAGATGGTGTTCAGCTAGCGTATCACTGTTGAGATTGTCGGTGAGCTTTCTACGTTGGTCTTCGGCCTGGTCTGCTGTGAAGTGAGCTTACCATTCCAAGATGAACACGGCCCAGCAGAGCCGAGTAAGTGCAGGCGTTGGGCTTGTCCTGAATCATCATTAGCCGAGTTAGCTAGCTGGCTATTACGTGACGCAGAAACAAACCATAGGAGTATCTGTTGGGTGCTGGTGGATGCCATGTGCACCAATCGCCATGTTTGAAGGGGTCGAGACAGGTAGCCAAAGTAAAGCGAGGCAAGGTACATGGCTTGTGGTAGAACGATATCAGCACCGGAAAACATAGGCCACTCGTGAACGAGGTGTCTAAGAGCGGGCTCAAAGAAATCGATGCCAGGTGGCGCATCCTCGGAAACATCCCTAAAGCTTGAAATCTCAGCTATGGCACCGAGTGCTAGAACCACGAACACAAGGCAGACAGAGTGAGTAATAGCGAGTGTACCCTCGGCGACCACTTTGTCGTATAGTAGCATGAACTCGCCGCGATCTAATACTGGATACTGTGTTCCAACGATGCTGAAATAGGCCTCGATGAGCTGCCGAGACTGCCATTGTGAGACATCCGGCAAACCCGCCCTGCTATGTTTCCCTGCCTCGCTAAGGGACAGCCTTTCAGGCAAATTCCGCTTGGCTTCAACACGAGAGAGGGCAAAAGGAGGATAGTCTCCAACAAGTAACTTGATGGCCTCGGAACGCAGCAGATCTCCGGTTGTTGTAGAATGCGCGATCGGGATCGTCATGGCGGCACTGGTACTGTCCGGCGACGCTGGTTGGACTGCCGCGTGCGGATGCATTGCCGCCGGGGGGCAAGGGGAAGGGACAGCGGCGGCGACGTTCATTCTCCCAGACTCTGGGGATACTTGAGCGAAACTCAACCCGACGTTGCTAGCAGCTGGCGAGTAAGCTTGAAGCCACCCAGAGCCGGGACTGGCATGATGTTGATCAGCAGCAGTTGTTGCGGTTTCGCTAGGACCGAAGTTTGCAACGATTCGCTCAAGGTTCTCGAGCCTGTCTAGGATGATAGATGTATGCTCATCGTTGTGTCCGCTGCTTGGCCTACACGACAATCCGTTAAAGCGCACATATAGACGGTGAATCGTGGCACATACTTGGATGCCTGCTCTTGGTAGACGCATCGTGAATCATTAGATTCCTCGCAGAGACTACACACAGGCTGTCGCCCATCACATTTCCGTTTTCTATAGCGGTCGGGTGTTTGTCAGGATTGCTCACAATGCAGCACTTGTTACTGGGATTCCAGACGGCGTGATGCACGTCAGCTAGGATTCTGGCCTACCGTTTGCGACAATAGTTACAGGCAATGGCGGCACGACGTTTCGCAGGAGGATCCATGCGCTTTACGTTATTGCAGACCCAACGGCGGCTTGGGCGGAGGGTAAGTTGAAGCTCAAGGACAGGCAGGACGAGGGAGAACCGCGGGAAGTGTTGAGAAAGTGGTCGGTGCAGACTGACGTCTGGCCCCAGAGTGGATCAACTTAGCGGCGGAACGGCGGCTCCGTTGCCGCTGGATCTAGTTTTGCTATGACTCGTAGAATCTTAACTGCTTTACTGGGCAAGGAGGGGGGCTGCGGGACTTGCGTAGGCGATATACTCTTGGTGGAGGGTGACAAGACTTGTCATGTCTATCAGGCTATACGTAAAAGCTGAAGGAGAATTTAAGTCATCCTGTCAATAATCGGATGTACACTCGATGTACAAAGGACTTTGACTTATCGCTGAGAAGATGGTGCATGCGGGTATCTCTTGTCAACGTGACATGCCTGATGAAAATACATGTATCCAAGATGACCAATCTACGTAAAAATAGTTGTATGTTTCTCAAATCCAATCCTGATTTACTAGTAGAACGTATACATGGAATTTCCCTGATCTGAATATTCCAATATACTGCCTGCTTAGATCATGGACGTCTGGGCAGCCATCTTGGGCAACATGCCCAACTTCTGGGACTCCAAATACATCTCGGGTACGCTTTCCAAAGGATTAACAAAACCATTGAATCCAAACTTCCTTGTCTTGGCTAGAGATGCAGTGCCAAACGATAGGTATGCAAAGTCGCCACTAAAGATGGAATCCAAATTCCCCCCTTAAAGGGATTCCAAGTCAACTCCCCGGCTGACCTTTCCATCAAGCTTTTCCACGTTCTTCGGTTGACCTCACCCTCGGCCCATTCTTGAAGCGTGAATCGTCTCTTCATCTCTTGTGGCGGGCCGTAGCCCAGTGGATTCTTAAAATCGCCACCCAATGACATGACCTTGCTATACTGGTGATCATCCATCCTCGGCCCAAGCACACCCTTCAAGACTCCCCACCACTGCACCAGAGCGCTGAAGAATCTGTCCCAGCTCAGAGTAGCTCCGCCCACTGCGTTGAAGGCTTCATTGGCACAATCAGGTTCTAACACCGCCCACTCGCTCAGGTAGCCTGTCAGACGAGCCGTTGAATGCATTGCCTCGAACTGCCAAGCGGTCAAATCACCGCCAAACTCAATCGGTTGACCTTCATTCGCCTGGACAGCAGCGTAGATGGCAAAGGACACGAACATGTTGAGAAGCGAGTTGGGAGACGCACCAATGATCCCAAATGGTCGCACTACGTTCCAAGCGGTGCCAGGGAACTTGGTGCAGAAAGATTTCATAGCATCTTCTTGGTGGTAGTAAAAATTGTGTCGGCGATATGGCGCGGCCGCGGGTCGGATTCGATCATGGGCGTGCGAACCCTGCCTAGGTGCATGCCATAGTTCTTTCCACCTGTCTGCAGCAGAATCCGCTTGGGCACTATGCCGGCGAGAGACATGGCATCGAGGAGGTTCTGGGACATTGGTACATTGGTTTTGATTAGGGCCTTGGCCGCTTCAGGGCTCATGGGATCCAGCACCGATTTCGGTTGAACATAGGCATAATAAAATAGATACTCTGCCTTTAACTGAGCTTGCTGCAAACTCTCCGCAATGGATTCGGCAGGAGACGACAGATCAACTGGCACATGGGTGACTCGGGAGAGTTGTTCGTTCGTAAAGAATGACTTAGCCCCTTCACAAAGAGGAGACCTCGAAACGAGGAAGATGCGTGACCAGCGAGGTGTGTCGAGCAAAGACCTCAAGGCGTGAAATCCCGAGATGCCATTGGCACCGCACACAATGGCAGTCAATCCACCAACGTCAGGTCCAAACTGGGGGAGGTTGTGGAACAGTCCGCTGTTGCGTAAGGGCTGCAAGCGTTGTAACATGTTGACGAGAATGATGGAGCAGGCGGTTTCTTATTGCAAAAGGTTGATAAGACTGTTGTTCGAGGTAATTTGTCTCCTTTTACACTTCGCGACGACACAATGATATCTAAGGTTAGGACTCGACCTCGTGCATCTCGGTCTCACTGCGCGCTAACAAATAACCTTACACAACCCAACCAGCCGCGAGATTGTGATCGGTGAGCAAAGACTTCTGAGACACTCGTCGACGAGCAACTGTAAATACATGACATCATTGCCTGAGCCGCGATCGGTTGGGATGGAGCAAGACGGATTTCATGTAGAGTCCGAGGCCGGGTCGAATCACGGCTTTGCCCAAGAGAATGTTACAGACAACTTGACCTCCCTGCCGTATTTTGCTACCTAGGGCATTGGCAAGGATGCCGTGTAGTTGGAAGGTGATATTGGTCATGGGTTCAGTTTACGGTTGCTTATTTCAGACCTTCCAGCATGTCTAAGCATTTGATTCCATCTAGCTAGCTAGTTGCCTGATTTCATTATGTCGTAGTACTTAACGGACGATGATACGGTTTCTCCCAAACAATACAGGGATATTTTCGAGCATGACAAGACAGACAGTACAAGCGAGTACCTTCGCCCACCACCATGGAGCCAAGAGTGTAACATGGATGCGGGATTCGGCTTCACTTTGGTTGATAGAGTCCAAATCTCAACATGGTGACTTTAACCGCCGGTAGCAAGGCTCACCTTGATTAGGTCGGCTGCCTTCTCTGCCAATGCATACACTACAGCGCTGGTGTGGCCGCTTACAAGGTGTGGTATGACTGATGCATCGACAACCCGTACATTTGCTGTCCCATAGACCTTGAGTGTTGGGTCGACCACACCTCCCAACTCTCGGGGCAGCATTGCGCAAGTCCCAATAGTGTGAGATGCCGGCATACCTTTGTTTTATTCCATTAGCATGACTGTCGTCGAGAAAGGCATATGTATAGATCATCATGGGCTCTCCACTTACAAGAGCTGGTTAGAAACTCTGCCCACTGCGCATCTGTCGCGTTCTCTGGCAGCACTGCGTCTCCAGGGACAATGAGATTACCCACAAGGTCGCTCAACGGCTTGGTGGACATTATCTTTCGTGCTATACGGCCGACTTCCAGAGCGACTTGCTTGTCATAATCAATGGATAAGAAGTTGGGATCTACAGTTGGGTTGTTAATCTCCCCGGCGGCGTTGAGGTGAGCACTTCCCCAAGAGAACGGCAACGTGGGTGAGAAGACGATGCCGATGACGCTGCCCACGGAGAAGAATTCAAATTCCACCACGCTCGACTTCTTACCAAAGATCACGTCGTGTTGGATCTCGAACCTTTGCTTTAATGCTTCGGCCGACACACCACCATTGAGCCTCTTTGCGATCATCTCCGACCAAGACGCGAGTTTTTCTTTGGTAGCCGCGTCGACGGAATCGGTGGTAGCCTTGAATATATCTTCGGCCGTGGCAAAGGCTGCAAAAGGGACTTGGCCGACGAGCCCCGGTGTGGCTTGGAACATGAGCACCCAAAGAGGCTGGTCTTGAAGCGCCTCGCCAACCGCCGGAAGCTCAACTTTGGTCGGGATGCCATTGCGGGCCAGGATGCTGGGATCTACGTCAGTGTCATTCTTGGTGTCGGTGTTAGTGGTCCGCTGCTACGTACCTGGGATTCCCAACGCCCGATGCCTCGAGGATAAGCGGTGAAACATATGTTCCTGTGGAAACGATGACCTCCTTTGTAGCCGTCACGGACGCCAAGTGACCTTCATCATCCGTGTACTCGAGCCCAGTGGCAACGACCTTGCCGCCCTCGCCGGCGATTGAAAATATGATCCGCTTCACAGCCCCATGGATGACCTTGAGGTTCCGTCTGTGGTCAATTGGTTCATAGTAGGCGCGGGCAGCGCTTTCACGGACGTTTGCGTCTCGATCCATGGTTTTTGGATATGAGCCGAACCCGCGGTTGTTCCCGCCATTCATATCTAGATTCAGGTTGAAGCCAAGCTGCTCGCACGTCTTTCGAGCCGCGTCATAAAAGGTGCCGGTTTCCACTTGGAACGGGTGCCCGGTGTTGAGTGGACCATTCTCCCCGTGATACTGCGCAATATAAGTCATCCCGGCCTCGCGCTGGGCCTTGGTCGGAACGGCGAACTGCTCTGAGCGGATGAAGTACGGGAGCAGCGTGTCCCAGTTCCATCCTGGGTTACCGAGACGTTCCCAAGCATCGTACTCGGCGTTGTTTCCCCGAATATAGTACAATCCTATGCAAGACGTGGTATGAGTGATTGAGAATAAGACCAAGCTTGACCGGCCGGCATACCGTTAATGACCGTGGTGCCGCCCAGAGCTTTGCCTGCGGGGTGATCAATGACCCTGTCGCCTAGCTGAGGCTGGGCTACGGATTTGAACTTCCAATCTAAGTCGGGACTGTAGGTAACGCCGGCCAAGTCTACGTTGAGAACGTCGGCATCGTCGCGCACGTCGCGGCCTGGCTCGACGACGGCGACATTGATGCTGGGATTCTCAGACAAGCGGTTGGCAATGACGAGCCCTGCCAGTCCTCCGCCGGCGATAACGTAGTCGAAAGCCATTCCTAGCTGGCACACAAAGTTGTGGGCACGAGCCAGAATAGACGGGTTATGGGCCTGGAATGATGATAGTGAGGAGCTTTCTCTGCGGCAGCTCGACGGACGCAGGCTTGGTTGCACCGAAGAGGAGAGATCAGGTGCGTGCAGTGGCGAAGCAGCGTGCCTTTGTACTGGTGAACTGCGTTGGCGCTTGTACATGCACGCTCCCAATCCTTGTAGCTTTTCATTCTACTGATGCATGCAAGGTGAGACCTTGGCAGGCTTGGTAAACCAACAATGGAAAGCGACATGGGCCTGTCTGCATATTGATGTCAGATAACCGAGACTATTCAGCCCAAGTAAGGGCCAATATGCGCTGAAACCGTCAGCTTACACAGTCTAATATCTGACGAGCCCATGTTGCCAAGGGCGGACAAAGATACATCTTGTGACTCTAATACACAGACACAAAGCCATCTATTCTCGAAGCATATTTGATTACTATTGTATATATCGTATATGGAAACAAAAAAAAACCTTGGGGAACCTAGGTAGCTAGAAAGAAATATTACAATTATGTATATGCAGCGTGTATATGCAGTTTTCAGTAGGCCGGCATAGGTATCATACAGTTTCCGACTCGTTAGTTCCCTCGCTACTCAGAGAATCTGCACCTCTTTTTGTTTTCGGGCCTCTACTCTGGCTGGAGTACTGAGCGTTAACTTGCACGGAGTAAGGCGCGCTCTGATCAATCAACATGTCCGTGTCGTTGTTGAATCCGTTAGGCGACTTTGGTGCTTGCTTCCCCCTCTCCATGGTGTTCATCTCGATGGTGGTCGTTACGGTTGGCCAGCTCTTCGAGTCCATGTTGCCTGCCCTTGAGGTCACCAGTGTCTCTCCTTTGCTCTGGGTACCCAGTCCATGTGAACGTTGGTTGTAGCCTGAGCTGCCTTGGTGGTGCTCCGAGTTTCGGGCAATCTTGGCGATCAGTGTGGCCATGGACATTTCGATGTTGAGTTTGACAATGTAGGCGAGGGGGTGAAATTGCATATAGCTATCAGAGCGACATAGAACGTTAGCTGTCAGATTTCTCGGGGCAAGTTGCGCCAAGAGAGCGAGATGAGGATGGCCACGTACACGAAACTGTTTTTAAGACTCATCATGGCCACGATGAGGACATCCATTCCCAATGAAAATCCGATGATGAACATGTTGAACTTGACGAGATTGTTATACTTATGGAGACCGTTTTCGACCAGGTTTTGTTTCACAATCCGGATAAAAAATATGTTCAAAGCGGCATCGACAAGAAGGTAAATCACCTTTTCACAGCGATCCCAGATCTCATTGATGTGAACATACTCATCCGATATCTGTAGACGAGCTGGGATCCAGATGCAGTAGACTGAGATGTTGATGGCGGTGATTAGGGCGGCTGTCCCCCATTTGACTCTCCATAGTAGTCTCTGATCGGTGAGAAGGATTCCGCATCGGTTCACGATAATCTGAAGAAGGAACTGGACCTGTTGTGTGTTAGAACTCGCTTTCGTCCGAGAAGTGTAGAGGCATGGAAGCACATACTTGAAGTGCCCAAAGCGTGACTGGTGATCAAAGGTTAGCCACGGCTGGTATGAGATATTCACAGCTTCCACTGCTAGAGTGAGTGGAAGCAGAGAGAGACACTCACGGATACAGAAAAAGAAGGCGAAGCTGTACGTTGAATAATTATCAGCAGGGTCCATAAGGTGATGTGCTGTTCCAGGGGTAACCCATACCTAGGAGGAATAACTCCCATTATGTTCATGAAGCAAATAATCCCAAAGCTGAGACACACGGCGATCTCGCCCCAAATCATCCAAACATATGCATTACTGAGCATGGACCAGCCACGCCGGCGGTAGGCATTTGCGGTCTGTCGTATCGCGGTCCATGTCGTCAACCATCCAATGCCGAGGGTGAAGCCCCACGCGACGGAAGCAATAACTAAATCAGCCGATGTCACGACCTCCGGTTTATAGCGGTCGGGTATCAAGGTTATCATTCTTCGTTAGGTGTGGCCGTGAAGAATCGGTCGGTGAGGCTCGGTGAACGCGGTCAGTACTAGAGAGCAAGAAGGAATGTAAGGTCTGGAAGACAGGTGTATCGCAAATGGCAAGCTGGGTCAGGTATATGCAAAGCCACCGAGATATGGGAGGACGCAAGACATTGATCTTTTGAAGAAAACCGCCACTTGAAGACTGGGCGTCAACAAAAGGAGAGTGCAATTTCTTTGCTAGCGCATTATTGCCCAGTGACAAACATCTGGTCCCCCTCCGTATTCACCTAGTAAGATATATCGGGCTTCTCCCGCTAGTGTGTCTCTCGGCATCAGACGCGGTTTGGACTAGTAACGAATAGGAAGTAATGTTCTCCAACACGTTATGTCGGACACTGTTCCGCTAGTTCTGGATTTTCTCTCAGCCCCTCGATCTAGCTCTCAGGTACAGCATAGTGTGCGGCGCAAACCTCCCGAAAGGGTTACAAGGAGTCAAAAACTAACGCGTTTGGGCTTTTTGTCTGCAATCTCATCAGGATGATCAAAACCGGGCTTTATCCGGTGCCAATGCAATGATTCAGATCGACCTTTCTCACGTGGCTTTTAGGGTTGGTCTGAATTTTGAGGAGGGTTGAGCGATTCAGGACTGGGTACTCGCATTCTCCTAGTCCGGTTTTCTATACTTCCTGGTTCCTTGGGGGATTCCTTGTTGCCTCTCCCGAAAATCTTCGGTGTGACGGTGGTCAGCTTGCCGTTCGCGAATCTGCAGCCTCTGTTTGCACGACAGCGAAATGAAAGGATATAGGCCTCGGTTAGAACTTGACCGAGTCAGGGCACACCGCGTGAGATGTGCCGAGCCTGGATAGCGTAATCCTTCATGTACTAGTGGCGCTCGAGTTGACATGGACTCGCCCGCTCCCCCTCCTCGTCCCAAACCATAGCTTCGGAGTTTGTGGAGAAGACCAGTGGCTACCCCTGACCCCCTATTTTAGCCCGTTTAGCAGTTGTTTTGCTCCGCTTCCAAGTCTGTTTGTTTGGTCACACAAATTTCACACAGCTTCACGTGTTCGCCACCAGGCTTGGCCTTCACTGAGCATATGATGCGCGTGGTGTTGGTTTTACAGGAACTTCTCTGTGTGCTATGGTTCTGTGAGAGGATGTCCGTTCATTATTACCCAACAGTTCCAGTGTACCTTGACTAAGACCTGGCTGCATTCTACATGATAGAGGTGCCTACACAATCAAGAAACCCAAGACGCTAGAGAATCAGAGGACTTGAATCACAAAGGTTTCACCGAGGAGCTTCCAGAGATTGAGATGGTAGGGACCCTGGGAGGGAGCCCGTATGGGCGGGGACAGAGCAAGGCATTTAAGTGGCGAGGCTAGTCATTCGCATCCTAAAAATTTCCCAGCTACTGCACTGGTGACAACTCGCACCGTCGATCGTTTTTAGCTACAAGTGAGTCCATAAGCTCAGTGCCAAGGGTCTAACTCTAGGTCTAACTCTAGGTACCGTACTGCTAGTTCAACAATCTCAACGTGATTCCTCATCAAGGCCACGTTAGCTAGCGGGGTTACTGAGGGAAATAAATCATACCCAAGCGAGGCAACTTGGAGCCCAGCGGTGAAGGAGATTGAGAGTTGAAAGATAACCATTGATCGACAATCACGACTCCTCTGTCGGAATTTCGGCACCAAGGTAGTGTCCATGCCGGATGCAGCCCGGTGGGAAATGCGCAACATTTCGATAGTCTGGGGGGATTGGCACGGAACACGGAGGATGTTCCTCCTTCTCCACCTCCTCTTACCAGGAACCAGGACTACGGTAGCCTCGATACTACTCCGTACATCTTGTGCCAACCCTGCCAAGGACTTATCACGCTTCGCCAAGCTAAAAAATGGCACATCAACCCCAAGTGTACTTCAGAACCAATTCCGGAATTGCGATATCAGCAAACTGTCCACGCCATACTGGTGGATTGGCTTGTTTGAATCCATCTCCTTGAGAGGCAGGAGAATCATACTTGACAGTTTTTGGAGATGACTCTCAAAATAGCCTCTTGCAACAACCCTGCATCTGCTTCTATTCTCAGAGTATCAATGGCAGGCTTTGACATCGATTTGATCCAAGTTGCAAGTGAGCCAAGGGCAGATTCGCCGTTTCTCCTGGACAGCGTGGACACTGGACAGGATGATGGCTGAGCGAGGGTCCCACCAGCTTTCAAACTCCACTTCGAATCCTTGCCCATATGTACAATTGCCGGAGCCGCGTGGTTTCCATCCCTGTTAGGAGCTCCGATTTCTGTGGATGCCAGTGCAAATCATTGACCAGGCAGAGATCAATCATTTGAAGCATCTCATCTTCACTGGAGTGCCATGGCCCCTCTGCGGAGCAACCGGTTCATCACATCAGTGTTCTAGGGCACATAAGCCACATCAGAGATGACTCCCAGAGCCATTGCCACTGGTGGCTTTCCCTGTCTTTTGCGCCATGGGCGAACGCATCAAGAAACTGGCTGGCGCACAGTAGTTTCTTTCAGTGGCACTTCCATGAGATCTAGACAGAGACGACGTGAGCAGCAAGAAGTCTAGTTCATGAATCTCGAAGGGGGTATGCAAGTTCCAGGTGCCTTGCCATTTGGGCTGGATTCCCTTACGCCAGGCTTCGTTGCTCTCCTATGAAAACAAAAAGACATGAGTCAGTTTGTGAATGCTCAGAGTTCAAGACTGCAATTTTAGAGTCAGGGTTGGGTGGGTAAAGAAGAAATTGTCTTACTGTCAGAGAAATTAACCACTCTGCTTTCCTCGCAGGCTCTGACGGTTAAAGCCACTGAATTAGAGTGAACAACATCTCCTCTAACCACATGGGAATTAGCCTCAGCATCTTTGAGTCGTGCAACGAGCTTCTTGACTTTAGCTTTATTGATGCTGGAATGGCTCATGAAGACGAAGTTGCGCGCTCCTCGAGACATCATCCGTCGTGATAGACTACGTCCAATCCCACCACCCAAGCATCCCACAAGAAGGTAAAGTTTGTCTGCTGGAATATGGAACGATATTTTCTCGGGAATCTTATTCAAAGTGAAGTCGATGAATCAGTGCATGTCATAGGCCTGGCGCACACCAAATCGATAGCTACATGCCACTCTATGAGTCTCGTTTGTTTCATGGGAAATATTTGTCGTTCGACTGACCCCCGGCTATATTTATGCCAAGGACAGCATACTTAGATACCATGTAAGGGCACCTTCGTAGTGTAGGATGCTCAAGATCCCACGTGCACAATGGCCCCCCGTCACGGCACGCCCCTAATTGACAGTACCAGTGGGCGTTGGTGTCTGGAACTTCGTGGCTCTGCCCACAGACTTGGTGACGAGGAAGGGCCCCGTCACATTGACATCCATAATCTGCTTGAACAGTCTGGGTCGACCTCACTTATGCATTCAACCCCATGGATTCCAATCTAACAAAGATTAAAGTCGGTCAATTGTGAATAAGCTAAGGCGTCGTAATGGGGGGTGGGTAGGAAGCCAGCGTTAAGGGGGTCAGGGTGATTCAGAAAGCCCTACTCCTGTCGAGATAAGGCAATAGTCAATGCGGCCGAATAGATCCACTACTTGGCGAGTGCCTGCATTAACGGAATATTCTTTCGTAACATCAACATAGAGAGAGAGATTTACGATTTGTGGTATCGGCCTTTTCCTCTTTCTTAGCTTCCTTTGCTGGGTTCAGATTGACACTCTATGGACCCTGCTGATAATTGCTCGACATACAGCTTCGCCTTTTTTTCTAATATCCGTGAGTGTCTCTCTCTGCTTCCACTTGCTGGAGAGCGAACCCGATGATTCGTTCGATCAATCAGATATGCAAATTTATATCTATCCTAGCGCGTATTCGTTATGTACTTGAGATGAGGCAGCCACGTAAGCCTGTTGTTTCAAGTAAGTGGCCGCTTCGCCCAGCCTGCATGGGTGATTTAAAATTGTACCAGGCAACTATTGATTCACAACATCGTCTAGCTGAGGAGGCAAGATAGAATCGGCCGGCTGATAATGTCAGTTTGGCCCCATGTCTACATGAATTAACATACGACATCGATGAAATCTCGTAACGAATAATGAGATCTAGCAGCAATGGAACTTGTTAAGGTTGTGTAGGAACACCAAGTACATCAAGTTCCGTGGGTCGAAATGGGACTTTTGGCTGGCCTGTTCTTGTTGGTTTGTAAATGAGACAACAATGCAACCATTTGAATACCATGGGGAGATTAGGAGGTGGTTTTCTTACATTGAATTGAGTGATTGACAGCAAATGCCCTGAATAAGCCCTGTGATTCTTAAGGAAGGGTAAATATGCACTGCGCCATGCCATCACTCCATGTGACGCGCTGACCTGTCGCCCTGTCTACGCCGCTCAGCTTACTCTTCTCGGGATTTTACCAACATTATGGCCATCATGGACGTTTCCACTAAAGCAGACCATGCTACGTCATGAGCAAGCGTGAATGTTTTGTCTCGCATCCGCATCCCTTCCCTGCTGGCTCTCCCTCCGCATCTCCACCTCCCCCTCCTTCTTCAAAGCCGGAAATTTTACTTTGCCTAACCCTGGGAGATCCAAATTCTAAACGCGTCCACCTGACTACGTCCGGCTCAAACGATACAGACAGCGCAAGGACCGCACAACAGAGCTCAGTGATAGATTCCCACTACTCCGAATTAGAATGACAGCCCCGAGTAAAGACGAAGTGTATGCTAAGGTCAAGAAGGGACTTGAAGCAACTCCCTTTGAGCCTTCTAAGCTGACCCAGCTAGCTGGAGGGTCTGTTAACTTCACCTACGAAGCAGCACTTGCGAAACCACTTGATGATGGGGCTAAGACGGTCTTCATCAAACATGCGGAGCCCTACATGAAAGTTCGGCCTGAGACTGCCTTGCCTCCTGATCGTGGGGTAGGTCTAACACGTGGAATACTATCTATTGTACCCCTGATACTGACTCGAATGGACACAATAATAGAATCTTGAGATCCAGTGCCTGAAGCATATGTCCGGCAGACACATTACAGGGGATTCGAATCAGATAGACTTCATTGCATTACCAATCGTACCCCCAAGTACTACAGCTTTATCGAGGATAGCTCCACCCAAATCCTCGAGTATATGACCGAGGGCACGACACTCAAAGAGTTTATACCCAAGTACTTTGGCCACGCTACTACGCCCAAGGAATCCGATGCTCGTGAGATTGGAAAGACTGTGGGCTCTTGGCTCAAGTGGATTCACCAACTTACTGCCAATGATGCAGAAATGCATGCCATTGCTGAAAAGAACGAGCTAGGGCGGTTCTTTAGGCACATGGTCACTTTTACTTGGCTCAAGGATCGCGTCGAGCAATACCCTTCTGTACTGAGTGATGCCAAAGAAATCTTTCGAGAAGTGGAACAGGCCGTCACTTCTGAATTGAGTGACACCAGTAAGCTTCAAGCAATCCACGGTGATTTCTGGACTGGAAAGTAAGCCTTCTATCTTAATCCTATTCTTATTTTTTTTCCCCGTCTAGCTGGGAATCATTACGTGTAACTGGACTGTTTACTGACAATTTGCTCTTTCTAGTATGATGATTCCCGACGCAGCAATACCCAAAGACGGAACAATGTGACCCTGTTTGTCGTCGACTGGGAAATGGTACATCTGAATGTGCCTCATGTGGACTTTGGCCTCATGGTTGCCGGTTTCTATTACTTTTGGCTTTTTAAGTCCATGCCCGCAGGACGGTGGATGATGGAGAGCATGGTGGAGGCATGCGGTCCCCTGACCGAAGAATTCGCCTTCCGAACGGCCATCCAGGTCGGAGCACATTTAGTTTGTGTCATCACTGATTTGAACAGAGTGCCTACGGACCAGTTGGAAAAGGCAGCCGCCACTGGCAAGGAGATTCTTGTGCATGCTGGAAGAAGGATCGGGCATGGTTTGAGAATAGCGACTTTGCCTGCCTTTTCCGCCAGACAAAGTGAGTATAAGCAGTTCAATCAGAGTCTATTCAAGGCAAATCTGAACGGTGATTTGGTTTGAAATGATTGAGATCGTAAGAAGGACACGGAGAGTAGGATATCTTAAGTATTCAATGACAGTCTCTACAGTCCCAAGCTGAAGTCGTGTCTCTCCTATCCCTTTAAACTCAAAGAAACCTAGTTGGAGTATTTTGAACTAGAAAAGGATAATTTCAACTACGTTGTTTGTCTCAAGGTTGTTCTGATGACAACCAAGACAGAACGCATCGATATGTTAGGGATGGATCACCCGCCCGCCGCGAATAAATACCATTTGAGCTCAGTCGCATTCATGCTTAAACGGTAAGCTTGATAGGAAAGAAAGAGAAAAAGAAAGAAAGAAAATGAGCAGAATCAGTTAGAAGAAGCTGCTTTATGTCTCTATGCCCAAAGTTATCTCTAAACATTTCGATACCGAGTCGGTGTCCTACCCAACGTACCAAAAAGTGCAGGAAACAAGAATGAAATGAAAGATTTTCCATGCGCGTTTCAAGTAAGTAACACGAGTGCTACGAAGAAGAATCAAACATCCGTTTCTCTTCTCTCCGCCCTTCTACGCCTAAGCGCGGACCCATAGACACCACCAGCCAGACCCGCGACGGTGGCTGCCAACACTGCGGCGCCATGGTAAGCCGGCTTGAACTGGCCCCTCTCCAGGGCCTTGAGGTTGGTAAAGTACCGAGCTGTGCCGTAGAGAATAGATCCAGAGCCCATGCCCATGAGAGCGCCTACCAGAACCTGTGAGTCCTCCTTCTCCTGCTCCTTCTCAAGCCGGGCCTGCGGGGATCGAGGTTTCTCGTGCTGCAGCAGCTCGCCGAGGTCAAGCTGCGAGAAACGCTCAATGGCGATTCCCAGAGCCACAAAACCTAAGCCGGTACGAATCCAGGCTAGGAATGTGCGCTCCGAGGCCAGATGGTCCCGGGCTACTGAGCCAGTGTTTTTGTAGAGGGGGGTAGCGACCTTGAACCAAGACATAGTGGCTGTCGGTTCTGAATTATATCATGTGTAAATTAGAGAGGTCAAGTCTTAGTAGCAGAGAACCCTTTCGCATGGTGCGACCTTGGTTCGCTAGCAGTGGAAGAGCCAAAGAAGAAAACGGGATATCGGCTTGTCTGTATGAAGATTCAGATCAGATCCAAGACGCGCGATGACGCGAGCGAATTTCCAACCTTGGAAGCCGGGCGAACCGAGACCGAAGCCGAAGCCCCACTTGTTTGTCGCTTGCGCCTACCCGAGAGCCGCCCTCGATCTTCGGGATGTCAATCATGCGAGTAGACTGACTTTATAACATTGATTCTTTGAGAGGTAAGGAATATCTAAGGCACACCAAGTTCATTTTTACGATCAAACGGGCCTATAAGTCAGCATAATGAGATTAAACCCAAGAAACGGAGGTATTTTGCAGATAAGATCATTGAATCGAAGGCCAAGCTCGAGTTTTCAGCTGTCGAAAAATCCCTAACTATGGATTTGGCGAAATCTATTATTAGAACTAAAATAAAATTAGGAAGGGGCGAATCCTCCTTGGCTCTTGGCATGCTTTTTGTTTTTATTTGATTCAATAAATTTTATCGCTATATCAAGTTGTATGTTGTCTAAAAACTGTTTCTCTTAATTCTCTAGGCTAACCTTGCTTTCTCAAAAACTATATAATACTGCACTTCCGAAGGATTAAGGTTTCCATAATTGCCGCTATAGTGCAATGAAGTCACGAGGGGTCACTAACAACAGCTCCTGAGAAACTGGTGGATTCACCGGTTGCCAGGCACCAGTAATGTCTGCATCTCAAGGTTGAGACTGCATGTCAAATGGAGCGCTTCGACACAGAGCAGGTAGGTAGCGTATCTATGTCTTAAGGCGCAATGCACTGCTAGGATAATATGATAGACGAGCATATTACGGCGAATACTCTCGGCAAATGATTAAGTTCTCCAAGGCAAGGACTCAGTATTTTCAGCAGCTTGTCAACAAGCTGCATGTATTCGAGGTGTAAAAGTTGAAACCAGATTCTATGTTTGAGGTTTTCCTTCTCCTGTGATCCCCTCCGAGTCTCTAAGTTAATATGACCTCTTGATCCCCAATCGTGATAGCGGACGTTGTGACCCTGTAGAGCCCTGAGTGTCTACTTAGAATTCCATTTTCTTACTCTTCTTCTTCCTCTTCTTCTTCAGCTTTAGCGGGCCGCTGGTAGTTCTGGAAAGACACAAGAAGTCCAAAATCATAAGATATCTTGATCGCGCCTGCTGTAACGAAGGCCACCCAGAAAGCATTGTTCTCTGCCAACACTCCGGTAACTAGCGGCCCCAAACCTTGAGCAACAGTCTTCAGAACGTTAATGAACCCTATAACAGCAGTGCGCTCTCCAGGAAGAAGGATACCAGCAATGAATGCCGAGCGTGGTGCAGTGTCCATGGACTGGCTGCAAGATCTAAGAATAAGCAAGGTGATGGCCCAGTACGCCTCATTGGGCAGCGGGATGAGGGCTAAAAAGACTGAAGATGGGAGGTGAGTGAAAACCATTGTCTATATAGCAGGAGAAATGTTAGTTGCATGAAAGACCAAAATTCTCGATGAGACTGATTTGTGTGGTGGAGCTCACTTTCACATTGCCAATGCGCTTCGCTAAGGAAGACGCGAAAAGCGTGGAGACAGCATTGAAGATACTAGCCGAGAAAAAGATAGAACCAAGCTGTCCGTCGGGTATATCGAACCGAGTGCGGAAGTAGTAGGAGACCCATGATCTTCGTGAAGATTAGCGATTGGAACGGCATTGGACCGGCGAAACACCGCCCTTGAATTTGAAAAAAGTCCTACTTACATTGGTACTAGGCCACTTCCAAAGCTGTCCAGAGCAATCAGCGCGCAGAGTAAGGGTAGGAAGCTTAGACTCTCTCTGCTTACTTGAGGTCTCAAAGAACGTCGTAGCTTGGACTTGCTTGTCTGAACTTCCGAAGGTTCAGCAAGAAGTGGTGATTCCTCGTCAATAACGCCGCTGACCAATTGCGGCCGAGAATTCTGTTTCGCCTTCTCTGCTGGTGCCTCGACAGCCTGCGTCATGCAGAGGGCAAAAACTACCTTAACAAGACCAAGAATAGCATAGGTGTAGAACACCGCCCGGTAGGCATCAAGAGTCGACCACGAAAGAGTTTGTAGTAAATAATTAAGCACCCAGCCGCAGGACACGATTCCTGTAGCCGTGCCTGAGTAGCCCAGAACGCAATGCCAGGCAAAGAGGTCACTATGATCCGAGGGTTCGACCAAATAAGCCAGAGCACTCTCCTCGACTGCTCGGAAAGGCCCAATCTCGTTACCACTATCAAGTAGGTGGGTTAGGACGAGAATGTAGGAGGAAAAGATGAACTACTCACTTGGCGCTGATAACACCGACGATGGCGGCAAGGAGAAGCAGCCAGAAGTTGTGAAACGCCGCAAATACCACACCGCTCAGAACCATCAGAAGGGCTCCCAGGACCAGTATCGCCCGCCGACCCACGACATCAGCGACCAGTGAAAGCACCAAGCTGATACCCGCGTCACCTATCAGCGTCAATGTCATGAACAGACCGATGCGACTTTGCGAGATGCCCAGCTCATGGAGTAGAGGCACCAGGACCAAGGCTGTTGCTCCATAAGCGTAGAGTCTTACGAAACGCTGGATACAGAGGAGTTTCACGTCAAACGGAGCGCGATACAGAGCTGCTAAGCCCAGCTCGTCCAGTACCCGATGAAGGACATTGAGGGCGCGATACCGTTGGGGTTGGTCTTCTGGCCCTGATGACATGTTCAAAGATACAATGCTAGTCTCGTAGGACTTGGTAGAAGCATGTCAAGGATAATGTTGCTGTGAAATTTCCGCCCCTATCTATCAATGGCGGATGATGCTTACGTTACCTTCAGCACGCAATTGCGGGGTCTTATGAGTGAGTCAAATCAATCTTGGGTTGTGGAGAATTTCGCTGTTTCTGGGTTCGATCTTTCATTATGGCCGTCTAGGTATCGATAGACAACATCGAATAGATATCTGGTCCAAGCTCTTGGTATTATTATTCCTAGACAACTCAAAGGGTTGGCTTTTTGAGAGCGTTTCGAAGCCTTCTACTGATAGGTAGAGACTGTTATAAGTTTAGCCCGCGATGCTAGATTCCTGGCAAGCGCTATATACCTATATACTATACACTTTTATGCACTACTTAAGATACTGGTAGTATTATCACTCCCGAGGAAGATAGCGCGGGTGCTTTCGATTCAACCTTGGGATATTGGCGGCAAGAAGTCCCTGTTTGCAAACGGCGTCGGCTGCTTGGTAGCAGTTGAGCTGCGGTAATGGAACGGAAATGAATTTGCGGCATATTTTGCCATTTTTTATTTTTTTTGCGATAATGAGTGGGTGAATCATTTTGTCCATTGGTGAGTTCATAGCAGGAATCAGCCAGGCTACAACAGGCAAAAAAATGAAATGAAGCAGATTCGATTACTTGACATCCATTATTTAGTCGTCTAGGAGCTCATAACTCCACATATTTTCATAAAGGTATTCTTGATTTATGCATCTATCTATACGCGCGTAAGCGGTTGGAGGGGGGCGAACATAAATCTGACTACAGTATTGACTGCAAGGATAAATCTGACTGTGGACAGCAAGGATCGATGAAACCAAGGCACAGCCGCATGGGTCTGATTCGATCCGTTAAAATCAATCTGCCTAGCCAGACACCTCGCATGATTGGAGGCGTCGCAGGCGTATTCAGAGAATTCTTAAATAAATGCTGAACCGTAGCGTTACAAAAATACAAAGATAAACTTCTATCCAACAAGTCACTTCTTAACTAAACGATGACTATCTCCGTGGAATCACGTCGGCGATATCACGCTCTGCCTGATGGCTATATTCGGCTTTTGTCCATTGAGCCGTCAGCGGATCGCGATGCCCGGGTCGAGTGCCACCTCGCCCCGGCACAAATCGGCGACCGACCATACGAGGCTCTATCCTACGTCTGGGGTCTGGAAGACGCAAGCCTAGGCATTCTTGTGGACGATGAAGAAATGCTGGTACGACCCAATCTCCATGGCGCCCTCAAGGAGCTCCGCTTGACAGATGAGCCGCGGACGCTCTGGGTCGACTCCATCTGCATCGACCAGTCGAATATTGCCGATAAAACTCAGCAGATCAAACAGATGGCAACAATTTACTCGTCTGCCACACAAGTTGTTGTCTGGCTAGGCGAACAGGATGACGACACGGATGCAGCGCTGGACTTCATCCAAGGCCTATCAAATCTGGACCCTGCCACAGCCCAGGTGATTGTGGACAACGAGAATATGCCATGGGAGCTTCGCAAGCGGGTCTTCAATGCGCTTGGTATGAAACACGGTATCGACAACTATGACGAAGTTGTCGGGGGCCTCGTTAGGCTTATGGGGAATACATGGTGGACGAGAATCTGGACTGTCCAGGAGATCGTGTTGGCTGACTCGGCAACTCTAAGATGTGGCGCGAAGTCTGCCTCGTGGGGCAATCTCAGCAAGTTGGCTGCGTTTGCCCTCGAGGTTGCTCATCATAACACTCTGGATTTGGGACGGCCAATGGACGAGGCAATATTTGATGAAGTCACCGCTCGTGTGTCTGAGCTATACATTACCGTTGGCTCTCTCAATAGTCTCTCATACAGAATCGCCCAAAGTTTAGATATATCTTTGGAGCAGATGATCTGGCCTCAGCTGCTCACAAGACGAGCAACAAATCCCTTGGACGTGATATACGCACTCCTAGGCATGGTGACGGAGAAGTCTGTCATCGAGATCGACTATGGGATGACCAAGAAGCAGGTGTACACGAGCACTATGAAAGCCATGCTCGAGCGAGGAATTCGCCTTCTTCCGCTGCATCTTCTGCAGGACTGCTATATGAAGCGTGATGCCAGTCTCCCGTCTTGGGTACCCGACTTCGAAATCCTCCATTCTTATGCGACTATTAACCTAGCCACAAGTGGTGTCGGGACAACCCTGGCTATGGCCTCTTTGTACAACGCGTCGCTCGGAGATGCTACGGATCAACACGTACCCCAGTTCCTTGGCGACGACAATGATGTCTTGCAGGTAGAAGGCGTGTCAGTAGATCAGGTGGCAAGCGTAGGGAACGTCTGCCCTCGCTTCCCCGACGGATGGGAAAAGCGGTCACTTCAGCTTCAAACTGTTGTTGGACAATGGCGTGAACTCATACCAACGACAACAGACGAGTACATTGGTGGAGGTTCCGTCATTGAGGCGTTTTGGAGAACGGTGACATTTGACCTCGAGCTCACGGATCGAGACTATCTGGCCGGTAACCCAAACAGGAGAGACAAGAGATTGCCTAGAGGCGCCCCAGGGATGCCCCCGACAACCGAAGCAGAGGAAGCTGAGATACTGGAGGGAATTGTCGATGCCCCTCCTCCCAAGACAGTCCTGGAGAAACTGGGCGAAAGGCGCTTGTTCACAACCAAGTCGGGGTACTTTGGCCTGGGGCCGGCTTCCACACAGCCTGGCGACACCGTCTGTGTTTTGCGAAATGCTCTGTTTCCTATCGTGGTCCGGCCAACCACGAATGATCGTTACATTATCGTTGGTCATGGGTAAGCTCTTGATATTTATCTGATTGTCCAATTTCAGAATGCTAATAGTTTGATATTCCAGCTTTGTGCATGGGATTATGTATGGCGAAATTATCAATTCCTTGAAGGAGGGACGATCTTCACGACAGGTGTTTGAATTTGTATAAGAGGTATATCGAGCGGAGGGTCTTAAGCTTAATAGTCTCATGATAGAAGATCTACTGGTCATATTCCGTACATTAATCCGAGTGAAGAATTCGCAATTGCTTATTATCTAACTTAGAATTATGCAAATGATGTCGACCTGGCTCGACTTTTATTTCTGATCTATGATTACTTATGGCAGATTTGTAAACATGTAGTATTTAGAGAGACAACTCAATTTCAAATACTATGATCAAAAGAGGCTCGGAACTTTGTAGTTGATGAAATTCTCCCACTCTCAGTCTGACAAAAAGTCCCTGGTATTAAGAGTGACAGCCCAGTCCAACTCTTTATCACTTTGCACCCAAGCACGAGCACCGTTGACGCTCCCGTCACGCCGTGACATCTGCCGATCGCCATACCCATAGGCGGCTACACGCATCATGGTTGTTAGCTAGATACGTGTTGTGCAAAGTAGGGGGGGGTTTCAGACTGAGATGCTTACCGTGTGATCCGACAAATGGCAATGGAGCTTGCGCTTCCAGCTAAAGAAAACGCACCCATGGTCTGCTTCTTGATGTCGCCTCCTCCCCCATAAACACCTGAAATTCGTTGAGTTGACAGCGGATGGAGCGCGTCATATCCAATGACCCTGGTTTCCTGTGAGATACGATCGCTCGCGTGGGCTGCTGTGCCATCCTTGTACAACTCGACATCCAAACCGTTCAGAAGATTCTTCTGGAGAAACCCCAGGTATTCCATCCCGGAAACCTTTTCAACAATGTAGCTAAGAACCATTGTTCTATAATTGGAATATGCGTAAGATGCATCAGGCGCAAAGTCGAGCGGTCTCCCAATAACCCAATCAATAACGTCTTTTATCGTTGCGGCCCAACTGCCTTGCAACAAGTCCAAGGTGACTATGCGGAACTGGAAAGCCGGATCGCCGGACTTATCTCGGTCATATCCGGCCCTGTGCTCTAGAAGATGCTGAACTGTGATGTTGGCGGTGCGTGCATCCGCGTACTGATGAAAGCCAAGTAGAGGGTATGCCGGGGTTGAGTAGTTGAGGCGCCCAGCCTGTATCAAGTTGACAATGGCGGCATTGACAAACATCTTTGAAACGCTGCCCAGGAGGAACTTGTCGTCTGGCTCGACTTGGGCACGACTAGGTTCGGCAAAGGTAAAGGAACGCTCCGTGACAATGGTGCCATTCTTTGAAACGGCGAACTGGGCTTGACGAACGCCATTCCTCTGCATCCATTGACGGAAGAGGGAGTCCATATTACTCTTGGCTTTCTCGTTGTTAGTAAACCCATCAACAGGCCCCTTAGCAGTCCATGTGTGCTGCTCAGACAGATCCGTCTCGGCGAAGATGGCCGTAAAGCGCGTGTCGGCGCCGGAACCTGCCCCCTGCACGTGGATGGGGTGAAGGCCATTCGTCTTCTGCGCCGAGATCTCGGCATCCAAAGCGGAAGCGGACAGAGAGGCGAACGAAGCCCAAGAGCCGATATTGGTGTCCGTAAAGATGAGTGTGATCACATGGTCCCCCGACACGAACAGGTGAGAGGGGCGCCAGAAACGCTTCGTCAACTCGGCTTGGAACACCTCCTTAAAGTCGATGCCCCACGACGGCGTGGTGTAATACACGGTATTGAAGACGTTGCCAACATTCTCGTGGCCGAGCACACAGTAACGGCGGTTTTGGGGAGTGCCATACATCCGGAAGCTCTTTACAATCATGTTATGCCCGACGGTTGCGTTCTGGAAGGCATACGGGTTTGTTAGATCGCAAGTCAGTGCCCAGAATGGCGCGCCCGAGACCTGCTCCATGACACCGGCGAACATGGCACGTTCAGCCGGGCCAGTCGCGGAGACGTGGGTCGCGACGTAGCCCTTGGCCTGCCGTCCACCAATTTTCGAAGGATTTTGCGTCGAGGCCTTGCGCCATCTCGAAGGCCGGTCCATCTCGTCGAACCCAAACGGCGGCAAACTGGGCGTTGTCGGGCTCGCCATACGCGCTGAGAGAGATGATACGGTAGCCTTGCTGTTTGAGTAGGGAGGCTCTGGCAGTGTGCTCGGCTCCATTGACGGAGTGGTACACTTCATATGTAGGTCGAGCACTGTCTTTACAAGGCACGGCCACAGCCAGAGAAAGGAGAGAAAGGAGAAGGAGGAAAGGGGCCGCATAACGGCTAAATAACGAACGCATTTTGAAGAGGTGCACCATGGCGCGTAACGAGCGTGTGTTTAAGCAAAGGTGGGCTGAGATGCTCAAAGAATATTCAATGCCCACATTATGTCCGAAAGATTAAGAGTATTTATCGAAGCTTACTCCAGTCTTATGCTCACATCAAGTCGCACGAGAGCCAGGCCGGTCCTTGGTTTTGTTTCTTATTATATCTCTGACCGGAATGGCCGCACACCTCCCAGAATAACACGAGAAAGACAATTGGCTGCCCAATACGGGCTTCGATCTGAGCCTCGATCCCCTATTGCTGCTGTGCAACAGATTAGTCCAAACCACTTTGCCAGGGCAGACTATCTACAATACTATTGGAACAAGCCGGCTGCGGGCTAAGACGAGCGGATACCGCACGGGCGAATTAGATCTTTGGCAGCAGCTATAAAACTCCAACTCTGGGGAATCCAATGCTGCTCATGTCTCGTAGCCAGTCGTCAGTTTGATATGAATGACGGCGATATGTGAGAGGAAGATAATATTTGTGATTGCGGGTTTCAAACATGTCAGTATCTTCCTCTGCCGTTAGTTTCACACGATCACAGCCAGGCCCTGCACTACCAGCGGCCCGCATGCGACTATCGACAATAATTATTGGAATTGGGGCTTCATCCAAAACCAAGCCAATAATTCCATCATCCTCTGCCAAGACCCCAAGTTGACATTAGTGGCTGAAGAAACATGCAGCCTCTTTCGGCGTAGACGATGCGATGTGCTGGCTAAGAGGATAAATCATGGTTCTAAATCAAGCATATTCGGTGGCGCAGTCCATCACACAAGAAAATCTATGACGGAGGTCTCAGTCACAACCTTGGAGCATGATGAAGATTCTGTTGCAACACGGTATCCTGTTGCAGCATTCGCACCGAATCAAAGCTGGGATCTTTGTAAGTCTATGCAATAGTAAAGCACAAGCCCAATGATTTTTTCAAACACTTAATGCGATGTATAATGAGTAATGTTAACGTTGTCTTGAACCCCTTTCAAGTCCCTACCAAATATAATATAGACATACTGGTAGCTCATGTAGTGAAACTTCAATAATTATTGCTCTTCTTGGTTCAGTCCCAAACATAACAGTATCCCCTGATAAAGCAGAAGCCGGCGGCCCCTTGAGTGCTAAGGTCAAAATTCGCTTGTCGGTTCTTATACAGCAGGGAGAGAGAGTTACAGAACTGCACGTGATCCAACAACGATCCTCGCTCAAATGATTGTTAGCAATTAAGTCTAAGCTGTGTAGGAGAAGTGGCAGCGAAGAGGCATTTGTTGCCAGGGTCAAATTATAGGAATAAAGATGAGGTTCCGACGTAATCAATTTGTACATACTCGCGAGCCGCATTGTATACTCATGCCGAGGCTATGAATTAGGAGTCGGGTAAGAGGGTTACCAATTAAACGGTGTCACCATGGCCCTCTGATAGGTGAATTCGCCGTGTCAACTAACCAGTTCGGAAGCGGGGTTGGCAAGAGAAGGGCTCTGGTTAAAATTCATCACCAAATGGCGTCTTTTAGGGGAATATGACGCTTTCTGCTACAACTAATCAGTCCCCGCGGATCCGGTAGATGACTCACGCCGGCCAAGGAGTGGGGTGCCAAGGTAAATTTGATGTTGCGCATATGACTACTGACTTGTTATACATACGTACTCACTGAGGAATCCTCTCGATTCAATTAGCCCTTCAGAATTCGCCGCCGACTTCAGAATGTCTCAAAATATATATGACGATGCAGGTTTCTTTCGCGGGTATGCTGCCCTTGATCGATCAACTGGAGGACTCGACAACGCACCTGAATGGCCAACATTACGCTCCTACATCCCCAGTCTCCAAGGAGCGCGCGTTCTTGATCTCGGCTGTGGCTATGGATGGTTTTCCCGCTGGGCAAGGAGCAGTGGGGCCACCACTGTCGACGCGTTCGATCTGTCGGCAAATATGTTGGATCGTGCCAGATCCATGACGAATGATGACAAGATTGCCTACAAACGGGCAGACCTGGACGCTTTTCGGCTTCCGGACGAGCAAGAACAGGCTTACGACTTGGTCTTTAGTTCTCTCGCACTTCACTATCTCGTCAATCTTCGAGAGCTCGTCACGGAAATCCACAGAGCTCTAAAGCCCGGCGGAACCTTTGTCTTTTCCATTGAGCACCCAATCTTCACCGCTCCGTCTAACGCCCAGTTCATCACAGACGAGGCCTCTGGGCGTGAGTATTGGCCCTTGAATGACTACCAAATGGAAGGGCTGAGGGTAACGGATTGGCTGGCGGAAGGGGTTCGCAAACAACACCGCACTACCGCGACCTATATTAACACGTTGCTTGATGCCGGCTTTGAGTTAAAACGGTTTGATGAATGGTATCCAACGGCCGAGGAGCTTGAGAGATATCCCTGGCATAGAGTGCTGGATAGACCTATCTTTCTGCTGATCAGTGCAAGGAAGCGAGCGCAATAGCTAGCGTTAAGCTGTCACAAATCTACTCGACGGATAGATAGCAGGTTCAAGTCTAGCTTCTTGACCAAGGTCATATGAACCAGCCTTGCTTTAGGCGTATGCGTTTGTTCCCTATGAAATCACTCAATACAAGGCCTCCACAGAACGGTTCTTGCTTTTCCACGAGGGCATCTACATAAAAGAAAGGTGTTCGCCATATGTTAGATTTCACAACGCGCTTCAGGGAAGTCATCATGAATGTCACTTCCAAGGTGCCATGAGCCGGTTCTACATTATGCAAGTTGTGCAAGACTCTCTTGGCCCTGCATCACATCATTGTCGCCTTGAGATTAAATTCCTCGGGAAATCACAGGTAGACTTGACAAGGCACCGCTCGATTGCAACGGCCAAACAGAAAATTGATCAAACCACTTTTGAAACCCTGTTATTCTGAATACCCGCTGATATTTGGGTTTTCGTTGTATGGTATCCATCCAACACATTTTAACTTCACAGAAACACGCATACATATAGCAGGAAATAAGCACGTTGCCATCTCACCGGCTGACATCTCGAGCGTTGCCTGATGTATCCAATTAATGGAATGCGCTCGACCTTGTTTGTTAGATTGGCTATGGGATCTTGATAAGAAGAAAGTGGACTGAAGTGGTGTAGTTTATTTAGGTAACTTAATAATAGTAAACGGTTTATTTAATCTTAGAGCTAGCCTAGGGATATAGCTTTTAAATAGGAGGAAAGTGAGATTTTGTAAGGTTTAGTAAAGTTTCTCTTCTTATTTAAATTTACATACCTCAAGGTATAGTCAGGTTCGATACGTAATAGAATAATACTAAGACAGTGAAATATAATAAGGCTAGGTTTCCAGCCTGATTATTACAATACACTTAGATAGATCCAACTATTGCAGTCAGCTACACCCAAGGCCGTCCTTGCGTGCCCATCCACCTAGGCTGAGAGGCTTGTAGCCTACAAGATGAATCTCAGCACGAGGCTAGACCTCCCACTTTGCCATATACCAGTCTAACTCGAGCACAGCGGGTTCCCTTCCATTTTTGACGATGTCATGGATCTCCTGGCGAGCAGCCACACATGCACTCTCAGTAGCACTAATTAAACCATCTGGACCAGAGCTATAAACCCATGCCACTCTCCCTGCACAGGACCTATGCGCCTCAATTCGCATGGTTTCACACTCTTGGCCAAGCTCAAGGCATTGCCTGATACATTTGGATGGGTCCAGTCTTTCGCTGAGAGAGCTAATGTGTTCAACAACGTTCAAGGAGTGAATTGTCTCAGCCATTGCCTTTAACTCCTGCCATTCCTTCAGATGTGCCATCTCTTCGTGTCGAATGGACCATATCAGGGTGAATTTGCTGTCATCGGTCAGACCCCTAGCCTTGATCCACCACATCGCAAGACTGTAGGCGCCCGTGATGCCAGTCCCGCCAACAATACATATAATGTGGAAAGCCGTCTCGTATCCCGTGTCACTCGGTCGGTACGGGCCTTCAATCCGAGCCCGCAAGTCACTCCGGCCTCCGGGCGTGGAGGTAAGCGCTGCTAGCTTCCATGTCCATTCTTTATCCAACTTCTTTTGGTTCTTGCCCTGTGCTGGCTGGAAGAGAAAGACTGGGCCAGAGGACATTGACCCGGGGATGGCTGCAGTGAAGGGGTGATTCTCCATCTTATTGACAGCAGGAAAGTTGAGATAGTAACACGCGAGAGCATCGCCCGGGGCACTTTTCTTCTCTGTTGATATAAGAGCACGGTATTTTTCGATGTGATCGCCCTGCGCTGGGAGGGAGATTCTATACCAGCCGTTGCTGGCATCCTCAACGGACACCACCTGAGTCTTGTGAAGTCCACCAGCCTCTCCCCCAAATAAACGAATCGCCCAATCAACGGTCCAGAGAACCAGACCAGGTATCAGCAAGTATATGTCAGTACTGGCGTGAATTCCAGCACCCACAAGTATGAGAATGCTGATTATCACATGGCTGAAGTAAAAGACGTTATAGAACCGGCATCGGACGAATGGCAGTGCTGTCAGCACAATGAGAAGCAAGACTACAAGTGTGGCAGCCCCTGTGTAGGTGGTTTGCGTGTACCAAGAGCTCCTTTTCTCGCTTTCTTCAAGTGTCATGGCCGGGTTTCCCGTAGCAAAGGCTTGCTCTTTGCGCACGTCCCCTTCACTGCTAGGATCGAGGGCGTATAGCTATCATTTATCAGCTTGGAAACTGTATGTTGTTGAGTCGGCTTTACTCACCCCGTATGCCACTCCATGAGCCAAGGTTGCCGCCAGGAATAGGTAAGCGATAAGTTTATGTGCAGAGAGCAGTGTGCTTTGGTGTACACCAAATGATTGGCCCACTAAGCTGTTCCGTGAGACCGGGATCAATAACAGCCCAAGCAGAATATCAGCATAGTGCCCTGTAATACCAGTCACCGTGAGCCGGATCTTGGCCGTGTCCCACTCCAGAGGATCTGTCCTTGCCCCCCAGAATTTCACTTGGGCTGGCAGCCAGACGGAAGTTGTAGCAAGCGTGGTAGAAATGACCAGTAGTGATATGGTAAGATCGCCGACTGTAATACGCTTTCCCAAGACTGGGAGTACTGGGGACAAATGGGAACGAGATAATGACCGCCCAAATCGAGTTGAAGCCTGGAGTAAAAGCAGACAGCTACCAACCACAAGCAGTCCATAGTATGTGGCTATGTGAAGCCGGGTCTCAAAAGGGAAGTAGTCTTCCGAGCAAATTGTCGCATAGCATGGCAAGTATGTCAGGCCGATGGCCAAGCTAGCAGATGCGATGATTAGAATAAAGGTAGCAACGAGACTTGTTAAGTGCGCCATTGTAGAAACGAGAATGAAAATGAACAGTTGCAGTGAGTTAATAGTGGCATCAGCAGCATAAGAGCGGATGGCGTAGAGTTTAAATAATAGATACAAGATAGCTATCATACCTATATTTAAACGAGGCTGTGCCTCTATTCAAATCCACATTGAATACGAAATATCAGAAACCCAACTTTGTAAGATCAAAGAAGCAACCAGGTTCAGTCCGATTTGTGAAGGTCACCATCTTCAGGAATAGGTGCCCGGCATTGTCGGGGAGTGAGCATAACAAAACAAGCCCTGCTGTTTCAACAACCCTTACTCATTTAGAGCTTTTAAAGTGGCTTAGATGCATCTATAGAAACATTCCGCTCAGCTTAAGCTTAAGATGACGTCCAATGACGGCCAAGCCATGCTCGGCAGATCTTTGCTTGCTTCACACCCCTGTTCGGATCAACTTTTAGCACGTATCTCCTGAAAGATCATCCGGCGTAAGCATATCCTTCTCTTGGTTGGATCATTACGTGTTCTGTGGATCTACCGAACGCGCCTCGACCAGTCAGGCAAGAGGAACGTATAATAGTATTTCCAGGTTGCCAGGCTCTTGTGGTTTGTGGGTGTGTCAGCGCTGCTCAGCCCAAGTGCCAAAGATCCTCCGTCACTGAAATTGCCCACTCGGACCATCTTCTTCTTCACCACGGAATAACTCTCGCCAGAACCTCCCCTCCAGTTCCCCTAAGTCGTGCACCCATCTAACCGACTAGACAGCGTGAGCACTATTCAGGAGAATGGCATGGAAGAGCTCAGATCTGCAGCCTCAGGTCCGTCACCCAGCGACCCGCCATCTAGGGTCTGCGATCGGTGCGTCCGGTAAGGTTAAGCCTCCTTGCTTTCATGATTGGCTCTGGCACCTTATTAACGCCAAGACCTACGATGCAGGAGAAAGGTCAAATGTACGCGCAGAATTACCTATCAACAATTCCTTCCATCTGTAGACGTGCCGTTGACCCTTCTCTAGGCGATCAAGAGCGACCAACATGCTCCCGTTGCTTTCAGCGTGGGGAGTCTTGCTCCTACACATCCACACGACGCAAACCTGGTCCCTCTCGCGGCTCACACTACAATACGCTGAGAGCGAAGTCGAAGCGGTCATCTAGTAGGTATAGATAACTCAGACTCAGCGAGACACTCGCTAACTTGCTCTGAAAACCTCCGCCAGGGCCATCTGAATTCTCCGAATGAGTCTCCCACTGCAGATGCCACCTTGACGCCGGCGACACCTAAATTTTTACACCGGCAAGATGATCCACCCCACCAGTCTAGTTCAACCTTTCTTGACACCCCAGCGAAAAAATCATTCAGTCATCAAAGTGTCATCGAGTTAGGCATCACTTCACATCAAGAACACGATCTGTATGCGCCTCAAGGGTCTTTAATAAGGGGAAGAGCTGCTAACCTTTAGTTGTTCACTGTCAGCCTCAATAAATACTTCGAGATTATCCAGGATGCGAGCCCAATCTTCTCAAAAGATCGGTTCCTCCAAGGTTACAGAGAATCTTGCAGCTTCGATCTCATCAATACCATGGTTGCTATAACAGCTAAGCTAACCAAAAGCGACGTTTTCCCCGACAGTTCGCAATTAGACTCTCACATCGACATACTGCTGCATTCAGGGTCACTCGAGGTAGACATGATAGGGGATTGCCCGTCGTTAGATGAGTTCCGTAAGGCCTGCCTATTGGCCGTTTACGAGTTCCACCAGTTCCCGGGTCATCAATCCTGGCTCCGAATAGATAGACTTACACGTATGGCCTATCGTGTTGGACTGGATCGTCTGGAGAATATGCGAGCCCTCTATAGCGACTGGGAGGCCGTTGAAGAGCAAGATATGCAAGAATGGCGGGCCGTCTGGTGGTGCATCTATCACCTCGATTCATACTCTAATCTTGCAACGGGCACACCGTTCCTCATCGAGGATGATAACATCAGCACATCCTTAATTCAGTGTCACCCAAACAACACGCCCCCGGATTTGTATTTGCCCCCACGCTCGGGATCTTCATGGGAGATCCTTCCCTCTATTACCTCCAACACTCAAACCAGTCTTAGAAACATCAACATCATTACGGTTGCTGCCACGCGCCAGGTTGGGCTCGCAGCACGAATGCACCTCTTGCGGCGAAAGGAAGAAACAATCACACGCCTTGCACACATCGAACGAAATCTGTTGGCACTCCGACTAGCCCTCCCTTCTGGCTGGCTAAATCCTCGACGCAATGCATTTTCGGACGAGTCTCCTGCCGAACATCATGCGAGGTTGATCACGGTCCTTCATCTCATAATGGCCCAACTGCTAGTCTCGATCCTCAGCTGCAGTTGCAGCTGCAGCGAAAACCAGGATGAAGAATGGCTTGTGAACTGGCAAAGGGTGCTTGAGAGTTGTCAAGATATTGCGACTGCAGCCTCAGCGTGGAACAGCTCCTTGTGTTCCACAGTTGATCCTGCCATTTCCTTGACCATTTTCACGGCACTGGTCTTCCTGGATCTTCACCAAAAATCCTCCCTTATTTCTGCAGCTAGCCTGAAGTCTACTACCCAGCACAAGGATATTTTACGCTTACAGCTTGAACATTTCGCGAGTATATGGACGCTTCCTCGACTTCTCACTTGTATGTAAGCCCAACCAACTCTAACTACTAGGGCTTTCCCTACCTAACGCACTCGCTCTAGTATCATTCAAGGGCTTCAGCGAGTCAGTTTCTGGGCCGCTCTCCAACATGCAAATAGCCTCGATAATGTCACGCTTCGAAGCCCCCTTGCATCCTCGATGGCTCCAGTTCATCTCGTCTACCCAATCAGTCTCAGGCGCTGGTAGATACTAGATGGTATGCGGAATACACGCCTCGATATGCTCCAGTTCTTGTCGTCTCAGCCTTTAGTACCCTTCAGTCATCGTCAGTTGAGAGGAGCTGCACGCTAGTCCCGCCGGATAAGAGGAAATACAATGAATCCGCTTTCTAAGTGAGTTCTGCGCTTCTTGCGATAGGCCAAATGGGTTTAGATTCTAGCCGCTGCGGCATTTCCTGCGGCTGATTGTCTCCGGCCAATAGAATTGTGCCCCAACCAATGTATTATCTGTACATAGCCCTTTCTGACCACCATAATCGTTGCCCACCCTAAATCCTTTCGGAATGACTAAGACCTAAATTCACCCGCTGATTATTATATTCTGTGATCGGTCTTTTTTTCAGCTCCCTACTGTAGGGTGTTATTCAATTCCTAATCGGTGGTACCTCGGTTAAATGCAGGGTACTTAGGCCCCTCCTCCCGAATGCTTAAACCTCCCCTCTTTCTAAACGCTTCTTTGTTTTATTTCCTTCCCCCTCACCGTGTTACTATACTCTTCTTTTCTCATACGTCAAGCACGCAGAGTGCAAACAACATGGCGCGATTTTCGCTTGTACCGACCGAAATCATCGACCAGATCTTGAAATTCGTGCCGAGACCTGACCTTGCGAGCTTATGCCGCGTGAACAAATCTCTTCATCAATCTGCCGAGCTCTTTCTTTATTCCTCCATTGAAATAATATGGGATAAAAAGCACCAGAAACCTTCGATTGCTCCTCTGCTCCGCACTCTTTTCCATAGACCAGAGCTATTGAGCTATGTAGATGAAGTTCATCTACATGGAGCTTACTTCCCTGATGATCTAGAGCGCCCATTACTGGATACCGCTACTGCTGATATCCCGCTCGATGAATTTATTAATATTATTAATAAGACCAAAGTATCTTACGCCGATCTCTGGGTCGAGCGCCTACGGTCGGGCCACATGGATGCATTTGCTGGTCTTCTAATTGCCAACCTTGCTAAGATTAGCTATCTTGATATCACCCATAATTTCATCAATGGCAATGATATTCTTAGCGAGGTCCTTCTATCTAAGGTTTTTGGCCAGCTTCCTACCTTTGACCATCTCAAAAAGATGGTTTATGCCAAGAGGTTAGATTACAAAGTTTGGGAGAGAAATGAGATTTCCCTATCTACAATGTCTCTCTTCTATCTACCAGCAGTCACAGATATGACAGTCAGAATGTCAAATCCCGACGTCTTCGAGTGGCTAGTAGATGTGCCTACTCTTAACTACTTAACTTCACTTGATATTGGGTGGTTTGTTGAGCCCTATATGGCCCAATTACTCCCCTGTGTACCAAACCTAAAATCACTTTACTGGTCGTGGATTTATCATCAGTCTCCCAACGAAGATATGGAAGAGACAATTCTTGACTTTAATAAGATTGTTGAAATCTTATCAAATATCAAAGAGTCGCTAGAGACTTTTGTCTTTTCTATGGAAATCGGGGGAGATGATTATGAGAGAAAAGTTGACGACATGGAATTTTTAGGATCTTTCAGAGGTCTACGCGAATTTAAACAGCTCAAATACCTCTCTATACCATTGGTATGCCTCGCAGGCTTTGGTAGCGAGCCTATCCCTCTGGAGCAATCTACTCCTGCTGGTTTAGAGGTTATTCATCTCCGATGGGAAGACCTATCCGGTTTTGGAGTTGAAGTTGGGTGGCGCAATGGCAATCTATTTGACCATGTTCGTCCGATGATTCAGCCTTTGGTAGAGAATTCTCCAAACCTCCACCTTCTTACTGCGGTCAGGCGTAAAATGGAGGTCAGGACGAAATTGTGTGCTCCTGATTGTCATCCCTAGTTTATGCTATGTTGACATCATGAACAATAGTTAGGTTATATAGCAGATAAAGGAACCAATAGAATAATTCTGTTGTCCGTCTAGTAATAACCTAACCGGCCAGCCATTCTCTCACATGGATAGAATCCCTATTTCATATTCTAGTGAGAAAAGCCCGGCCCCGGGATGTGCATTGCTCGTTAATATCGTCATTTTATGTTTTCAAACTAATCGCTCGGCTGCTGTCTCCAATAGTTTAATTAAGTATTACCTAGTTACTTCATATTAAACTAGTCAAGATATATCGAAATAGTAATGGAGACATATGCATATATTTTCTATTGTTTGTAGGCGCACTTTTTCAAATATTAAGTAATTGCAGATTACCCGGAAATAATCTGTGTTTTTTTCCCCAATTTATAGTAAGATGGACAATATGTTAAGAATGAGTGAAAAATAAATCCTTGTCTCTTGAAAAGGGAATCGTAATAAGAATATTTATATAAGAAATGAAGTCTAAGTCTTAACCTGATATAGCCACGTCCATGTTTTAGCTACTCTCCTCCTGCTGTGCTTTTAATTGAGCTTCGCGGTTTGCCTTCGCCCTCTCACGGGCCTCATCCTTCTCCTTCTTTTTCTTCTCGTCCAACTCTTTCCGCATCCGCTGCTTGTGATCATCCATATACGCTTTGTTGTCTATCTTTTCCTGGTCGGCCTTTGCCTGGGCTGGCGAATCTTCCCTGTATGGGCCCAGTGCGTGTGTAGTGAATTGAGAGCCGTCCAAGTCGTAAGGCTGGCCCTCGGTATCCTCGTGGACGACCTTCGACCCAGTCAGTGTCGGAATAGACGCACACCCTCCCATCCCCATTCTGTTGGACTTTCCGTTCATGGCCTTGTTTCGGTTAGCTATGTCTTAGAATCATGTGGAAGAATTACTTGCACCGTCGCAAGGAGGCTGGATTTCAAGGTCCTCTTTCCTCGCTGGTTCTCTCTGCCCACCGTTTGCTGCTATCTTCGCCTGTTCTGCCTCCTTGGGGCCCGGTCTGTGGGTGGCAACCATGTCCGTCTTCTCGTCTGGGATATTTCCATCGTGAAGTTGGCCCATAATGTGGACGCCCGTATATTCGCCGCATGAGGCTTTATTGATGTGCGTTGGGTTCGCCCTGTCTTCTGCCCTCCACTGCTTCTTGCAGTCATCTTCCAGTTTTCTTCCTGATGCATTCTTCGCATCTAGAGAGAGATCACGGCCTCCCTTTTTGCTGCTTGAAACAATAATTTCGGGGTGGTTCTGATAGACGTGCATGGTGTGAGGCATGCCTCTTTGGTCTCCAGATTTCGCATGCTGATCCTGCATCTCTAGCCATTTGTCCTTACCCAATTCAGAAAGTTGGCCATGGTCAGGTGGTTCAGAACCCGCTGGCCATGATAACTTGGTTGTAGACCAGGACATCGTTATCTCCAGTTCCAAGACTTGCGTCCGCCTCAATGGCTGGGCCACAGCCACGTTTTCCTAGCCTTCGCGATCCAATCGGGCAGCTCAGTCCGTCTGAGGCTGGCTCCTTCTTACTTTGACCAGCGGCTTTCTTGCTGTCGAGAGGTTTCTTATTGCCAGCAGCCTTGGTGCTATCAGTAGCCTTGTTGCTGGCTGTCTTCTTTCCAGGCTTGTCCTTGGGGGTATTCTTGGCTCCGGCCTTTCCAGCACTCTCCTTTCCACTCTTTCCAGCTTTGGATGGAGTCTTCTTGCCAGTCTTGCCAGGTGTCTTCTTCACATCCTTAGAGCCAACTTTCTTGGAGCCGGCCTTAGCAGGAGTCTTCTTCCCAGCCTTGAAACCAGCCTTGCCAGGAGTCTTCTTTACGCCCTTAGTAGGGTAACGTTTCTTACCAGTCAAGCAGGGCTACTACAAGCTGTGTCTATTAAACCCAGATACAGCAAACCTGGTCTATAACGATCAGGGGTATTATGATATTTTGGTTGTAGGGCTGGCTTTACTAACAGAATATTACAAACCCCGAAATTAGCAATATTATAGGAATCCTAAGATTTTCTTTAGTAAGCCTATATATTACCCTATATTTACAGCAGCTATTATAATATGTATATATAAGCCCCTACTTATTCTTGATTAAAGTGGAGAGAGGCTCCTGGAAAGATCCAATCAGCCTGATTGGGAAGTTTAGCTGTAGTGAAATTTCGGTAATGATATTAAAGGTGTATTTTCCAATATCGTTATAGCCCAGGTTTGCTGTAATGGAAACATAGGGACCTCCTTCTGTGACTAACCTTTTTCTTCAGGTTATTCTTCTACACCACTTCCACTTCTCTCCCAACTCGTCTTTTCCCCCTCATAGCTTACAAACAGCTTCTAACATACCGCACGTTCACTGCGTCACCCACCTCCTCTGACCGCATCATCATCCTCGCAACCAGCGCGAAGCTTTTGTACAAACACCTCCAACTAGGGAGAATGGCGCACCAAGCCCACAACATTCCTTGGAACGTCCTGGCATCCAACTTTAAATTTCAGCACGCCAAGCAGAGTCGTCCGGCGACAAATCTCTGCCCACACAATCGGCCCACCCAAAATCAGGAGATCCGTCACTTCATGCGCGCTTTCACCAAGAACATTCACGCGCATGCGGACGTAGAGATGAAATAATACAAGAAAATGAGGGAATGAATAGCAACCAATCCGTGGACCGTGCCGACATAATTATCACCAACGAAGTGATGGACAATTTCAGGCCATTTCTCAAGCACACTATTAAAGGCGGGCCATATAATTATGACGGGTCTCCCTACACTACCAGCAGTTCCAGAAGACCTGAAGAGTTACCCCTCCTTGACTATAGAGAACTGGGCGCCTTTCTTCCAAACAGATGGGATGATGAAGATGACGCTTACTTCGCCAATCAACTTTTCAAGCTTCTGATTTTGCAAAACGAGATGGATCCAATCATCAAAATTTGCAAACATCCTGAAGCAGACCTGTTTGAGATGTGGGAATGTCAACGTGGTCAATACATCAACAGCCTCGAGTTCGAGGCTGGTTGGCACTGGGTCCCGCTGCTCGCTCTTCAAGCGTACATCATCCTCAACCTTCTGGTTTGTTACCCAGAGCTGTGGGACCCGAAGACTGGGAAAGGAAAGCGTTCGGATTACCGAAATACGGGTTGCTACCAGAATACACTCCAGACTTGCACGAACTACGAGGCTCAAACACATATTGCTGGGCTTCCGCATCGACGCTTTTTTGGAATACCAGACTATTATGAACCCGAACGGGGGTGGTATCGTTCACATCAAGAATGTCCGGAGGAAACACACAAATTCCGGGTACGCTAGGGCGGCACAGGCGAATTGGAAGACAGAAGTCGGTGCTTTCGAGGCAGCCAACCCTGCGGTAAGATATACATTCGAGATTTCTGGACGCGCAAGGCGTGAGGACTTACCACCCCACCGAGTCTGACGTCTTGCACGTTCGTTGGTGTCTTACAGATTACTTGGAGCTGCGTACGGAATTGGCCGATTATATCATGGAAATTGCTGAGTACCAGGTACCTTTCGGCCATCGACTAAAAATTCCTCATGATCCTCTACATCCGAGGAATAGAGAAGAACTGAAAAAGTATCTTAGATACTGCTGGGGCATCGTCATTCGATGCGAAGTGATTGCCAGACTACAGAATCAGGTAATTCCCTGGCAGCACATGATCTACGAGGTTCTTCGCTGCAGTCTAAACTCAAAGGGTTCTTTCAGGGACGCGTCTCGTTGGAAATATATTCGAAATGAAATCGGCCATTACTTCGAGGGAAGCGAGGATAAGTGGGCTAAAACCCTGTTTAAAGATGAGTAGATATAAATCTCGACTTTATTCTGATAGCTTCTAATATCGAGGCCTACATGAAGAACCCAAACGATGTACAAATACTACATACCTATTTTATTAAACACCTGCATTATTACAATATATTTTCAAAGGGATCTTTCAACTGCTTTCCCAATAGATACTCTGGTCCGAGGATTCGATTTCCTGGTCAAGGGGTTGATAAATAAGCAAGCTGGACTCGTCACTACAGCTGTAAGTGTGCTGAGTCACAGCTACTTCCCTTCCAGAGTATTTCATCGGAGACATAGTAATTGAACAGATATAATCTTATCCTTATTATATAAACCTTGCCGATAACGCATTATCGCGAATACAGCTATACTATAGATTATATACAGATACTTTAGCAATAGATTCTTCTATTTTATTAATACTTTAGAATATACCATTAGATATATTTATAAATTAGTTTAAATTATTTCTAAAGATAAAAATAATATAGAAAATATCTTTATATAAATAGTAATAATAGAATTTATTATAGTTATAAGTTTTATTTTTTTAATATATTTATTACTATTTAAATATTTTTATTTATTATTTTATCTAACTATATTCTTATAAAGCTAGTTAGAATATATTTTTAAAAAACTTTATTTCTACTATTATATATTTAGTAATATATAAAACTAATTATTAGACTAAGTATATATAAATACTATTTCTTATAAAGTAAAAAATAGTATTTTAATTTATAACTATTTAAATCTAGTATATCTTCTCTTTTAATAAAGTATAGTATATTATAGCTAGTAGAATATTAAAAATATAGTAAATGGAGGAACTAAAGCGAATAGTACTTATACTCTAAAGTTTTATATCCTATTGAATTTAATAATTATTAACAGTCACTGTGTTTATCTTTAGACAAAATATGTCTTTCGACCTATGCATCCGGAATCAAGTATTTAAGTAGGATGGCCTTAATAATGTTGTGTGGAGGATCAATGCAGAAGATAACGAACGCCTTTAATACCGCGATGCAAATACCACGCTAGCAAGCTACATACTTAGCACTTACATTGGTGTCATTTGAAATCAGATTACAAATAGAGCTTCAAATAAGAAACGATGGCCCGCGATTTCACGAGATCATTGTCAAGAGAATAGAACAATATATTGAGACTTTGTGGGCAACTGTAGTGTCTGCAGTACATGAGAACGAGTCGCTCACTCTAATTTATTGCTGAGTTTTGAATCCCCTTGCTTTTCTCGAAAAGGTGCGAGTTACCCCACTACAACCCAGAGAAGAACTGCTCTACATCTGCAAGCCACAGATCGGGTTCAGTCTTAGCAGGGAAGTGACCGCCTCTCTCGTGTCGGTTGTAGGAAACTAAGTTCGCTGCTCTCTCGATAACATGCCTCGGCTATTTTTTTTTTTTTCAGATTAGTGACTAGAACCTGCCTTAAACCAAGAATTCAGTTCGCTTACCGCAAAGTTAATATCCTTGATCTCTGGGAAAGGACCGTGTGCAAACCCCCAGGCAGAGTATCCGGTAGGCACCTCAGTCCTTGGGAAGTTGCGCATCTAAAATATGTCAGTACCTCTCACTGGTGAATCAAGGAGAACTCTGGTCATTTACGGTGTAGATGGTGCGGTACGAGCGGATATTGGCAAACGGTCCCGGGAACCAAAGCATCAATGCGTCCGTGATGATGTCCTGGAAATCATCGGCGTATCCATCATTGGCGGTGCGCGTGAGATCCCACATCCAACCAGCAAAACCCACCGGGCTATCGGCCATTGTGAGTGCTGCGGCGAGAGGCTTCTGTACGTGCAAGGTCGAGTATGCTGAATGAGAGTTCGCCCACGCAACCGAGCTGTTGATCCAGGCATTCTCTTCAGGCGTTGTCTCATTCTTAGCTTGTCGGTCGAGGTCATCTTGAGTTACTTCGGGCCAGTAGAAATCAGTGAAGTGACCAATGATGTTACTGCTGTCATTGACCATCCACATGCCAACGATCCATCCCAGATCTGTAGACACAAGGCCATACTTGTCGTATCCGAGCTGCAGCATAAGAGAATCAAATGCCCCTCCCATTTCCCGTGGCCCCATACCAGACTTTGTGGGAGCAGGGCTGAATCCGAATCCTGGAAGATCAACAGCCACCACGTCATAGCCCTTTTGCGTCAAAGGCCCAATAACCTTGGCCCATTCCAGATGTGAAGAAGGCCAACCATGTACCAGGAGAAGAGGGGTGGAATTGCTGGCATCAGATCGGTGATGAACGAAATGAAGCGGGATGGGCTCGTGATAGTCTCTATTGCCAGGGACTGTCACGGCGTAATGGGTGAAGTTGTCGTTGATTTCCTTTTGGGTGGCTCTCCAGTCATAGTGATCCGCCCAGAAGCTGGAAAGGCCCGAGATAATGCTCTCAGATGGCCCTTCATCGGACCAGCCTTCGTCAAATCCCTTTGATGGTCGGTAGCTACGTACTTTTTGGATCATTTGGTTGATGAGATTGTCATCGAATTTAACTTCGATGGGCTCGGGAGTAACACTAGACGGAAACTCATAGACCGGGTTTTTGATATCTCGAGGCATACTCAATGCCAGAGCGCTTGAGGCAAAAAGCGCGGAAGACAGGTTGAGAATCATCGCGATGCTTGATGAAATTTAGATGAAACGAAGATCTAGAATTTGTTGTTTTATGTTATGGACCAACATTCTAAGACTTGTGTTGTTCACATCTTTATATATTTCCCATCTTTTTTTCACTTGTATTGTAGTATTTGCATGACCCATAGTCAGAATTACCCCTTTGTCAGCCAGTGTCGTTGATTGCTCCGATTTTGCCGACGATGGCCGGACCTTAACTGTCACAGCATTTATCAGCAATGCATTTCTAAGCACTGTGAATACTGTGATACTGCAATGCGAAATTAATGACCCGCTATATACTCAATCATAATTGATCTTTACATGATTTGAAATCAATGATGACTATCAAGCTATAACTGGGAGGGGCGAGGTAAAACTTTTCAACCTATACATGAAGGTATACAAGTTAGACACACACACTGGAACTCTATTGGCTTTGTGGTATAAGCCCAAGCTCCTGTGGTAATCCTATCCTCATATACGCGGTGTAGTGTATCTTCGAACGGTCATCCGGAATAAGTGATGGCATGCACGCCGAAGGGCGTGCTCCAATTATGCAATATGCATTATCACGCTTTAACCTTCTTTCATTAGCAAAGTTGCACGTTTTCAATGTATCTTGCTGGCATGGAGTTCTTGATTATGGCTCTCTCCATGTCCGAATATCGTGGCTACTTCTTGTATTCTTACGCGGAGTTTTCTGGGAGGGAGGCGCTTTCATGGATGTAACGAAATGAAATGACAAGACATGAACCACACACCCTCAGTTGTCTTTTTGCCAGCTCATGATGCCAATGCTAGTCTCGCCACTGATATAAACCACTCCCACCATGCAAATTCCAAAATGTAAAAATATATTTGTAATATTCTTAATCCTAGTAGAAGTCGCCGGCCTGGTCTTGATCAGCAGCAGCCCGTTAAATGACCCGGTAAGAGCTATACCCGAAATAACAAATTGTAAGCAAATTTTCTTCTAGACAGATTAAGTACTACTGCTCGGTCCTGCTGATTCTGCAACTGTAGGCAAATGATCCGTTCCTATTTTACATGAAATAGTTCGATTATCATAGGTTCTCCTCATAGGTTCTCCTTATCATATTACGTTTCATGCTAACTACGCTCGACCTCTAAAGGAAAACAAAGGCTTGTTCATTACTTCTATATATTTCTAAGAAGATCACATGGTAATTAGGAAACCATCATCATGAACGCTTCTTTATTTCGTAGTTTACAATTATTATTCAACATAGTCAAGATGCTGACCACTGAAGAAGTGGAGTCTCGCTTTCGTGAGACACCTTATGATCGAGTCTGACCGCAGATGCGGGGTAATAGGTTAAAATTTCCTTCTTGTCCATGGTATGACAAAGGGCCAAGTTAGAAGAGCGCTCAATATACATGATTAATGACACCGCTTCGCAGTGCCAATAACTTTAGGAAATCAGGCTATACATATACTTGATGTCTGGCCACGAGAGCAACCCGCTAACAATCAGCGGCGACAACTGCGGCAAATGCCGCCGAGCCATCGTGGAGGCTTACTCTCTTGCCACGGACCAACCGCCAGGCTATGGGGACTGGGTCAATGTCTTTGCTAGTTTTGAACAACTAGAAGCCTCAGCCCGGAAATGTAACCTTTGTCGCATCATTCGCCAGGAGATTGTCTATAACCTAGCGAACCTGAAGGATCTCGACAACTGCCCTCAACCAGTGGAGGTGTGCTGGCAACTATCAGATACCGAGTCCTCACTTAGTACTCTTAAATTTCAAGTCGGGCTGCCCCACGGGGAGGTATGCCAGGCAAACCTAGTGACGCCCCATCAATTTGAGGCTCTAGGACACATTATTCGTAGGTGTTTACTCGTGTGGCTGGGAGTTTTCGTTGCTTACGGTGACTACCTTGGGTAAATTTGAGGTCTTAGATGCTGACGCTGTTCTTCTCATAAGCAAGTTTCAAGGAAGATTCAGAATTCAATGCTATTACCACTACAATTCGCTGGTGGCTGCAGAATTGCAACAAAAACCATGTTTCCTGTCAACGTTCTAATGCTACGGACGACGAGAGCGGAACTTTCTTGCCTTCGCATGTGATCGACGTGAATCCGACGAGCGGCCAGCATCGAGATGTCGAAAATAATCCGCGGCGGCCATATATTCGACTAATGCAGGGAAAAGGCCGTCGAGACCAATACGTGACGTTGAGCTATTGCTGGGGCACCTCTGGCAAGAATTACAAAACCACAAGCTCCAATTTAGCCCAGCACCTCCTGGAGATTCCCTGGGATAAACTCCCGCAAACAATACAGGACGCCATCACAGTCACCCGCAAACTTGGCATTCAGTACCTCTGGGTCGACGCTCTGTGCATTATCCAAGCGAGACATAACGACGACAGCACATCAGATTGGCCGGTCGAAGCGACCAAGATGGGCCAGTACTACGAGAATGCTACATGCACGCTGGCAGCTAGCAGCTCACACGATTGTGCTGATGGAATGCTTCTTGACCGCCCCGCACTTCGGTTTGGTCCTGCGGAAGATGTCATCATTGATTTCGATGATGTATACCTTGGCAAGATGACGCGGATGCATCTCGTAGGGATGCGTGGTCCACCAGTCGAAGCCGCCATGGAGGAGTCACATCTGCTCTCTAGGGGCTGGTGCGTCCAAGAACGTGCCCTGTCTCCTCGGATATTGTACTTCGCCCGGGATGCACTGTTCTGGGAGTGCAATGAGCTTCGCGCTGGTGAGCATAGTCCCAGTAAGAATTTGAAATTCATCCCGAGGCCCAAGACGCACGGCATGCTGTACAGCCAGTCATGGCGCAATGTCATCGGCGAATGGGACCTGCTCGGCGCGGGGCTCAGGAAGCTTGTCCGAGATAACGAGAACTCTACTGAAGGGCTGTCAGTCTCAGATGTTGAGCTGATACTAGGTCCCTCATGGATGGGTTTGATTGAGAGATACAGTTCTTGCAAGTTCACGAACTACTCAGATAGACTGGTGGCCCTCTCGTCCCTCACGGGGAAGCTAAGCAGGATGACAGGAGCGATCAACATAGCTGGGCACTGGCGGGAGACGCTTGGCCGTAGCCTTTCCTGGACGGTCATTTCTCCTACCAGTACGAGAGAAATGTGCGGTGATCGTAGTTCTCCGTCATGGGCGTGGGCATCAACTGACTTAGGTGTCACATTTGAGGGCCTCGATGGGGTGTGGCATGAAAGCATGGTGGTGGAAGATATCTGGGAAGAGTCTACGAGTGCCACGAACAGGCACTCTAGACACATACTGAAAATGAGCGGCATATTCTGTGAAATGTCTCTAGCTCAGTGGGGCCTAAGAGAGCCTCGTAAAGGCAACGCAGTGTATAGAACTTCATCCTATGTCGAGTCTGTAGCATGGGATCACATGCCGTCCACCTACGATGAAACGAGACTCCTGGCATGTATTTTTATTGGGTTTGTGCGCGAGAGCGATTTTGTGTCAGATACTGTTGGGCTTGTCATCGAGCGGACGGGAAAATTCAGTGGCGGCCAAGTTGAGGAATTCGAACGTGTTGGCTTGCTGAGGTTTGAGAATCTTTCTAGTGAGAGATTACTAGGGAAAGTATGGAGAACCATAGATATTGCTTGATCAGCAAAAAAATCAGCAAGCTATGTACTTTCACTTATACCAACAATATATAGAATTATAGTCCAGGTTGAATGGATTTTGCATGCCCTATTAGGCAGACTTTGAGCGGAGTGAGGATTATTTTTAGTACACAATTCTCCAAGGATACACATTGGTATTTTACTGTTGCTTGTTGAAATCGCTTGTAGGAATGAGTGAGCGGGATCCAGCGGCTTACAAGAGTAGAGGCCCTCTTAGGATTTGGAATCCGAATGCACCGAATAGTAAGTCGAGGAAGTGTCAATATTATTTCTTTATTGAATCCGGCATCCTGTCGGTCTCTGATCCCTTGACACTCCGAATTTTTGGTCGTGTGAAGGCGAACATGCTGCCAGGCTATGTGATGAAGTTGATAGATCACATGACAGGATGAGGGATTGTCAATAAGCAACTCCTCCCTGCCCCGTCCTTTTCAGGGCGGTTGCCTGGGGCGGTGAGTTTACGAGCCCCTGAAAGAGGTGGAGAGGGCATGGGTAACGATCAAGCAAGGCATGGGACGAACTTCAATCTGTGATGCGCTAAAAATGGTGCTGGTAATGATGACTCCCTCCTTCTTGCGCGCTTCCTCACCCAGTCACATTGCAATAAGAAGAGAGAAAACGTTTATTGCCCCTGCTCGGGCAGCGCCCATTCTTTTTTGAGCGTGCGAAGCCGAAGTACCCGGGTATTTCAAATTGATGGCGCACAACTCCCAGAAGGGCTCGAATCCGCCCGTCTTACCCTGGCGCTTACCATGGAATGCTTTCGGTTCTCGTAGTTCTGACATGCATTTCAGTGATTGGTTTCGGTCCACAAATGTGGGCATGCAACATACGCACGGCTGATTAAACCCGAACCACAGAGTTGGACCAACACACATCTCACCCCATGCCAGCTGAAACTGAGGACGCTTATGGAGAATACTGGTTCCTCAAGTAGCCCTTTACATGCATAGATGTTGTTACTTGTTATCCTCCTTGTCAACATTTCTCCAAAATGAGCGACCGCAGCATGTATCTCGCCAAATACCGCAACACTACCACTCAGGGAGCTCATTTTGCTATCTTCATTCCTAATGCAGAGTATGATCGTGCTGGACTTAGCCAGGACTATCGATCATCTCCGTGTAAGGGAACTAAAATTCACGTTGTTGGTGAGCCAATGTTGGCTGGCTTCCAGCTTGAGATCAAGCACGATTACGAATGCAACACCGTTCAGGATCTGAAGGAACTGGTACATATTGGCTACGTGAACCCCGTCGATGTCCACACTCCATCTTCTTCCAAGTTGCGTCAGGGAGATAATCCTCACGGGAGACTTGAGAGGGAGGCGCTCAAGGTCCCACCACCCCCTAGTGGACAAAATATTCGAGCACCAATTGATGGGGCAAGTGTTCCCTAGTCTCAAGTTAACACAGTATCATCACTAACAATTATCCAAGGTCAATACTAGAAGGTGTCAGGAATGGACCATGGAGTATCTGTCTCATCTCGTGGCGAAGGGGCTGGTACATTCCAGCACTCTTTCCATTGTGCAGGAAGAGCGGGATGCACCAGATTTCGGCATTTTCGGTCAAAGATTCGGTAGTTGAATAGCCCACGGAACCATTGTTTTTCTACTTTTGCCATTGGAACGAGGTTTGGCGATGACTGAGAGTATATCGTAGGGACTATGCTTATCAACCATTGCTCTGATGGAATATCCTGTTATTCATTTGTTTTTTTGTTCAGAGAATGTGCAGCTGTAAATATCCTCTCAATAGAAACTTCTTTATTAGGATAAAACACACTGGCATAGTACTGTGTGTTGAATCTTTCTTCATCTACGCTGTCTTGAGTGGGAGATTGTGCATGAAAGATGGTATAGGGTAGGTATATCTCCCTGTTAGCACGACTGGTGGTATTTGAGAGCACTAGGACTTCGCTTCAATAGGTACTTATAATCTCATGAAACCATAATACTGGACTTAATTTTAGATCAGGGGGGAGAATCAGGCTGGGAGTTCTCTAACTTAATTTTAGACAGTGCACATCACCAAAAAGTTAACGCCACCTGTCGGCATCAAAACATACAAGGAGGGACCCCTGATACGAGAATCGCGAGAGCAATCGTATTTTTCGTGTCGATAATTTCTTGCCCAATCATCTCTTGAAAATAGACCCACTCTCGTGAAACTCGTTTTGATTCTCCTTATACGAGCACAAACCCGACTGAATATCATGATCTGAAGAACATCACACTAACCATGGAGCACCGTTACAGCGCGGGAATGATACTTCCGTGTGGCCGATGTCATACCGCAGAAATGTTGAGTAATTAGATCACTCTCATTCGCTCTTTTAGCAGCCTCGTGTTTACTAAAGAGGAATCGTTTCCCGAATCGTGAACTTCTGTTGATGATCCCTTACATCGTGTCGTAGCACATAACTTGCCAAGCGAGTTGGAGGCTGTCATTGGCTCTTTAATCGTAACACAGAAGGTTTCACCGTGCACCCTTGGAGGTACGTTTATGCTTCCAAATTACCATTTGCCATGCAGGATGCCAATAAGGGCATTTGATCTGCTCAATTGCTTTCTACGTGGCTTTCGATAGGTCGCCGACGGGCCTTGAGGGAGCAAAGCATGATCATCGCAGATGAAACCTTCTAATTTCTAAACTGGGTGGGTGACGTGCAGCCGAGTTACTTACCAAATTCAATAGAGCGCTGGCGACGACTATCTACATAAATGGCTCTTTCCCAACACGCTCGGAATACAACGAGACTATTCCCTTTGCTTAGCATCATTTCAATTCTACTTTTGATATTGGTTCTTTCAAACAAACTCCTAGCAACCATGAAGCTTTCAACATGCTTGATTACTCTTATTACAGCTTGGGGCACGGCTGCCCAACACCCTCATCTAGAGGAGGGAAAGTGGAAAGCCCCGGGAGCAAATGATTGTGCGTAAACAGAAGGACTAGGTTTAGGTTTTGACTAATCGAGCGTAGTTCGCGGGTTAGATATCACCTTTTCACCAACATCACCCGACAGTCTCCCATCTGGAAGCTAATGTCATGCAGACCCTGTCCTATGATGAACACTCTGGCCAACCATGGATATATTCCCCGCGATGGAAGAAACATTACGAAACCCAATATTATTGCAGGCCTAGCAATGGGGCTTAACTTCAAGGAGCCTCTCGCAAGTCTAATGTTCGACATGGCTATCATTGCTAATCCCGAGCCGAACGCAACATACTTTACACTGTAGGGTTGTATGGATAAAATCTTTACCTATGTCTCGCGAATCTGAAATTCCCTAGTGACCATCTCAACCAACACAACGTCCTTGAGCACGATGCGAGCCTCAGGTTAGTGATTACGGCAAGTGTTCTCTTGCCTCCACGCAACTTGCTGATGTTTGCTAGCCGCACTGATGCCTATTTTGGAAGCAACCATGTTTTCAACTGGACCATCTACGAAAAGTCAAAGGCCTACTGGACTGAACCTATCATTACTGCTCAGATGCTGGCCAACAGCAAACTCGCCCGCCAAGTTGAATCTCGAGCGTTTAACCCGACGTACAGATTCACTGCCGATACGGAAAACTTCAGTCTGGGAGAAATCGCTGCACCTATCATTGCATTTGGGGACATGGCCCTTGGAGAAGTCAACCGTACCCTCGTAGATTATTTTTTCGGTATGTTTCTGTCTACACTTTCCTACATCGACAATTCACTAATGTCTCATTAGTCAATGAACGGCTACCCGCCGAATTAGGATGGCATAAGAAGGAAGTGGCTATTGGCGTTGAGGATATCTTAAAAGTATCTGACATGATTAAGGCCGCGACTAGTCTTATCACTGGCCCTGATCATTCTAACTCTTGGAACAAACGAGACTTGCACGTCGGTATACACACCTAAGGAAGACTTTTTGCTATCTCGGGGCCGTCGCTTCTCTTCAAGTAAGAGGTCGAATAAATCTGTCTTCAGTCACCAATGATAATAGGAATTCATTCGATTCATGGATAACTTCGGGAATTTTTTTTCTTTTTCCTCAAGAAGAAAGTGCCGACATGATACGTTACTAAATTGCGAGATAAGTCAGAAAGAGAGAGACGTCTTGGTAGTTATCCTAAGTTATGTTATCAATGTACGTTCCTTCTACTAGGTTATCTTGCTCTAGGGCTGTTGTTCAATAAGATTACCACCTTGCTTAACACCGAACTAACCTCATTCAAGCATTGGTGATAAGATATTCTCACGTATATTTCAATTCTAGGTGCACTGATATACCATGATGCTGCCTGAACATTTATTTTTACTTGATCGGGCGTATTCATCAACTCTACTGTAAAGATATGATACTACCAACAGACAAAAATGCTCTGTAGAAAAGGTAGATGCCCTTGTATGAGATTAATAAATTCTTCTGGGCACGGGAAATTGAGGAAGTACGTCTCACGTAAAGTCTATTGAATGTCTGCACCCGAATATATAGATGATACGTGTAGCTGTCTATGGTCAACATACAAGCCCTTAAGTTACTGCTGAACTACTTTCTTCACAATCTCAGCAACCTGCTCCTCGGTCAGACCCTTGATGCCAAGCAAATCATTATCAGTCTTCTCAAAGTTCCCGCCATAGGCCGGGTCGACAATAGCGCGGAAAAGATAGGGAATAAACGTTTCGGCGTCGAAAAGACCTTGAGCAAGGCGAGCATCAGCCTGCGCAGTAAGATCATCGACCTTCAATTGAATGGGCTCCCAGGTTTTATTAGGAGTGGCTTCGCGCGCAATCTTCAGAAGCTGATTTTGCGTAATCTTAGCGTCATCGACGTATACGGCGCGATTTTTGGTCTCCTCGGGATGGGAGAGGATGCCGACGACGGCATCGCCGATAGTGGCAAGCGTAGTAGCGGAGAAAACACGGTCACCGCCATCTAGAATCTTCGGCTTGCCATCCTCGTGCGAGAGAAGGAAACCATGATCGAGACCCCAGTCAAGGAAGGCAGAGTTGTAGACCAGAGAGTACGTGATAGAGTCAGCCTTGGCCTTCTCGATAAGATACTCCTGGATTTCAATCTTCTTCGCAAAAACAGGCAACTTTCGAGTTTTAGGATTATCCAGGTTTGAACCGAAATCGGAAGGAATAAATCGCTTTACGCCAGCTGCGATAGCAGCATCAATAAGAGCTCTTTGCCCAGGGATCTGCAGGGTCCCAACTGCGGAGATAAAGGCGTCTTGACCCTTCAAGGCCGCAGTAAGATCGTCGACAGACGTAAGATCGATATCAACAACGGTAACGTTATCGGGGAATGCCGAAGAAGAACCGATGCGGCGGAAAACAGTGACATTGAACTTGTTGGAGGCGTTGAGGCGATCAAGAATGATCTTGCCGAGGTTGCCGGAGGCACCAGTAATAGCGGCGTTTTTGATGGCAGACATTTTTGTATGTGATACTGACGAAGTGTAGATATATTTTTGGTGCGCGGTTGAAAGTATTAAATCGAGATATGAAGATGAGTTTGATGATGTTGGTGTGACCAAGAAACCTCGGGGGAGATAGCAGCTTAAATATCTAACACACAGGATCCGTAACCTGCTTCTCTTTCTGTCGACTTAAAACTCACCTTCCAGCTGCTGAGTGATTATTGAGCTAGCATTAAGAAAGTCTCCGGTGTTGGTCCGTCTCATCATTGCAGGCAAGATGGCGAGATTCATAATTCCGTTTGTCATCTAAGTGGGTGATGATGCGGGAGAGGTACTTATCCTTGGCGTAGATTCTAGTGTGAGAGTAAGTACCTCTTTGCCTTGCCTTTTGCGTGCATCATCCCACCCATCCCTCCGACCAAAGCCGACATCCAGCTCCCACCCCCACTCCGAGTTTGGATTACCACCCACATAAGCAGAGGGAAATGAGGATATTGAGTAATGGAGGGCACCTGCACATCGTTAAGGACAAGTTTCCTACAATGCCATCCAAGGAGACCGTGTCAAAATCTCGTTCTCTCTAATTCCGCATGAGAGATGATACACATGGTATAATTATGATCATCCATGTGCCTTTACCTACTTCATAAGGAAGTAATGCCGCACCAAGGTTAGCCGGCTAAGCTACAGAATCAACCTCCGCTTGCCTCATTTTGAGATTCTTTCCCTTCTCTTACACCTTGCCTGCGAGACGGAACAAAGTATGGAGCGCGGGTGAATGAGTGGATCTATCATTCAACTTTTGTTTATTCCTGCTCCTACTATTCCTCCCAAGTATGGATGCCGACCGTACGCGACATACCTGCCACTGTGGCAAGAGTTTCTTTCGCAGGGAGCACCTACGAAGACACCAGGCCACGCACGGCGAGCGTCAGCATGTCTGCTCGATCTGCCAACGCCCCTTTACTCGAAGGTAAGTCACTTATCCTACCCCTTTAAAATTTTATATTCTGCATAATGAAGCGTCTCATGCAAAATTCCCAGCGACTTGTTAAAACGCCATCTGGCCACGCACACTGCTTCGGAGCAGGGCCCATTGAGGACGGTGCAGGCTTGTGATGCCTGCTACGAAAACAAGACGAAATGTGATGGCGGGGAACGATGTTCTCTTTGCACTAAACGTGGCATCACATGTATCATTTCGCGCGGCAGACCCTCAAACCAGAAGGCGGGACCTATAGAAGAGGAGGACGCCATTACTTCAGAGGATGCAGGCGATATTTACGAGGTGAATAATGTTCAAGAGTGTCACGACACATCCGCGAAACAGAGGTCTTTTCTTGACGAAGAAACGTCTCACCTCACCAGCGATAGCCTAGCACGGGCTGGAATGAGCCAAATTCTCGATCTTTTACGAGCAGCCTCTGCAGGCAAAGACAGCCCCACGCTATCTGTCTCTGACCCTGTCAAGCAGTGGGTTTCATCGTGTGCTGAGACCTACTTTGGATCATTTCACGATCGATGGCCTCTTATCCACGCTCCTCTATTTGATGAAACAGAAGACAACCTGTTCATCGTTTCTGCCGTTGTCATGATCGGTTATATCCTGCGCGATGAAGATTCGAGCGTTCGCGATTTAGCCCTCGAGGTTCACAGTCACTTACATGGCTACTGCCTAAAATCTCTTGTAGCCAGCCTCAATGAGCTCATCACCCTCTTTAATGGATCGATAATCTAACACTCTATAGACTGCACCGCAAGACGAGGATCTAGAATGCTCCGTTTGGCCTTATGAGACTTATCAGCTCGCGCTCCTCAATGTCATCGCAGCATTAGAATTTGGGGTAGGGTTTCTTGGCCACATACCCCTTTTCACAAACCTTACCTGTACACTAATATGGTCAATCTAGAAGCCAAGCGTTATTCGGAATGCAAACAGACTTCTAAGCTTCATCATTATATCTATGCGAGAGAAAGGCATATTTAGCGCTGAATCTGTGGAACATCACCAATCTAAGCATTTCCCTGGGACTTTTGGCCCTTGGATATACATGGGGCGTGACCGATGGAGATGGTTAGTGAATACCATGGCCCGTAACCAGAAAGGCGAACAAGATGCACATAGCTGACTCAACATCTGGTGTGCAGGCAAGCCTCAGTAGTTCTTCAACTAGATGCGTACATGTCACTATTTACCTCCCACCCTCCATGTCTGAGGCTCAAGGAGCTTGATCTTGGCTTGCTCGCCACATACACCCTCCGTAACACGCACGGACTGGATGTGTTCTTCCAACGCGTGCCTTATGAGCCAAAGGACAGGCAACAGACAAAAATCTCAGCTGTGGTACAAAACCCACAGGGACTACCCGCCTCAGGACCTTTAGTAGAAGACATCCAAATAGGCTTGTCCGGGATTGTAACAAAGCTGTGGGTGTGGAGGCAAAACGTGCAACTTTCATCCCCACTCTCACCTACCGAGGTTGAAGAGAGACTTCAGATTGAGCTTGAGCTCAACGAGTGGGAAAGTAAGATATTTCAACTATTTGAGTTATTGCAAACCCCAGAGACCAACCCACAGGGAGTTTCGTTCCTTCTTCACGCCTATACTGGTGAAGAAGATCAAGGAAAAGACGGCTGGGAAGGACCAGTTGTGGCCAGAATATCTGATCTTTTGCTCGACATCTCCATGTTTTATTATTGCCTCGGCCTGCACCTCTTTGCTGCTGAAGCTCCAGTCATACACTATGTCAGTGCCACGCCAACGGAGGATGATGCAAGGCGGACTCTGCTCTTAGAGTGGACGTCCTCAATTTCAGCGAGACAGGCTATATCTTTCGCCGTGCGAGCGCTCCAAACATGCGAAAGGACCTATTCACAGAACCCCCAGACCAATTTGGTTCTCAACCCGATGACGAAGCTTTGTTTAACTACTGCATGCGTCATTTTTCACGCCTGGATCACTAGCCCTCATCGCAATTGCACATGCCACTTAGGCCATGGCGTGACCATGCCAACTGTCGACCTAAATGATAGAGAGGCTCGCCAACAATGGATTTTGATGGGAGGTGCAATATCGGTGGAAGGTACCTCGTTATGTAGTTGTGCGTCTAGCGTATGGATGGCTCGATTTACTTCGGTTTTGGCCTGTGATCCGCGCATATGGGAATTCGGTATTGAAGCGTTGCGTAATATAGGTACATAGAGTATGACAGCCTAGTAAGGCAGTATCTCGTTGCTATGCTAGCTAAACTAAATGCAGGCTACTAAATCTGTCCTTATTCAACGTGAAACTCGTATCGGGACCATAAATGAAGATTCGCAAGATCCCTTTACTCCAGAGTTTGACCATCATATTATAGAAGCCATCAACAAGAGCCACAGTCACGAACCGTTATCTCAGCAGATCCGGAGCTGTGATAACCCTCAACAGCTACAATCTGGTAATCGTGACTGCCCATTGCCAATCCAGCTTTGCTCCAAGCGTCAAAATGACACCCAGTTTGAACGGTGCCGCCAGTGCGCTTGCTCTTCCGGACCGACCAGTACTGCGGAAAGGTCTTGGTTCCCTCAATGCTCGGCGCGTTATATCGCATACTTCTCGCCAAAGTATACTCAGCGCCATCGCAAGTCACTGTTCCAAGAACTGTGGCCCCCGAAGATGGATCATAAGTACCAAAGTTTTCAACAATGTAATACTCAACGAGTGGGTTGCGCATCCAGCCATAAATTGCGAGGTAGCTATTCCCATTCGGACTGTAGGTTCCCGAGTACCCAATACCTCTGTAGAGCCATTAGATCCTTTCCGCAAAGAATAGTTATCGATGACATACCTTGCAGACCTGCCGGGATTCCACCCCTTACCGCCTACAGAGTTGCCGTTACCGGACCAGGAAACTCTATACTTTCCGGCAGCGAGATTCTCGTAAGATGACGAGCCTCCGCCATCAGTCCACCAGGAATAATAAAAGCCATCTACTGCGCGTCAATTCTGTATTCGTCTTGCTCTGCGTTTTGATAGAACATACCATGAGTTCCGGAACTGTTTGGGGTGTTTGCACGCTTCTCAATGCCATTGGCCTCCGTGGCCTCCGTAGTGGGAGCTGCATGAGCACATACGGCGGCAATTGCGGCCACGGCAAGACAAGTCAGGGACTTCATCCTTTCTTAAGCTAGTGTTCGATGGTATAAGAGATTGTTATGATAATGCTATTCTTCTTGGAGAAAGCGATGCTATTTCCATACTTAGAAAAGATCAGACTGTTGAGCTATGGAATGGGGAGTTTATTTAAGCATAATAATGGCGGCTGATTACAGCAATACATGTTCGGCTGTTCGGGCACCCATGGTCCGCATAATGCTTTTACACAGGGGATATGGTTAAATGCTGGCTCACTTCTCGTATTCGCAGCATTGCTTCCGTTCCAAAAGTAGTATAAGTGGAAACGATGTTGCAATAGGATGTCGAATATTCTGCCCAATAATTTGTAGCTATGCCGCTGCTACCCGTTTCGAACTACATTCGTTTAGGACCAATCCTACCTAATTAATAGCCCAATATTTCAGTGCCGAGGCGGCTGTAGGGGAGCAGCATTATAGGCTGTGTGATCCTAGAATAGATCCTGATGTCACCTAATCTTCCATTCTCCACCCGACACATTAGTTCAAGGGATGATCTCTATCAAGAAGTCTATTGCCGAAAGATATCTCATTTTATACAATGTCGGCGTGTTGGAATAATTGGACCTATTTGTTAAGTTTCAAGGGTGTAAAAGATATCCAGCCCAAGTGGTTCTATCTCTACCCTCAAAGGAGAGAGGGACAAATCCTCCTAAGCTCTTCAATGGGAATGGCACGGGATTCTGTGCTTAAGATACAGGAGGTCATAACCAAACACTATTCAGCCTAATTGCGAAAGCCTTTTCTTGTAGCATACAGTCAAATGGGGTCATGAATTTGGAATACCCGGGTCTGAATATCATTCATTCTCTAGTTAAGTCCTGTCTTCACCTTGCACGATAGGGTCTTAATACAACTTCGCCATGACATTGGCGGCTATTACCAATAACTAATTTAGGCTATTATATACTCAGGTTATTTTAACCATCTTAATGCCCTACTATGTCTTTCCTGGATGATGGCACTATGTCCACGTGCTTATCATAAGGTATGGCATCCATCTTCTGATGCATTGGCGCACCATGTCCGACAAGCGATTCTCGGCCTCGCTGGCAGAACGCTGGACGTTGGCCTCTGATGAGTCGATACCTATCGATTTCTAATGCTGATATACACCTAAACTATCTCCACACACACCTAGAAATTACTTCAGGCGCTTTTTCACGCTGTTACAGAGTGGAAAGGGCTGCCCGCAATCTCCTTGTTCAACTCAAGGGCCTCAGAGCATAATAAACAACTAATAAGAATGACGGTATACCCAGTTGGAAATCTTATCATTTATCGCAATATGGCTTCCAGTGGTCTCATCTCAGCCAATCCAATGTCTTTTGAGGTCCCAAATGCTTTTTCTCTGCTAGAACAAGGAAATTCAAATCGCAATGACATAATGTCTACTAGATAATTTATACAAGGGTAACAGTCAGACCATCCGAAATTCGTGATAAGATTATGCTTCCCCGAGTAAATATAATGTTTTCAGTTTACACAAAAGAAAAGAGTCTTGTCTGTCAACATTTAAATAAGATACAAGTATACATCACCTATTTTTCTAACAAGTATTATTAAACGTATGCCTAATAAGTACGCGAAAGATCCACCAATATGTTAACCCTATGCTCACTAATTGATTCTCTGGAACAGTTCCTGGTGGCGGGCCCCTTCTGTATCAGCCACTTCGGAGAAATCTCTGCTGCTGTTATACGGATGATAAGGATAAGGGCTGTAAATGTGTTAGTAACCATGCTGGCGCTGGGCTAGAAACATGCCGACGTGATGAACTTACCCCCATTCTGGAACAAAAGTAATGGTCGAGTCTTTGCCGTCACGCAAGATCTGCGCCCGAATAACGGCTTTCCATATATTCTCGAAGCTTTTTACTTCAGCCTCATATACCGGATCTGAAGGATCAGGGCACTGCGAAGCTTGTGTTGTGCCGATCCTAGAGTGGATGTGATAAACCTAGATAGTTGATCCAGTCAGAGGTGTCAAGAGATACAGATACATAACGGGCAAATCTCACGTGAGGATAGATTCTCTCCAAAAGCTCAATATCCTCTTCGGCTACATCCAACAGCCTTTCGCACCCCACAACCCAGTGTGAAAAGTCTGCAGTAATTCGAAGCCTATTCAGAGGTGTGGTTAGCCTTTACTGCTATTACATTGAGTTGGCTATGTTTAAACACACCCCGGAACTCTTTTGAGAATAAAGTCCGCAGCATAAGGACTAAATAAGGATCGGTTTCTGTGAGTTTCATGACAGACTCTTCCGCTAAGTCCCAACTCGGCGTCAATCGTGAGAGTGCCTTGGAAGAACTCAACAGACTGCTCGTAAGTGAATACGTCGCTAAGGACTGTTAGCTTTGGTTCCGGGGGCTGGCTTTTCTTTTTCTTACCTTCCAGACTGAGCGTTGACTTTTGAGGGATTGAAGGCTTTGGCTCGGATCAATTGTTCCTTGTATGCGATTAAGTGTTCTTGGACCGTTAGGCGAGGTCGGGGCCCTCTGTACCTTGGCCACGCGGAGAATATGCTAATTGTGCAATGTCAGACGTATCGAATAACAGGAAGTATCAACAGACAAAAACCAGGCTTCATATTGGCGATGTACTGGACTTACAGCACATTTATCTCCAGGTTAATCTCATCGCAAATGCTCTTCAACAGTTCCGGATTGTCAATGGTGTGCAGATTGACCTCCACTCCAGCTAAGAGATTAACAGAGGACGTAAGTATCTGCATCTATAGAAAGAGGATTCCACCCAGAGCCCATGGCAAGTACGCACCATAGCCTTGCATCTTCAGTTTCGGGAACCATTCCCGGTAGTTGGCGTAGTCTGGTGTAGGGTCGATGCCCCAATTGGTACGGAATCGTTTAACAACCACCATGCTGAATTATATTGTAGCAGGCACAAGGATGGTAACCATAGAAGAAAGAATTGGATTAATCTTGAGTTTCAAACACATTTAGGCGTGCAGATATAGGGGATTGAGGGGTTAAGTGCGATCCAAGAATCGGGGAACACAGTGCAATTACCAGATCAGGTAAGGACCCTTCCTCGAGAAGTCTACCAAATGATGATTTCTAGTGGGCACTTATTTATGTATTCTTACTTTAGTAATGTACTAAAATTTGGCAGAATTTCAACATTGCGCCAATTACGGACGTGGCATGTCAAACGCACCACGATGAAGAAGCCCCTCCCTTGAAGGTACTTAAGCGTCCTCGAAGAGAGAAAATACAGGTAACATCAGGCTATATTTTAATAAAATTAAACTAGTTAATCAGTACTTCATAACCAGCATCCAACTCGACTGTGCCCTTCAGTTTCTTTCAATATGCCACCATTTTATCCAGCCCACTCAACTCTCGATCCCAAGACCTATGCTGGCTTATGGCATAGAAGAACTTTTCCACAAAACCCTTTGCATTTTTGGCAATGTTAAAAGCACCTTGTATGCTTTCAGGCTCACAATTTCGGAGTGTGACGACGCCATAACTCTCCTGGGCTTCATCATTCGATGACAAATGAATCTGGGGAAGCTGGATTGCTTTCTCAACAAGATCTACAGCTTCACCGGTCGCAGCAATGGGCTTGAGATGGCCAAAGGCTTCCCTAATATAGTGAAGCGCGCGACCACTCTTGGATAGGGTCAGAATAGAGTTTTTTCCCCCTGGGATCACAAGAGCGTCAAACATTGTACTCCTCTGACCTTCAAGGTGATGATCAGGAATGACTCCGTTGTTCTCTGAATGATCTTCTCCATCTGCAAAGATGGCAGACCTGCGAACACCCAGAACCATGGGAATGGCCGATGCAAGCTTTAAACCTGTTGATAAGGCCTTGAAAGCGACGGAGTCGTAGCCGTCTGCGATGATGATACCAACCCGACGCGAGGCGATGGTGGGGGTTTCTGGAAGATAGGCCAGCTGGCTCAACCCAGGCGCCTTTCTCCCATGATTGGGCTTCCCGGGCTCCCCAGGTTTAGAGCCTCCAACCATCTGAGCAACAGCTTGCGCAAGACCAAGGTCAATGTCGGCCAGACGTTGGGTCAGCCGCTCATACACTATAGCCTCGTCACAGTGGTCTAACTCGAAGGATAATGCTGATCTCACGTGAGATTGCTCAACGTCAGAGAGAGAGTTGAAGAAAAGCTGGGCTTGGGATGTATGGTCCAAAAATTTGGCACTCTTGGACCTTTCTTTGATCCCTGCAACCTTTTGAGGATAGTCGATATAGCCACCCTCTTCCTTGCTTGCTGGGGGCTGAATATCATAGCGGTTGGGCCAATAGTTGACCTTGCCTCTCGAAATCTTATGGCGCATGGCGCCATCGCGATTGAAGTTCATGACAGGACATATTGGCTTGTTGATAGGAAGCTCTTGCCAGTTCACCCCTAGCCGGCTTAGTTGGGTATCGAAATATGAAAAATTGCGACCTTGAAGGAGTGGGTCATCTGAGAATCCAATCCCTGGAACGATGTGGCTGGTACAGAAAGCCACTTGCTCTGTCTGTGTGAAATACTCGTCGACATTGCGGTTGAGCTCCAATTGTCCAATGTACCGAATGGGAATTTGATCTTCAGGCCACACTTTGGTCGCATCCAGAATATCAAAATCGAATTGATGCTCTTCAGATTCAGGGATTGTCTGGATGCCAAACTTCCAACGTGGGTATGCGCCGTTTTCAATGGCTTCCATCAAGTCCTTGCGGTGAAAGTCGGGATCCTGGCCGGCCAGTTTCAGAGCCTCATCCCAGACCAAGGAATGAACACCTAGCTCGGGTGTAAAGTGGAACTTGACAAAGTGGCGATCTCCTTTGGCGTTGATCAAAGTGAATGTGTTGACACCGAATCCTTGCATCATGCGGTATGAGCGAGGGATGGTACGATCAGACATGGCCCACATGAACATATGAGTGGCCTCGGAATGCATGTACATGAAATCCCAGAAGTTGTTGTGGGCACTTTGAGCTTGAGGAACCTCGTTATGAGGTTCAGGTTTCGCTGCGTGAATGACATCAGGGAATTTCATGGCATCCTGGATGAAGAAGACGGGTATGTTGTTTCCAACAATATCCCAATTGCCCTCATCCGTGTAAAACTTGACAGCAAAACCTCGTACGTCTCTCACAGTATCCGCAGACCCACGACTGCCAAGGACAGTTGAAAACCGCACAAAGACAGGAGTCTCGCGCGATGTGTCGGTCAGGATACCGGCGTGGGACACATCCTGAGCAGATTCAAAGAGTCTGAAAGTGCCGAATGCTCCCGCCCCGCGTGCATGCACTACGCGTTCCGGGATTCTTTCATGGTCAAATCGATGGATCTAGAGCCTATTAGCGAAGTAATGCGTATGCATCAGGGTATATATATCACCTTTTCGCGGGCAAACCCATCCTCCAACAGCATCGGCCCAGTCTGATTATCAGCATTTACACGGAGCCAATCATCTGTATTGGATTGTTTTGTGCCGAAATCGGTAGTGATTCTTGTTTTGCTGGAAGGCCGAACCACGTCAGCGTTGAGCTGGCTGCCCTTGGCATCATTGGTTGCCATAACGTATGCTTGTTTTATAGATTCGGGGATCGCCTGAGCCATTCTCTTTGCAAACGAAACTAATGCGCCTGGATAGCGTGATAAATTCAGATATTTCGAGACACAGAGACAGGGAAAAAACGAAGCGAGGGTTAGCGGAGAAATGGTTTCTTTATCGTTATGGGCGCTCAGTATTTTGCAATAATAGTTTCTGTCGTCAGGATGGCATCAACATTGGTAAGGTAGTATTATCCAATAGTAACCAAGTGCTAGTGACGCCATTAGTTTTAAGTCGGCCAATTATATGCGAATGAAGGAAAACATCGGCGATGGCGGTTGAGTATGTTGAGTAACAGTGGGCTAATACTGTCGTCATGGATTGTATGAATTAGAAATCTCGACTTCCTGATAGGTGGTTTATAATATCTACGCACCAATTCCGCCTTTTAGATGCTGTGCTTGTAAATATGCAGGGTTGAAATGGTCCGAGGAATGGATGCTCATTACAATATGCCCCGTAAGGTAGGTATCTAACTATCTGACGCCGCCTATTACTACGTTGCAGAATAAAGTATAATTTATTCCCGGCCACACCCGTTCGCCAACATGCACAAAACTCCGGCAGTATCGGACGCTTGATGCCATTGTGGATGTTCTTGATATGATCCCGCTTCCACCAGGGCCGGCTGCAGCATTGCAAGGCCAGCCCTGATTGTTCTTTGCTGCTGCTGCAATCGTCTCGAGGAAGGGCATCGGCCTCTCCAAGATATCGAGGCTGCCGCCAGGTGTTATAGGCGGACCTGATCTAGCGGTCTAGTAACGCTCCGACACGTCGCAGCCGAAGAGGCAGACGCCATCTCCGTTGACCACTTTGCGGGGGCCGTTGCGTGTCATACAGCCGCATTTGTTCACCAGTCTAAAGATCCTGGTCAGCCATAGCTTCGCGCATAACCAAGCCTATACTATCTATGCCTCTACTTTGGTGAATCCTGATCCGATGTTGAGATCTTGATTGTGAATAATGCGTGTAATATAATTCTCTTTGAGACGATATTGATTGATGAGGCCAGCTTGCGGCAAGTGATCCAGTCTTCGTATCAGGTACCGTAGAGTTATTTACTATATAACCACAAATTCATCATGACGTCTACCAAGCACCCTCGGCTGGCCCCTGTCTGACGTCAAGGATATCTCACAATCTACATCGGAAGCGGTACTACCCACATTTTCTCCCCTTCAAGCGTTATCGGATGGAGTCCATCACTTTGGGTGGCTCCTGAGCCACGACACGACTTATATATCGAGCTGATTCTGTCCCGACTTCTAGATTTGAACTGTGAATATTGGAATCTTCATCATCCCTATTCTAAGCGAGATGGCGTCGGCACCCAGTATTTTCCAGCTCGTTGGCACCTGCAACAATTATGGCTGGGGGAAGAAGGGTCGCAATTCTCTTGCAGCGCGCATGTGCGAGAAGGCAACACCCGCTGGTTTCGAAATCAAAGATGACGAACCCTATTCGGAGATGTGGTTTGGTGACTATCCAGACTTCCCCGGCCGAGTTGCAGAAACAGGCGAGCCATTGGCCGACTATCTTGGCAAGCATAAAAAGGAACTCCTTGGAGCCAAAATATTGAAAGAACTCAATGCACAGCTGCCGTTCCTACCAAAGGTATACATTATTCATAGTACTGAGGTCGTCTAGTCTTTTTCTCACACTACCTCTAGATCCTGTCCATAGCGAAGGCGCTCCCTCTGCAAATTCACCCGAACAAGCAGCTGTCGGAGAGACTGCATCAGGAGCAGCCGGATAAGTTCACCGACCCCAATCACAAGCCAGAGATCGCGGTAGCTCTCTCGAGCTTCGAGGTCTTTGCTGGCTGGAAGCCCGTTTCCCAGATCTCACCACTATTCGAGACTCCGGCTTTGGCTCAGTTTGTCCCCCCGGGCACCAAGGAATGGACTAATGACACACTGAGACACGTGGTTCGTAAACTCTTGAAGGCCGACAAGGAGACGGTCAGGGCAGTTGAGCATGAGATTGCAAACCTTTCCAAGGAAGACCTGCGAAAGACCATCGGTGGGGACTACATGGTGGACTTGATACCCCGGCTACAAACGGACTACGGGAGCACCGATCCCGGCACTCTCGTCGCGCTCCTGTGCATGAATTACCTAGTGCTCGAGCCGGGAGAAGCCCTGTACATCCCGGCGGATGGAATTCACGCCTACCTATCAGGTGATATTGTTGAGTGCATGGCTCGCTCAAACAACGTGCTCAACGTGGGATTCTGTCCGCCCGCAGACCGCGACAACGCTGATCTGTTCACGGAGACACTTACTTTCGCCCCGGATACTAGAGGTGATGTTACACTTCCGAAACAGAAGAGCGGCGCTGGCCTCAAGGGGCGGACCTCGGTTTACCGACCCCCGATACGCGAATTCGATATGCTCAGAATCGATCTAGGTCCGGACGAGGATGAGGAAATCCAGGCACTAGAGGGTCCAGGCATCGCGATAGTGACGCATGGGACAGGGACCTTGCATGGGGATAATGAAGAGAGGGCGGTTAAGGAAGCTGATATCCTTTACGTTGCACCCCAGGTCCAAACAAAATGGAGAACCAGCTCGGAATTGCAAGTGCATATGGCGGTTTTCGGGCTACCGTAGCTTGCCAAGTGTGTGACATGAGAAATGAGACACTCGAACATTAAGCTGCTTATTCTTCGAGTCTGTGGCCGGTATTATCAGATTATTGAGTACTAATAATACAAATTTCAGAGATAATACGGAATATATATTATTACTATCTATTTCATTTTATACTACTGTATTTCTCGATTCAAAGTGGAAGAGGGTTTCTTTATAACCACTCTTTCATTAGGTGTCTCATTTCTCATGTCACCTACTTGCTTGCGTAGCAGTTTACTATCGGCCGTTATACATAGGTGATTGCCCCTGATAGACGCCACCCTTGAGGGGATTCGAGCATCTGGGCCAACTGGATGGGGTGATCACACAGTCCCTCCCGTGGTTGCGTGGGTGGATTTCTGTGGCGATGGGGCAACAAATGGGTCCGATATCCAATTTCAATTTTCTTGTACTACTATGACTTAATTGATGACGCGCGCATTTGTCCAAAACTCTGGGTTTATACGGCTCATTTTTGCATCATTTATCCATCATGGACTCCGCCATAATAAACGGGGAAGAGTGCTAGTGGTGGGGTGCTGCTACCACACATTGAATCAAATAGATAACAAGTATGCTCGAAGTTCATAAAAGTCTACAGCAGTCCCCATTGGATTCCCTCTTCAAGGCTCGTTATTGCAATAACCAGAATAAACCATCGTCAAACCATGTCAGGCGAACAGTTTCAACAGGGTACGTAGGTCTTTACGACCAGTTTTGGAATTTGCTCGCTAAATACATTTGAAGGCCACCGCGTCCCAGTGACGCAACAGGACTTCCCTGGCACCGAGGGCGAGATGCCTAATCCCAATCCGCAGTTTCAGAATATCCCTACCGAAGATGGCCAGTATCAGAAATACAGGGCCGCCGGGAAGCTCAAGGGCCAAAAGGCACTCATCACCGGGGGAGATTCCGGGATAGGACGAGCGACGGCTGTCTTGTTTGCTATGGAGGGAGCCGATTCTTTCATTACTTACTTGCCAGGTGAAAGGGAGGATGCGCAGAAAACAAAGAAGATGGTTGAAGAACACGGCCATCAATGCTACCTCTACGAAGTTGACTTATCGGAACTGAAGAACTGTAAAGACGTAGTGAATGAGGCAGTATCTAAGCTCGGCGGCATCGATATACTGTTCAACAACGCTGCTTACCAAATGATGGTCGAGTCTATCAGCGACCTCCCTGAGTGAGATGACAACTTTATACCAAAGTATAGAAACATTTCTAACAGTCGGGCAGTGACCAATGGATTCATACCTTCAACACCAACATCCACTCATTCTTTTACATCTCCAAATATGCCCTTCCGCACCTGAAGGCTGGAGCTAGCATTATCAACAACGCTAGTATCAACGCATACATCGGCCGCCCAGACCTTCTGGACTACACATCGACAAAGGGCGCCATCATCTCATTCACACGAGGCCTGAGCAATCAGTTGGTTGGAAAGGGTATTCGGGTGAATGCTGTCGCGCCTGGCCCAGTTTGGACCCCACTCATCCCTGCAACAATGAGCGAGAAAGCTATCAAGGAGTTTACGAGCCCAATGGGGCGGCCTGGACAGCCTTCCGAGATAGCGACATGTGTGGTCTTCTTGGCTTCGACAGATAGTTCCTTCATTAGCGGCCAGACTATTCACTGTAACGGTGGCGTTGTGGTAAATGGTTGAGATGAAACATTAATTCCGAAACTGAAAGTTTTTTTGCAGCACACACCACAGCCTTGAATAAATCTCAACACTGATCGACTGATATCTCTTTCTTGACCCTGATGTTGTTTGGTGGCAATGGCTCCAGCCCATATTCTGCTGTGTGAATTTCGTCGCTTCCTGCTGAAATTTGTGTCGCATACTTTCCCTGCAATTCTGCCGAGTCAACCCAAGGGCCATCGGCTGCTCGGCTAGTGTTTTCTGTAATCCTAAACGCGGATGTGTGGCCCGTTCTACTGCGAAAGGAATTGTACTCGCTGCTTCTTGGATATGAGCTAAGCTTCTTCTTGTGCTTCAAGAGCGCACCGAGTAATGGTAAGCAACTACAGACAATGGCTAGCCCAAGTTGCATGCAGGACCAGAAGAACATCCCAGCATGGTCACCTACAATAAGCCGGATTAGTTTCACTTTCATGTCTGCAATGGGGCTCTGGGGGAGAAAGAAGGATGCTACTCACTTTTCGTAATACCAACGATGCGCGCAACACTAGCCACGCAGACTCTATTCAGGCCTTGTCAGCATTTTTTGGATTTAGATTCTTTTAGTTTCAGCGATTGTGAGATGAAAGGAAAGCAGGTATGCTTACGAAACTCCGACTAAGAATATTCCAAGAACTGATATCTTCTTTTTCATGGAGAGATTAAGTTTCCCAATAGTGAAGACGGGAATGCATAGGACTAGAATATCCAGCACCAAGTTGGTTGACTCCAATGGGAGAAAAATATCAGCAGCTGGGGTACAACTGCCTGGAGGGGCTGCCGGTTTCCATGCGTTGGTCGGTGGGCGACACCTGAAGGCTGCCAGAAAGGTGAATATAATCCACCACAGGATGCATCCTGTCGTAATAGATAAGATGGCAACCTTCATCCTCTTCTCGACCCCAAAGAGGCTCCAATAAAACGACAAGATGCTGAGCTTCACTATCGAAATGCTGAATGTGAAGAGGACCTGCTCCACGTACAATATCTAGAAAGGAGGTTGTCAGTTACTGAAGAGGCTGTCGTCCCAGTCTTGCCCAATTGTCCATGGTAAAACAGACATAAGCTAGAAGGACATGTGGTTGTGAGTACCTTGAGAAATTCGATTACGTTCGGGGGTGACGTAGGCATAAAAGGATCACTGCGCGCAATGTCGAAAACATCTACATTAAGAAATTAATACATCTCAGTCACAAACATATAGCCATATGCGCGCTATTCTCCATGAATTACATGGACTCATGCCGCGAACGTGAGGAAGACTCTCTTACAGTGAAGCATCATCCCTGCATAAGCGCAGAACAGGAGAAAAGAAATGAAGCATAGGCCATCAGAAAGATATGAGAATTGTCGGGCCTTTATACGCGCGACGATTCGCAATGTAATCACTGTGGATGTCAAAACGATGAATACGACAGCCGTAACGAAGACTCGATGCGTTGAGGAATGTAGCTCAATCATCGTCACCTGAAAGTCTGTTCACATGGCGAAACGATAGAGGCTCGGTCGAAAAGGCTGGAATAACTTCATTACGAAAAGAAAAGCTATACTCCTCGGACAACAGCGGGGAATGGCCGAGTTTTAGTGTCATCCTTGGGAGCAATCCTACCATCAGCAGGTGGTTATCCGTAGTACGTAGTAACAGCCACCCGTCGCGATCATGTCAGCAGGGGAGGAGATCCTGCATCAATTAGGTGACCACTGCATGGCCAAGACGCCACTATTGGGTATTCATACTGGTGGTTGCCGGTTTTTAGCCTATGACGGCGCTCTGACCTACCAGGAGCAAAGATGAATAGGATCCAATCCACTTCCGCCTGGCCCTTTCATTTTCTCGCTGATCCTACTGTGACATCAACTTCTCGCAGTTGCAGTATTACCCCACAGGTCGACGCTGAGAAGCAATGTCATCATCGTACCTCTCGTACAAGAGATGGCCATCCTTGTGCCTCCTGCCACTGATCTGTTTTCATGGCAGGGTATTTACACATTCGCGTTAACTCGATCGGTAAGCACTCTGATGGCTTGTCTGCTCGAAAAACATCGGCCGATGGCATTTACAATAGAGAACTTGGACTGTGCACCGAATCACGTAAGACTGAAGAAGATAGCTTCCACAGCTAGGCCTTGTTATGGTAAGTGCCTCGGGTGTAGGACAGGGATTTCCATCCCGAATACCACCTTGGCGACATTCCGTCCCGGCCGTTATCTTTGGCGATCGAGAAAGACCAATACCTAAGAACATCGCTTGCTGTTCCCGGAATATAAAATTACATAGAAGAGGTATTATTATTCCAAAGAGAACTCACTATTCTCTCCTATAACTCCTTCCTACTTGGTTACGTTGCGAAGCGACAGCGATTCAACCAAGCATAGGAGATGCTTACTCATCTATTGACACGGTTTTGTTGAAACAGACTTTCTACTATTAACGTCGTCGCTTGGCTCAAAAATATGTAGTTACATGCCATTACCAACTATTATAACGACTATACGCGCCCTATGATCCGATATATAACCACTTTTTGCTAATGGTGAGACGTGAGTAAGATGTTCTAAGGCTCTAGATTCATCATAGTCTTCATCTTTGAAAACAAAGCCGATTGTGCGATATATTCACATTACTAATAAAGAAGAAGAGCATCGCTGTTCTTTTACGTGCATATGTTACAGTCTTCTCACTGCAGTGGCTTAATATTTCCCTCGCTCTAGCCATAGTATGCATGCCTAAACTTTCACTAGATATTTAGACTATCTTCACTTCTGTTTTGATTAACATGAAAGATCTTAAACCTGACCATCGTTAATGCTCTACTCCTAGTACTCGCAGTTAGTTCTAGTAAATCTCGGTTCTTAACCTTAAATTACAAAAACTCTCCGCATACGCTTCGCTAGCCCCGAACATACATTTCGTGTTTTTACTACATAATTCGCCCGCTCTAACTTAGAGATTGGAGCGCTACATCCATTATTATGATATCCGACCAGGAGGCGCCTCTGCTCGAGGTCGAACAAATTAGTTCAGAGAAGGTTACAGGCCTAGAGATAAATACCAGCATGAAAGGTCTGATAGAAAATGAGAGAGCTATACAGTTTTACGGCACTACTGAAAAAAAAAAAAAAAAAAAAAAAAAAGGAAATTCCCAAACAACTTGATACCATACCCAGTATCACAACACATTAATTTTTTAATCTTTTTTCCCTCGTATATAGGGGTATCATATTCAATGTGAAAGGTCTGATAAAGAGGCAAGAAGCATGGTCGATTATCTAAATAGAAGAGCAAAGCATACAGATAGCTAGCGTGGGAAGAAACAATTAAATAAGGGTTTACTAAGATAAGCCTGGAGACGGAAGAGTTATGATAGCAAACCCCCAAACTACGGCTATCTCCAGCTGTTTCTCTTATAGGGCGAGAATTAGCGATCGCTTCCCTCTGGCTGACATAAATTGCATGAATGCCCGGGTGTCCATTTTCCTATCTGCGCTCCTGCTGCGAACGATGATCTCAGAACTTCCATCAGACAAATCTCTTCGTCATATGTTTCCCATGACGGCCAACAGCGTGACCTGTCCTCCAACAAATAACTTCTGGGGCCTTTCATCGCTGTGGCTGGCTCTTTTTTTCCTCACCATTCTTCACCAGATCAGTTGATGGGATGATTAGAGAGTACTATTGGTTGCAGTACGTCAGAACAAAAGGAATATTGTCTTACACTGATCCCTTGAGAGATTGCCGGCTAGAATTATCCTTCATGATGAGACTCTTTGAGATTCTACTTTGCGACTTTAACTTTGCGACTTTAGTCTGCTGTATGTATAGACAACAATAACATCGAAGCTTTCATTTAGGCTTTACCAGGTTGATATCGCTCGCCGCCTCCCCATGGCCAGTATACTCGGATCTGGGCACAACGTAAAAAATCCAACCGTCAATGAGTCCGCATTTTTCGGGAAAAGTTGCTCTAGGAGAGCCCAAAGACCTCTATTCATGATCACGCCCATACTAAAATAAAATCCAACTAATATTTGTCCACCAACCTCTACTCCTCTTCACCATCATATCCACCAAAGGGGGGTTTCTTTCTCTTCACTCCGTGTCTTTATTAATCAAAGCGTGCTAATTGCGGATTCATTACCATGGAGCCCGTCATAGCATGGGCTATAGTTTGTTCTCTCGCTAATGTCTTTATCTATATGCCTATCACGGGATGATCTGCGTCGACCAGATCCATTGTTGCTGTCTAGTCTTAGCAACTATACTCTACTCGGTTCTCGTCATAATGGCTGCCGTAGAAATCCCCCAGGATAGTTTCATCGATGGGGTATCATTAATATATTAAATGTGTTAATATCCACCAGTTCTATGGGTGGAGAATGAGTACCAAGTCCTTCAAGGAGAATCAAACGCTAAGCTAATACAATGCAAAATGCAGACTGAGCTCATAAGGCATCTTCAGATTATACACTTTTCACGTCCACCTCAGGAGAACTTGTCCATTTTGATCTCTTGTGCGACAGTCCAGGACGTTCCGTCTAGCCGAGCCTCCATGACAGCGCCACCTTTCAAGAAGAAACAACTGTTAAGATCCGACAATGGCTCGAGAAGCCGCTCGCCAAGTTCGGGTATCGTTGGCCAAGTCCAAGTAGGCGTCGTTGCGCAGGATATGCTGGTTCCTTTGTCGGCGCCTTTAAATGCATCTGGTGTAGACTCCTGCCATTCGTTCTTCTCGCCATCTCTAAATATTTGCTGAATAGTACCGGAATCATCCTGGTAGAGAATATATGCGTTGATTTCTTTTTTGGATGCGTCAGATGACGATGCAGCCACTGAGAAGGCAGCGATAGAAGCCAGGTCTTTTGCGACAATGTTTGGAAAAGCTAGAAACATTAGCAAGGCTTGATTATAGTGGCAAAAGCTTGATGAATTATAGACTCAACTTACACGAGTCCCACCACTTGGAACTATCATCTTGGTCAGGGTAAGTTTTCCGTGCCCCCTGATTTGCGGGATCCTCGAGTGTTATAATTTTGCCATCTTCATTCTGATACACCAAGGCCCACCGACCAGAATTTTGGATTTCTGTGAAGTTTCGCGATGTTGGGATCAAAGCAAGTCTCGATCCACGCTTGGCCCGAATCTTGAGGTCTTTGTTTTTCCATGGAAAGATGATAAGCTGAAGAACACTGTCGATTGATTGGTAGGCAACATATGGCCAGTAGGCAGCCAGATCGCTCCCATCAATGGCGTTCTTAAAAGTCTCGTTGTTGACGCTATCCGGGTTGAACCCATTCGAGCGGACGTAGTTGATACCGTTGACTACAGAGCTGTCGTTTAGAAAGAACATCTCGACTTGAACCTAAAAGGGAGAGAGAAAATGTGAGCATATGTGCCATTCAGGTTGCTAAGATTGAACCACTAACCGTTGGGTCGCTAGTAATCATAGGAAGAAGCGACACGGCTATCCCTGTATTGTTCTTCACCGAGTATTCTGGTGTGAGCTTGCTTGGGTTTTCCCACGCAGCTTTATCGACTGAACCCGAACCAGAAGCGAGGGATTGTCGAAGTGTCCCATTCGAGTCTTGGTAGAAGAGAAACCGAGTGAAGCTTCCGTCAGCCTGCCATGCGACCGCGGCAAGATGGGATTTGGGGGCAATCGCTACTTGTGACGGGGCGGTCGTGGGCGAGCTCGATGCGGTAGATGCAATTGACGTCGAGGATCGTTGGTCTGAACTGCTGTTGGATGAACTGTTGTCGGATGAACTCTTGTTTGACTGCGCAGCCCTCGAACCAAGAACACCACCCAAGACCGCCGCAAGAATAACGACAATAGCCACCAACACTCCGATGATGATGTACATTCGTCGATGGGACTTAGAACGGGGTTCTTCTCGTACTGCTTCTGGCGCGGCTGCCGGATCAAAGGATGCGGCCCTGCCGTCTATGGTCCTGCCGTCGGTGGTGATGGTCCTCCCATCCGATGGAAATGTGCTCCCATCGCTGGCTTGTTTTACGACATCCGGCCCATAAAATCCGTACAAAATCTTCCCCTCGTCAGGCCGCACTTCGGGCGCCGTCGAGTCATGGACGACCTGCAGCCCTGAACTGTCCGGATACTGGTGACTCGAAGGCGCAGAGTATTGGGACATGATGCCAACTTCACGCGGTGGCGCTAGCGCTTCTGGCACAGTGTGGAATTTCCCACAGGGCTGAAAGGAATAGTAAAGGAGAGAAAAACAAATAGAGAAGGTGAGCACTGAGGGGGGAAGATAGAGCCGGGAATTGCAACGCCCCCCTGGCGGCTGCCTCGGGCGCACCAGGCTTTCAATCCTTCAGTCCTTTCCAGGCCATCTAATTACAAGTGGTCGATCCTAAAAGCGGACTGGGCGTCTACAAACAGCCTCAATTGGGCTATAGCACTTGTAATATAGCACCACATCCTTCAGTCCCAAACACGAATTGAAGACCGACGGGAAACTGCAACGTGCGGCCTGAATAGCTTGGCCAACATTTCACTGCTGATTTCATCACTAACGATTATGAACATTCTTCTCTTGGTTTTCAGTATAGACTCTCCTTCTGAGGCTCTTGAAAATGGCTGCTGCTTCCATGGCCCAGGTTACATGTCCATTCAGAGTGGTACGGTGAAATTGTGATAACATTACAGTACCATGTAGCGCAGAGGCCAGCAAATCAGCTGCTCGAAATCAGCCATTTCCCATTCCTATGTGGTTAGGTTGCTCTTGATTATGTCAGAACTATCTGGACGGCCCATGATCCCCCGTGAAGCCCTACTCGGTTCAGCTAAGCCCCATTGCCAAGCTGTTTCACCAGCTATCAGCCCTGCCAAATGTGGATACCAAGGTAAGGCACAATTGCCTAACAATTGCCTTCACTGGTGGTTCGCAACCTCACTCTGATGTGCAAATGGCAATCGATATTATCCAACCGGCAGAGTTTCAAAGTGGATTGTTTTCAGTAATGTGTTAAGAAACTTAAAACTATATTAATGGTTTCACTCTCTGACCTCCTAAATTAACTAAGACATCAGCAGATGAACCAGACGCTTGTGTGACAAGGCAAAATGAACATTACTATACAAGAGATGATTGACATAATTTATTCATTGTCTCGTGCTAAATGTGGATTGACAGACGTTGGATTATCTTTCCTGTTCCATCTACGCATCCTTGCATACAGTCGTTTTCTTTCCTTTATGCATAGATAGGGTTATAAGGTGGTGTTGCAGCTTCCATATTCCTTCTTTGAGTGCTATAGGGTAGCCCGCTGTATCAACCTGAATTCTAATGGTAATAGGTTATTGAGACTACCCTCGTTGGAAAAGAAAAACCAGGAAATTTACTTGATCGGACGAAAGCTATGGCTGCTATACATATGACAATGCTGCATGTCGGCTTGAATCATACCGGTGTCCTCGTCCGTTGATTTGTCACGGGGGTCCACGTGACCATCGATCCGCGTGAGAGCGGCCCTTTTCCAAATTGGTTAATAGTCCGACGGCTTTCAACAGTTCTCCTCCGAGGACCATCAACGGTTCAAACGCAGACTTCTCTGCAATGGATGAGCAAGGTGTTCGGCGGACAAGATCTCTGTCTAAAAAGGGCGGCCCTTTTCACATTTGGACTGCCGATGATTTTGTTTCCGAGCAACAAGTGTCGGCGAAACGGAGGGCCTGGCATTCAACCGCTTGCCAAAGATGCCGTTACCGCAAAGCCAAATGCATTGTGAGCACGGCACCCTTGCAACTACCTACCACGGTCCCTCGACCGCCATGCCAACTATGTCAGCGGATGAATGTTGAGTGTGTGTGGGACACGATTGATAAACGGAGGCGGAAGCGTAACCAACCTCTGCCTAAAGAAAGTACCGCTGCCCGTATCCAAAGCGAGCCAGATAACGAGGAAGTGTGTCACAACAAGGATCAGGTTGCTGCATCTGAAGAAGTTTCGTCTCAGTTACACATTCATGATCAAAATGAAGCCCGGCACGACAATCCACCAGGTTCACAACCCAACATGGGTGAGTCAACCAACGTGTCGTGGTGGGATGATGGGAGCCTTGATCTTGGGAGTATCTGCATCCCTCAGGATTTTGTGGAAAACGCCAATTCTGAGTATAGCTTTGAGCTACCGCGCAATTGGCCCTCAGATGTTCAGGATTTCACGCTAGGGCTAGATTTTATTGATCCATCTCTTGTTGGGCGCTCCCCGGATCCAGTTCTTCAGAGCCTTGAAGCTCAAGCTTTAGGCGGAGACAACTCGGTTGCCAAATCTCGAATACTCCGTTTGCGTTGCTACAGACGACTGGGGCCTACCGCAGCCGCGCCTGGAGTACGGAGGCTTTTTGTAGCAGTCCAGCCATTTCCAACTTTGCCAGCAGTCCAAGGGAGAGATGACTCAAGAACAGATTCATCCCCCGGTGAGCTTTCCATATCCACACCAAGATCTACCTGGTCGGCATATAATGATCTCTTTGATTCACAAGCTCAGAGACCGCATTCGCTCATTCTTCCTATCATTCTCGACGTCTTCTTCGATCACTTCAGTGGGCATTTCCCTTTTCTTCAGAAGCGTGTTCTTAATTACCACGTGCAGACAGGAGAAGCCTCCAGCTTTTTGTTGAATGCAATCTCGGCTTTGACCGCGCGCTTCTGTCCCTTGGATGGCCAGTTGGCAATTCTCAAGGATAGATTCAAGAGCAAATGGCGACAAGGAGCTCCATTCTTAGCAAAAGCCAAAGATCAACTGGCATCGCTTCTGAGCATTCCAGCGTCCGATGTTGTGGCTGGATTGGTCATTATGGCTTGGGTTGAGTTTGGAGACAATAACGAAGCAGGTTAGTATGAGACAATGGAACGATGAAAAGTTCTTCTATCTTGGTATTGAATCTCACTTTTTGTCTTAGGAATGTGGATGTATTCGGGAATGGCAATAAGAATGGCACAGGATCTTGGTTATCATCGCCGACTCGAGGCAGTCGCCGACCCAAGTCAAGTGTTTCGCGGCTTTTCAAACACAACCGGCGATCTCAACCTAACAGACGACCAGGCAGCACTTCACCAGCACAAGGCTCAGCTAGTCTTGTTTTGGACTGCTTTCAGCTTGGATGTCTATGTATCACTTGCCACCGGCCGACCCACCACTCTTCAGAGAAATGAAATCGACGCTCCGATTCCATCAGCGGACGATATGAATGTGACGCAACTTGAATGGAGCAGCTTGGACCCTATGAGAAATAGGATATTCCCCGAGGTTGTTGCATTCATGCTGCATTTCTCAGAATCCCTCAAAATATTGAATCGAATGACGACCACGAGCACTGCGAGCCTAGCCGGCGATGAAAATCTTCCTTATTCCTCATCGAAAGAATTCTCTCAAGCCAGATCGAATCTTTTAGGACGTTACAAATCGCTCCCTCGTCAGCTCACCTTCGGGGTGGATACATACAAGAGGTCATTAGCTAGCAACCAAAGTGGGCTATTCATCACTCTTCACCTCTTCTTCTACACCTTCATCATACTGCTGTCACGCAAAGATCCGTGCAGCACTAGACGGGGATTGCATAATTCTTCTGATGAGTCGTTTCAGCCATCCTGGAACCAAGACCAAGGGGATGCGGCTGCGTTGCATACAGCCCAACTAGAGGAGCAGCAAAATCTGGAAATATCTAGAATGGCTTGCCAGAAGATGGCACATATCTTGATAGTCGCAGATGTCGTCCAGAAAACTGGCTACTTGGCATCGCCTTTCACGAACCATTGCTTCTTTGTCGCAGCATCATCAATTTTACATGATGAATCGAAACTGGGCCAGGTGGGATTCCGAGATAGTTTTATGTCATCAACTACAGAGAATGACTTTGATCTGTTCAACGACAAGCTGAGGGAGCAGAGTGAGTATTTTCGAGCAATTGGGTCCGTGATCTCAACTCTGATGCAGCGGAAGAATCTTTCGGCAGGTGAAGACGATGGTGGACAGTCAACCGGTGACGAGGATGGTGATAACAGTTTGGGGAGGGTTGTCGAGGACCCTGGAATTGTGACACGATACTCCATACGGTGAGGCTGAAACGGAGGGATATTATTATCGAGAGAATGAATTTCAGCCTCGAAATTAGCCACTTCCTTCCCTACAATGATCGTGATATCATCCGTCATTCTTCCCCGTTCCTCTTCCGCCTTCGTCTGCGACCATGGTTGCTTCTACCTCCTGGCGAGATTCGTTGTATCGCTTTTCGATGTCCTCTAAGCTGTGGCCTTGTGTCTCTGTCATGCCTATTGCAATAACGATTGTGCCTGCAAGTGTGAAAGCCGCATACAGAAAATAAGCACCGTACGAAGATTTTGATAGAAGAATCGGCGTCACAAGTGCAACTATGTAGTTTGAAATCTAGAGGCTTGCTATGATCAGTACTGAAATTGAACAATAAAGGACGTAGAAAGAGAAAAGAGCACACCCAGTTGCAGCTCTGTGCGAGACTCGACGCACTACTGCGAGTTTCCTTCGGTAGACTCTCCACTAGAGAAGAACGCAAACAGACAGCCCATGTTGCGTTGTAAACGCCTGCAAATAGGTAGATGGACACGATTACTATCCATCTTCCTGGGCCTGAGTCCTCATGCACCGACTTGGCGGCATACAGTGAACCCATGAGGATCATAAGTATCGAGATGAGTACGCCACCGAGGATACTTGCAGTTCTCCTGCCCCAGTGATCTGCGAAGATGGCAGCCGGGATTGAGACAATGAGAATCACCAGAGCAGAGCAGCCGGATGCTAAAAAAGATGCTCTCTCACCACGTAGTCCAGCTTGTGCGAAGAGGGTAGGGGCGTAGTATAAAACGCCGTCAATTCCAGACAGCTGTTGCAAAGCCATGAGAAAGCATCCGAACAGAGTTCTTCCTCGAAAATGGGCCTGGAATGCCTGTTTGAACTCTTGCTGTGTATGATGCACGACTTGGAGGAAAAAGGAGTTGGTCGTTTCCGGTTGGGCAGTTGGAGTCTCGAACTGCGAAAACATCCCTTCCTGTTCCTTCTCGTCAAGGCCAAGTTTATTGGCAATCAAGCGAGCCTCTTGAATCCGACCCTTGGACAATAGCCAGCGTGGTGAAGGTGGAAGTATCCAATATGACACGGATAGCAAGACTCCGAGTCCACATCCAAGGGCAGGTGGAATCCTCCAGGCTGCGGGAGATTTGCCTAGACGAGCCGTCCCGTAGCAGGTGAAGAATCCCAGCACAATTCCCAAGCCTACAAAAAACAGCGGCAAAGCATTCATAATGCCTCGAGTGTGGTAGGGAGATGTCTCGGAGATCTGGACCCATACATTGCTCAAGAAAAGACCGATACCTACACCTTTTATAAGACGACCGAAGATGAAGCCTCCTAGGCTCGGTGTGCCGCACTCAATGGCGGAACCGACACCATAGATCAACGAGCCAATGGCAATGATCTTGACATGCCCAAAACTATGGGCTAGTGGTCCAGCGGCGAGGGATGTTATTGCACCGGGGATGAGAACAGAGGAGACGATGACACCGTGGACTGTCGCGCTGAAGGTGCCGAAGCTGGACGAGAAGGCCGGCATAGTTGTGACCGGGCCGATCATGCCAGTGTCAAATCTAACCAACTTAAATATCTGGAGAAAAAGACCGGATTGCCCGATTTGACTTACCCGAAGAGCATCGCAATAAGGGACGCTACTACGCCGACTTTAACGTAATATGGTATATTCAGTGACCACATGATGTGAGACATAGATTGGGAGGCTTAAGAGAAGTTTTTTTTCCTTTTTGAGGATATTTGTAACTGTAAAATACTAAATATGATCAAACGATAATTAAATACAACCTGGTGCATGTTCTCCCGGTTGGTCAATAGGGCAAACCTCCGGTCCCATATTTCTTCCCTGGTAACTTATTTTCCATTAATCATCAAGAAAGACTGCCTGTGATCAATATTTCTTTTCTGGGAAATGCCGGTGAGAGGTTTTGTGGACACTGGCAGGTTCCCTTGCGTCTACCTTGGAAGCATCGTGCTGCGGGAGTGCCGAAACGCCAGCAGCTCACCTTCTCCTGCCATCCTCGTGAATGGTGTCGTGTCTGCGTCTGATCGCCTGATAAATTAAGGATGGACAAGCTTGATACAATGTTTCCAGCCAACACGTTTTCGCTACGTATTACATTACTGTCTATTTGCGCACAGCGCTACTATACATCGGTCTATTGTTCGTATGCATGGCTACAAGAACAAGGCTATTCACTCTGCCTCATAGTCTGAATGAAGACCATCAGTCAAAGATCGTAATATTGTAATCGATCAAAACAATGTTTGACCACCGTCTATGATAATGTCTGCCCCGGTAATATATCTCCCGGCGGAGCTGGCCAGAAGGATCACCGCGCCACACAATTCTTCGGGAGATCCCATGCGCCCATTGGGATTCCTTTCATTCCAAGTATTTCTCGCGGCTTGTAACCCATCTCCCTCATTCAAAATGGTATCCATGTATCCGGGACTGATGCTATTGACGCGAATGCCATGCACAGCCCACTCAGCAGCAAGCGACTTGGACATTGCCAAAACGGCAGCTTTAGATGCGTTGTATGCGACCTGAGGCTGTGGGAAGTTGACGCGATGGGCCGAGATGGAGGCGACATGGACAATGGAACCGCCATTTCCCGTCTTGACCATGACGTTGGCGGCGGCCTTGGCACAAAGAAACGACCCCGTGGTATTGATATCAAAAGTGCGGCGCCATTCCTTCGCGGGCATGTCTTTTGCGTGATCGCAGCTGACAACGCCTGCAAAGGTTAGGAGGATATCGATGCCGCCGAACCTCTCCAAGGCCTCCTGCGAGACTCTGGTAACTTGCGCGTCGTCCGTAATGTCTACTTCGAAAAATAAGATTCGAGCCGAAGGAAACTTGGACCTCAGAGTCTCAATCTTTCCCATTGAGGTGGGACCCTGCAAGTCCCAGACTAGGAGCGTGTGTAGGCCATGTTCAAGCAGGGCCTCGCAAGCGACACTGCCGAGATCACCGGTTCCTCCAGTCACGACTGCGGTACCCGAGATCCGGAAGCGAGCGGCTGCTCTTTCTGCTGGAGATAGGTTTGCAGGTAATGGAATTGGCTGGTTTAGCTTTGCCTGAGCTGAGCCCAGAGTCATCTCCGGGAGGAGCCGAGACGTGAGCTCTGAGCGATCCATGGCGAATTGCGTATGGGTAACTTGGATGAGAGTGAATGGAGGAGTTTAGAAGTCAATATTAATCGTCGGGCTGAGAGGCGCAGGAGATCTTCTGGTGGCCTCTTCCGATGTTTCTTAAGAGTGAGGGGAATAACCACGTTGGGAAAGTCCGAGGCTTCTGCCAAACGGATGTCCAAGACGGTGGTGCGGGGAAGCTCGTCAAGGCACTTCATTCATCATGATCATCTAAGAAAGAACCCGCTTGACCTTGCACACGTAATTCAGGAGACATGCTGGTAAATTCGAAAATACTTACAGGAAAATTGATAGGGATAGTAGCCAGAAGTTGCGACGCGTTTACTCGACGACGTCCATCATCGCAATCCCAAACGATCAAATGGCTTTCGCTTCACGCGGAACGGGCCGCTAGGCGTATCGCCTATCGCCATGTTGAGAACCGCATGGACAAAGCTTTGAGGCGCGCACCACATCAGATAAGTTTTAGGTTTATGAAATCCGGCCTTGGTCTCATTGCGCGTGTGATGGAGTTGGGAGCAATAATAAACAAAGGTGATTCACGCGTTACGCTGAGACGCGACCTACCCTACACATAGCATGAGGTGCCAATTTTGCTGGGGAGGCATAACGCCTATAGCAGATGCTCTGCAATTCCATTATTAGTGATACACGGGCATAGTTAGATGAAGCCACCGAATGGCTCTTTGGGACGATGGTGTTAGGTCTTCCTGTCTTGGCCGTTGCGGTAGTTTCTTTGTGTCAGTGTCATGGTGGTCAAGATGCTAAGATAAACTCCCTACCTTGGGTTGAGGAATTGGTTACTGGGGGCTTTCCAGAACCAGACAGTAGCCACAAGGTATTGATAGCCCGTACCTTGCCTCTTCTAGATATTTAGATACCCGTCGAGCTTTCCTGTTGGCCAGCTCTACGCAGCTTGTGACACAAGTTCAGGGAGCAATACACGACCAGGAATTCTAGCAATCTCTCTGTGTGGCCATGGAGTGGGGATTTGTTGTCCCTGGCCAGAACTGCCGATCCCCACAAATCACAAATCTACTGACCCAGAACACCGAGCTCTTGACTGCGAGCTTGTTCCGGGCAGGCATCGCCTGGCAACGCGAACCTTGTGGATTCTGGTTATTTCTACATAGCTAGCAGCGGGCACTTGCGGCTAGACCACCTGGGGGATATTTTTGGGAAGATTTCAGTGTGGGTGGGAAGTCGTGGCAGAGAGACTAGATCTGTCTACGCGCATCGTTTCGGAGTCTCCGCAGCTGGTATGCATTGGATATGAGGGTCTAGAACGCCAGCTATTGCTTAGTGGCTGGCTAGATGCTGAGCACGGAAAAGGCTGGACACTCGCCCTAGCTGGCTGTAACTAATGAAAAGGAGGAGTTTTCTGCCCTTCTGTCCCACTCTGAATTTTGTTGTTGTTGTTGTTGGCCCAGCACTTCTCCGTGAAGCCATCCCTTTAAACAGCGACCTAAATTACCCCTTAACACACGAGGCAGCAGACCAAAACTCTTTCTTCTTTTCTCATCGCTTGCCACCGAACCTTGTTATCCACTCTAGCTGAAATGAAGGCTACCATTGCCGTGCTTGGCGCCTTTGCCGGTCTCGTGCTCGCCTGCGGGGAGGCGGGCTTGCACATCCGCTCAGCTATGGATGCCGAAGCCAGCGCCGCTTGCGAGGGAAGCAACCCGCCAATCTGGTGTCCTATGAAGTGCCAAAATTGCGGGGGACAGTATTGTATTGATGGTTTCAGAGCCTGGCAATGTAATTCAGACCCACACCACGGCGATCTGTGTCCAGGTGGCTGCGACGACTGCTCACCGCATCGACAATACGATGCACCCAAGGGATGTGTGGGTGGACCAACAGGATTGAATGGCGTAGTAAGTGCAGCTCTTTTCTTGCTATCGTTTAAATAGTTCATTTGCTAACGATGAAACCAATGTAGGAATGCGTAAGTTCAACTGATCCCCCCCAAAACATTACCTCTCGCGCCCTGGAAATATGCTAACATAAATACACTCCCAGCCACGATGTTGAAGCGACTAAATCACGAAAGTCCGGGCTCCCATGCCTGGATGCTACGCAGGATAGGAAGCTTGTTCGGAGGCGAGGAATAATATAGGGTCGGTCAGCAGGAGGTTCAGCTTATAACCTCACACCCAATCTCGCTCATTGTGGGCGCAGTGTACGAACTAAAAGACTTGAAATCTCAAGGTGGGGTTATAGGAGCAGTCTTATTTTACTTGGTTGGCTTGCGTATCCAGCTACTACCTTACCCCACGAGCACTTGGGATAGGAACCCATGTTCAAGTTTCGGTTTTATGACTTATGACTAGGTGGCTATGGAGAGTAGATCAAAACAAATGCAAAGTCATATAATGTCTTCACAATTCGAGCCGTCTCGCTTATGACACCCCTGAAGATTGTAAATCATTTCCCATACAGCTTAAAGTTCTCATGCTTTTCTCTTGCAACCCTGGATTTATGATGGTGTTTCTTTGAGGCTAAACTGCTCTCGGGGCGGATTCGGTTATCGGCCGGGAAAGTATTCCATGCCTGCCCCCTTTCTCCAAGGCCAACTCATGTCGTTGGGCCTTTCATGCCTACTCTGAGACTTTTAAACCCATGATTTTGCTACAAGAGGAAGGATAACTAATAAGTCACGCATAAGTGTATGCAGGTTTTGGCTCAGTGAGACCTTAGATAATGACTGGAACCAACTGAGTACTAGCCAACGTGGCCTGCAGTAGAGCCTCAGTTCAAGGACATGCTCAAGTGGTCCGCTACTTGGCTACAAAGGGGGCCGATCTGGAGTAGCAGACGAGGGGTGGCTATACATCGCTCGCGTTGGCCGCCGAGAAGAGGCCATCTGGAAGTGGCAAGGGTACTGATTGAGTTGGGTGCCTCTCCAAATGGCATGAATAGTAATGGTTCCACACCTCTCATCTTGGCTGCTGGGTCTGGACACCTTGAAATTGTTAGGTTGCTGGCTGGCAAGAGCGGAAATGTCAAGCTCTGGGGATCACACTAAGCGGACTGCTCTTCATTTTGCCTGTGAGAGTGGCCATCTCGATATAGTAAGGCTTTTGGTCGAAGAAGGGCTTGTGCCTTCACGGAAGACGTCACTGGGAAGACACTTCTTCGTGATGCTTCCGCAAATAAACACCAAGCCGTGGTGCAATTTTTCGCTGACGGGGCTCGTCAGTCTCCAGAGGATTTGCAAATGTCTCCACTGCGATTGTTCACCGATTAAAAGCTACAAGCACCTTTGTTGAGGTGGTCCGATGAGAAGAAAGATCATGTGCTAGTGGAACAGGTTAAAGATATCTCGGGGCTCTGCTATGACAGTCTCCTCAATCAATTTGAAAGTTGGGAAGAAAAAAGAGGGGTGAGCTCAACAACACATCGCCTGAGAGAACTCAAGGTAGTCTTGCAAAATATATTATCTTGGCATGTGTGTGTATTGAGTCTGCAGAATTATAGGTCTGCAAAGTAATCCGCAATACCTACTTAATCAAATTATAAATTTAGTACTTCAATACCTCGGCTCACCCTGCGAGGATACACATGGTATTTATGAGTTTTAAAACAGTAATTCTCTAGTTAAATACCACTCCGTATCATTCCTATGCGAATCCTTTTGGAAGAGACATTGAATAAAATACATAAAAACCTGAAGGCTTTCCGTTTATTTATATTATGCATGTTAGACAATTTACGGTACTTTCTTCTCCTTTTAAATATTATACGCTAATAATACTCTTATTAAACATACAGGTAGTTGATTTAGCCTTGATCGCTGATGTATTAGAAAGCCCGTCTAGGCATGGGCAAAGTAGTAATGATCAACGAAGGATCAAACGCAGGGCGTCTAAAGTATGGTAGTATTTCATTTGGGAATGATCCCATTGTAACCAAGTTAGGTGCTTTTGAACAGCAGCCCCCAGGTTGCAGTGAAGGCTGAAGATAAGGAATGGGGGCAGAAAGTCGACTTTTAGAGGCCACGAAATGGACTTTTGCAGTGCACTTAGCTTTGGCGAGCATCTATTCGCTTATTGAGGCAAAAGCCTGCGCACAAGGGTTTCATTCTTCCTGCATTTCTGACCAGTCGCCACTTGACAGTTTTACTACATTCGCTTATCAATAGCCCTCAGTCGCCAGGACTTAAAGGATGCACTTCCGAGAACATACGTTGGAGTAGGCCCACTACGTAATATCATTCTTTTATGCCTAAAAGACCCCGATTATAACAACTCGCCACACATATCGCAACCAGGATAATACCAATATATTGCTAACGCCCACCTTCTCTATTCCCACTCTACCTTTCGTTAACTTAGCTCCTTAGCTTAACCTTTTATCACAAAAATTAACTATTTGAAATAAACTAACGGCATGGATCCTTCACAACCATGCAAATACACAATGCACCCGCCTAGGACCAACAAGATAGCACAATTATAGAACTCCTGGCCTTAGGCTTTTGAGGCTATAGCTCTGATGCTATCAGCTTTATAATTCCTGGGCATAGTTGGTGTATTAGCCTATTTCGATGGTCAAGTAGCTCAAACATCAGCCATCATTACACCCAATACTATAGTTTCTGTTCTTTCGACAGGGTCCAAAGTATTACTGCTCTCCGCCGCTGCAGGCTGTATTTACCAATCAAACTGGGTACTCTTTGCAGATTAACCCCGGCGCTTATTAGACTTTGAGATAGTTGCTGATATAAGTCGGAGACTACTTAGAAGTATCCAGCTCCTCTTCAGTCAAAACTTTCGGGGAGGGTGAGTGAACCCTGTTATTGAATAACTGGCATCCAATTTACATCAAGTGATAATTTTACAGTCTGCTCGTACGACTGGGTGCTTTAATTACCCTCCTTACTATTGCCTTGGACCCTTTCGCACAGTAGTTAGTTAAACTTCAGAATATAAAAATATCAAGACCTGGAGGACAAATATCCCGAGCTTTACGATACTCTCTTGGGAAAGCAGGATACCCGGCTTGGGAGATAGGCAGTAAGTATTTCCTCCTTTTCACTATAGATATTAGAATCTCGCTGACCAAAAGGAAAAGTGAGCGATAATAGGCGAATGTACGCGGATCAGCCTTTTATCGCAGACGCTGATTTTGCTTTAAAAGCAGCCACTATATTTAGATTAGCAGCCGATGCCCAAAGTATCATACAACAAAGAGCCCTCAATTGCCCTGGAGAAGCCTGCGAATTTTCCAAAGTAGCCTCATTAGCGGTCTGTAGTAGGTACAACAATATCACCTCGTTCTTAGAGCGAACAGAGGACAAGGTAGGAACCCTTCTTAGCAGAATCCCAGATAGAGGCAAGACATTACACAGTCGTCAAGTTCACACCCCGTAGAAGAATAATCTGACCCGATTCTCTTTGCCGAATGGGCTTTACCTGGATAATAAGGATGGTAATCATTTCATGGGCCTTTATTACATGACGACTTTAGGGACAGGCAACCGCAGCAAAACTTTAACCATAGCTGACATTAATACTTTGATATGGTCACAAAACATCATTAAGGTGATAAATAATACGTCAGCAACTGAGACCATCCTTTGGCCTAAGTATGAAGTTCATGCTTCTGAGTGTGCGTTGTACTACTGCGCCAGAGAGTACAACTTTACATTCTACAATAGCACAAAGACAGAAACTTCAAGCTCTGAAATTATGAATGCGAAACAACACCCTGACTCTTAGCAACCCGATTCCAGGTGGGGGGTTAAGTTCGCACCAGACTTGATCGAATCACTGGCATATCACCCAAATGACTCTTATATACAACGGAATAACCTTCAACTATATATTGATGTTGAAAATAGGTCAGTGAGAAGCTGGAACATCTCAAAAGATACGGTGACGGGCATCAGCTATTTTACCCAAACCCTATTTTCCACCTGTCTCAGCCAACCTTGCTCAGACGCCCCGGATAAGTGGGTGGCCCCTACGGGGTATTATTTTTTCATCAACAGGTACAGTACTGGAAGCGCAGATACATATAAACCTGCGCCATCCAAGATATTATAGGAAACGAAAGATATCAATGCCACTTTCGCCAATATTGCAAGGAGTATAAGCAATACGCTACAGGCTGGCGATGATACCAAGGACAGTCAAACAGGGACGGTAATCCAATTTGTTACGACCTATCGTATTGAATGGGGGTGGATTGCTCTACACTGTACCACTGCCGCGGCCATGTTATTATTCTTCATCTTAATGCTCTTGTCTAGGGCCCCATCTGGTGCAAGAGTCCCTGTGTGGAAAACGAGCAACTTGGCCATCCTCTCTAGGGGGCCCATAGTTTCGGATATATTGTGGGATGGACAAACGCTTGAGCAACTAGAGAGACAAGCAAGGGTCGCACGGGTGAGCTTGCTGCAAGTCGGTCCTACAGACGACATGTCCGCCATGGATGCAAAGCCACAACCGTCAGAGCAAGTGGAGATTACCACATTTCAGAATCTTGAGAGTACAAACAAGTCCTGGCATAGACATACTCCGCATTATGAACGTTTGTATTGAGACGAAAACCTTGTCTTAGACCTCACGTTGGATAACCAGGCTGATAAAGATTGAGAGAAGAATTAGAAGAGAAATCTCAGTCGTTAACGACATAGATCTCAATTACTTGATATCTACCTTGAATGATTATCGACCCATCCAACCACCATCAACGGTGAGGATTTCACCACTGACGTACCTACATCCAGCTCCTGCTAGAAACACAGTGGCCCCCTCAAAATCCTGTGGAGAGCCCCATCGACCGGTGGGAATGCGCTCCAAGATACTTGCAGCACGCTTCTCGTCATTGATCAGCGCCTCATTCATGTCCGTAGCAATATAACCTGGTGCAATGGCATTGACATTAATGCCGTCAGCAGCCCACTGATTGCTGAGAGATTTTGTCAATTGCGCCACGCCACCCTTTGCAGCGGCATAGGCTGGAACGTTGAGACCGCCCTGGAAGGAGACAAGACTCGCTACGTTAATAATAGCTCCCCGCCTGCCGGTGGCATCTGGTGCTCGGTTACGCATATGGGCACCAAAGTCACGGCAGAGCGTCCAAACAGTCCTAAGGTTGACTTGCAGCACCTGGAGAAGTAGAAGTCAGCAGACAGCCACGGGAAAGAACTGTCATCCTGGGCTACTTACCTCATCCCAATCATTCATAGGGAATTCGTGAGCAGGATGTCGTCTTTGGATGCCAGCACATGTGATTAGAATATCAACATCATGACCATCCTGAAGGATCTTCTTTGTCAAAGCGGACACGCTCTCTTGATCAGCAAGATCAGCGGTATAGATAATGGCCTTGCGGCCAAGCGATTCGATAAGGCTCTTTGTTTCAAGATTGCTCTCGTTTCTTTGGACAAGGATGATGTCTGATCCGGCGCGAGCAAGGGCGAGGGCCATAGCCTGGCCGATACCACGGGTACCCCCAGTGACAACGGCGAGGTGGCCTTCAAGTGAGAAGAGTTTCTCCAAGTAACTGGCCATAACGACTGATGCTCTCTGTGATTTGTTACCGGGAGATGAAGAGGATCGAAGAGTCTTCCCAATCTAGTAATGTATCGAGGACCAAAACTCCATCAGTAGCTGTCCGATTACGGCTTCAGCCAGCGGTCCGTCAGCGAGGCTATCCCTCCTTGAGGCAGCAGACCCGGCCCCTATCCATGGGTTCCACCACGCTATGGAGGCACCATGTGTGGAGTGAACTGAGGCAAGCCCTGGACTTTTAGTTGGAAGAGTGAACCCCCACGCCAAGCTTCATCATCATCTGTTTTGATGATGTACATATGATTCAGCCAGGCAGCGGTGGATGTTATAAAATTTCGTTTAACCCCGCAAGTCTGGCAGCTTGCCCCACACATCTCCTCACGTCCGCGCGACGCACTCATTTGTCGTCGTCACACCCGAGGTGGGCGCCTGGCTGGGGCAAAGGAGGTTATCCCCGGCTTATTTCTAAATCCTACTAACGCGGCTGGCCTCGCTGGCCATGGGACACTCGGTTACAGCGGTGTAGGCTAGACAACCTGGACCCTCTTGGCGAAGGATGAGCTGGGGTCGACCCTGCTAAGGCATTTTCCCGGGGAAAATAATTCCACCACTACCTCGGGTGCGTGAAGTTCGTCGTACGTTGCTGAGGCTTTTTTTGGGGTTTGTTATGCGTTTGCCTTCCATGAAACGAGTCCTACAACAACCAGAGAGCCCTAGTATAGGCATGTTATTGTAGGAGAGAATCCGCCTGTAGTATCCAATGGATGCAGTAGCTTCTGCTCCAGAGGAGGAGATTGGCAGCATTTTTCAAATCATGCCAGAATATCTGAAATTGCTCTCAAACATATACCGCTGACTAACCAGACAACACTTGCTTGGGGGACTAGTCAGTCATTCCACTTGCCACAACAACGTAACACTACCTTGCTTTCAGATCGGCCGAAACCGGAGGAACACTATGAAATAGAGAACAAAGCTAACGAAACCGGTGTGTTACGGCACGGCAATAAGCTGACTGCGAGTGTCTGCCTTGGACAACTCAACCCTTGGTTGTGGAGAATTCTGGTCTGTGGAGAAGGATGTGGAGAAGAACCCGGGGTTTCTCCAAAGCGTGGGGGTCGATTTCGTTGGGGAATGCTGTAGCTCGCACTTTCCCCCCCTTTTCTCTTCTGTTGAAGACTGTCATTACCCCAAAACCACCACCTTGCTCGCAACCCTCGGAGACTCAAAGATATCTACTCAGGTTCTACCCCAACTTCGCCAGTCCTCAACCTCGCAACAGCTGTCCGCTTGCTGTTGGTAGTCTTGACTCCCATTCCCCGCTTTTCATAACCAGCCCTCTTTACCCCAAGAAAACCAAGCGAAAAGCAATGGCAGAAAAGCAGCAGGACATCGTGTCCGAGGAGGCTGAAAATGCCCAAGGATTCGACAAGATCCAAGCCCTTAATGGCATTCTTATGCCAGAAGAGATCGCCGCTCTTTCTGATATGGACCGCGAGAAATTAGGGAAAAGGGCGACCTTCAAAATGGACATCGTCATCATGCCCGTACTGGTTATCATGTACATCCTCAATTATCTTGATCGTCAGAATATTGCGAGTGCCAAGCTCGCCAACATTGAGCAGGACCTCAACATGTCCCCGGTTCAGTACCAGACGGCTGTCAGCATTCTGTTTTGCAGTTACAGTATGGATCATCCCATTTTTCCGTCCCACTCCTCATGTTGCTAACATCATCCAGTTCTCTTTCAGGTGCCGTCGAATATGATTGCAAGTCGGATCAAGTGGCCCGGAGTGTACATCTGCCTCAGCATGGCGCTATGGGGAGCCATCTCTGCTGTCATGGCGTCGATTCATAACTTCGCTGGACTTATTGTCGCCCGCATTTTTCTCGGAGCTGTCGAGGCTGTGTTCTTCCCAGGTGCTATATACTTCCTCTCTCTCTTTTATAGTCGAAAGCAATTTGCCCTTCGGATGGCGATTCTATATAGCGGTTCACAACTCGGAAATGCCTTTGGAGGCCTGTTTGCTATCGGGATTCTGAAGCTTGACGGGGTTCATGGGATATCTGGATGGCGATGGGTATGTCTATACTTTGCCTTCTATTTGTGTTTCCGTCTGAGAGTCTCTAGAACTAACCATGTTTCATTCTAGCTGTTCCTCGTCGAAGGTGTTATGACTGTTGGGCTCGCCATCGTTTTCGCCCTCATTCTCCCTAACTCGAAGAATAAGATTCTTGGGGTCTCTAAGCTCGAGATACAATGGATCCAATGGAACTTCAACCAAGACTCCGGCCAGTCAGAAGAAACTCACGAGATGACTGCCATGCAAGGCCTCCAGGCCGCTGTCAGAGACCCGAAAACCTGGCTTTTCATTGGCATTCTCTATTGCGTAAGTGAACCTCCTTATTTTAACAATGAGAAAGACTTCTTTTATGGATCTCTAACTCACCTACTTCTCTAGACCTACATTGTTGGCGCTGTCTCCAACTTCTTCCCTTCGGTTGTTGGGGGCCTGGGCTATGACCGAAACATGACCTATCTACTGACAGCTCCCCCGTTCCTTCTCTGCGTCATCACCATGCTTATCAACGGCTTCCATTCCGATCGAACCAGCGAGCGGTTTTATCACGTCACCGTTGCTCTCTGCGCTACCCTGGTAGCGAATATCATTGCGGTGTCCACGCTTAATATTGCAGCTCGCTACGTGGCCATGATGCTTCTCCCAGGCTCCTTTTACGCCTCAACCATTGTGACTCTTTCTTGGATCACTGGGTCGCTCTCACAACCTACGGCCAAGCGAGCTAGTGCGATTGCTTTCATCAATGCGATTTGCAACACACCCAACATTTGGTGCAGCTACCTCTACTCTGGAGGTCCCCGCTATGTCACTGCCTTCGCAGTAAACGCCGCTGCTACTGGTTTAGCTATCGCGTTTGCCATTGCCGCAAGAATCCACCTCAAACGGCTGAACAATAAGCTAGAAAGGGGCGAAGACGCCGGTAGACATGGTCCTACTCCTGCTCAGGTTGCCTCTGGTTATCGGTACATGTTGTAGAGGATGGAATAGAAGTGGTATTCTTTGTGTAGGAGCTTAGATTAGCTTGAATGTCCTTAGAATAAGCTACTCAAATAGGATTCTTGGATTCTTGGTACCTCTCCCGTCCCGAGCGTTCCCAGCTCAATGATAGATCATTGCCTAGCCCTCACTTCAGTCATAATCTGCATGTAACCTTCGAGCAGCCTACGTATGTGAGGCTTATTATTACCCCTCTCCAGCGCGAAGATTTCAGTCCACGAGGTCTCTCCAATTCAGCTCTGGATCCAGCGTACCCACTAGTAACAGCACGAAGCCCTTCCCTAACCCAATTTAGAGAAGGCGACGTGGCGTCGGTTGGGCATCGAATGCCGAAATTAAGTCCTTCCCCTCACAGGAGCCACTGGTCTATGAGCGGCGCATGAGTGATGCCTAGTGAGTCTATCCACTCTGAAAATCCCGCTCTTACACATCAGGAATAGCATTGAACAGACTCAGGCGTGGGGGTCACTCGAGGCTGATATTGCGGGTAGTGCTTGAGCTAGATCGAGTGGAGATGGTGGAGTGCCGGAGGAGGAGGCTGGAGGCGGGTTGGGTGGAGGCGAACATGTCATGGAAGGTCTTGGGGACATCGAAGAAAGCGTGGGGGTCACAGGGCAGCTTAGGAGAACAATCTTGGAATTAAAGATACCTTGTTAGCTTCCATGGGAAGATGAAGGCCTCTGTATCAACCCTTGCCACGGCTTTATTCTGCGAATAGTAGCTATCCTTCTCATCATGTCGACCACAACTACAGCTACAATCTCGGCCTCTGTTCTTCATGGCGTGAGAGACTTAAGAACTGTCAGTAATCTCGGATTAGATCCAGTGATGCCAGACTCATTACTGACATACTTGCAGGAAACACGAGCCATCAGCGCTCCTGCTGATGATGAGCTTCAAATATCTGTCCGTCGCACCGGGATCTGTGGCTCAGACCAACATTACTACAATCACTTCCGCAATGGCGACATCCTCGTTCGTGAACCTATGGCTTTGGGCCACGAGTCTTCGGGAGTTGTGGAGGTAGTTGGTGCCGGTGTGACGGGATTCAAACCCGGTGACCAGGTCGCCCTTGAAGTCGGCATCCCTTGTGAGGAATGCCGTCACTGCGCAGCTGGTCGCTATAACATCTGCCCTAGCATGCGTTTCCGCAGTTCCGCAAAGGCCTTTCCTCACTTCCAGGGCACCCTCCAAGGACGCATCAATCATCCTGCCAAATGGTGCCACAAGCTCCCCGAGAATGTCACGTTAGACGAGGGAGCCCTTCTCGAACCGCTGAGCGTGGCGATTCATGCTATTCGCAGATCAAAAGTTGAGAAGGAAGCGAATATACTTGTTATTGGAGCAGGTGCTGTTGGACTCCTGACAGCAGCTGTACTACGGACTACAGGCGCCTCAAAGATCACCATTGCAGATATTGCTGGAAGCCGTGTCGAGTTTGCCAAGAAGAATGGATTCGCAGACCGGGGCTTCGAGGTGCCTCGGGCCAACCCTGATGCTGTAGCTAGCATCGAAGGCAAACTTGACCATGCCAAAGCTACGGCAGCTGCGGTGATGAAAGCTGGGAATGACGACGAGTCCCAGCAATTCGATGCCGTGTTTGAGTGCACGGGCGTAGAATCATGTGTTCAGACGGCAATCTATTCCACAGTGGCTGGAGGCAGGGTGTTGCTAATTGGAATGGGCATCCCAATTCAAACGCTGCCTATGTCGGCTGCAGCTCTACGAGAAGTTGATCTCGTTGGAGTTTTCCGTTATGCTCAAACCTATGAGTATGGGCTGGAACTGCTAGCAAACAAGGCCAAGTACAACCTCCCAGATATCACAAAGCTGGCTACTCATCGCTTTTCGGGCTTTGATCATGTGGTTGACGCCTTTTCCATGGCTGGCAAACCCCAGGATGAGAAGGGGAATTTGGTCATCAAGGTCATTATTGAGACATAGATAGTTTACCTTCATAAGTAACCATATATAAAAATGACTTTCAATAGAGACCTTTAAAATCAGACATCCCTTGGGTGAATTGAGAAGGCTACACTGGCTCATTTCTACACTTCCAGGGTGCACACATAAGTGAACAAGCCCGTGTTAGTTGCTAGAGCCTATACAAATTTCCTCTTGACATGGAGATTTGTGAAATCTTGGGCTTTTTGGATTATCCAATGTACTACTAAACGAATTGAGGATCGTAGTGAACGTAGATAATTGTATTATTTTGTAGTCATAATGTATTGACTCATTTTTATCATCCCATGTAGACAGTCTCTGAACTACCACTCGCGAATACTACCGTCAGGCCCATGGAATACCTTACATTGCCAGGCCTTAGTATCCTTAGAAATCTCTCTGACCTTGTCCTCATCAATCTCAATCCCCAGGCCATATTTGGTAGGAGCCTTGATGTAGCCACCCTCTGCGATATCAAAGGTCTCAGGGTCCTTTAGGTATGTCAAGAGATCAATATCGTCTCCAGCCTCAGTGTTGTAGTGCATCCCTAGACTCATCTCCAAGATAGTGAAGTTAGGTGATGACAGGGCAATGTGAATAGAGGCAGCGAAAGCCACAGGGCCCAGAGGACAGTGAGGTGCAATGGCGACATCATAAGCTTCAGCCATTTGCGCAATGCGCTTCGTCTCGCTAATACCGCCAGCATGGGCGATATCAGGCTGCAAGATGTCGACACTGGCATCTTCGAGGAATCTCTTAATGTCCCAACGTGTGTACAAACGCTCGCCAAAGGCGACAGGGATGGTGGTACGATCAGCGAGCTGCTTGATCGCTTCAGGGTGTTCACACAGAAGAGGCTCCTCGATGAAGAGCGGACGGTGAGGCTCCAGAGCAGCAACAAGTTGTTTCGCCATAGCTTTGTGAAGACGGCCGTGAAAGTCGAGACCGACATCAAGGCCGAGGGCCTTGACTTGCTTGATACGCTCGACTGTAGAATCAAGGGCGGAGGGTGAATCTACCCAGTTTAGGTCTTCTGTTGCGTTCATTTTTACATGCTTGAGCCCTTGGGCAACACGAGCCTCGCTATAATGGAAGAATGATTAGTAGATGATCTCGGATTCCATGATAATTACTACACGTACGCAGCACGCTCGACATCCGATGGGCGATCGCCGCCAATCCAGCAATATACCTGGACCTTGCTACGGACCTTTCCGCCGAGCAGCTCGAAGACGGGGACCTTGAGGTTCTTTCCTATATGATGAACAACGTTAGCAACGCAAATCCAAGCTGGTATAATATTAATTGACAGACCTTTCAAATCCCACAACGCAATGTCGACACCAGACAGGGCAGACATGAAGACGGGTCCGCCACGGTAGAAGCCGTGTCTCCAGAATGTTTGCCAAATGTGCTCAATGTCGCTAGAAAACCAATCGTCAGCTCAGCATCTGAAACGGAAACAGGCACAACATACTTTGCCTCCATTCCAATGAGACGAACAATCATCTCCTCGAGGCAGCCCTCGACAGCGAGGTCGTGGCCCTCAAGAGTAGCCTCGCCCCAGCCAGACACTCCATTTTCGTCAGTGATCTTGACCATAAGCCATCTTGGCTTGACGCGGAAATACTCGACACTCTTGATAGGAGCCATGATTACGACGAAAGAACAGTGCGGTGCGTATTGGGAATGCTCGTAAGCAAGAATACCATCCACTCGACCTGAATAAATAAATACTGGCCGGGGGGTAAGGACATTACGGCATGAGTCGGTTAATCTGCTCCGTCCTTCGGAATACCCCTCTTCTTCGAAAGCCCCCTAAACTAACTTTCGGACACCGATCTAGCTTCAAGTCAGCAAAGAACGGACTATTCCCCGTGGGGCCACATACCGTCTCGGAGGTTGAATCGACTGACGTGACCCCCACGCCTTCTCCTCACCTCTCAGAGTCCCCAATGCCTTCTCCACTCCCCACATTCACGTCTTGAGTCTCTCCACTGTGACCCCCACGATAGTTCCGTAAGCTTAGAAGATCGAGTTCTTCACGGCCCCCCACGATTGCCATCGTGACTTGTTGAAGAAAAAGGGGGTGGCACGCAAGTCGACCCGAGAAATCGGCGGGCACAACCATTGGCAGGCATGGTTTCGGAGAATTCCACCAGCCTGGGAACAACAGCCCGACTTGGGAACAGCCCAGCAACTGTAACCCCCACGAACACTCACGCCAAGGCCTTGTGGGGAAAGACGGAAGTAGTCACTTTCGGCAAAGATGCGTTATTTGGAAAGTCACTTGATGCAAGGGGTATAGCTGTGGGTTCATGCCGCCTGGCGATGCTCCGCTACGTCGCTCAACGCTTCGTATTTGTGGAGAGCGAAGTGTTCAGTCTCCAGCTCATGCAATACCACGGCCTTCCTCGAGTGTGGCATATGTGGCCCCCATCCCTCGTCGTTTCATTTTGTGTCAAGGGAGCCGAGACTGGAAGCCTGCCCCCGCTGAAGATCATCCCCCCCTCTCTCCCCTCAATCGAGTAATTCCAGGTCCTGCACCATCCTTCCAAGCAGTCGTCTTCATTTCTTGACTTCCCGGCTGGCACAGGAAAAACTGAGGAACGGAAAGGAAGGCGAGAACGACCAGCTCAAGATGTCCTCCAAACATTTCATCAGTGACCCGACCAAACTGGTCAACGATGCCCTGCACAGCTTGACCATCACAAACCCCACGGTCGCACTGGATGCCGAAAACAAGATCATCTACCGTCGACCGACAAATGCACCCAGCCAGGTCTCTCTCCTGTCTGGCGGAGGCTCTGGTCATGAACCGTCCTTTGCTGGCATGGTCGGTCCCGGCATCCTCTCTGCTGCTGTGGCCGGGACCATCTTCGCCAGCCCTTCAGCTGAGCAGGTTCGCAATGGCGTCATATCCCGTGTTGACACTGAGAAAGGTGTTCTTGTTGTCGTAATGAACTACACGGGAGATGTTCTCAGTTTCGGTATGGCCGTGGAAAAGGCCAAGGCTGCTGGCGTGGAGTGCGAAATGGTTGTCGTCGGCGACGACGTTGGCGTCGGCCGCGCCAAAGGTGGTAAAGTTGGCCGTCGAGGCATCGCCGGTACTGTTCTTGTCATCAAGATTGCCGGTGCCCTTGCTGCGCAGCGAAAGCCGCTTTCTGAGGTAGCCAAGGTTGCCAGGCTGACGGCTGAGAATCTGGTCAGCGTTGGAGCCAGTTTGGATCACGTTCATGTGCCGGGACGTGCTATTAGTACTGAGCACACCCTTGAGCCTGGCGAGGTGGAAATCGGCATGGGCATTCACAATGAGGATGGTTCAGGCAGAGCTAAGATCGGTCTCCCCGATTTAGTCAAGAGGATGCTTTCCCAGCTTCTTGATCAGTCTGACAAGGACCGCGCGTTTGTTGACGTGAAGTCCAATCAGATTGTTCTTCTCATCAACAATCTGGGAAGTGTGAGCGTCCTTGAGATGGGTGGCATCACCACTGAGGTGGTCTCACAACTGCAGTCCACCTACAACATCAAGCCGGCAAGAGTCCTGAGCGGCATGTACATGACGAGCCTGAACGGTCTTGGTTTCAGTATCAGCTTGCTTAACACTGTGGACACGGGTGGTCCAAGCATGATCGAACTCCTGGACGCTCCAAGTGAAGCTCCTGGGTGGGCTGCTCCTATCCAGTCGGCGACATGGGAAGCAGGAAATACGGCAGAGAGGACAGGCTCATCGAAATTGGATGAAGCTAAAAAGCCAAGTGGTCAGACGATGACTGTCGCGGATGAGAAATCTGCTCTAATTTCTGCACTAGAGGCTGTCATTGCTGCTGAGCCTGAAGTCACCCAGTACGATACTGTAGTGGGAGACGGTGACTGCGGTATAGGATTGAAGAGAGGAGCTGAAGGTGAGTCTTTACATCTAACCTCTGTATTGGAATGTGATCTAACTCTCCGATCTACAGCTGTGCTCAAGCACATCAGTACGAGCCCCTTGACGGGAGATGTTCTGTCTGATCTTGCAGGCATTGTGCCCGTAATAGAGAACAACATGGACGGTACCTCTGGTGCTCTCTATGCTATTTTCCTAAACGCTCTCGTCCATGCACTCCAGGTCCCCGCTCCTGGTGCTCTTACACCCCAGACATGGGCCATAGCCTTGCAGCAGAGCTGTGACGCGCTTTCTAAATATACACCAGCTCGCCCAGGTGATCGTACCTTAGTGGATGCACTCTATCCCTTCGTTGAGATCCTAGGCAAGACGGGTAGCCTGGCCGAGGCTGCTAATGCGGCTCGAAAGGCGGCAGTGGAGACAAAGGGCATGCAAGCCAGCCTTGGTCGATCTGTCTATGTAGGTGGCAGCGGCTTCACACAAGTCCCGGATCCTGGAGCTTGGGGTCTGTCATGTTTCTTCCTTGGCCTTGCAGGTCTCCCGTCGAAGGAGTAAGTACAGAAAGGATGAAAATGAACTAGATCGACAAGGCACATGGAATAATATTACTTAACGTAAAAGGCAACTTAACTCTGTGAACATGTTCCATCCATCCATCAACTTTGCTCAAAGTGACCAATAGCTCGATCCTGATTCGTTCTACCTAAGCACACGACACATTACCGAGCAATCTCCTGAAGAATGAAGGGGGTTCCCACCTCGGATGCTAGCGTTGCATTCTGCATTCAGCCTCTGTCGAACATCAAATTTATGCGGGGACAAAATGCGGGGAGACAAAGGGACTCGGGCGTGGGGGTTCAAAAGTCTCATGGATTGTAGTTCATGGACGGGGCAAATATTACGTTGCTTCATGGAGAGTCCCCACAGCATGAGTCAAGCATAGCCGAAATGTATGGAGACCAGCCTCTCCTCGTGACAATATTCGGTCTGGTTTCTCTTAGCCGGAACCAAAGAAACGTGGGGGTCATCCTCGAGGTAAACTTCCGTGTTAAGGATGGCACGCCGAGTCCACTTGGTGCCATACTAGACATGGACCGACCGACATCGGTCTGAGGCCGCTAAAGAAGGGGCCAATGGAAGGGTTTAAGATGCTGTGGCCGTTGCTTTGGACCGGCCGAGTGAACGTATCCTGACCACTATCCTAATCTCCTTTCTCTGCCTTCTTCCACCCAGCGTTGGTAACATATATACACAAAAATTCCTTCACAAAATGGCCATATCCAGATCTACCGAGCCGCGCAAGCCGCTGGAAAACGGCCTCTATGTCCCCACGGTCGCATTCTTCACCGCTGAGGATGAAATTGATGTAGAGACCACTATTGCACACACTACGTTTCTCCTCGAAGCTGGAGTCGCCGGTATCCTAGCACATGGATCCAACGGTGAGGCCGTCCACCTTGACCACGCCGAGCGTCAACTTGTGACGAGTGCTACGCGGAAAGCCTTTGACCGCGCTGGAAAGTCTCACCTCCCCCTGATCGTTGGCTGTGGCGCCCAATCAACACGAGAAACCATTCAGCTCTGCAAGGAGGCCGCAGAGTCAGGCGGTAGTCATGTTATGATTCTCCCCCCTGCATATTACGGCGGCCTCCTTACCACCGACCTTATCAAGCAGCACTTCATTGCCGTTGCCGACGCCAGCCCACTTCCCGTACTCATCTACAACTTTCCCGCTGCCTGCAGCGGCCTGGACCTGAGCTCAGATGTGATTCTTGACCTCGCTCAACATTCCAACATCGTTGGCGTTAAACTGACCTGCGGCAACACTGGTAAACTGGCACGCGTGGTGGCCGGAACTGCCGGTACCAGCTTCCGAACTTTCGGTGGCAGCTGTGACTTCACCATTCAGACCCTCGCCGCCGGCGGTAACGGTGTGATTGCCGGCACGGGTAACCTCGCTCCCAGGGCCTGCATTCATCTCTTCAAGCTCTGGGAGCAGGGCAAGCTGCAGGAGGCGGCTGTGTACCAGGGTATTGTTGCTCGGGGTGACTGGGCTGCTATCAAGGGCGGGTTCGTCTCAGTCAAGGCTGCTCTGCAAAGATATCGCGGCTATGGTGGTCAGCCCAGGCGGCCATGTGCTCTACTCGAGGGTGAAGCATTAGAAGAGCAAGTAGGAGGCTTTGCCGAGTTGGTGGAAGCGGAGAAGAAACTACTTAAATAATTAGGTTATATTACATACACGATGGAAATTACTAGAAACAGAAATAAGGCTAAACAAATAAGAAGCTTTTCAACTACCACCGTTTCCCTGAGTGACCAAGTAAGAAGCGTGATCCAAGCCAACTGCCAACAGATGCTGGGTTAGTTCCAACTACATAACTGAAGATGATCCATAAATATCGCCTAGCATAATAGCTGGAATTTACACAATTGAGGTTGGAAAATCTGAGCTAGTTACACCATTAGAGCTCGCGATCATGTGGTTGAGGTTGAGTGTGATGTTCTGGTGTAATAGGTCCAGGGTAGGGAGTGATCACGACGCGACAGTAATAACAACAATGCTTATTACTCTCAGGCTGGATCGAACAGGGGCCAGTCCCACTGCTATCCAGTTGTTTAACCAATCACCGAGCACTGCTTAGATTTGCTGCCATTAGAGATTTGCGTGTCTGATTGCTGACAGATTGGCGAGTCTCACTTTGAGAGCCTTTGGCAAACGACCATCTCAAATTACTCGAATACTCGATCCAAGGCAACGGAGACTGGAACAATAAAGCCCGGACTTCGTCTCGAGGCTCAAAATGCCCCCGACGTCTCCATGTATGCAGTGTAGTCAGCGACGCCTCCTATGTGATGGACAGCAGCCGCAATGCGGATCTTGCCAAACATCCAACATAGCGTGCGAGATGCCACAGCGCGGAAGCCGCGGATCGAAGAAAGGGTATTTGAAGGCACTGAGGAGTAGGTTATCCCATCTTGAAGGAATGCTAGAGCGCCGAATGAGGGACCAGCAACAAGGGTTTCCTCCAGTCGAGGGCAGCGGCCGTGAGACCAATCATACATCTCCCCCTCATCCCCCAGCTTCACAGGCTATCGCGCCTCATCAGTCTCGCGATAGAGGCCCAATGGCCGTAATATCCGCACCAGAGACCATTCCAGAGACGATTCCATCAATGGACCCTTGGCCGGACTTCAGCCAGTTTCCCCAACTGTCCCTTTACTCGATAAATCCCACGAATTTCGGGAACGGCGTGGATCTGCCGTCCCATGTGCAAGCCGAACTGTATGTCCGCTGATCCATTTTGAAAGTATGGCAAGAAGATTGATACTAGCTTATCATATTACACAGGAATCAACTGTACTTTGACCGAGTTCACCCGTCTATACCTCTGGTCCACCAGAGACAATTTATGTCCCGGACAAAATCAGGTGAGACACTGTCTTCATCTAGATGTCTACAATATGCCATGTGGACTCTGTCCACCTTGTTCTCTGCTCAATTTCGTGACTTGACCGAGATTATTCATCATGAAGCCAAGCAGCTGTTAGATGGCCTCATAGCTTGTTATGATCGGGACAGTTCTGGAGATACTCAGCTTGTGCAAGCGTCAGTACTTGTAGCCATCTGCGAGTCTGTCCGTGCCCACCACCAGCAAGCATGGATGAGCGCCGGGCGTAGCTTCCGTTTAGTACAAGGGATGCGTTTCCATGAGATTGACAAACCCCGGATCGATGATTCAATGTCATCCCATCTAGACACCACGGAGACCGAAGAGAGACGCCGCACTTTCTGGGTGGCATACTTGCTTGATCATCTATTTAGTATGCGCAATGATTGGCCGATAACGCTGAGCGAGCATGTGGTAAAGACTTTAGACACATCCTATTCTCAACCCATCTATGTTCTACATGTAACTAACAAAATGCTTCTTCGGAACATATTAGCTATGCACGCGAATGCCAGCCCCGGAGGAGGCCTTCCAAAGCGGTCACAACACTCTAGGCCCATTTTTATCTGAAGCAATAGTAGCCCCTGGGCCTGCTGCTCCATTCAATGAATGTCTTATATTGGCTACCATTTGTGGGCGCAGCCTCTTACATTGCCAGCAACACAAAATCTCGCTGGCTTATGGTGGTCTCACTGTAGACTGGGCCGCTCAGAATCAACGACTTGACGAAACACTTAAATCGCGACTCGAAGCCTTCTCCGAATCTTGCGGATCTCCAGCGACGAATATAAACGGTCCATTGTCTGACTTTGTAGGTATATTTGGTCAGGCGACAGTGGTCTATATGTGCAAGGGGATAATGGAAACACTATGCTCTGCCACGAACTTGGGCAGATCAGATAACGGCAAAGAGGAAATACAACTTAGAGCCTCGAACGCGATTACTACTATCATCTCGCTACTTCAGCCCCTCCGCGAAATCCATTTTTCCAAGGTGAGAGAAATTTAGCCTGCGGCTGGATTTCGTGTGTATTGTGAGACTAATTTCACTGGATAGATACATCCACTTATGCCTCTTGTCCTGTTTTTCTGTGCTGAATTCTTGTACAACAATAGAACAAACCACGACTCTTTTCGAGAGCGCATACAGGGACTGATGGCTGCTCTAAGTAAGCTCCACAATGTTAACGACCCTGAGCAAACTTACCTGGATCTGCTACCGCGGTCATGCATTTCTTCCACTTCTGAGTGGCTAGCGAATGACACTGGCGGCATTAATGATAGATAGCGTCGAAATAAAACTTTTTAAGAGGGATAGCGATATCTGTGTTCTGCTATCCTGATCACTTTGGATTGAACTAACGTGAATGATTTGACTCTTCACGGCGGCATCTACTTTGAGATGATGTATTCCTAGATAGTCCATGTTAATTTCACCTTAATTTATATATGGTGACCAAACTTTCCAGAAATGCGCAAAACCTGAGAAAGAGAAATGGGGTTTTCAGATCCAAACACTTCAAAATATGCCATTTAGGTTTTGAAACACAACAATTATAAGACGTATTGTGTTTTGGAACACAGTAAGCGTGCCAACCTACATGACAAGGACATTGACTTGGGCGAGAAGTGATGTCCACCTCTCTTGAGACGTTCGACTCCAAATCCTCCTCAGGCATTCCAGACCCTCGAGGATGTTAATAAATCCATTCCTTGACTGATGCCGGAGAAGAATTTGTTCAAAAAACTCCTTGTGCTCGTCCAAGATGCTCGCAGAAGCCGCGATGAAGCATGCCCAGACCAGAACCCTTTCGCCAGGCGCTCCTTGAGGAAACGCTTCTAACGTTTCTTTAAAGTGTTGAACTCGAATAATGGAGGTCATATTTCCAAGTTCGTTAGAAGCCTGATCATCCGTCCGGTAATCGAACTGTGCTATGTATAAGTCTAGAGCTTGTTGCACCAAGTCTCTCACCAACATCATTGTTGGACTATGCTCAGGGTAATCCAATAATCTATGAGTTAGTGAGTTGAAAAGTTGCTCCTTGTGGGTTTGTGACGATATGAACTGAAGTCCTCTTCTCTCATCGAGGAGTGGTGCAGCATAAACACGCATCCTAGCGGCTATGTCAGTAAGAGTCAAGAAGACTAAATATCCCCTGGAGTACAACATACTTGTGGTTTTGTTTTTTAATAAAATCTGAAGCATAGACTCGTGGTAGCTTGTCTTCACCGCCCATTGCCTCTATCGCGGATTCTAGCATCCTAGACAACAGCAGAAAGTCCGAGCCCCCGGTAACCATTGCTCCAACAAATAGGATGAGAATGGTTATTGAAACGGAAATCTTGATATTTATATCTCCATTATTCAACCCTGGTTGGCTGCGGAGGCCCAGGATTACTCGATTGTACATCTCGTTGGGGTCTCGTAGGTCGTTCCAGGTGGTTGAGAGTTCGCATTTTGTTCTCCTATGGGCTTGCGTGGATTTATTCAACTCGAGATGGTAAAATGCCACCATTATAACCGCATCCATAACTAAGTCATCTGTTTGAGAGAGTGATAGCACCAAATGACGCCATTCATTGTGACTTCCATCGATGGCAGTCATTTCAGGAGCAATATTATCTGAGACTTCAACATTCCGAGTTGTCAGTTCTAGTCACGGTATCAAAATATGAAACACTCACAGTATTTGCACATTATTCGTTTCCATAATGGAGTAATTTCGGTGGGGATATGAGGGATACCCCCAATCTGATTAAACCTGGCCAAAGCCGTTTCATGCCTTTCCAGTTCTACGCTAGCCCCAAAGGCGTTGTAGCTAGATAAGTCCTTGGGAATGTATTCTTGTGAGATGCTATTTGTAGAATGAGAAATGTCTCCGTTGCTCAAGAAAACGGATGGCGATAAGTCTTCAGTACTTCCAAAATCGTGTAGTACTATTGCCGGGAACGTCTGGTCATAACTGCCTTGAGAGGCGAAGATAGGATCATTCGCACGAAATGTGTTTGGCCTGCTAAGATGGCTTGTCCCTGGCGCTTCTGATATAGCAGATACAGACACCGGAGCACCATATGGGAAGCGTAATTTGAGCCCTAGCCCAGTACATTGCAATCCCCGGGCAGCACACTTGTGACAAGTAGGCTCTGTGCGATCACAATGGATGCGGCGCCGAGAACAGGGGTAACATCCTGAGTTCACAGTCACTACAAGGCCTCATGCAATATATTGGGTTCGGTTATCGGATAGGCCTCCGGCTCACCTTTAGTTTTGGGTACATAAGGCCGCTTTTTCGAGGACATCTGATGTCAGTTACTAAACAGTAGATGCCCAGCATCCCGGTTTGCCGAGGAGACTTGAGAGAGAAAAAAACCGATTCCGTCAGATTTCTACTGTTTAGATGATAAGAAACGTGGCAGGTGGACGGAGAAGGTATGAATCTTGTTGAAAAGTAGACAGATTTAGGATCATGGAAGCCGAGAAGCGGGGTTTTGGCAATTCATGACCATTGACCCCAGATCTTCTCCACAAGCAGGTCATGACATGTTTGTTATCTGCCTCACTAGTCTGGATTTGGTTTAATTTGGAGAGCAGCTGTTATCAACTCGCCACTGGCCAATCGCCCTCGGTCCCAGATCAAGTCAAGAGTGGAGAGTCAGGGCCTCGGCTGTGACCCGAGTCCGATTCAGACGTTTAGATCTGGCTCAATGTGGAAGGAAAGCGGAGAGGTCATCCCTTCTACGTGGCCTAGTCCATCTAGCTCCATGCTGGGTGAATATAAGATGTAGACTGCGTTGACGCAACGCTCAAGTTAGTTCTCTGTTACTTCCAATCTGCTCATCTATACTGAAACATCCAGCGGCTCTCTGATATCAGCGACCGTACTAGCCTCCTCTCTCACAATGGACAGTTTTTCTCGCGTCAGTGAAATCTTAATGCCTGTTTTTTCAAAGCAAGGGCCTTTCGTTTGCCTGATTTTTTTCAGCACAACCGTTATTCTGCTTCTTCTTCGGACAGTACTGGTAAGTGTTTGTTGTTCCTTGCCTAGCATGATTCGAGACTGAGATCTGGATCTTAGAGTCGAGGGACGAATAAACGACTGGAATCATGCTTGGAAAAGCCGAAGCTTGATAGTTCAGTGGTGGTGGTCCCAACTATAAATCCTCTGGAGGAGTTTCGATGGGAAAATGAGCAGCAGCACAAGATCCGCGCCTTCAAGCCAATCTACCACATCACAATGGGTAATTATAAACTCACAAAATCGTACCGCAGCCTTTTTATGCAAACTGACAACAAGGATATAGCTGTCAGATCTGATACGCCATCAGAACTGATCACGATTGATTGTGAATATCTCAATAGGCTCCGTCTCAGAAGAGACATTCTTCAATCTGAGAATGACACAGTTCATGGATGCACCTCAATGGGAGAAGATTCAGTTGAGGAGCTATACACTTATCTCATCACCGATTATCTACCAAGCCGCTATCCAACCATGTTCAAACTTTCATATGACAAATCCATGTTTTTCAACCTGGTCACTGGAGAAAACCATCCCACCACCCCACCGAGCGATCCGAAGGCTGCATTGAAAATCCTCGGCACCACAGTTGAGGAGGACCTCTTCCTGCTCAAGAACACGCCGGATGGCCACCAGTGCGTTGCTTTCGTGTGCTGCTTTCCATCTGGATGGAACCCGTCCGCAAAATTGGGGGCACACATGACAAAGATTCACACAACAGTCCCTTCATATGAGAAGATTGGACCTAGCATTGAGAGGTTCTTCTCAAGGCTGCAAGTGGGTAAAGGCGTCAAGCGGAGCAATGTGAGTATGACGTGAAGATAATGGGCTGCTAGAATGCTTATAAATAACTCAAACAGTGGACCGTTCAAACACATGACAAACTTTTCAACGTCAAAGGCAACCATATCAGGCCTGGCGAAGAGGCTGAAGAGGAAGATATCGAGGTCGACAAGGTTAGTGCACCCAAAATCATTTGACCCTTGGAATAAAAAGGCTTACTTGGAAACAGACATTCGTGCGCGTCGAATTGCAAACTTTGACGCGAATGCCCAAGAATCAAGCTGTACTCTTTTCCTTCAAGACGTATCTTTATCCGATTCAAGAAGTAAAAGCTGAGGGTCTGGGTACTGAGTTTGCCGATGCCATTGAAGGATTGCAAAAGGGCAATGCCCCGGGCATGTGGAGGTACAAAGGTGCAATTAGATGGGGCAAGAGTGTATGTGAATACCTTCGAGCGTAGGTCCTTTTCTAGCGTTTTACAGTTGTGATGCTGGTGCGTGAGGTCCTGTCTCTTCCAGCTCCGCTCACGTGGTGGATGAACAACGAATTCACGAGATCGTATTCTTTGCTAGCGATCAACTAGAGTAGAGATATTTCGCGTACAAGATAGAAAGAAGTATACATTCCCTTTTCCCCTTCCGTCCACTAAATATTTGAAGATGTGATGGAGGTCCTTTAGGTTGGTTCTACCGCAGCGTTAGACCGGCTGCGGCGTTCCGCATGATCTCTGTTTATCTGTTCAATAACGTCGTCCCAGAGTCTTTTGATTTCATGGTACTTCTCTGCTTTGCAGCAGTAGAAGTATATCTGTGGTTCCTCTGAATATGCGAGGTTGTTTCCATCACGTTGCCCAGGGGCACTAATCCAAGCAGTCTCATAAACCACAACGCCTGAATCGTCCGTGAAAGAGATATCATCAAGAGAGTACCCTTCATCATCACTGTCAGTGTCGCTAGGCCCTCGGTCGCGGACGTCAAACAGATACTCAGGCTCCGTGTACACGCGTGGAAGCTTCTCGCCGTACAACTGCTCGATCACGCCATCCATCAAATCTGCCTTTGTAACACCCGTATCATTTTCTAGAGTGACATTGGCCTCGATTTCATCGGGGTGGCAACACGCGCATGCTAGTCCGTGAAGGACATCCATAAATGTTATTGAGAACTTCTTGACAGGCGGGTCCGTTAAGAATTCTGGTATCGTGTTGTCGGCAACAATAGAACTCTGTAAACGGCGGAAAACATCTCGCCAGTAGGTCTGAAAGGCAGCAGGCGAAGACGCATCAAAAGGTGGGCTAGCGCCAAGGGACTCTTTGGTGGTGTTCTCGATAGCCTTGATAACTTGTTGCCATTTCTCGGTTGTGGGTGTATCCTCTTCCATATCTTCCGGTGACTCTGGCTCTTCGGTTCGATTCTGCTCCTCCGCCCCGTTCACTACCGGTACACCTTCTATCTTCTGGCTAAAGAGTCGCCTTTGGATGGGAAAGGGGGTGGCCGAGAGGCCGAACCGCGCAGTTGAATCTCGCCAGTCAGGGAATACCGTCAAATGTTGGAATCGTGTTTGGCGAGGGCGGAAAGCTACACACTGCTTAATCAGTCCTCCCTGATTGATGATCGGCGGAGTATGTTGGACATCTGCTCGCGCGGTTGGTTGATGTATGTCTAAAAGTATGGAAATTTTCTATGCCATGATTTCCGTGCGGTGTTTTAGGTTAGATGAGTCAGACAGTGCCTGGGGCGACTGCTGACATTACTGCGGTTATGTCCCTGACTTCAGCAGTGCTTGGCCCAATAAGGAGTTAAGCATAAGCAACATATAATTACCGAAATCGTCCAAGATTGGAGGGGATGTGAGGCCATATGACATGTGCTGACCCTTGTGGTAGGGGAAATCCTGATGGACCTCGTCTCTATCATGACCAAAATGTAAGACTAGGGTAGAACAATAGACTATGTTCCTGCTTGCCAACTCAACAATTTCTAGTGACCAGATCTAGAAAGATTTGTTTCAAAAGCTTTTGTAAATTGGTAGGTCTGATATGAAAACGTAACTCAAATGAGTGTGTCACTAGATCTAGACGGAGTTGGAATTGTCTGCACAAGACCAAGCAGCTGAGCCCCCTGATGCCTTATACGAGTTGATGATGCTGACGACGGATCCATATGTGCCACCGATCATCAAGAATGTTCCTGAAAGAATAACAAATGAAGACCAGCAGACCATGACGTACCACTTTGCCGTCCGGTCCTGCTTATCCTTACTCCAATTGTCATATAGCCACATGCAACCCATCGGCTGGAAAGACATGAGTGTTCCCAAAAGGGCACCGATCAAGGATACAAGATCACCGAATACAGGGATAGCACTGGCGACGATGTATGCAATAACCGTGGTACCAAAGGTACAGCCTAACCATGTACCCCAGTGAACGGGGCTGTTTGAGATCAAATGCTTGGACCCACGCATCAGACGAAGGAAGATGTATTTGCTGGGGAGCTATGAGTATAATGTTAGTGAGTGAGTTATATATCGAAGTTCGGATCCAGAGCTTACATGGATGACTATGGTTGTGGTAGCAGCCAAGCCTGGCAGTGCCAATCCATAACAGATTTTCTTCATCAAGGGCCCTGCCGAGCCCAAAGCTGGAGATGCCACATATGAGCCACAGAAATAGTAAACCACGCAGCCAATGGCGAGATACGTGGCAGTGACTCCAACCTGGCAAATGACGAGCGCTCTGGTGTAAAGTCGAGGATCACGCATTTCAGCGGCAATGGGGAAGAAGGCGGGGGTGCCGGCGTAGGCGAAGACGAGAGAGGAGAGGGCAGTGGCTGCTTCTGTGAATGACGGATGGTTGATAATCTTGTAGTCCGATTTCCAATGGCCCTCTTGGGGTGCAGCCGAGGGTCGATCCTGAACTCCAACAGCGACAGTTACGATGAAGACTGAGGCACGGATGTCAGCCACTAGGTCAGATGGTTAGCAACAGTGAGAAGTTTAGTACTTACTGGACGAAAGAATGCTTGCAAGGCCAACCCAGGCAATCCAACTGATCCGGCCCAGGGTCCGAATGCTGGCAAGACAAAGCCCGATAATGGCGGCAACGGCGACGAAGACTGCAGTGCATGTGCCGTGGTGCGAGATTGCATTTAAACCAATGGAAATGCCAAGCATGCCTGACCCAGACACAAATACCCAATCTAAGGAGAAGTCAGAACAAGACATAGACGGTATAATATCCCCATTCGGATGGAGCAACTCACAGATGCAGAAAGCCGCTCCAAGAATTTCACGGCCGGCCCGACCAAAAATCAAACCGCCAGCATCGTCGATGCCGTAAACCTCTCGATGCCGTAGTTTAAACACTCCAACAATATAGTTCGACCAAGTTGTGATCCCTGCAATGGTACACATACAGATGACCCCCGGGACAATTCCAAGTGTATTAAAGGCAGATGGGATCGAAAGCACACCAAGGCCGATCATCGTCTTCATCATCAAGGCAACCGTACCCAGCCACCCGACCTAGGCAGTAAAGGCACATTCAGTTTGTGAAATCATACATTCAAGAGTATTGACAACATACGTTTCGATAGTTGGGCCCTTCTTCCGTGATCTCGCCAAATACTGCATCGTGATCGCCTGCCGGCTTCTGGGCGTCGCCAGCCAACGAAGCCGGAACATCCGAGACTTCAAGGTCTTCGTTCGGCCTTGACTTCTTTGAAATAGCCATATCGATTTGGTAGTATGGCTAGCGACGATGGATCGGTGGCGGTGTTAAAAAGATTCAGTCTTCCCTTTTATAGCCAAAACGGGTGGTATGATTGTTCGAGTATGATATCAGGATTGGAATTCAAAATAGTATGATTTGGCAAAGGGATTATAGCGTCACTGAGGAGAGAGAAGTGCTTGAGTCTAGGGAGCCCAGCATATTATAGGTGAATGAGGACTTTCCCCGGCAATTCGGAGTACGTCGAAGGTTCACCTGGAGGGCTAAGTACATATTTCAATGGAGACTGGGGAAGGGCGTGTGGAACTAGTGTAGTAAGAGCAATGACTCGAGATACGGTCGAAACCAGACTTGACAGTCAGTTATTTCCATTATCAAATCTCCACCCCTGCTGGTACGGCGCAGAGAACATTGGGGTTTGAGTCTCCGGGGTCGATTGGTTTCCATTTCATCCGCACGGCCCCTATGATAAGCATAGAGGAGCCCGAGATTGGGCCAGTTATAAAAATGGCGCGAGCCTAGCCCAGAGCTGTTCTGTCCTCACATCGCCATCCCCACAGCTTCTGTTTTGCAATGATTGAGTGACGCACCGGGGCTCAGGGGTTCTTGGCGCTTTACGAGAAATACATAGTTGGCTAGCTCTGCATGAACAGTCCAAAAATTAGCACAAAGTTGGAGGCGACGGCAGTGACGGATAGCCGATTTCATATTTTATCATCTTCATCACTACGGGGCTGGTCGGCTCTGGGGGTTTCTGAAGCGAGTCGAAGGACTTGAGAGAACATGATATTGCATTCCCCTCTCTTCAACCTTACACTTGCTCATCTCAACAACAAGATCAGTTTGTGCCCTTGGTACAAATACTTCATAACCACGGCTGATACCTGGGGTAAAGAGTCTCAGCTGAGTGCGGGGATGCCGAAAAAGGTTGCTGCTTAACAATCTCTTACGTATTAGCTTTTATCTCCTGAGGTATCTCCAAATCAGCGGCGCGAAGCATGGTGTGGAGGCAGGTCGAGGCGACATGTTGGGTCCACGATCTTCAAGCAACTGACCCGCTTCGACCACGCAGCACCATCAGCTAATTAAATACCTCAGCGCCACTGGCCGGTTGGCAGATGCCATCAGTTAGTGGCCTGATGGGAATGATTCATAATCCGGCTGCCGTGTGAAGCAGTTGGGGTAGCTGGCCTCTGTGTCCTTTGCCTGAAGGCCTCCCATGCAGCCACCATCTTCCGGTTTCTCCAAATCTACTCGATTAGGACAACTGAATCATGATATTCAGCCACCTAACATTACCCCGAGGCCAAGCTCGGCAGTCACCGATTCGCACGGGAGCCCGATCTAGTGGATTGCTGGCCCGATCAAGAACCGCAGGCTTCTATCCCCAAAACCATCCAACAAGTAGCCCAGCAAATCAGCGTCGTGTAGCCCAGGTACCCGGAGTCATATACTTGTCATAGAGCTCCAATTTTTTTTTAAAGGTGTCATCAGCAAATTTTCTCTTGACGGGTTCCATCCCGAGACCGTCAACGGGAATCGTCCCGATGTCTGGGATCAGGGCTAGGAGAGTCTCAAAGAGGAAGCAGCTGCTCATCAGTCGGTGAGACCCCCGAAAATGTTGATTTTGTTACGTTTCGAAACACCATATTGTCCGTCATTTCCAGGTTCCCCGGATCCCCAGAGAGCGCAATTACCAGCGGTCATAACGTGCATCAACAGAGGTATCCTCCCCCACAAACCTGGGGGCGGATATTGTACGTTGGTGTTTGATGGATCCTATTGCGTAACATTAGCCATTATTTATGTAACAAGACAATGCTGTGCTAGGCGCGAGGTCCTTGGTCAGCTTCTCACTCGCACTGGGGACAGACTGCCACCTGCGTCACGCCATATGCACTAGTTAGCCGATGGTGCCTTGAACATTAGAATTTTAGATCACACCGCTCAAAAGGGCAGAGTGATGGAATTTCGACCAATTCAATTCATATTTGGGTTTTGTACCGCTAATCTTTTGAGTGTAGGAAAGGGGGAGGCATCCAGAGTAGTCACCACCAGCATTAACCATAACTTGGTCTACTAAGGAGAGTTATGTATAAAGAAAAGGGTGCCCAAAAGGGTTGAAAAACTGTAGAGCCTTTTGCTGTTAGGGTTAAGCTAGCTTTCTTTCTTACCTCACGAATGATAGAGCTTGACGTTCTACGTAACTGGCTAAACTTCGCCGAACTTTAGACACCAGGCCGTAGCTTTCCCACGTCTCATGATACGACTCTAGGACGGCCTTGACATTCTAGGCACTTCTACTATCTAGCCCAAACCTAATCCAGGTTATTTGAAACAGCCGAGTCAAATACTTGAGAAGAGGAATGGTTAGTTGGCTTAGATGTGTTCCTGCCCGAAAGATACAACGGGACAAGGCTGCCCCAGTTGACTTACTCAGGACAGAGAATAGCGGTCACCGAATTAGATATTGACGGTTACTCTTGACAATATTGACGATATCACCAAACACGGAGGGGTACTATTCAAGTCTGATAACTTAGCAAGCCGCATCCTCCCATCTTCTCATCCTCCCAGCATCTCGACATAAAAGCCTATGCAGGAGGCCGGAAGCTGAAAATACCGGTACCTATTCTAAGTTGGTACGGAAAAGTGGCAATCCTTGAAAGGCGGGTGACATTAGGTTTTATCACTGTGGTCGTGCCTATGGCTAGGACGAGAGCTCCTTCGATAACGAATAACTACTTTTGTTGAATGGCTCCTTGCTTACAAATGTGGTAGATACAACAAAATGAGTTTGATTCCAGTGAGCATAGCTATGCCAAGAAAGTCGAAAATGACGACCAATAGTATCTTTCTTCAGGTAATATAGGCTAAACCGAAACTCGATAATGTTTTGGATATAATGGTGGCCTATCGACATACGTGGGAGGAGAGAACTGTGGCGCAAGAGAATCCATCCTCATTTAGAAGTAACTATGCCCACCATTTCAACGATCCAGCATCCTGGTTAAGTGCCCAATCTGCCAAGAGGCCCGGGTTCTCTTCAACTTTTGCCAGGCAAGCCAGCAGCCATGCCCACTCCGCCTCAGACTCTGAAAAGTGATCCATCCAGAGAGGGATGATTCCATCCTCTGTTATTTCGTCTGCAAGAACAGGATTGGAATGCTTCATTCTGCCCCATAGTTCCCGAAACTGTGCAGCCTGTGTCCGTAATTCCGCAACTGTGCCGTGTTCAAGGAGATCAATATCTCTCTTTTTCTCCCTAAGTATATCTTCTATCTCCTCTTTATATCCAGTGAATTGCTCACCGAAGTAATTTAACCGCCAGTAGATGGATTTAAGTCGGTTCTCAATGTCCTTACGATGAGAAAGATGGACCATCCGAAACCAGAGCAAGAGAGCCTCAGTCAAAGCCTCACGCCCCTGCTGCTGCTCGACGCAATTATTGCACCGCAGGCCCTTGAGAGGCCTTGTTCTCCTTTCCGACTCGGTTTGGTGCTCGTTTCTGGGCCAAAAATACTTCAATTCGCCGTTTTGGTTGTGAACAAGCGTCCGCTTCACATGGAGAGGACCAATCCGGAATGCATAAGTCTCCTTCCACTGTTCGCATCCAGGGCAGCGGATCATATACAGTGTCCAAGGCTCATGGGGCTTATCCCATCGGCAAGGTCGGTACACGCGTGGTGGAAATGGTGGTGGTTTGCACTGCAGCACATCTCCGAGCCGGGGGAAATAGCGGTGGAAACAGGAATCCAGTAAAAGCTGCCGGCTTCGGACAATGGGCACTTCTCGGGTACCACCCTCCAAGTCGATTCTCGATCGAGGCAGATACGGTGTGAGTGCTCTCTCCTTGAATCGGCACTCGTTGCATCGACGTTTTCGACGGCCATATCCGCAGCGTTCCTCATCAGGTACGGGCCAGGCCTCACCACTCTCTACTGTGATCTTCTTCTCCTCTACTTTTGCTAGTTTTGTCAGCTGCCTGGCTTTGCGCCCAGAGTCTCTCCCGTGTAGTGAAGGAACCCAGGACGTCGTGAGGCTAGCGGCAGGCCATTCTGGTGACGGTTTCCGATTGCGAAGCCGCAGAAGAGAGCGGTTGTCAAAGTGACTGTGGGGGAGTAATTTCAAACAGCTAGTGCATGCCCACCGCTGGCCTTCCCAGGGGCCAAGGGTTCGGTGTAGCTCGACATTGCCCAGGTGCGTTTCGTAGAAAAGCGAGGTGCCACCTCCATACCGCTCAAGGCATTCTATCATCAGCAGCCGCTCCGTAAATTCATTCCTCCCGGGCTGAATCAGGTTCCGAAAAAAGCGACAGGCCTGGCTGAGAGATATGAGGCCGACGGGATCCAGTTGCTGGATTATTTTGACCTGGATTTCTTGTGGCACCTGGTCCTGGAGGGGCGCATTGTGTGTGGCGACACTGTCTTTCATTGTTCTGGGTTGGGTTGGTGATATTCATGAAAAGAGTGTTGAAAACGGAGAGATTCCTTGGAGATTGTTGCGGTAATTATATTTGTTGCGGGTGGACTGTGGCAGTGCACGGATTCACCGCAGGAGTCATCTTTTTCCAACATCATATCAGTGCGGTCATTCAGGGGTCGGAAGTCATACACAGCATTTCAACTTGTCTAGGGCGTGAAATAAGCTTGAAAGTTGCAATACTTTAATGACAATGCTATCACTATTCTCCGCTCGATGCATGGCAAGAGGACTTGAGCTTGCTTTGATTACCGGAGGAGGCGCTCTTCTTATTATGCTCCTACTCCATCCTCCTTTCGTCTAGAGTGACGTTGATATACGAAAGACAAATGCCGGGAAGAGAAAATCCATGTGGGTACATGGTTGTTATTTCTTTTTCTCCTTTTTTTCCTGTCGGTTTTCTTTCACATTAATAACTCGACATCAAATTATCAACCTAGGATTCCTTGTATTTTGTGGAGCATTTGAAATAAGAGAGCTTATGCTGTTGGATTAGATCTCCCAGCCGAAGAACTTGGCAGAAGTTCAGAGTATTGCAAACGGTTGCTATCCAAGTTCTTAGACTGGATAAGAAATTTCGGATGTCAAATAATATACAATAATCGGTAGATAACGTAGGGAGACTACTGGAGAAATACAAGATAGCGCGTACGTTGTGAGGGTTGTTCTCTTTGACTCCCCTGCATGTGCTGTCAGCATATGACAACTTGTACATAAGCACTACGGGGACCCTGGAAATATTGTCGTTTACTGTGAGTTGTGATTGGCTGATGATTATGTACCAATCGGATGAGCATGAATCCGTGAGATTCTCCACGGAGCGCCGGGCTGATGCAGTACTCTCTACTCAAACATCATCACAAATCGCCTGCAAGTCTCACAAAGTACATCAATCACTATCAAAGCGGTCTACATTCACTCGACAGAATGCGTAAGCTCCACTCCAAATCTAGATTGGGCTGTAAAGTATGCAAGGTACGACGGGTCAAGTGCGACGAGACCCGACCTTCATGCAAGCGATGCTCACAAACCGGGCGAACGTGCTCCTTTCTTGCCGACGTGCCCGTACTCCCTCCATCGATTCCATCCCCGCCGAACTCGTCCAGTACCGAGTCAATCCCCAGCGCCGCCTCATCAGTGGTGTTCGAGCCCTTGCCCAATGTCAATGGCCCTGGAAGCTCTCACGCCAGACCTGCCGATAGCTCGCTGGAGGAGCGGTATGGCTCGTTACATTTGTACCTTCTTTATCTTTTTGAGCACCAGCCTTCCGAACACATGAGATTAACACACCCGGGGCTGGACGACTTGCTGAAAATGATGATAAAGGAGGCGTTCAAGACACCCTACGTCATGGACCAAGTATTGGCCTACAGCGCAGCCCATGAGAGCGTGCGTGATCAAAATAACAGAGATTCTCAGCAGCTCTACGCCACGGAGGCCACCAGACTCCAGACACGGGCACTTACCTTGTACAACAATGCCAATCCCCAGGTCTCAGCGTGCACTTGCCTCCCAATGTTCATATTTACCTCGCTGCTGGCTCACCACACTCTCTTCGACGTCCTCAGCGATTCCAAGAAGGGCCTGGGTGCGGTCATAGACGGGCTGACTCGTTCTATACCCGTTCACCGCGGGCTTATGGCCGTTGCGGCAGCCTGCTGGTCGATGTTTTCCCCAGAGCTTCAAAAGCAGTTTCTTCAGACCTGTCTGCGCGAACCCAAGGATATAAATATCGCCTCGGATGACGAGTGTGATAGCCTCAAGACTCGCCTAGAGAAAAGTGACCTGAGCGCCTCCTCTATCGCAATACATCTTGAAGCCGTCGAGCTATTGCAGCGCCTGTTCGACAATGAACGAAACGCAGTATCTCTCCAGCAGGGCAACTTGGCACCCCTACAAGACTGGTTGGTTGGAGTGTCAGCCGAGTTTGTATCATGCATCCAGCAGAGACGACCAGAGTCGCTTGTCATTCTCGCCTTCTACGCTGTTATGCTCCATCGTGCTTCTGATTACTGGTTCGTCGGAGATTTGGGGAAATGCCTCATTTATCTAATCAATGACCAGCTTGGTCCAGCCTGGGAGGATTGGCTCGCATGGCCTAATGGAATGGTGGGATATCACAATAAGGGGGCGGGAGAGTACGCTTAGGTCTCGCCCTGAGTTCAATGTTTCATGATCATCATACCATCCTCCTCGACCCTAGCCGGAGAATCCGAGGAGGAAGCTCGCGCCCAGGCGGATCCGATTGGCCACCAGCTAGCGCTGATGACAGTCCCACAAGAGATCTACGACTGAGAATATGACGATGTATTAGTGGTAGCATGGCGTATATTAGTCCCTTCAGGCCCCTTTCCTAGAAACTGGAAAACTCCCTTTTATTCTCCAAATTACGACTGTTTACCATCTTTTTCAGCCGGACTATACTAGGGAAAATCCAATTATACGCTCACAGCCAGCATTTTACAACGGTCGAACCCCTAAACTTGAAAACAAGACCGGGGACCAAGGCAACTATGGCTACTGCCGTGACTCTATCATTAAGCTCCTTGGGACTACTAGTCCTGGCTCGCTGGGGATGCAGCCTCGCCGCGAACACGGCAGTTTTCTTTCGACGTTCCGGAGTGCGTCGATATCTGGAAGTCGAGCCCAACGCCAGTGCCGGCGCCAAGGAATCGTGGGCGCTCATCACAGGCTCAGGAGCTGGTCTCGGCCGCGCTCTCGCCTTTGAACTCGCCGGCTGGGGCTTCAATATAGTTCTGCACGGTTCCAACGCAGCCAAACTCGAAGCCGTAAAGGAGGAGCTCCAAGCAGCCCACCCCTCCCGCTCCGTCCGGACACTGGTCCTCGATGCCCGGATAGGCGGGCTGCTCCACGGAGCTGATCTGGAGGCAAAGCTGAACGCAGCCGTCAAGAGTTTGGATGGTATTCACATTCGCATCCTGGTTAACAACGTGGGGATGCCTCAAGCCCGGCCCGAGCTTCGAGCGCCATTTGACGCATTGGATACGTTTACCTATGACGAGCTATCGATCAATGTGGCGGGGAACGCAGTATTTCCATTGCTCCTCACGCGTGCATTATACCCGCAGTTGATCAGAAACCAGCCGGCGCTCATCATCAACATGGGTTCCTTGGCCGCCGAGGGGTTTCCCTTGTTCCCGTCATACGGGCCGGCCAAGGCATTCCTGATGGCTTCCACGGCCGAGCTGAGGCTGGAAAATAGGATAGAAGACCGGGACATCGAGGTTCTGGGAATTGATGTAGTTGGAGTAACAGGCACGGACACGATCAAGGACAAGCCAAACTTGATGCTTCCCGACGCGCCAACGTATGCCAAGTCAGTCGTGAGAAGTATCGGTTGCGGGCATGCACGTGTAGCACCCTATCCCCCACACGCGATCTTCCTCTGGGTCATTAGGACGCTTCCGTCGTGGCTTGGCGATACAGTCAAGGCGAATATGCTCAAGGGATTGAGAGCGGAAGCTGCTGCCAAGTTGAAGAGTGCAAACGCCTCTCCATAACTGCTAGGAGAAAGGAACACACGTTAGAAGGTAGAGCGGAAGCCTTGTTTACCAAAAAGAGTGCAGGGATTTCATAATTTATCGTCTAATATGTACACACAGCCACTGGCCGTTTGTTGAGCCATCAACGGCTAGATGCAAGGCATCGCTACTTGATGATAGACATAGTTCGAGAGGTTCATAGTCTAGAAGCCTTTCTCCAATGTATCACGTTATCGGAGAAATGAAGCCCCTATTACAGCTCGCTTTTCTGCTTCCGCTCATCCGCTGCCTTCTTCAGCTGCGCAATGTAGTCATTTTGCTTCGTTCTCCTTTCCTCCGCTCGGTCAGACTCTGCGAACATTGCGTCCAACTCTGCTCTGGATTCCTCCGCAGATTTGGGCTCTTCTCCCGACGTCACCCAGCCGAACGGGATATTCTCCGTTAGCAGAGACTTGAAGATAGGCTTCCACTGTTGGTCTCCCGCCAGCTTCCCCATGGGAATGCTGCGGCCAGCCTGAACGCGGCCATCTGGGAATGCGCTGTCCCAAGCATTTCGGACTCCGGTATCTGACTTGGACATGGGGACCCAGGCCATCGGGGTGGGCGGGTGGATTTTCAGATAGGAAACCTTGCGGTCGCGATCCCGTCGCCACTTTTGGTATCTCTTTGTCGCGTCGGCCTCCTGCTCGGGGGTGAGGACGAGCTTGAAACCAGCACCTCCAGGCTCTGCTTTGTTACCAGTCTCAGCCTCGCCAAATGGGTGTTGCGCGATCAAGGGCGTCAGGAAGGTCGTGTCGCTGGCATCTTCCCAACGTTCGGGCTTCCCAGGTGCACGCTCAAGATCACCCCAGTGGCGATGAAGGGCCTTTACTCGGCTGTGGATGGAGAATGGCTCGTCGGCAATTGGTTTGCTAGGGGATCCTCGGTTCGCGGCCGCGAGAATGGTCTGGCGAATGTCCGTCTCCTCGAAGACCCTCCAGCAGATATCTGTCCGAGTTTCCAAGCTACGGATCATGTCTGAGAATAACTGGTAGTCATCCTCGGGTAGTGTAGTTGGAGTCAGCTGGCGCAAGACCTGCGTCATGTATACCACTGTTGAGGCTGTTAGCATGACGTGAGACAAAGTGAGCTGCCAACTGCGAACTTACCCTCTCTGAGGACTGGATCCTGTTCGGGAAGGAAATCCCGCCAGGGATTGATCTTGGCCAAATTGGCCTTGGTGACTTCGGGGCTGGGCGTATCGCGCATATATGCGAGCTCCTCACTGACAGCCGTGCCAGCGTCATTCAGCATGCTCAGAAGGGAGGAAATAACTACACCCCAGAAAACATATCTGAAGATTCGATTTTCCGTCAAGGAGATTATCATGTTAGTTCCGGCTTTGTCTTTGTCATCGGCGTCTCCCAGTTCCTTGCGTTCCTTGTCATATTGACGCTGTGCTTTCTCGTGTTCTTCCAGGGTGAAGGATTCGAGCAGAGAATACAGCATGTCCAGGGCCATGTCAAATGCAAACCAGGCCAACAGGAACTTGTTCAGCGTTTGGACTGCCGGAGACTGCAGGGCCTCTCCCAAAGGCCCGTACATGTCAGGCTCTAGATTCATCTCAAACATGACGCGATCCATGGGGTCCATGGCATATTTCCCAAAGAATTTCTCCACGCCCCACAGCAAAGGCTGCAAGATAAAGAGTATATGTCGAAGACTGATTATGGTCCGGTAGGTGGTGCTCTCCAAGACCCGACCAATGAGCCCGTCATCCTCGAGGGATTTGCGCACGGCGCGGAAGATCCAAATGACCATACCGTACAGCAGATGCAGAAAATATCAAGAAGTTGCTAATGCAGAACGAAGCAGTTGTATATGATGATGTGTGTGGCTGCAAAAGTACCTATTTTGACCCTGGGGGAAACAACGTTTAAAAGGGCTTTTCCTCAGCGTGAATCGAGGATTGTTGCCTAATTTTTCAGTTCTAGTGGGCCATTTTAGGCTTTCTAGCTTTCTTATTGGCTGATTTACGATTGGCATCAAAGAGGACTAGATGCCAAGAAATTCACTCATGAAGGATTCAACTATCAAACCACAACACTTGATTCACTATCAAGACTTTTTATTAGCCACCTTACTGAGGCTTCGAAGGCTGAGGCTTTATCGTTAATATTGCAACTTGCTTGGTATTCTTAATGTACAGGCAGCTTTCAATAAATGCCCAGAGTAACTACCTCCGTAGATGATTACTAAAAGAAAGCTACGTCAGCAATTTTAAAATTACTTATTACGGTAGCAGACAGCGAGACCAGCTTTAAAGCAATTGGGCGTCTTGACAATAGACAGCTAGGTCCGCTGAACAGCAATCACACGTCACAGTAGCATATAGCGAGCTCAGCATTACAGCCTGTTTGATTGTATAACAGGTTGTAAATTTATGTAACAGGCTATTGAATGACGATGGACATTGTCCCTGTTATTGCTCATAAACCCTTCCCCTGCGTGAGGTTGGTAACTGCCATATCGGCTGTCAAGTGTGTCGTGGTGGTCGAATAGTTAAATCCCAAAATTAATATGTATGCCAATCAAAGTTCAGTCTTTTTGCCCATTGGTAAGGCTAACGCCCGGTCACTCATAAGGTCTCATGCTAGCATTGACTTGTGACCGGCATCGTGACTCTATCTTCAGCATGAGGCCCTTCATGATCCACCTTAAAATCTTACTCCTCCGATAGCCACAGACAGCTTAAAATAGTCCAGCTTAATTTTAATCTTTCATTGTAGTCTTACTGGACGGGCGATGACGGAGAAAGAAGATTACAAAACCACATTTTCCGCCTCTGTCATAACTACATTCTACACTATTACTACTCGCCTCCCATCAAAACACTCAACACTCGAAACCCCCAATTTGGGATTATATCCTGCGATTACTCCTCACACTATTACACCGTGATCTCTCGGCAAGGTCGCGATGCCAAACCCTCTGGCAACGGCCTCGAGCTGGCTTCACAAATGGGGCTTCTTCACGGTTAAAAGACGTGAAGAGCCCTTATACCATGGCAGGAGCACACCGAGGCATTAGTCTCTCAATTAGAGAAAGAAATGGACCCTTTTAGTGCCAGGATCATGTATAATGAACAGTACTGCTCTGCTCTTTATTTACTTGCCGAAGAAATCTTGATCCGCGTCTTAGAGATCCTTTACCAAGATGAAGTATCGATTTTCATTCTTCGGCAGGTTTCTAGGAAGTTCCACCTTCTTCTGAAACTACCCCAATTTCAGTACCATCGATTTGCACACGCTAATAGCTACACTATGCCTACGCCGCAGAACGGGGGAGATATCCTTTTTGAGGACCCTGTTACGTTTAAAAAGAGCCTGCCGTCACCCCCGCGCCTAGTTGAAACTAAAGAACATGCTGCTCTGCGTGCTCAAATCGCTATCCTTCTCCACATCGACTCATACTGCATCAGATGCCCCGAATGGGACCGGCCTGAGAGAAGGGGAGAACCCAGACTTTGCCAGAGATATTGTAACTTCCGTGCACTATATTCACACACCTATTATAGCAACGCGTGCGGTCTGAGCCGGCCGTGGCCAATGTTCTCCAAAGAAGAGAGCAGGAAAGCCGGGCTGTACGAGCGAAGGGTCTACAACGGAATCCTGGGGAATGTGCGTTTGTGCGAACACGAAGTTATCACAGGGGCACTGATGAGGGTATGTCTTTCGCAGTGCCAGGCGATGGCAGCTAGGGATAGTTCTGAACCCAACAGCGTGTTCGAAGTAGACGTCAAGACTTGTGTACACGCTAGCCATCAGCACACAGCATGTACTTCCAATACTCCCTGAGCCCGCTTGATATTTCACAACAGAGGCAGGTGGAGGTTGGTGCTAAGTTGGGAGCCGCACTCTGGGCCGGTGGCCTTTTTCTCCCACCGCTCAGGGAAGTTTAATGCTGTGGAGATGCGCAATCAGTTTCGCCAATACCGGCGGAGTGCCGCACAGTATTGTCCCAGAGATTGCTTGTGATGTTCTCCTTGAAATGACTTGTTTCCGTATTGGCGAGTGTGATTGTCTTGATTATGGCAACGATGCACAAGTCGGAAAGCTTCTGTATGGGAAAGCAAGCACACTGGTTCAAGATTATATACGCAAAACCCATATTCCCTTCATGCTGGCACCACTGCATGCAGCCACCAGCAACCATATGAAAGTGCTCAGCATACTCATATTCGAGTAAATGTTTGCCAGCATACAAACAAGAAAGATGCCTCTGAATCCCCTTGCATAGTCACCAGCTATAAGAGGATTATCGAGGGATTCTGTCACAGACAGGGGTTGAAAGCGATACCTAGTCATGATTGGTTACATGCCATAGACCGTTCATCATATAGCTCGCCAACAACGAGACGGGTTAAGGAGAGCTGTAAAGACCTTTCCTGCAAGAACGGTTATGCTCTCAGCATACTTGGATGCTATAATCGAGACCTTTAGCTAACTAGGGTGGCTAAGAATGTATTTCGACTAACGAAAGGAAAAAAGAGTTGGACATGTTTTACTTTGACTCTGTGGTGCTGGGCAAACCGGGTGTTACACTTGGATTTATCTGAAATTATCGTTCCTTTGTTTCAACTAAGCTCTTAAGGCCGTTAATAAACTTATGGTGCATTTCCCTGCTAAATTAATCGCATGCTATATAATCTATATCTCTATCGGCGTGACAAAATAGCGTGACAAAAGAACGTGGCAGGATGTAGGGTAGGCAAATTACGGGCAAGGGGTGAAGTGCATTAGAATACCAGACTGTAAGTATGTTTTTACATCTGAAATTTCTAATACAGGTGATCAATAATGATTCTCAAGTAATCATTATATAATATTATCATTATTAAAAGGGCTACCTATTTATAACGCAATAAGAAGCAATATTAAATGACCACCACAATACTTCTGTCCAGGAGACTCTACCTGTTTTTATGAGGGCCACCTGCAAGCCAACTCCCCACACCCACCAGTGAAGCATGAGAGATTTGCACAGAGACGCCCTTGAATTGGGTTTCAATCAAATTACTCGCCCCAATTTGCGGTCCAAATAAATATGTCAGATTGCCCTGGCGGCTTGAACAGCCAGCCCCGAATTAACTTGAAAGGAAAAATGAATCTACATTCTCAAGCACTACAACCCATATCTCAGCCAGAAAAAGAGGACGAGACAAGCCCTCCAGCTCATTTATCTTTTCTACCACACTTTTCCCCTCTGTCACCTAGCTAAAAACGGCGCTTACCACATACAAAGTGTTTTCCCTGAATCTAGTTGCATAACACAACATCGTGGTTCACTCACGCGCCATGAGCAACCAAAGCCTTGGTTCGGGAATTCTTGCAGAGTTAGCTGATGGGTCAGAGTTTCATCCTATATTCACCCAGAGTCACTACATTGGACTGGGCCTTTCCCTCCCTATTGTGACTTCGGGTATTGGTAGGAGGATATTAGGACACAGGCCTGCTTCATCTGGGTATGGTGCAGGAGCTCAAATGGATGAGCTCTCCAACTGGTGTCGTCTTTCAACAATGACCTCATGAAGGCCCGGAGAACTTTCACTCAAAAGCTCCGTTTAGGAAACAACCGCCCGACCTTGGTTTGATAGCCAAATATCTGGGGGGAAGCCTTCATCAGTTCATTGCGCTACCAACCACACATTGTCACTTTAAACCAAGCCGGTCCGATTGGTCTAGGCCGATTCATAAGCGGAACGGAATGGGCAGAGCTGAGGTTGAAGGGAAGCGGTATGACTGGTCAGTTGCGGGGAAAAGCCCGCGCGCTATCTGCATCGGGTGTTCGTGATGCGTGTGAGGGGCAAGGATAACGGAGAGAGCTCTCCTGTTAGAACGTAAAAGGGAATAAAAACCCGACAGTTTCACCCTAAGCATTCATTGGTCTGGCAAGCTGGGGTAAAGGCTTCAGAGTTCTCCGCGTTTCCCCAGCCTATGGTGCATAATTTCCCCACATCCACTCAAGAATCCACTGCAAGGCGGGCAACCAGCCAGTAAAATGCTTTGCGAGTCATTCATCTAAGCCAGGATATGACTAGATAGTGGCACGGTGCGTGGGGAGATTTCAATATGGTTTCTTTCAAATATTTATAAATTACTTGATTCCCCCGAGTGCTTTTCTTCGGATATCTTCATACAAGAGACATAGCATCGATCTTCCATTGACACGTTTCCTCATCCGCTCGCAATCCTTCTCATTTTGGTCACTATGGCTTCGCAAGATCTTGCCAAGAAGCATCAATTTGAGCACACGGAGGATGTCAATAAAAACAGCCTTGATGCCGGGAGCCAGATCGATAAGAAGTTGCAAGATGAGATGCCTGATTTTGACGACTCCATCGAGGAGACAGCGCCATCTAAAGCTGTCTGGCTCATTACTTTCACCGTCGCCATGGGTGGCTTCCTTTTCGGTATAATCCTTCCATTCATTCAGCGTCACGGCCAGATACTAAACAGTTGTTTGTCTTAAGGCTACGAAACGGGTGTCATTTCAGCCGTCCTTGTCACCCTCGGCGACGACCTCGGACATCCTTTGACCACGTCCGAGTCCGAACTCATAACATCTCTTACGTCAGGAGGTGCCCTCGTTGGTGCTGTCATTGCAGGTTTAATGGCCGACAAGTTTGGTCGAAAGGCTGGTATCTACGTCGGTTGCGCTCTGTTCTTCGTTGGTTCCGTCATCTGGGCATCCGCCTTCAGCATTGCCCAAATGTCGGTTGCTCGTTTCACAGTAGGCCTGGGAGTGGGTTCTGCTGCCATGATTATCGTGAGTTTCTGCTTTACCGATGTCTTGAGTTCGAAATCAAGGACTAACTCGACCAAGCCTCTATACATCGGTGAACTTGCTCCGGCAAAACATCGCGGCCGAATGATTGCCTTCGATAACATGAGCGTCACACTTGGACAACTGGTCTCCTACGCTCTTGGCGCCGCCTTTACAAATGTGCCCAATGGCTGGCGATACATGGTCGCAGTTGGCGGCGTGCCACCTATTATTCTCGCTATTCTTCTTCCCTGGTGCCCCGAGTCCCCCCGACAGCTATTTTCTCATGGCAATATAGAGGAGGGAACAAAAGTGATTGCTAGGGTGTACCCCAATGCAACAGAAGCTCAAGTTAAAGCCAAGGTTGATCGCATTCTGTGGAATATTGAGGCTGAGGCTGAGATTGTGGCGAACAAATCGCTGCTGTGGCAGTTCAAGCAGCTGCATTGTGTCCCCTCGAATCTTCGCGCTCTTATCTGTGCCTGCGCAGTTATGGCTAGTAAGTATAACTGAGAAATTCGAGTCCAGCTCTTTCTAACTTCAGCGATAGTTTCCCAACTCGGCGGGTTCAATACCCTGATGTATTACTCCGGGACGCTCTTCTCCCTCGTCGGATTCGACAAGCCGACGGCTGTTTCTATCGTTGTTGGCGGAACCAACTTCGTCTTCACAATTCTAAATATGTTCATCATCGACAAGGTCGGCAGACGTAGAATCCTCCTCGTCACGGTTCTGGGAATGGTGAGTCCGTTCGTTATAATCTAAGACTACCTAACTCTGACAATAAATAGGCAATTAGCATGATCGTTGCTGCGGTTGCTTTCCACTGGATTCCCATCTCTCGCGACCTCGTCCTTGAGGGCGCCTCTGTTAACTGGGCTGGTATTTTGGTCCTGGTCACCATCATATTCTATGTCGCCTTCTTCGCCTCTGGTGTTGCAACAATCGGCTGGGTCGGAACCGAATTATTGCCTCTTGAGGTTCGAGCTCTGGGAACCATGATGAACACCGTCACATGCTGGGGATGTAACATCATTATTGCCTCTACCTTCTTGTCAATGATGAAGGGTATGACGCCTAGCGGTGCTTTTGGGTTCTATGCTGGGATCTGTTTCTTTGGCTGGATTTTTGTCATCATTTGCTATCCTGAAGTGAAGGGTCTCCCTCTCGAGGAAGTTAGTCAAGTATTCGAGCATGGATTTGGCGTCCGACGAGCAGCCCAGATCCAAAAGGCAAGGAAGGCGGCCCAGACAGCTGCCTGATTAGAGCAAGGGAGTTTAGGTGGCCACAGGAGGAGGAATCGGTAGCGGCAATCCAATCCAAGTTGCCCCCTCAAAGAAGCTACGTGGTCAGCTTTAGCAATTAGGAAGCAATATTATCTACTTATTATTACACAATAAGAAGCGTTATTAATTAACTGACTGCCACAATCATTTTCCCAAGATGACCCTGTTTCTGAATCTACTAAGTAAGACTGGGACACTCTCATTCTTGAGAGGTTAGTCTTCATCTAACCCATAATGATCTAAAGACTCATGGCATTCTTGTGGATAGTAGTCCCAACCACCAGCTCTCTCGGCAAGATGTTCTGCAAGTGCGTACATCGCTCTTAATTCACTCTCCTCTTCAGATTCTACCTTCCAAAAATTACTCCAGGGACTCTGGAGAGACGCGTACCTGGGGTGACTCTGAAAGTATGTCAACTGCTGCATGGAGCTTATCTCCAGCTCCGGGTAGCCTTCACGTAGGTTGTTGAATATATCCTCCCAGTTTCCTCCGTCGTCATGAAGCTTCACGTCGCCGAGACAGATTCTGCGAAGCTGAGGAGTTGTGTGCGCCACTGAAGGTGATGGCAAGAGCAATGCCTCGAGAGACGACGAGCTTACCCACACTCTTTCCAAAGAGAGCACGCGTAAACCTCGAGAGTCTGGAGATTTTTTCCAATGTAGTCTGTCGAGATCTAGGAAATTCGTCCCCACTATATGGAGAGATTGAAGATTCGGGCAGGACCCCACAAACTCCCAAAGTTCATCCTGATGCTGCTGGTTGCTAAATTCCCTCTGCATGTTGCTATATGGAACTGAATTGTAGATATGCACATCCCCATCTAGTTCCATGTAGTCGCCTGGATTATCCAAAAATAGATGCTCGCGCTGGCCCGAAACCCCAGAGGCATCCACGATGCAAATCTCGAGATGCAGGATCTGGTTGCGTGCGTCTTGGCCTAGGCCTTCGCAGGTTTGTCCTACATTGTGGGTACAGGGGAGATGAAGTCGTAAATCTGTAAGGTGACTGAAAACAGGCGAGGACAGGGCATTCTTGAAGAAAGATATTGAAGAATTGACAACTTCCATATCATAAAAGCCCGCCGATCCTTCCCAACCATTATCGAATGTGCCGACAGATTCGGGGAAAATTAGCGTAAATGAATCAATCTGGGGAAGATTACTCCAGATGCTTTTCAGAAGGTCTACATCTTGGGAGCCCATGAAAGGCTTTTCGGGGAGAGCACCAGGAATCGCGGCGAAATCGTCCGAGTTGCCGTTGAGAGGTTCGTCTTTGTACTCCTTTACATCCTCCACATCGTCGTTGGCATCTGAATCATAAGTGAAGCGCCTAGTGAAGGCTAACGCGGCTTCAATACAAGGGATGACCAATTTCTTGACGGGAAAAGATGGGCGCATAACCTTTGCGAGTCTCCCCATGGCCTGACGTGAACCAACGTCAACTTTCAGTAAGGAGCATTGCTGGAGGAAAGGATCGACAGTAGCAAGCCATTCCCGCGAAGTTAAGCGGAGGTTGCATAATGTTCTCATATCCGCTTTTAAGCGATAGAAACTGGTGGTAATCGTTCTAAACTCGCCATGAGAGAGGTAGTCTTTAATCGGCCGAGGCGGCCGGAGCGGCATGAAGTCGTCCCAGTCTGTTCCATAAATTTGGTATTTTGCTCTCCCAGGGAAACCTTCAATGTCTGGATACAAGAGTTGCGATACAATCTCGTATCTAATCTCCGCGGGAAGCATGTTGCTAGGATAAGCTGTAAATTGGACCTAGCCATTTAAGTTGCTCGCTTATATAGGGAGAGAGAACACGTTTGGCGTCAGCAAAGGGGAACCAGTCTCCATTTATAGTTCTGGACCTTTGGCTGGTTTAGGCCCCCAATCAGCTTTCAGCCCTGCCTAATCTTGGCGAAACGCGCTGTTAATCTTCGGTTTCCATTTTCGGACAAGGATGGTGGCCCTTGCTTCTTCAAATATTATATATTTCGAAAATGTAGCAAAAGCTTTGGACGAGCTTGGTGTCTCGACATTAGTATCTTCGAGCTCAAATTGTGATGCTTAATAATTACGATGTAACATTGTACGTTCACCTGATGGCCTCGAGGTTGGATTCCCAAGTAGGCATCATCGTATTAGAGGGCAGTCATTGCTTGCAATAGCTTTTATAGACGACCTTGCCCTAAAACGCTATTGCAACTGCATGACTGTAGTTCGAATGTAGAAAGAGGACAGGCTTCGCATCGGCTAATTGCTAAATAAGTTGCTCTATCCTATGCGGCAAGCTAATTAAATGAGGCGTGGTAGATCTTCTCAACATTTAGACATCAATCATACCTCGCAATACTAGTGTGGAACTCTCCACTGTGGAATGAGAATATAACGAAGATATTTTCGAATGATAAAATTCACTTCACTGCGAGATGGATTCAAGGAGCAGCTCCAATCCTGACTGTTGGAAGAAACGAGCAAGGAGCACTAACCGTTCGAACTCTCTCTTCACCCACGTTTAGCCGACCAATCTGCCAAGTAGAGTTCTTTACCTAGACTTTCTTCTACAAGCCGTTAAGCAGATCATTTGAGCTGTTGATGGATCATTCCTGCAAGCCGGTCTCCACCCTCTTTCCCCCTCAGAGTTTTCGATCACCTCGACAGCCCATCTATCGGCCTTGACTTCGCCGAGAGGGACAGCAAGGTTTCCAAGGAGACCTGAACATTTGATCCAAACGTAATCGTCGCTCTTTTATCAGAAAATGAATGATGAGGACGGGGTACTTTCCTTGTTAGGTTTAGGTAGATATTGCGAAAAGTGGAACGATGACCTCTCGGTGATTTGATGTTAATTCTCTCATCGAAACCGGCTGTTTCTCATCTTCCACTCATTCCATTGAGACGTTGAACGGACATCTTTCCCCTTTACACATATCCGTCCCCTCTCCGTCCCCTCTCCGTCTTCTCCGTCTCGTTCTTCTCCCTTCTTACCCCGCTACCCCGGATATTTTCTTTCCCGCCTGCTACGACAACGCCCCCGCATACTAGAAGTAGTTTGCGGGTAAAGGTAGCAATATTTTGCATGGAACTCACAGGCTGTGAGGTGGTATTCCGCTTCCCCTAGTCTGAACTGCGGACCTTGTTCGACTTGGAATGATCATTATATCGCTCATTTTCCCAAAGTATACCCGAGCCGACAGACATGGAAACTGAGTATCCCCTTACTGCTCGAGATATATATTCGATGCTTGAGGATGGCTTGTCTACCTTCTTGTCTAATCCCTTTATGTACTGCTCCACAACTTTTGTTGATCTAGTCATGGCCTCCTTCTCAATTATAAAGAAGAGTCTTTCTAAGATTTGGCCCAGCCTGCTGCTAGTTCCGATCATTTCTGCAGACGCTGTGTTCCAGCCTGCCATTTCTTGCCAAGATCTAGCAAGCAGCCTTCACCTGAATAATGCGACTATATATTTTGCACAGCTAGTATCAGCGGGTTCAAATGTCACTTTCCCAGACCAAGACGAGACTTGTACAACCACGTCGGTGGTGACTACCTCAGATATTTGCCGGCTATCTTTTTCTATTGCAACAAGCACAATTAGTGCCGTCAGCCTAGAGGCATGGCTTCCTCTCAACTGGACAGGCCGTTTCCTAGCCACGGGCAACGGAGGACTCAACGGTTGCATCAAGTATCAAGATTTGGCATACGGGACTTCTCAAGGTTTCGCCACCGTTGGAACAAATAATGGCCACAACGGGACATCAGGCGAACCACTCTACAACAATCCCGGATCGATCGAGGACTACGTATACCGATCAATTTACCTTGAGGCAACTGTCGGGAAACAAATTGTAAACACTTTCTATGGCAGACCTCACTCTAAGTCGTATTATCTGGGATGTTCGACTGGCGGCAGACAAGGCTTCAAGGCTGCTCAAGACTTCCCAGAGGAGTTTGACGGTATTCTTGCTGGCGCACCAGCCTTTTCCATGACATCTCTGTTTTATGCGAGCGCCCAGCCCTACCTTTATACCGGTAAACCTGGAGATGCAACATTTTTAACAGAGGACGAGTGGCGCCTTGTAGGAGAGGACATGGTTAAGCAATGCGACAAACTTGACGGTGTGCTTGATGGAATTCTGGAAGACCCTGAACTTTGCCAATATCGGCCCGAGTCTTTGATATGTGCGAAAAATCAGACCACTGGTTGCCTGACCGGGGCGCAGGTAGAGACTGTGCGCTCCGTCTTCTCACCGACATATGGGCCTGATGGCAAGTTCATTTATCCGCGGATTCAGCCTGCAAAGGACATGCCTTACGCTTACTACCTTTCCGGTGAGCCCTTCGCCTACAGTACCGACTGGTATCGCTACGTCGTGTACAAGGACCCTTCTTGGGATCCAGCGACCCTGAGCCCCGCAGATTGGCCGCCGTTGTTGGAGACCGACACACACAATGTGGCGACTTGGAAGGGGGATCTGTCGCCAGCGCGAGATGCCGGAACGAAGATCCTTCATTACCATGGTCTCGAGGACACGGTCATCACCAGCGAGAACTCAGCACGCTACTACAACCACGTGTCGCGCACAATGGAGCTGACGTCGGCCGAGCTGGACGAGTTCTATCGGTACTTCCGCATTTCTGGAATGAACCACTGCCGAGGAGGAAACGGGGCGTCTATAATTGGCGCCAGCGGGGGATAATTTTGATGAGTATAAGCCTGACAGTAATGCGTTGGCAGCTCTGGTCCGCTGGGTTGAGGATGGTGTTGCCCCTGATTCGTTGCTGGGAAAGAAAAAGGAAGCCAACTCATCTCAAGTAGTGATGTCTCGGAGGCACTGCAAGTATCCTAAGCGAAATACTTACAAGGGTTCTGGGGACGTCAACTCGGCGGATAGTTGGCAATGCTTGTAAGTACGCAGACAATTAGCATCAACGCTCTATGAAGACAAATAGCTGGGAAGCCCGATAATTGTCTATGCCCACCATGACAGAGAATTGGAATTGTTGCTTTTGTCCTTCCGTAAGAAAGAAGTAGGCATGTGTGATAAATTTCTTGTTTCTGGCAGTCTTGAACCTCGCATGTCACGTAACTTCATGCTGGTTCGGATCTAGGCTAGAAAGATGCTGGAATCACACGCAACAGCAGAAGGAGTTCTATAAGGGAGGATTTTACAATACTGGGCTCGTGATTTAACCTTGAATTTTTCATTCATTCAGTCTGTCCATTCACGCGTAAAAGTTTCAGCGGCAGTTAAACGCATCTCAATTGATCTTGATGTGTGTGGGCCGTTGCCGTAGGAAGGTAATCACGTGGTTTAAATCATGGCGCGGAGAATCCATCACGATGGAGTTGAGTGATATTTTCACTGAAAGGCCCAGCATGCCATGTGCTATTTGCATAGCAATAGAAGAAAACACTTCGATGCTCAAAGCACCCCACGATCACAGTTCCAGTCCACATTACACCAGTTCGATACATACTGTAAACAAGATGCAGCAATCAACGGTGCCACGACACTCGAGCTGCCTTCAGCATCTGCCAGTAGAGCTCCAAATCGCCATATTGTCCCATTTGACCTCACCATCTGACCAGCCGACTCTGCAAGCCGTGCTTCTCACATGCAAATCGCTCAACCGCGCCGCTCTGCCACTTTCAGTGCGCTCTTTCCGGAACACGGATCACAGACATGGAGGAGGCTTCTGCTCAGAGCGCCGCAATGCCCAATTTCTCTGCTATATTCTCTCGAGGAGGCCTGAACTGGCTATCTTTGTTGAAAGTCTGATCTTTGGCCAATTCTCTTCAGATCCCAACGTGGGGTACGACACTGAGGCTGTAGATGAGGATGAAGAGCTCGAAGGCGATCGACTATTCGATGAATATAACCCAGAGGAGCTCGCGATATATAGAAAGCATATTACTGACGCCCTCGGTCCAAATTCTATGCCAAAATTTGCTCAAGGATGGATCAAGGACCTTGAACTCGGGTGCAGCGATGCACAAGTTGCACTTATCCTTATATCCTGTCCCAATCTTCGCAGCCTCTACTTCGAGACTCCACACTACCATCGCCATTTCTTCCGGGCTCTCGAGTTATTGAATAGGGCAAATCCCCTCATCAGTAATGGCTTGAAGCCACCCCTCTCGCGTTTGCGACATGTTTACTGCGAAACCCAAAGTTGTGGTATACCCGGCGGCCATCCTGGTGACAGGAACCCCGGCCCTTTCTTTCAACTGGATACCCTCCGTTCATTTGAAGGATTCGATGTCGGTACTGGCAATGCAGCTGAAAGATTCTTTAGCAAATTACCGGCCAGATCTTCCAATGTAGAGGAAATCACCCTCCGTGGATCTTATCTCTCTCCTCAAGTGCTTCAAAGCATGCTGAGAGTATGCAAAGCAGTCAAAAGTCTTGAAATTACACGAGGGTTCTACCGTGTTCCCGCCGAAGAGCTATTGCCCCGCCATGTTCTGGCGTCTATTCTCCCTCATGCAGATTCTCTCGAGTACCTCCACCTCAATGTGGCGGAAGAGTTTCAACTAGATGTCCCTACCCAAGGCGAACATCTCTGTCTAGGCCTTGAGCTCCGAAATATGACGCGCCTGAAAAGTCTTGTGACAGGAATGCGTTCTCTCACTGGGTTTTTCAATGGATACACTGTAATAGGTGATACCAACACCCCTGCGCGCATTCCACGGGTAAGAGGGGCTCCAAACCTCGCGGACTGTCTCCCTGATAATTTAGAGTCTCTGGAGATCCACCGATGCGGTGAGGACCTTTTGGATCAAGTTCAGACCCTTATCATGAAAGTCCAAGAAGGAAGATCCTTCAGGCGACTGAAGCACCTTAGGCTGCTCTTTGACCGCGAGGATGTGAATCCCGTTAAAGTCCGGCTTAACTTTGACCCTGCCGTAATACATATAGATATAGTATTCCAGTCGCTTCAGAATCGTTTATTCGATCTTATTCCAACATATCGAACAGGAGGCAGGCGGGTAGACGCTATCTCTTCTCCAATGTATGCCGACGACTTTCGGAAACAGTGGCTTGCCATTCGGGGCCAAGACATTGGGTGCGCATCAACACACTTCGAGCTATACGAAGCTCCAGGAATAACTTGAGAGTTGGGCCTTGGGATGCGGGCTAGAGGGTTTGAGTCCACACAATTCCGAGTTGTTTCTATTCCACAACCTGGTGGTGTATAACGAAAAGGAAACATAAAAACCATGCAGATGTCATTAACTTCAACCTCTCACGGCCAAAACCCACGTTGATCTTGGGTAGCTGGCTCGCAAACTCGGCCCAGCGGAGATGGACGAAGCCTTCCCTCAAAGTCTCCACCAGGTACTTCTTTTTACGACAAACGACAAAGACTTGCAAGTTCAAATCAAGGAAACGGGGAGCATATTATTGTCTAGATCATAACCCATTTTAATTTCTCTAGTAGCCAATGCATCTATCCAAACCGCAATTACAACTTGGAGCTACACTCGACTCGTCGTCCAGTCTCGTCGAAACGAACCTGCTTTCCTGAAACGAGGGCCTCCTGAAGCGCAGCCCCAATCTCCACGGCCTTGACAGCGTTTGACAGTTTGACTGGCAGCGGCTTGTTATCCAGGCACGACTCGGTGAATTCATTGGCCTCCTGGACAAAAGCCATCTCGAAGCGACCGTAATAGTGAGCGGGCACTTCACGAGTGATGCCGCCGGGATGGTAGTAGTTGACAAAGTTGGACTGGGGGTTGCTGTTGACCGACAGCTTGCCCTCCGTACCGATGATCTCGGTCGTATCCTCCTGTCCATGGGCCATCATACGGGAGCAGTAGTAGTAGGCGATCTTACCACCCCAGAACTCCACGATCCCGACGGCATTGTCGTAGTCGTTGTATTGGGCGAGTTCGGGCTGGACAGCGCGGATGCCGTGAGCAGAAACGCTCTTGGGTTGGATATCATCGCCAAAGAACCAGAGCGTGAGATCAATGTCGTGAACAGACATGTCGACAAAAACACCACCAGACCAGGCGGCGTAAGCGACAAAAAATCCCGAAGGGTCATGCTTGTCGCAGGTCTGGCTGCGAATGATGGAAGGACGTCCAATCAGACCCTGTTCCACCTTGTTGCGGGCATCACGGTAGGACTCGTCGAAGCGCCGAGAGAACCCGCACATGACCTTGAGGTGAGGGTGCTTCTTTGCCTCCTCGACGACCTGGCGGCACTTGAGTAATTGTTAGTAACGCTAGGAATACTGAATCAAGGAGGGAAATGACGCACGATAGGGATGCTCGTGGAGAGAGGCTTCTCGCAGAGAACATGAAGATTCTTTTGCATTGCCTGGATGGCCTCCTCAGCATGGACAGATGTAGCTGTTCCAATGACGACGGCATTGAGGCCTGGCTGCTCAATCATCTTCTTGTAGTCATCGTAGAGAGTAACGCCATAGGGTTCCAGGTTAACCTTGGCCCAAGCCATCTCCTCCGGGTCCGGGGTGAAGGCAGCAACAAGCTCGGCTCGTGGGGTACGGTTGAGAAAGTTGATGGCGTGTCGTTTGCCCATTCGGCCAAGGCCGGCGGCGGCAACCTGAAGCTTCATGGGGGCCATTGTGTGAGGTTAGGGAGTGAGATGGAGGAGGAGAAGATGGTGTGGTATGGTGTCAAGAACCAATCTCCATCGTGACGAAATTACGGCTTCATATATACCCATTCGAAATCCCCACAGATTTATGCGTGGGGTGTATGTATAGAACTCCATTGAAAATCCACAGTCTCCTGTCGATTCGCGAGCCTGGTGGAAATCTGGGGTCGTCGCTGGTAAATCGGAGACCAAAGTATCACGAGGACAAATCCATGCGTCAAAGGCTTCGGGGAAACCTCCCTTGTCGGGCGTAAATCGACTGGACGTTGGATTACTACTGCAACTAGAGGGAACCGGTATGCGTGGGGATTGGGGCGAGTCCTTCTGCGAGCGCCGATGTTTGAGGTTGGCGTTTCTAGCTGCATATGTCTCAACCAAGGATACTGTGGAAACGACCCGTACGTTCTTCTAGAGGAAGTGTTCAGTGCTTGACCTAGCTCTCGGCTCAAGGTTGGCTCGCCCAATCTTACCCATTTCACCTGCGAGGGTAATTTCACCCCGAACTGCTCCAGAGCTGGTGGCCCACTAACTAACTACATAGCGTTAATGGAGGGCCAAACAGAAGCGAGATGATCTATCACCTCTCTCGCTCGGGAACTGGAATCTCGGGAATCGAACATCGCGAATCAACCGAAACATCTGGTGGGGGATGATGCGGAGGCATCCACAAGAGCTCCCAATTACCACTGACTCAAGAACATCTACGCGCTGTATCAAGCAAGACAACATGGTATTTTCCTTTACGGTAACATGAAATCTTGTAGAAGTAAGAAAACGCCACGAGCACGATTATCAGGCTTAGTATAAGTTTATGGTGACCACGCCACCTAGTGAGCTCAATCTGCTCTTTTTCATGTATTAGTTAGCATCTCTCCAAGTCGACGACTCATGCTGTCAAGCCTTTTAATCTCGGATCCTCCGAGTAACGCAAACTCGTAGCGATGCACAAATGATGCCAATACCACGGTTTATCCCAGGAATGAAATATACCGTCAAATGCATCCTCCAGTCTCTGCCTAGGAGCAATAAAGGATTCTAACCTTCTATCCAAGGAAATTCTCCAGCAATTCCGGTAGTATGATGAGCGGGAGGTTGGACATTCTAGAAAAACTCGATGTGCTATGAAAGCGGCGAAAGACTAAGCGTACATATTATCTGAATTGAATACAAGAAGGCGATGTCTAACGGCATCTGCCTTTCCACCTTTAGGATCTCCAAAGTACCAAGTGGGTGACATTGAAATTGAGACACTCAAATACGGAAGAGAAAGAGAATAGAGTTTATCAACAATGAAGCTGCCAGGGCCCGACAACTCAACACAATAATAGACACTCAAATATTTAACTGCTTATTCTCAAGTCTGCGACCGGAATTATCAGATTATTAAATACTAGGGATACATACTCCAGAGAACATACTATATTTCTTATCATCATATTTTATTTTTACACTACTAAACTTCTCTGTCTATTACAGAAAGCAGTCGATTAATAACCGCCCTTCCATCAAATGTCTCATTTCCCCTATCACCCACTTAGTACAGCGCGATGGGAAAATAAGAACTTTACACGAGTGCCAAACCCCAAGACCAACAGAATATAGGCTGTGGTTAAAGGACGAGAGATGGATATCACTCATAGTTTGTTACAGTGCTTGAGATCTTGCTGCTTCAGTTCGTAGAAAGGATCAAGAGAGGGATACGTGCTGCTACCTAGCTAAATTACGCTTAGACAAGATACGACCGAAGGATGGGCCATACTCACATGAAGCGAAATCCAGTCGATGAAAACTGCATCCTTTGCTACGTTTAGAGCGATGATGACCACCAGTGCATGTGATTTTACCAGACTAGACCTTTTGCCATGTCGACAAATACATATACTCACACTGTCCCTGCGATGATAAAAGTCTAGGCACCACAAAGATGCTCGAACAAACACTTGTGCAGTCCACACCCGAGGTGAATACAACGCATGCCATTGGCTCCATTGAAATTGAATTCCAGATGAGGCCAACCATCTCTAAGGTGATCAAAGGTGCCTCTGTATGGAATCTCCTTGATCGAATCAACTTCACCGCCGAAGCTCCACCCACACTTCCCCAGAACCCCGCAACTATGTCGAACGGGGGTGAGGGGAAACTTTCCTTCCACAGCAAATGAGGTTATAAAAGCGCGAAGGCCCTGCCGCATGCTCACGACCCAGGCTGTCTCTCTTCATTCTCATCACCGGCTCCACTCCATTACCTCAAGCCGCTGTCTGTGGCCTGATCAAAATAGGCACTATCAGACCATGCCGGAGAGCAAGAAAAGAGTACGAGGATGTGAAGTAAGTACAGCTACTCCCTCCTCATATAATCCAGAATCGAAAGGCTGCAGACAAGGAGTCTGATACGTTAACATATGGCTAATGGAGAGATGAACTTAGAATTGCCGGGCAAGGTCAGTGAAGAGCGCAATTGATACAGCCGCACATGCTTAGTGGACTGGTGAAAGCTAACATGTTCGATATGAACATCGGTTAGGCATGTCAAATGTGAGAAAGACTCCCCAATGCGTCTCTTCTCGAAGCACGGCTCGCACTCTTGCTTCTCTATTGAGATGCATGCTAAATACAAGTCGCGCAGGCGATGGTGCCCTGCCATGTAGCCAATGTGCTAAGCGAAAACTATCCTGCAACAAGGGTTCCAAAGCTCGGTTCCGTTTGATGTCACAGTAAGTATCTATTATGGCCAGTTCGTGTTATCAGCTGAAGAGTTTGACTAACGCGAATAGAGGATCGAAAAAGTTTCCTTCGGACCAGACATGGTGTCGGACTATCTCAAAAAGAATTGACTTTGTTGACCAAAGTTTAGAGATTGCGAGACAATACGACGGTGGATCAGAAGCTGAAGATGAAGACTTCCCGGACGAGCGCTTCAACGAACACGCTGATACTTCGCCACCAAACACCGAGGCCTGCAACCCGAACTCTAACCTTTCTCCTGGGACAAACAGTCTATCTATTGAAGATCAGATTATTTCTCAAATATCACCTCAGACTCTTTCGGATATTGGTCAGTCACCGCTTATCCGTGATTGGGCTCAAGCGGCATCGGAGTGTTCCATAGAGTCCACCATCAGGCAGTTTAAACGCCTGGAGCTCCCTCAAGCGGCCCTCAAAGAGAAGGATAAGGCCAACCTCATTCGACACTTTGTCCAAGTTGTTGGCCCCGCATTTGACTTTTATGATGAAGGCAGAAAGGTCGCGAGTGAGCTCACGGAACGGGCTATTACTTGCCAATCTCTCCTTCATCTGGTGTACAACGCATCTGCTAAGAGCCTAGGCCTTCCACTGGACTTGGATAATGCCCCTCAAAGTCTCGGTAACCCGATATCTCTACCGCATATCAATAATGGGAACAACAATTCAGCCGCCGCACTTCTCTCAAGGTTCATATTCAATCTTGAAGATAAACAAGACTCGACACAAGGCTTCGCCATTGTAGGTACCCCAAGTCCTCCATTCCATATCCATGACGAATTCCAAGCAGCAATCATGTGGGCAAGCTTGAGACAAGAAATATTCCTTGCTCTCATGAATCAACGACACGTAAATATCCCTGTCGATCGCCATGCGCTGGAATCTCTTCTCAAGGATCATCTTTGTCAAACGGCAGACGACAGCACTTGGTGCAACAGAATGCTACTGCATCTCTTTGATACTATACAGTACTGTTTTGGTGATGCGCATAGTTCGTCCACATATGACCAACTATTCAGTTACGCCAATACGTGGATGTCTTCCAAGCCGTCGTCCTTCACTCCTGTCTTTTCCCAAGATGGCCCTAATGGCCAAATGTTGCCTGAGATATGGTTTCTGGACAGCTGTGCAGCGGCAGGAATGCAATATTACCATTTAGTCAGAATTCTGCTCACAGCACATAATCCCCGTGTCCCCAGGATAGGACCAGCAAAAAAAGCAGCCATCGAATGGATTGATGTAGGTCATATTGAAAGCAAAATACCTATCGCTGAGTACATATTGACATTGACATAGGAGCAAGTGAGAGGCCATGCGAAAATGGTTTGTGGGATTGCGGAATCGTTGGAAGAAATCAATCCCGGCCATCTGTAAGTGCTTCTTGTATCCGTTCTTCCGGGCTCTAACTTAACATTGAATCGTTTTAGCTCTGCATGCATGTCTATTGCCCTTGCTGGTGACTACTTTCATGAAAAAGAAGAGCAAGCAATCCTGTTAAACCTCATGATCAAAACCTCGTCATATTATGGTTGGTCAACGGGCTCAACGTAAGTAACTTGGATCAATTTATAGGGAGCGCTTCTAACTTTTGAGAAAGCCAAAAATATTTGCAGGAGACTTGGAAGTTATAAGAAAATAAATTAAATAACCTGGTCAATAAATTCACCATTCATCACAACATATACTCGTTCAGTACACCAGACATCTTCCTTCCACTGATGTGACATCTTCATCCCAGTGGCGAACCACCTTGCTAACCTCCTTTTCCAGGCTTCCTCTACTACTTAGGGCATTGCTTCGGCCCATTGCCGGCTCAATCGCCTGATCAGGGGCGCTGTTTGCCATCCTGACAAATCACGCAGCGTTTGTAAGAATTCCAACACTTCATTTCGTTGTCTTCCATCCTGTATCCATGATCCGACTAATGTTTACGCTTCAGATGAGTGCGATGCCAAAGGTCGAAGTGACCGCGATTTACTTACATGCATGGAGTGTGTGGTGCGCAATGAATCGTCCTGTCATCATATCCGGATGACTGATCGACAACCCGACAATTAAGCCCATGAAATTACGGATGTTGTCCTGTGGTATTATGGTCAGGTTACTGTGTGGTCATGCTGCGAAGGGCTGGAGAATATTGACAGCGTACGTCAGCCTCAGGTCGCTTCCTCAGAGCATCAGGGCCAGGCTTCCATAGCTGAGGATCAAAGGCACTCAGAAGTAATCGAGCCAGATAATAGTGTTGGTATGCAAGAACTTGCCATATGGAAAATTTCGTTAGCAAGATAGTCATCTACGTAGGGAGTTTGTGTTACGCATTACCGTATTGCGGCCTTGTCATCCAGCATGTTGGGAAACACGACCCCTCTCTCCGGGGATCATCGCTGGGTAGACTTGCGAAATATGGAAGAGACTCCTTCGGGGCACTATCAAACCACTCTGCTACGCTGGTATTTAGCTCTTGCCATCTATCGGAATCCAGCCTTGCATCATTCCGGAACGCATAGGCAAGCACTTGACTGCACATAAAGACCGCCCGGTTAGCCATGGCCTCAGGCGTGGAGCTGGTGAAAAAAGCCGAGTTTCTATAGTTCTCGTAGGTACTCGTGGGACACATGGACCTGGTGAGCGAGACAAACATGTCTTGCCGTAAGAGAAGCCAGCTCGCCGCTTCACCAAGGCCACCAAGAGGCGCAAAGCTTGATGCCAAGTCTAACAAACGGGTGCTCCCTAGCAAGTGTGTACAGGTGTCGTTCTCTACCCCAGGCGCGGTGATCAGTCAGTAAAGTATGGAGATACAAGCTGGGAAGAAGGTAAGCGAAGACCGGACTTACCTGACATTTCTTCATTAAGACGCAAAAGTACAATCGCCGCAAGAATATTTTCATCTATAGATGCGATGGGATCATCCAAGGCGGGAATAAGTAGCTGAATAGCTTTACTGTAGTAAATGTCGCTGCTTGGATCATCAATCCTGGATCTAAGACAAAAGAACCGGGATGTAAATGCCAGCAACGAGAATGCCAGCAGGGGATCGTCACAAGCGCGTCTGGGAACCTCGCGAGCGAAATGGCGAGCAGGGTCACAAATGTCAATCTACTAGAATTTCAGTCCCTGGCAGATGGTAGCTTCGAAGAGGCCTTACCCAGGAAGAGAAATCTTTGATATAGTACATCAGGTAACGAGCTTCCTTTCGGTTCTGGAATGGGAAGCCAGCGCCGTGCTGGTTGATAGGAGACCGGGGAGACGGCCTAGCCAGGCTGAACAAATATAGTTAGCCCGTAGTCATAGCATGCATGGGCGGGCATTTCCTTTAAGGGATGCATACGAAACTTGTTCGCCATCGGATATCTCCCCATGGGCAGATCGAACGGTCGAAGCCAGCGAATGCTCTGGTGTGGGCCACTGTTGAGGTGGTGACGAACCAGTCATATTGAGGCAGTATCCACGTTGTGGGACATTAGCCGCGGGATAGTGATGACTGGAATGACGAAAATAAGCCATGGGGAGCATGATGGCGTTGCAAGTACACTTATTATCCCCAGAGACCAGTGCTTCTGTGATGCTTCAACGAGGTAGAATCTGGGGTAAATTAGTTTGGGTAGCCCGTGACGCAATGAGTCGACGTGAGAGAGCGGAGTTTATTGCCTGTCCGGTCGAGCAGGGCAAGTTTAAGCGGAGAGAGTTGCTAGGTCAAGGTTCCCCTCTTTCGGGAACAGAACAGACTCCGCGCCATTCTCCGCGACACCCCGCCGGACGAGGACAATAAGCCAATGAGTATAATTCGATAGTAAACCAGTAGCCAGCCAGTAACCCATTAGTGCCCAAGGACTAGTCATGGTCTTGTTCCAGCTAACAGCTCACACTCCCATCCATGAGGCAATTACATCCAACAGCCCTAGTAGTCACTCGCCAAGCCTAAGAAGCCTTCAATGAAATTGGCGTTGGTGGCTTTTCCCGCCTTCTCCACGAGGAAGAGTTGCACTGGATGGAGGACCTTGGGGAATGCTACAGGCTGGAATCAGTCGATGACCAGCACTAAGTCTACTTGAAGTTCACGATAACATGCGTGGTTTAGATCTTGGGCTGCCTTGATTAAAGCCCCCTGTGCGTAGGTTGGCTAGAAATTTATCTCTCCGTGAAAGATCATCACTAGATATGATTATACTGGAAAGCCATCTGTATAAGGGGGCAAGTGAGATATGTATATTGTCCGTTGGCTAGAGGTGGGAGAAGCGAATCTAGCCACACTCATTCCTAGGCCTGTAGGAGCGCCTACCAACGGTGTAACTTTGACACCGCAGCAAGGACGCCATTCAAGTATATGCATATGCTTCTTTCACTTTAGCCTAAAACTACCTACATATTGCATGTCTAATACAATATAATATGGGTTTAACTAAACCAATACAACTTTGGTCGCCTTGGCTTTCATCTTCTCTAAGTCTTTCCAGGCATTTCTCTGTTCGTCCCACAGTTCACCATCCATGATTCCATGAACATAACTCTCTCCCACGAGCTTGTAATACTTACAATGGACCATGCCATTGCTATAGCATGAAGGGCGAATCGCAAACGGCACATAGCCACCAATCAAGCTCCAGACTTCATCTCCCGGCTGCATACCAACAGGTCCGATTCCCGTGTATCCGTTGTCAGTGACGAAAAACTCCCCGGTTCTAGCTTGCCCGGTTCACGGCATGTTGAATCTCGCAAAATATCCCCCAGAGACCGTGAAGACCATCCAGTTCCTGCTGAGAGAAAACCCCGGTACGCGGTCGAACTCGGTTAACCGAGCTGCACCGTTCTCCCAGCCTACCGGCATGCTCACGTCGCGCTCAAATCTGCGGACTCTACGGGCACCGCGCATCACGTTGGATAAGACAACAAGAAGCCACACGGCTAGCCACACCCAGGCAGTAGGCGTTCCCTCTAGAACTGTACCCACTGCCCAACCCTTTTTTCCAATAGGATTTGAAAACGCCCTCGAGAATGCTGAGCGGCATCGTGGCTGCCAGGTATATGTTTGCTCCATAAACACAATCTTCCGCCATGTAACATACTCACAACCCTCTGAAAGCAGTCCTGCCTTTCCTTCAAGCCAACCTTTTCAGCATTGTGATGCCCTAGATGGGCGCCACGACCATTTGCTTATTCACCGACGGCTCAAACTCACCACGGGAGCAACTCTCGTGCCTAAGCGTTCGAGTGTCGATCCAAGACTCGTGTCAGTACCATGCGCAGATAAAGACAGTCCTCCCAATCGTCTATTGAAGCGAAACCAAGTCTAGACTTAGATCTCTGCTATATAACGGGTTTACGCTTCATCCATGTTTGATTGGTGACGAAAGGGATGGTCACGTGCTGTTGGACCTAGTCGAGAGTTCAACCGACGCTCTGCCGGTGTTGTGGGGCAAACCTCAGCCGCTGACTCACCCTTCTGAACCAGATAAGATAAACACAAGCAAGCCAGTCACGTGCTCTCATGCTACGCTAGTACACAACTGGCAGCACACCTCCCTACCTACTCTTATCCTCCTCTGTATAAAGTACTTTTCTGGGATGGGGGTTATATGGAATTAAATATTTCATGCATCATAATTGTCACGAAACAGTGCCTGCGAAAATTCATCATTACTAAATGTCCATGTGACAAGCGCGTGATGTCTGGTCGTATTAGATCCTTCTTGGATGACTGAAGCTGCAATCCTGTGGCTGTGATTCGGTAGGCGTGCACCTGCCATCCAATTTACGTATGGCACCGTTCCATTATGGCAACTTTCTAAGGCACACTTAAGTGCTGCAACCATCCAGCAATGCATGCACGGATATAATTAGTTGAGATTCATTATGATCCCCCAGTATATATTAATGGAAGCGGAAATGATTGGTTGCGGCGCCCAACATTTCGAAAATAGGATGTGTGTATAGGGTAGTCTGAGTCGGTCGGGAACGAGGAGGTGTTGGTACCTGAGGCACCAAAAGGGACACGTGGACTCGAGTGAACCAAGTCATCACGTGATGCCTCGGTGCCCCTTGGACCTGCTGAATATCACAGTCACTCAGTATTCTGGTATCTTGAAATAAAAGGCAGGTAGAATACAATTGCCCTCTATAAGCTATGGGTTGACAAGCGTCTAGCAGTTGATAAGCTGCCCGCTGCTTGAAGGGAGGCCCCTAGGGGCGCTTGGTTGGTCTGGGAACTGAACACCCTTGATCGAATCGAAATGATCCACGCGCAGCCCGAGGTTCCACCATGGCACAGGGGCTGGAGGCCTGGAGGTCGCATGGATGCAGATGGTGGTAATATGTACACGTAGGTAGGATAGGATGGACTGCTGTGGTCCCGGACGCGAGTGGTGAGATCAGTATATTCGCGTGGTGCTAGGCAGCCTCGCAAGGGTTTGCCCATTGACGTTGCACATTGTTGGGACGGGAGGCCTCGAGTCTCGTACCGAGTCGTCGTACCGACCTGTGCTGGTGGTGTGGTGCGTGCAAGCGTGTGCACCGATGTCCCAATGCACGGCCAATCCAACCACCCCTGAGTCCCCGCCGGGGAACTATTATTACCTAGTAATTGCTCGGTGCCAGAGCCAAGCAAGGGAGAGTAGGTTCTCTGACTCAAGGGCGGGTGCTTGGCCTAACCTCACTTCATCCTCGCATCTCTCCCCTCCTCTGCTGACGAACAGGTGTAACGACACCATGTTGCGTCGTGGGAGCCGAGGGCGTGTGGTGTCGCCTCGGGGAGCGTCAGCCCACAATCAAGGCAGCAATGCAGAAAACGCGGTCGGGAGCTTGTGTTTCAATTGTGTATTATTTCCTGTCTAAAGGTAGGGGCGCGTGTGCTGTCTGGTAGCTGCTGCTTCCATGTCCTCCGCAAACATTCTATCTACCCCGAGGTCAAACCTAAATGCCCCGGCCGGCTTGGATTAGCCTCCTCTCCCACCTCTCCCTCCCTCCTCGGCGACTCTTTGTCCGTTCTGCTCCGCACTACCATTCCCCCCTATGCCAAGCTGTCAATCCAAAGGAGGGTGTTCCAAAGCGAGGCGTGGCCAACCCACACCGGAAGATCAAAAAGCACATCGTTGAGAGCAAACAAACGAACGAACAAACATTTTTTTTCGGGTCTTTTTTTTTTTGAGAAAGAAGAAAGAAAAAGGGACTTTGGGAAAAGGGAAACGAATCCCGACCAGGCGGCCTCGCCTCCCTCCGGCGCTGCCCTGACGCCGTCGACTCGACGAGCATCAGGCGGCTACAGGCCCCTGCGGCGTGCGGCGTTGGCCAGCCGAATGATCTTGTCTGGGTCTTCGGGCTCAAACTCGACCGGCAGTTGGCGGAGACGACGGCTCTGACGGCGTTCGTGGTGCTGGGGACTGCCCGGGCGCTTGCGTTGCTGCTGCTTGGGGCGTGCTGCCGGTTCCTGTCCGCTGCCAGAGCTGAGGCCATCGTGATGCTCTGGAAGAGGCCATCGGATACCTGCCTGCTGCGCTATGAGCTCCAGGTCAGGCAGTTTAGTGGTGTCTCCTCCATGAAATTTGTGGTGGAGGCGCGCCTCTGCATATCTATACCTACCCGCGTCGTTGAAACGAGGGTCTTCGTCGAGTCCGTCGTGTTCCATGAGCATCTGTATCGCCTGGTATTGCACGCGGAAGAAGTGGTCTCCCATCTCCTTCCGTTTCTTCCTGGCCTTCGGTCCCTCACTGTGGTATCGACGTATGCACTCCTCGTTTTCGGCTCGTGATCTCTCTGTGCCGACGCGATAGAACCTGGCCCGCTCGTACCGCTCATCGTCCCAGTCGCCAGCAACAGCCCTCCACTCCATCCTTTCCACAGTGCCGTGTTTCGGGCCCTCCCTGGCTTCCTTTGCGTATTCAGACTCGTTCGTTGGCGCGTCGTCGTCTTCCAGCACGCTGTTCACCTTGGTCGCTGCCGACGCGCTGGCCACCACCCTCACTGCCCGCGGGCTGTTCACCTCGGTCGCTGCCGACGTGCATGTCTCGTTGTCGTCGGTGGCATTTGGCGGCTGCGAAGACCGAAGTATCTGAGCCCACGAGTATCCCTCAGACAGCATGGCCTCGTCCCTGGCCTTCATGATGTCGCTCGCCATCTCCGATCGTGTGCGCGACCGCAAGAAATGGTTCCCCTTCTCCTCCGTATTGTCCTCGGCCGCATCGGCCATTTCCTTCTCTCGACGAGCTGCTCTGCGGTCGAGGTACCATCCCTCACCATATCGCTTTCGTGCCAACGACGTCAACTCGTCCAGCTCGTGGCCGCATAGCTCCACCTTGCCTTTCTGCAGCTCCCCCTCCATACCCCTCAATTCCTTCTGCCGCTCGCAGTATTGCTTCGATGTTGTCGGATCCCACGCGGCAATGGAGTTGTAAGCGTCATCCATCATGCTCTCCCGCTTCGTTGTCCACTTTTCGCCAAGATGCTTGCGGCCCCATTCGGTCAAGGTATCAAAAGTAGCAGGCTGCGGCTCAGGAGTCCACCGTCCGGACGTCTCGCCGCGGGTGTCGTCGGTGATCGGCCGGCGTAGAGGAGGGACATCGTTGGTCGGTGCGTCGCAAGCGATGCCGTCGTCAGGCACGTCCATCGGGGCGGCAGTGGTCGTCATTGTGTGCTGGATAGAACAGATTGCCTTAGTCTTCGGTTGGGCGAGTTCTAAAGATGAAGGTCACGCGAAGGCTGCAATGGGCGACAAGCGTTGTTTTTATGCTGGTGCCAAGGGGTGCAGACAAAGACGAGGCCATCAACAAACAAAACAAAGGCGTCGACACATGAGGACAACAAGCAGCGCCCAACACGTGATGGTCTCCCAGGCAAACGCTCGAAATTCGTTGGATGTCGGTCCCCGAGATTATCCGGTTGTGTAACCATTGCTTGCTGGTACATTCCCCTTAATGTACGCATGGCGAGCCTAGTGGCCAGCCTCTTTTTCCGCTCGCATCACCATTTCCCCCCTTTCAATCACACACTCAAGTACCCAGAGAAGCTCCTTTGAGATGGAAGATTGCAAGGTTGTATTCTGGCTGAAGCCAGCCGCGACGAGTCCTAGAGCTGAGGCTCTCCTTAACGATTCCGCGAACAGTGAGTGGGTTGACCTGGCTGCGGACAACCAACTATGCCTCAAGGTGACCGTCGGCAAGACGTCCAAGATTAAGGGGCGCCTTGTCTCCTTTGGTCGTCCACAAGAACACCATGACATCGTGCTCCCAAAAGAAGGTTTTTCCTCGACCGAACATTGCTTTTTCGACGTTAATCCGACGTCGCATGCCATCATGTTGCACGATGTCTCCGAGAAACGCCACACGCGACTTTTTCGTCACCTTCCGGCTGAAGAGGACACTGAAGAGGACACTGAAGAGGACAACTACATGCTGTCCACTGATGAACTGGACAATTCTCTGTCCATCCGATCTTGCGTCATCCTCCCCGAACAACGATACACCTTAATGATACGGGATATGGAGTTTCTCTTGATTCCTGTATCGAGCCCCCCCGCCGCGGTTGAAGATTTCGTTGCCACTATTCCTGAGGGCTATAAGAGTATGGCTGCTCCCCCTTACTTGCCTCCTGAAACCAACAACGACAAGAAGAAACCCTCAAGCTCTCAAACGAGTCCCCACCTTCACCCGGCGCACGCGACGATCAGGCACCAGTTCGTCAAAGAGCTTGGGTTTGGAGGGGAAGCCCGTGTGAAACAGTACCTAAACCTCCAAGACGGCAATCATTATGCTGGCAAGATCATTCCACTCTTGAAGAATGGACACGAAGTCCCAGATCACGGTCAGAACTCAGATGATGGCCATGCCGACGCCTTGAAGAAAAGGGTAGCTGAGGAGGTACGAGCGCTCAGCAAAATGCGTCACGTAAGTTAAACTCTGACTGCTCCTCTTGCCCCTTTGGCGTGACTGGTTAGCTAATCCTTCGATTTCCCGACAAAGGACAACGTAATTGTGTATAACTACACTCAAGGCTGGGATACCAACCACGAGCTCCGCATCTTCATGCCGTTATACGAAACGTCCTTGAGAAAATTGCTACCCGACTCCGATAAGCGGGCATCCGGGGACTGGAGGTTTCGAGTGGACCGCATGATCAAGGATGTGAGTTCGGCGTTGGAGTATATCCATGCAAAGGAATGTTTTCATCGGGACATCAAGCCTGACAACATCCTTGTCAGCCGTCAGTCATTCTGTCTGGCTGATTTCGGGATGGCGAGGCTCCCCACGAGCACTGGACCTTTGCCAGTCAAGCCAGGACATACTTGGCAGTATGCCGCCCCCGAGGTCCTGCAAGGAAAGCGTGAGAGCTATGCCGTCGATATATTTAGCTTCGGCGTCATGATCCTGGAGTGTTTAACCGACCTGCCTCCGGTGGATATGCCAGGTACATCGGATACTCCAGGCCCGAGTGCCGCCAAGGACATTGCCGAGCGTACGATCGACGCTCATAACGAATACCGGGGTCGCCTCAAGCAGGCATGGCCCGCGGCCGTATCAATGCTTTCAAAAGCACCCAGCAAGCGGCCCGGTGCCAATCGGATTTACGAAGATTTGCTGAACAGCGGCGGAGTCCCTCTGGCCAGCAATGTGAGACCTGGTGACAGTGGCAGGGAACTGCGTTCCCATAAGCGACGGCTGGCTCCAGAGCGGGGGATCGAAACTGGAAACGACAACACCGGCAACGAAGGCGAGGTGGCCTGCGCTCCGCTGGCGGAACCGCCAGCATTCATTCCTGCTCAGGATCGCGATCCGAATTCGATGTCATGGACTCCATGGACTGCGCACATGCCGGAACGACCGGCGCAGTGGCGAGAACGCGAAGCAAGAAATGCAAAACGCCAAAGGGACCGGCAAGCGGCTCGAAGAATTAGACGTGGCCGCGGCTCGAAGAAGTAGATCTGGCCGCGGAGCCCCGATGACTTCAGATGCGGACCCCGAGATCCCGCCAAGCGAACCAAGACTGCCAACCAACCCAAGCGTGGCAAGCGCGGCAGGTAGGAATAATCCAGGTGGACAGGGAACAGTGGTGAGACTTGACATGTGTGCTGCGGCCGTTTCTTTCTTTCTTTTTCTTTTTGGATATCTGAGCGGGAATTTGTTCGCCTGTAGACCAACCCTCTATCATTGTTGAGTAGCATTATTTGGGGGTATTGTGTTATCGAAAATTGGGAAATACAATGATGGATCAGACATTGTTCCTGTCTCTTGGTCTTAAGGGGATCTGATCTCCTCTAGTCTTCATAGATCGATAAATAGTTTGATTACATCTGGACATTTCCTATCAATATACCATGGACGATCTCTTCGAACATAATGGGCGAAAGCTTGTCTGCAGGAATGATACTCCATTCCATCCCGATGTGTCAATGAAAGATGAGACATTGGGTGTAATCTTCCGTCGAAATGCGGCGAACGAACAACGTGAATGTCTGCTGCGAGCTCGATTCTTGTGATTCGAATTCGGAGACGGAGTTTCTTGGCCTATTTTGACCTAACGGGCGAGATGCTTCGGCTCCATCCGACTGGTTTAAAGAAGAAAGAGGGAGGGATCCATGCCTCCTAGAAAATATTTTGGTATTTCATATGTTTTTGTGGTTTGCTTTTGATAAAATGCCTTGAGGCAGATCGCTCCTCGATTAAGTAATGATGTTGACGCTGTTGACAACAGCATGGACGCAACCGTCTATCATTAACTCAACAGCCGTGAAGGTAATTCCCAACACTGCAGTGCTGGCTATGGTGTTATCATAGCATGTTCTCGATTCCTCGAAGCGATGCTGAAAATGCGTACCGGATGTCGCCGGCTTTCTACTGATGGCTGACTCTGCGGCTGGGCTTGTGTGCTGCGATCTTTGTCCTGAACACAGGGTTTAACTACGAGAAACTGTCGAAACGTCATTTGGAGGCGTGGGTTTGTGATAAGTTGTCACGGCTCGGTAGTCTTTAAGAATATGATACGCTAGAACGCCGAGAGTGAACGAGATGTCGCTGGTTGAGAGTTTGCTTTGTTATTAATTAAATATTGAATAAGGTCCGCCACATGTGTAAATAACAACCTTAAGAACGAATAATGACTTGCATCCTGACTGAGTATAAGCTCACATTTCTCGACCGCCCTAGCTCGCGTCGGTGATCAATATCCTAGATACCAACGTGTGAAGGCACTGATTTCGACATTTATAAGAATTCCGGGACCGATTGGCGGCGAGAGACTTGTTGAAGGTCTAGCTCAATGTTGGTTTGCATCGTGTTGGATCAAGTGTGTTCTATCATTGCTCAAGACGCTGTCTTCTAACTGGAATATCACATACAATCTCAACCTTTGTATCAATTTGAATGATGACCGATTCCACGGTTTTTTTTGTAACACAAAAGAAGGCTTGTTTAGGCCCGGCAAGACAGCAATTGAACACGATCAAGAGAGTGAAACAGCAACACTTGAAGCGAGTGATGTGATTAGGGAGAAGGTACTCCTAGACTGACGAAGACGGTCAACATCTCGCCCTAGTCTCTGAAGACGTGGAGAACGGGGCGAGTATTTCCCAACAGCAGCGGTCTTTAATCTCTAGGCCACACGCTGTTGTGAGAAGGTCTAGGATCGTGGTCCTGGACGACTCCGCAGCATCTACTGGCGGCTTGTCGAATTGAACCAAGTGGAAACCTGCTCTAGCGTTTTACTATGTATAGTGGCAGGGTTCCGTAATATGGCTCCATCTCGGGCCCGGTTTCTTACCAACACAGCTCATTTAGCGCTCTCTGTGACTCTCCTAAGTTGAGATTTTAGAGAGAGAACACAGCTACTAAGATCTACGCTTTTAGAAATGTACAGGTCTAATGATACGCACATCGGTGCATGGTAATCTCGCACATAGCCAAAGGCCAGCGAGAAAAGGTCTATGATATGTTGAGAACATTCCTGAACAATCACGTTTGGCTAGAAGAAGTTTGCTTTCAAGTGTACCTAGTCTGGCTACTTGCAAGATGAAAACTAAGATCAGCAGGCATCGGAGCTCAGTTATTGGGGCAGGGGTGGCCATGAGGTGGGATCAACCACATGATACTATTAATGCCAAGCTTCAACGATAAGCGGGGCTCGGTAGAGAAGCAAGAATGATTACTCCCTGGCTACATTGATTCGCTGTCAGCACTGTCGCTTGCGGGATTTTGTTGCACGATCTGCAATCTTGGCTCCCTTTTACTTGATCAAATGCACACATAGCCCAACAAACATGTGGAAACACTTAGCCTTAACAAGTGCGTCGATGGCTTTGGGACTTACCTGTGTTGGTCTTTGGCTGCTCGCGCCCTTTTCCCATTAATGGCAAAGGGAAAAAGTGGCGAAACTCCAGAACCAAAGCAAATGAAGCCATTTGTATATCAGCCCTAGCCAAACCAGGGTAAGGTGAATGAGATGAGGCATGTAGGCTTATCAATCTTGTGTGATTTACGTAAAGTCGCACGTTTCCCACTCCTTGGCACATCCTGGGTTCCTTGTTGGTCATCGCCGCCCAAGACAGACATCGTGTCAGCAGTCTAATGACAAGAGCTGGCGGATAGCCCCGTTACTGGTTCAATGCCCCGACACCCAATAATACCTTGCCCTACTTAAAGATGGGGCCTTTGGTTGATAAACCTCCAAGCGGCAGAACCGGACTGTTGGTACTCCGGATTGGCTCGTGGACTAAGTGGCAGAAGCGTCGAGTTAGGGTTGAACATACTTATTTTTATTCCCGCGTGCTTGAGTGTGGGGGTACGGGTACGCTTTCAACCTTGAACGGAAGAAGCAATGCAAAACCCTCGAGAAATGCTCAGTGGCTGAGTTATCATCCACCTCCCTGACTCTGAAGGGCTGAAGAGCCATGTACATATACTTTAACGTCCACTCGCCGAGTAAAGGTGGGAAACATCTACGAGCCAATATCAGTTACTCGACCACAAAATAGAGAAGAAGAAAGCCAACGGAAAGAGCCGACACCCGTGCCAAAATTGAGGTGTGGTCCGACCCACACGCTCGCTCGGACAAGGCCATGTGCGCTGAATTTCCTTGCCCCCCCAGACACCACTGGGTAATTAGGTGCATGGTTTTGGCCCGGAGGAAGATCTGATAAGCTGCCCCCATTGGCAGGCTCATCAAGAATTTCCTTGCCAAGTATCCATAGAGTAGCATCAACACAGTAATCAGATGAGGCTATCCCTGCCCATACCCACACCGTCTGTGACACTAACTCTCGGAGACGTACAAAACTAGACGGTGGATATGGGTTTCTGTTGTCACTAGCACAGGGAGATGAGGCGGAAAAGGCTGCAATCCGCGACGGAAGAAATTTCATCGGCCCATCATCACTCACCGTGAGCCACTCTGCGTTGTTTCTGCTCCAAGGGAGAGACCGGACTTGCAAAACAGACAGTTCTTGCCAAGATTTATCCAATAAAAGAGAAAAACTTTCACTCACTGTATATATCCCTTCCCTTGCCTCTGTCTGTCTGGAGCGAACGCTTCGGCTGCAACAACAATATTGCCTCCTCTTCGCACACAGGGCTCATCCCCTCTTCTGGCAAACTTCCAGGCCCCGGGAAAGACAAGATGTCATCGCCAGCTCAAGGTGCTGGTCAGCATCAGTCCGACAACAGAGGTGTAGCAGGCTCACCCTACTCCTCGCCAAACGCCAGCCATGAAAGGATTGATGCGACCGTGAAAGCGGACGACGTAGGCGATTCGCACCGTGGCTCAGTGCCTGATGTCTCGGGCGCCGCTGCCGACCGAGTTGAGGTCGGTGTGAGCAGAGTCGAGGCCTTCAACAAGGTCTTATATCAGTCGGGCAAGTCTGGCAAAGTATTACTCTGGCTGCTGGGCTCGTCCATCTTCCTGACCATGTTCGCCTACGCGCTCGATCTGGGCATCACCACAACTATTTTCACCACCTTGGCCAGTTCCACCTTTGGCCAGCACAGCTCGCTTGCAGCTGTCACCACCGCCGGTCAGATCATTCGAGCCATCAGCAAGCCCTTTATCGGAAAATTAGCAGATATCACCTCGCGCCCTACCACATATGTCGTGATTCTCGTCTTTTACGTTCTGGGCTTCGTCGTTGCGGCCACTGCAAACTCGTTCGCGGCTTACACTGTAGGGCTTTGCTTCACTTCGGTCGGCAAGTCTGGGCTCGACTTGCTGAGTGACATTATTGTAGGCGACTTGACGCCATTGGAATGGCGAGGTTTCTTCGGAGCTTCCCTGTCCATCCCCTTCGTCGTCACCGTTCCCATCAACGGTTTCATCGCCGAGGGATTTGAGGATAACTGGCGATGGGGGCTGGGAATGTTTGCCATCATCGTCCCGGTGTTGCTCCTCCCCGCCATCTTCACACTGTACTCAATGCAGCGACGAGGAGAAAAGATGGGCATGGTCACTATGGCTGCTTCAAAGCGTGTGAGAGTCGGGGTCACCGAAGATCCCCAAGAGTCCAAGAGGGGTTTCATGTTCTGGATGAAGCTGTTCTATGAGGGTCTCATCGATATTGATATCTGTGGCCTTGTCATCCTTGGATTTGCTTTCTCACTCATCTTGCTTCCCTTCACACTTGCCAAGAGCGCCAAGGGTGGTTGGGGAAGCCCAAGCATCGTCGCCATGCTGGTCGTTGGTTTCGTTCTTCTCATCGCCTTCGTGCTCTTCGAGATGTACCTTGCTCCTAAGCCTCTCATGACAAAGCACATCATCAAAAATCAAACATTTCTCGCCGCTGTCACCATCTATACATTTAACCAGATGGCATCTTCAGTTCGCAATACGTACATGTCCTCATACATCTACATCATTAAAGAGTGGACGACCTACGAATGGACCATCTTCATGGGCATCACAACCATGGGTCTCAGCATTATGGGGCCGATTGTTGGTCTCATCCAGAGGAAAACACATCGATACAAGTCTATGATGGTATTTGGTGCAGTCGCAAGAGTGCTTGGTTACGGCCTGCTAGTTCAGAGCGACGGCCACATGACTCAAGATACGGCCCGGTTGATCGCTGCGCAATTGATCTTCTGCTTGGGCTCCTTTAACGTTGTCGGTGCTCGTGTGGGTAGTCAGGCTTCGGTGCCACACGAGGACATGGCATCTATCATCTCACTTCTCACGCTGTGGTCCACTCTGGGTTCGTCAATTGGAAGCGCGGTGTCGTCTGCCATCTGGACCAACGAGATGCTTGACCGTATGCACCTGGAAATGCCGAAGGTGGACAATAGTACCATTGCAAAGATCTATGCCAACATTACCAAATTGCGCAGCAACTATAGCTTTACTGACCCCGTCAGACAGGGCGCGATTCGAGCCTATGCATATGTTAATGGCCACATTGCAATCACCGCACTGGTGCTAGCCTGCCTGCCCCTGATTGCCACCTTCTTTATGCCTGACTTCTACCTGGGCAAGCAACAGAATGCTGTCACCAACACGGGTCTCGATGGTGACAGAGTTGATGTACCTCAGAGACAATCTAGTGCCAACGAGGGAGCTGACCAAGGAAAGGCGAAATCGTTCTACCAAAAGCTGGTAGCTGCCTACAGGAAGGATCGGATCTGAGTTTGTTGAGGAGGAGCTTTCAAATACGTCTAAATTACAGTCCTCTCGCTTCATAGAGGGAAGATTTTGGTTTTGTATAGTTGAGTAGAATCCGGATATCACGGCCTGTTCCGACGGAGTTAGTAATAGTTGAAAATAGAGCAATGCAATGCAATGCATATCCTACGGCTCATTCTAAATTCGCCCTCCTGGTTTCGCCTTTCATGAACCTTCTTGATTTTGTTGAGGTTGAATATTATGCCCACCATAAGATCGCTCACTTCCGACACCGGAGAAAGTTGGCTGTCAAGAATAAACTAGGTAGTAGATAGACAAATAAACATTCGCACTCTAACATGAACCAGCACACAGATAAAAGAGTTAACAACGCTCTACGGGTCAACCCAACCCGATTGACGCCGTAAGGGTAGGCCGATGCTAACAACTAGAGACTGTTGTTTCCTCTTCCCGTAACACCGTATTTTAACTGCAACCATGAAATTACTGCCATCTTCCCTAGAAGCGAAGGTATCCATAGCGTCGGGTTCTCGGCATTAATATCACATCTCTGCGACCTGTTGGGGGGATGAAACTAGACATTTATTCCACACTCAAAAAGATAAGCGTTGATAGTGTTAGGCTCCTACCTCCGATTGTCTTTACTCGTCATGAGCCAAAGGATAGCTAGCATGATCAGCTAGAACGCTGGGAACGACGAATGTACGGACAATATGATGTGGTATAGAAGATAGTATTACTGAGATGCGAGACGTTATGTGTAGGCTATTACTTGACTCTTCGGGAAAAAAATTCTCCTCAACCAGAACTGCGTGCCAGCAACTTCGGCCTCCAACATACTTGTATTGCCCATTGAATCATGGTAATATTTAAACTCGCAAGGCTTGTCTGGGAATCGGTGCGTAAATCTAGGAAAAGCCATCGCTCCTGGTAGATCGAATCATGGTAATGCTGGGATTAATGACTGCGCGCCATTCAAGGCGTAGTCGGGATGATAGTCGCACAAAACCCCACCAGGCATCTCGTCTTTCCCTTGCAATCTGGCCGGTCGATCCATTTCGTGCCGAACAACCGACTGCCCCCACGCTTCACACATCTGGGGGATGATATCCCACGGCTCGCCCCAGGCATCTATCCCACCCATCTCTTATTCCCGTCGCTGAAAATATACCCCGAGATACCGGATCATCACTAAGAAGGTAGGTGACATCAAATGGGGCCCATTAAGCTATGATGCTACTGAGTGTTTCACGCAACATGCGGCTTCGGAACCGCTTCTTGACAATAATGGCCACAGTGATGGGTAAATTAAAGTTTGATTCAGTGGATTTCATTCATAATTGGATTCTCAACCTGTTTGTCAATTTATGTCTGTCGAACTTTAATCGGTAAATCGGCGTGCCACCTGCCAAAGACCTTCCTCCTCGGTGAAACTTCCGACCCCCTCCCCCCTCACATGTCGATCACTACCTTGGGGAATCCGGGGTTAGGGTTTGCATATATATGTACTCGTGGGGTTACAATCAGGATGAACGGTCTGACAAACACACTTCCTTCTCCTCTCGTTTCGATACTCTGGGCTTTTCACATTTCGTTTCCCTCTCGCTTTCAACACCCGTCGCCATGGAGGGATGGTACACCATAGGGGTCGCCCTGTTCGCGGCCCTGGGTACGAATTTATTTGGATTCGATACAGGTTCGTAAAACTCATCATCAGTTTTGTTAGCATTGGAAGGTTGGCTACTGTAGCGACGGCGGTGGTTGTTGCAGCCACGGATATCATAATTTTCGATACTATCTCCTGAAGACTCATGCTAAAGCGCTATTGTGATAGGCATCGCTACTACTACGATTGCGCATCAGAGTTGGATTGAATATATGGGAAAGCCCTCCAATGGATTGACTGGTGCTGTTGTAGCACTTTACGTGAGTTCTTCCCGCATAGCTGGCCTGTTTGACGCGCCTTGCTACATCTCTTTGTGGTCTATCAATGCCGCTCTTTCTCGCCCTTTACTGTAGTGCTAACCTTGATGTGAATTCAATAGATCGCCGGAGAAGCCATCGGTTCCTTACTGCAAACCGCCATTGGTGATCGGCTGGGCCGTATTCGATTCATGCAATTAATGTGCATCATCGTCACCATCGGCACCGTCATCCAAACCGCATCCATCAACATGGGAATGTTCCTCGCCGGCCGAGCGATTGCAGGAATTGCTGTCGGTGGAATGGTTGGCACAGTTCCCCTGTATCTCTCCGAGATTAGCCGCCCTGAAAACCGAGGCCTCATTGGTGGTATTTCCGGTGCTGGAATTTCATTTGGTTCCATGCTGGCCAACTGGGTTGGTTTTGCTTGTTCGTACGCCCCGTATGGAGCAGTTCAGTGGAGGCTCCCTCTGGCAATTCAGATTCCGTGGGGTATCATCATGTTCATCGGCCTGGCCACATTCATGCCAGACTCACCTCGCCAGTTGATCCGAGCTGGGAAAGTCGACAAAGCCCGCATCGAGTTTCTTAAGATTAGACGCGGTTCCACGCCCGAGGAGATACAAACCGAGTTTGCCCAGATGAAGGCACAGATTGAATACGAAAAGGAGAGGGAGGTGACCTCGTGGAAGGAGATCTTTCGGTTGTTCCGACGCCGCGCGTTGGGTAAGTACACGGCTCTGGATTAGAGAGTGTGCAACTCATATGCTAATTCAAACACAACAGTATCCATTGCCGTGCAAACCATGACGAGTTTGACCGGCGTCAACGTCATCCAGTACTACCAAACAACTCTGTACAAGTCGCTCGGCATTGAATCTCACCAGATCCTTGCGCTGTCCGGAGTTTATGGCACTTGCGCCTTCATATCCAACTGCCTTGCCATCAGATACCTCCTTGATCAATGGGGTAGACGCAAGATGCTTATTACGGGCCTTGCTAGCGTTGCTTTAATCCAGATCTATGCAGCTGTTATGCAGCGAGAGTTCCAGAACACTGATAATCGAGTTGGTAAAGGATTTGCTATTCTGGGGATTTATCTCTTCGTTATTGCGTACTATGGCATGCTGAACAGTACGACATGGCTGTACGGCGTGGAGGTTCTGCCAATTGCCTTACGATCAAAGGTAATGGGAATTGCTGCTGCATCCCATTTTATCGTCAACGTGGGCATCACTGAGGCAGGGCCGGCAGCCTTCTCAACAATCAAGGAGAACTATTACTACGTCTTCGTTGGATGCTCAACCTTTTTCCTCGTCATTGCCTGGTTTTTCTTCAAGGAGACACGCCAAAAGACCCTGGAAGAGATAGCAGAGGCTTTTGGAGATCAAATCGTTTTCGCCGACGAGAGGCAGATCGTGGAGGAAGCGGCAGCGGAGGCCAAGTTGGAGGAGGTATGGCTCGAGAATGGAGTTCGCGGTGGCCCCAGCAAGTAATGCTCTGGCACTCCAGTGCATAAGCAAATAGGCTGTAATGCGAGATGTTCTGGGTTTGTGATAAATTATTGACACTCAGTATCTCGTTACTTCAGGTACTTCTGATCGAGAGCAAATAGCAAAATAAGAGTTGCAGCTAATAGGTGGTATATGGTCAGTTCAAATATAACTACAAATCTTGATAAGGATAGATTCAAAGCCTTTTATTGATCGGTACCTGCCTCGCACCTTCAAATTAGGTGCTCTATATGTCTGGGTTTGCTCGAAGGAAGTCTTCCAGAGGAGTTGCCCAAACACCAAGCTTCTCATTATCTAAGGTTTTCATATCCCATCTTCCACTCACAATGTGGTAGTAGTAAAACCGACCAATGTAATCCCACATTGCTTTAGGCGATCCATCCCTTTGGCCATCCAGCGCGAGTGCATGAAGTTCCTCTACTGAACCCAGAAAGTCTAGCTTGGCAGGGACACCCCTAACTTGTTCATAGGTCTTTGCCATCTGTTTCAAGCTGTCGGTTCCAGAGCTCACACACCAGTATCCCCCATCGGCCGCATCGTCTCTGAGGATGACCTGTGCCGCAAACTCAGCGGCGTCATGTTCACAAGTCCAGTGCCATTTCTCATCGCCAGTTCCCCAGACCTCGAACCGCTTATTCTCCGGCTCCCAGGGGCCATAGTGCTTGGTAGAGAAATCCATCGTGTCCTTGGTAGCGAACAAGACTTCGCCTAGAGCCCCAGTGAAAATGTAATTGGGGTTGATGCTTGAAGACTTGCGGGCTTGCGCATCAAACGAGATGAATCCATCATACGAATCCTGCTCCCCTAGCTGCATGCCCCGATAATCTCCACAGAAACTAGAGGCGAGGAACCGTTGCACGCCGGCCCTCTCGGCCGCACGCAAGGGGATGAGCTGTCCATCGAGCTGCAGGTACGGCGCGCCGTTGTAGGCACAGATGACTGCGTCCACGCCGGCGCAGGCCTTCTCGATAGCAGGGATGTCGTAGTACGACATGGCCTTGACAAAGCCCTCGAGCTTCTCGAACCTTTCGGCACTGATCTTCTCGGGGTGGCGGGCAACAACCCGGACTTGATGGCCCCGGCTTATGATACTGTCGATGAGCCGAAAGCCAAGGCTTCCTGTGGCACCAGATATGAGAACCAGCATTTTCGGCACTAGTCGATAGTCTGCATTGCAGTGAAGATGTTTACCAAGCAAGCTATGAGTTGACTTCTTTAGTATTTAATTAAACTCATTTGGGAAGGATACTCAACGCTCCTTTATAATTTGAAATGGTTTTTGCTGACAACATGCTCCGATACCAATCTTTGTTACTCAATCGGTACTGAAGGGCGTTATGTGCCGGTCAACAAACCCTTTTCGTAAGTGATATTCCGAACGCGTCGATGATTTTCAATCACATATCGTCTACCCGCTTTCATCTCGGCCTCGGCCATCACTATCAAATCTCGGCCTCGGCCTTCACTACCAGAAGTCCGAAGTCGAGCTCTGCGGAAGACTAGCCACATTAGACCTGTTAAAAGTGGCGATTTGACAAAAGTATACGGGTCCGCAGGGTTGTGCGGCTCATATGATGCCACCAGGGTCGCAATCACAGTAGCAACATGCCGGAACGGGCAATGCAACAGCTATGCTATACGCGACGGAACATGGATCTGCCCGGGAGATCATACTATGGGTGCGTTGATATGATTTTCGAGTATTACCAAACACTTAGACATGACCGGTATTAAATGGAGCAATACGTCAATTTAACTCCGACTGACTTGACTGTGCTTCGTGGTGCATGAGCTTGCATAGTAGTCCAGTTGCTGTATTGTATTCAACTATAAAAGGATCGAGCTTCCTACTTTTTAAGAGTACTGATAATTAACTCTCCCCACGAATACAGAAAAAATGGCTGACGAGTACTCACTGAGTGGTAAAGTTGCCATCATAACCGGTTCAGGGCGTGAGAATGGAATCGGCGCCGGCATAGCTTACGCATTTGCCCGGCATGGCGCTTCGGTCGCCGTCAACTATGTTTCGGATTCTAGCGCCGCCCGAGCAAACAAGGTCGCCGAAAAGGTTCGAGGACTTGGTGGAAAAGCAGCCGTTATTCAGGGAAGCATCACGAGTCGGCCAGGAGCCAGGCACATTGTCCAGAGCGCAATGACCGAGTTCAATGTGAGGTCAATTGACATTCTAGGTATGAAGGTGTTTTCTGAGAAGTCTTGATGGTTGGCCCCGTTTCTCTTCGGCCAGTGGCTAAGTGTTATACAGTCAATAATGCTGGCGGTCCTGTCAAATCCCATGGGAGCATCATGGACTATGAGCCCCAAGAATTGCTCGGTGATTTCGAGCTGAACTATTGTGGTGCAATCTACATGATACAGGAAGCTGTGCCCTATATGAATCGTGGTGGGCGAATTATCAATATTGGAGCAATGTCTGCAATAACTTATGTGCCCGGTATGCACATATACTCGGCAGCCAAGGCGGCATTGGACCACACAACGAAATCCATCGCAGTTGAGGTAAGTTCCTGTCACCTATAGACAGACAGATTTCGGAGAATGCTCTAACAAGAAAATGGTACAGTTGGGCAAGAAGAGTGGAATCACTGTGAATGTCGTTGCACCGGGACTCACGTTGACAGATCAGCCTTTGAGCTTGGACGAAGATCTTAGGGCTAAGGTGATTGATCTGGCTACTGAGAAGTCAAGTGCCGCCAATAGGGTCGGAACCATCGAAGATGTCGCCGATGTCGCCCTATTTGTGGCTTCTGAAAAGTCCAGATGGATTACCGGGCATGTGTTCCCGGTTGGAGGCGGAATGCACTGAGCGGCCACGGATCTCTAGCAGGAACTTGCAAGCTTCATGCCGAGTTGTATTATGTAGACAGATGTAAACTTTCATGGAATTGAGCAAAGTCTACAGCGAGTAGAGATCATTATGGCTTTTGCAGGCTAGTTCAAGGCAATCGCTGGTAGGCAATTTTCTTTGAACTTGCCGATCAGCGGGCGGTAGACAAGATCCTGTTGATCTCTGAACTGGATACTTTTGATTATCTCCCTTATTAAGTACACAAAAGGAAGTATCCAAAAAGAAATAGGATTCCACCCTGACACGATTTAATAATGATCAAGTGAGTGCTGAGAGTGGTTTATAGCCATAATGAAACAAACATCGACCCAAATTGAAAAACATAAAATTGTGTATGAATGATGTAGTGATGATTGTAAAATGTAATGATTGAATAATTTCTAAACTAAAAAGCGAAAAAAAAAAAAAGACTGAAGACTCCACGCCGCGACCTGGTAAATCACCTGGCCAAAACCTCGGCTCGCTAGACACAATGCTCGCACCGTCTTCTATTCGAATTCAAAAGTCTATTTCTAACGTTCCAGCGCTAGTATGATTTAGCTCGGCCTAACAGATCGGCCGAGCTACAGTTGATCTGTGGTAGTGAAACCTGTCACATTCTAATTGCGCGCCCAAGGGCCATGTTCTGTGTCTCTTCCTGCCATATGAACGTTAATGAGGGCTCTCGATCAACTTGTTCAATCAGTATTCACTTACACTCAGGCTTCGGAAGCTGGGTAATGATGGAGGGAATGACAACTTGGCCGAATCCCGCGCGAAGCACATGAGTCGCACGCCACGGGAAGGGTTGAGGGCCTTGGTATTGTGGGGATCGATAATCAACCTGAAGAATGAATTAGACCCTCTCAAAAGCATTGAGAAATCTCAATGGGACATACTCGGTGGGTGGCCGATGCACCGGAAGATAGCAGAAGAGCTGCGGTGGCGAGGACGGAGAATTGCATTGTGGGAATTTGGAGAGATTCTTAGGCTTTGCGATATAGAGAATCAAGGCGAGTTTTCGTTAATAGATGCTGTAGGAATGCTAGTGATGGATAGTGAGAACGGGCTTTCATCTTGGAACTGTTCATGATTTATATACTGATCCAAGGCATTTGAGAAGGCGTTCGCCATTCGGGTGGTACTACCCAATTCATCACCAACAAAAGGCAAACTAAATTAGCATTGCTCAATTCTCAAAGCTATTCGATATCCAGTCCTGATAGGTTGCCTGGCTGGAGGCCGATCTTACGTGTACATCTCGGGGTCTTGCCATGAGTTTTCAGTCTCAGAGGTGAATTACCGCATTTGGAAAGATAAATCGCGATTTCAGGAACACGAGCTAGCCGCCCTCGTGGCAATCCACAATGCGTCATTGCTGCAGAAGTTTGAAGATTATTACAGTTTCAAGTATTTCGGTACTGATTAGCATTGGCTAATTTGACATCTGGTCATCGTAGTGCTTGTCGCAGGACATCTAACTGCCCTTGGAGCACGCCATTACACTGGCGGTCGCTACATGCTTGGACACCATCGTAGAGGATCGGGGGAAAATGATAGTATTGTATCGTAATTGGTTCTGTTATTTTAAATCTACATAGCAACTATGGACTAGCCAGGGCCGGCTTGGCTACAACCTTGGCCACCAGTCTCTTATGGCCATTGTTTCTGATGTATTCATACTTGAGGTATCCGCAATCCTTTTCGCGCAGCTCAGCCGCATGGTTCAGAGTTTCCAGTGCGCCATGAGTCTCCAGCCACGAGGAGCGGTTGCATAAAGCATCAGCTTCGGGATCTGGAGAGGCACTCGCCACCCTTTGACCTCTCATCGACCTCCAGCTTGTCGGGTGATGTTGTTCAGCAGCGTCAAAGAGAGCCATTATGTGAATTTTAGACTGTAGGATCAGGGCAGATATATCATCAGTAGAGCGCCTGAGGATTTCAGGCCGTGATCTAAGGGCCCCGGTGAGAAGTTGAGATTGGACAAGTCCGAGAATCTCAGGAACCACAAAACCATCCAATGCCCGAAAGGCATTCTGAATATCTAGAAGCTCATTGAGGACTCGCATCTTGACTAGAATCAAGGCAGACAGCATGAAGTAGTTGAGGTCACTGGGTAGGCTTGGCCATGTGTCAAGTCGGTTCTCCATCTCGAATGCGGGATACTCGAGCACATCTGCATTCTTGACACCCAAGTATCCCAGCCTCGAATTTCCCCAACCCCAGCCGTGCTCAACCGCGACATACCACTTGATGAAATCATACGCCTCCTGGTCCCTGCCAAGACGAAGCAGAAGCGAAGGCACGAAGCGCCCAAGCTCGGAGATGTCGTCCTGCTTCTCGCGCATCACCTCCAGGCAGTGCTCCAGGGCAGTCTCGACAACATGCCGCCGCCCGCCCGCCTGCCCGAATTTCTCCAGGAGGACCAAGATCCACCAGCGCCGGGCAGCAGTGTACCTCCGGGCCTCAGGCAGATGGTGGCGAGGGATGGTGGGGTGGCGGCCATTGAAGAAGGAGGCGCGGAATGGGATTTCCTCCTTGACGACACCGGCCAAGGCGCTCCCGACGGCCTCGCACGCAGACTTGTGGGCAGCATGGTGTGAATGTCGATGTGACTGGCTGCAGTAGTAGATGGCTTTGCAGCCTGTGCAGCGGCGGAGGTTGGCAGTGCTGCCACACCATTCACAGGCCGGGGGCTGCAGGGACGGGCGCGAGGGAGTCATGGTGACGGTGAAGGCGGCCATTCTGCGGGAGGGGGCGGTGCACGATTGAGCGATGAGAGCGACGGCCCCAAATGTGCGTTGTTGGTGTTGGTGCTGTTGTTGGTTCAATGTTCAAGTGGTGGTTCACTGTCAGGTTGGTGGTTTGATGGTTGAAGATAGGTAATGCCGGTCGCAGCACGTGACGTGATGTTACGCGAACGAACACGGGACTTTTGGGTGTTTGTTAGGCAACTGCCACGGTTTTCCGCCATCACAAAACACGCAAAGGACCAACAAATGCGCGGGGGCCGTCCACGAATGTGACTGGCCTTGAAAAACCGGCGAAAATCACTTGCTGACTCCTAAATCAGGCTACGGCGCAAACAATGGCAGCTCCCCGATAGGAGCCGGCCAATCCCCTGACGGTTCGCAGCAAACAGGGTGAGTCAAGGGCGGCACACAAATCGCCTGGCCCCCAAGAACCCTGTGACAGGTTGATTCGCGTCCCTCTGCCGCTGGGCCAATAGAGGATGCTATATCAGGTCCGTTAGAGTTGAAAAAAGAGATCTTATGTCTGGCCAGCCCTATGCCCAGGTCCATTCCCGCTCACCTTTGTCTTGCATGAATTACAGACAGCCAATCGCCTAGCAGTCTTTGCTTGCTTCTAAGAATACCTGCCACCATTTGCTGCTCGTCTCAGCACAGCCTGGCATCGTTGTGGCTGGCAACCATCACTCAGCGCATTATCCTCCAGGATCTCTACACTGGGGGTAGCATTCCATCTCCAGCAACACCAATTACACTTCCACGCTGTAGGATACCAAATATTGTGCATCAGTTTCTCTAAACAAGACAATTGGGCATTCTACCCTTCCATCGCATGCACGTACCTGTGAGGCGGTAAGACGGCAAGGCAGCGCCAGTGCACTGTAACATCACTCACCAGATTACCTCATCACTGTAAATCTAGGCCTCGCCCGCTAAAATTGAGTCACATCTCTTGTGGTGTTCCGGTGTTGAATATGATGCCCTCATGTGCGACAAAGTGATAAAGGGCGACGCCTAAAGTCAAGCATCGCGGACCTTTATATGGAGGGATAGTGTTATAATGCCCAGTGTAGGCGTCATCCTTTCTGATTCTTTCGTGTTGGCTGGAACCTCTATATATACTGTGGCATCCCGTACCGCATGCCTTCTTGCGCTGGCAGTGCAGAAAGTTTGTAAATAATATGCACATTAAGGAATTCCCTACGGCTGATCTCTCGAAGAGAGACGATTTGCTGGGAGACAAGAGATGCGCTATCAATTAGAAAAAATGACATGAAAGTTCGATAGAACACGGCATCCGCGCTTTCTGCGTAAAGCCTCTCTTTGTCTTGAAATGGAGGGAAAAAAGCTTGTATTATGATTGACAGACAAGTGTCTGAGTTATCACAAGTTTGAGAAGCGTGAAGATATAGAAGAAAGTACCGAAGTAGGACAGTTGAATGAATAACCATCATTTCAGGGTCGGAGAACGCATGATCCCAGTCATCAAGAATGATAGGCACCGGTCAGGAGAAGTAATCACATAATTCTGGTGTTTATATACAAAAACATTCGATCTTTCGCGTAATCCAGGCCCGCCGTGCCCTCTATTTGAAATATGACCACTTCCACGCCTGATCAAAGGGGTTCTTGAACTGGAGTTGATGATTCATTGTAAGTCAAAGGAGATCGATTTGAGTCACGGCAGATCGGAGGTAAAACACGGCAAAATAAGCTTGCTTTCCTTTTTTACACCTCATCTGCATATCCTTGAAAACGTAATCCGGAATGTTCGATTTCCTAGGTCTAAGATCTTGGCTCATAAGTGAGTCTCAACCTCTCCCGTCTCTGCTTTACTCTAGACTAAGAAGCCGCTAATCCCAACAATTGTTCCAGCAAAGGCAAGGAGCGGGACGGTAATAATCGAGCCTTCCCCATTTAATGACAAGATCTTTTAGATCCTTTGCCCCCTCAGGCTGCTTCGAGCTACCATTGATCTCTCCCGATCGATCATTGATAGCCTCATTAAATGGATAGGAAGAGATTATAGTGAAGGGCACAATGCTGCCGACGATAGCACTAGCCGCACAAAAGAGTTGAAACCGCGTGCTTCCAGGCTTGGTGACTTCATTATTTGGAAGGTATGCGAAGCTCGCGGAGGTTCCGGTGACGATGATCTTGCCGACATATCGGCCGACATCCCAAGCGCGCTTCCATTGTTGAGCAACGAGGAATTATGGCGCTTTCACGGCTGCAGGTACAAACACGTAGGTGCCACTCAAATAGTAACCTTCCCAGCATATGTTAGTGGCTTCATGGCACATATGAACACTCGGCATCAATGTTACCCACCACTCATGAACCCTGACAGAGTCAAGGTTAAAGCTTCTGAGGAGATTGGAGTCCTCACGATGCGCTTTGGCTGACTTTAGTTGTTTTGTTTTGAGTTTGTCGGAATTACATGGCATGGGTCTCGATAAAGGAGTACTTATAGACAGTGATGGGATTTCTCGTTTTGACAAGCAACCGGTGATAATGTATTATCCGGCCTATTTGCGGTCGATCCTCACCTTAGCCAGGTCCTGCGACGGAGGCTTTTGACAACAGTAGCAGATAAAGTCATTCTATGGTTGATAGTAGTGAGGTGGGGAGAGAGGAAGCTGTAAGCGCAGACAACACCCACAGCCACAACAACAGAGGATGTAGTACACAACAGTTATCGTATTAGTTGACAGCTTAGTCACCCGCATTGACATTCATCGTACGAAGACCTTCCTCGTCTCGAGCGATTGAGCGGACTGAGAAGAAAGGGATTTCTCTCGAAGAAAGCATCCGAAACTCTCATCGTAGCGCCTCTTTAGACCACAGCCGACTTCCATGAACAGAGGCAACACGAACAGTTAGTTAACTCAGTCGTCAGTCACAACTTGGGGTCTCAATTGAACAAAGGAAAAAGCGTGTGTTTTCTGCCTAGGCCGCGAAAAAAAAAAGGCACCTTTTATCTGATTGTTCAAAGGCACGATCCGCGATAATTCGGACCTTCTATCCCTTCTTTGGTCGTTTTGTACTAGCAGTGATAGTATGGGTAGTAGTTGACCTGATGGTACTGTTGGCTGGTTTGATGGCTGTCAGTAATTGCTTGATTTTTAATTCAAACAAATAAACTAGAATCTACCTAGACCAGGGGTAAAGTAATTCTAGTTTAGAGTCTAGCAGTTTCCTTACCTACACTTATGGGCTTGAGCGTGATAGTTGCGTACTAATATAGACCTGCCTATTTTGCTACAATATTTTTTCTAAATATCTCTTCAATTCCGCATGAGAGAAATGGACAGCTTGTGAGATCAGAAAGTTTGAGATATTGAGTATGGCTTTGAAATAACTAAAGCGGCCATTGATGGCTTAAGCTCGACAAAGCATTCAAGAACTACCGAGCGGTGTCAACGACTGGTATTTCAGAGCTTATAACTCTTAAATTGAAACTTACTTAGCTACCTTACCAAGTGGGCGCCAGAATAAAAGGCACTGCAAGTATGTTGTTACATCTCAGCTTTCTTATACAGGCCATCATCATCAGAATGATAGATATTGGGGTGTAACAATAATAACTTATTGAGCAATTATTAGACAGTATTAGCGACTATACACGAAAGCGTTGGCTATTTTGGTGCAATAGGAAGCATTATTATCGACTGCTGCAATAAAACTGTCGAGGCGATTCTGCGGTCCATGTTTTTAAGACGGCTACTTTCACTTCTCCTCAAAGTCCGTCCCCTGTCTATACAAAGCCTCCGTTCTCAGTCTCACCAGACCCACATAGTACCAACGAGGCTCTTTTGTATGAAGAATATGTACAGACTAGGCACAGTTGATTGTCTATGTGAATAATCTCACCTATTTCGTCCCTAGTCTATTCTGATTGCTCGTTGAAAGGCAACACATCGGCTCACAGTTGTCTTGGCTCACAGCGTACGTATACTCAGCTAAAGTTCTTGCTGGTGTCCAGGAACGGTAAAATTCAGGCATTCAGTCGGATAAGGGGCTTGACCATAAAGCTAAATCAAGAGAGTTTACTCACAAAAGCTTGCCTTCTATGCTGAAACCAGTATCAACATTGCGAGCCAAAAGCTTCAGGGTAGGGGTTGAGTCAGCCTGTCATCAAGGCCCACTTGCTGTCTGGTAAGATTGATTCATCATGGGGGCTTTTTCGTTGGTGTGGAAAATTTTGGTGTGAAGGGCTGTTCGCCCATCTACCCCATATTTCATTCATTCCGTCTTCTGGCCTCTTTTTTATGATAAAAAATGCTCAATTGACACGCCTTGAGCAATCTTGTCCCCTCTGGAAGCTCTTGATGTGACTACAGGGGAAGAATACTGGTTTACACAAGTCAGTGTGCATGCACAAATGAGAATGTTGGCTTGGCGTGTTTGGTGGACATTGGATAACGCGCACTATACTGCTCATTTCGGCATGGACAAGCCATGCATGCGTAACCTGACTTGCCCAGGACAGCAAAATCTTCCCTGCATGTGGGTGCCTGTCCTTTTTAGCGTTGGCCATGAAACGTGCTGAGCTTACAGACGAGCAAATTACGTGGCCTGGCAGCCGAGAATGGCCGTGGCTGGGTACTTAGTGCGTTTGGACTGGACTGCCATCAGCCTTGCCAATGTTTATATATAACTCCCGCGCCGCCAGCAGGGGGGCTGGCCTCATTGAAGGGACTAAATGCCCAAGTATAGCCTTTGAATGGGCCGTTGCCTGATACGGTGTTCTAGATTGACCGTTCACTACAAAAGTAACAAGTGTTGAAGGGCAAGTGGCTGAAATAAAACATGGCACACCAAGGCTCTTTTTGCGCACGGAAGGGACCTCGTTTCTTTAACACAATAATGCAAAAATAACAACACCTTCTACGATATTGAACTTGATATTGCATTTGCTACTAGGTCAATTGTTTGGATATTGTGTTGAGCTTTAAGGCTGAAGTGTCATATTTGGTGTCAGCCACTTGAATGGGATGACAAGTGGGTTTTGAGCGCGACCCTGGGAGTAATCTCTAGGGCTGAGCATCGCCTGCAGTTTGAGCTTATGCGAGGGGATTTTGGTGATAAGCCATGCCATGACCATGACCAACAGAAGGATTGGGTATTTTTGGAGGGGACTCGTACCAACTGCGCACCAGCATTATTATATATGACCCTCAAGTTTCCCATTCTCCTGTTCCCAATCCCATCTTCTCAGCAAGCGGTTGCAGAAGGCAGTGACAGTACTTCGACACGCAAGAATCACACTTTAGCGATCCCTGTCCCACGAAGAATCAAGCACCAAAGCTCTACCAATACACCACACCACCCTTGTCCAAAATGTCTGAGTCATGGCAAAGCAGTCTCTGCGGTTGCGGATGTGGATCTTGTCTACTGGGCACCTTCTTGCCCTGCCTGAGTATGTCCTTGCACCCGTGCCGAACCATTTTCACACTTACTTGATACTTACTGCCTGTTGCTAGTTGCCGGCCGCACAAAATCTAGACGTGAAGATCCCTCAAACCCATCCCCTGACATGTGCAATGGTGACTGCGCCGTCTACGGTCTGCTGCACGTCATTGGATGCAGTTGGATCTTCACCATGATTAGGCGAGGAGATATCCGAGGGCAGTACAACATCCAAGGGAGCGGATGTGGCGATTGTTGCACCTCCTTTTGGTGCCCCTGCTGTGCAACCATTCAGAACGACAATGAGGTAAAGGAGCGACTCCTTTCCTCAAGGCCGGTCGAGCAGGCCTATCAGCCCCAAAAAGGCATGCAGGTACCTGGCCATCAGTAGCTGGGCTAGGTTAGATGACGTGAACTATTATTTGGATGGCTACTTTTTTTTTTTTGTATACATTCTTTCTTCTCATGTACCCAGGGACATCACTTGTTTACCTTCCAAATAATCTTTCTTCTTCACGTTAAATACCCAACCACGAGATTAGGCTTCTTATCATACTCCGTTGGCCCCTGACATGACATATCGTTTTGAATGGCCGAACATGGACATGTTGTATTATTTGTGATAGAAGAAGCAAAATATCGATTCCTAGAGAGGCCATAATGGGGCACAAAAACCACAGCCAGGGCCTATATCTTCCACGAATGAAGATGTATCCAGTGAGACAATAAGCTATCAAGGGCGGCCCCCTTGATGATGCTGTAAATGAAATGGGCGCCGACATATCCGTGTGGCAGGATTCTCCGCCGGAACAAACCCGGGTTGAAGTCTAATTTATACAAGTATGCTTATAATTTGGCGTGACCTGGATTGATTGCTGAGAGGCTTCTTGCTAGGATTGGTGGAATGTTGCAACCCTATTGTTTGAGTTTCTCCTTCCGTCATACCTCCGCATTTTCCTATTCAGGCACATCGCTGTTGTTCTTGACATGACAATATCGAGAGCCGAAAAGTGGAATATGATATTTACTGTAGAATCGCAACATTGAAAGAGAAATTTCGTGCAAATATAAATCAGACGCGTGCCGCCAATCTTGCCCTCATCTGAACTTAGTCTGCTCAAAATCGTTTCATGCCAAGGCCCTACACTCAAAGTCAACGACACACACTCGAACTCAGTTCATCTTGCAACATGAAATCTCTTGCAACTTTCTTGCTCTTCCCTTTGGCTCTTGGGTGCCTCAACCCTACCAGCAACTCGTGCGCTAGCTACATCAAGTCCAACTCGGCTACCGCCTCTCCTTTCTGCGCAACGTTCACAAAGAGCTCCGTCACTGCAACGACCTCCCTTCCATCATGGGCAACAAACTGCTCCAACAAACCCAGTATGATCTCTGCTGAGTGTTCCTGCCACTACAGCGGGAGTGCTTCCTCAGCTACAGCTACAGCCACGACCAAGACCACGACCACTGGGGGTGGTGGTACAGTTCCAACTGGCGTCACTACGACATTGCCTGCTTCTGCCGGAGCCACGTCAACCAGTAAGGCCATCACCGTGACTGGTTCCTTTGACGGTGGAATGAAGAAGTATGATCGCAGTCGTAAGTCACCTTAACTACTACCAAAACAAACCACGTCTCTTCAATGTTAGGCTAATTCAACCTTTCGCATTCTGGAATTATAGCCAAAGTCTGTGCAGAGCAAGACGAAACCGGAGAGGCCGACGCAATGTTTGTGTTGGAAGACGGTGCTACCCTCTCGAACGTGATTATCGGGCCTGATCAGGCCGAGGGTGTGCACTGTAAAGGAACATGGTACATTATATCATTCTTCTAGTTTTCTTTTAGGAAATGTACTGACGAATATCCAGCACACTCAACAACGTCTGGTGGGCCGATGTTTGTGAAGACGCCCTGTGAGTCAACTCTCCTGACGCGCGCTGTTGTGTCCTATCCAACTAACCACGCCCATTGCACAGTACGCTCAAGCAATCCAGTGGCACTTCCTACGTCAATGGCGGAGGAGCATTCAAAGCTGCGGATAAGATTATCCAGTTTAACGGAAGGGGCACAGTCCAGATCCAGAACTTCTACGCCAATGATTACGGTAAGGTGGTGCGAAGCTGCGGCAACTGCTCCAACAACGGCGGCCCTCGCAACATCATCATGAACAACGTGGTTGCTGTCGACGGCGGCGTGCTTTGTGGCATCAACACTAATTACGGAGACACCTGCGTCATGACCAACTGTTGCCAAGACGATGGCAAGTCTTGCGACCGGTACACTGGAAATTCCAATGGCAGCGAGCCGAGCAAGATTGGATCTGGGCCGGATGGCACGTACTGCAAAGTTTCTGGGGCTACCACTAATTGTTGAAATTTGCTTTTGCTACTGAGCCAAGAGGGCAGGCTGTCAGCTGGTTTAGGAGATTGGAGTGCTACATAGGTAGTTTTGCAACTTGAAGCATGTTGTCAAATTGAGTTTTGTGTATTATCTTCTCAACAGGCTATGGTGCATTGATTGTCAGAATTGTTAAGAGAAAACCACTACGTAAAAAGAGAAGGAGGAACGATATAGCCAGTGGTTTGTCGTAGAGTCTGCCAAGACCCTACAAGGTCACTTAATTACTTTCTGCAAGGAGATATAAGCCGTGGAAAGAGAAACCTGGAAACTGGGAGCATTTCGATGAGAGAGAATAACGCCTATTTGGGAAATCTAACAGTAAATCTTGGTAATGACCCTATTATCATCTAAATCCTAGAAGTGTCAAGGTGAGTAAGTTTACATAGGTTAGCCAAGTCATTGTTGAGACCCCTGTCCTATGTCAAACTGATTGACCGTTCAAATGGTTGATAGTCTTCCTCTCCTCTCCACTGATCGCTGTAAATGGATTCGTCAATCTGTCGGGTATCGAGGCCATTCAACACGTCCCTGGGGCTCAAATTAGTAACTTCCATTAGCGGGGAGATGTGAGGATCATACTCATCCTTAGCAAGCACTTCAAGACCAGGAATACAATCAATCACAGCATAGATGATGTAAGAAACCCCGAAGGACCAGGCAAATCCCAGTGTGGCCTCGAGGATCTGTATGCCGATCTGGCGAATGTTGCCATCAAACAGCACACCGCCAATGATTTCCGTTTCGCCATCATACGCAGCCACTTCTTTGCTTGCGAAAAGTCCTGTACATATAGTAGCGGCAAACCCGCCGATGCAGTGAGTAGCAAACGTGTCCCCATTGTCCACCCACTTCAGCTTCCGAGCGAAGTCTGTGAACTTGATACGCAGAGCTTGTCTAATGATCAACGCGCCCACGATGCCAAGACAGAATGCACTTCCCAGATGGACAAACCCAGCAGCGGGAGTGATCATGACCAAGCCCGACAGCGTGCCGAGGAACGTAGAGTCGAGAGAAAAGCGGCCTGTCTCCCAATAGTTGATAAGGCTCCATGTCATGGCCCCCGAAGCGGCGCATGTGTTTGTAACCGCGAAAGCCATAACGGACTTGAAGTTCAGGCTCAGTGTGGTACCAGCGTCGAAGGCCAGCCATCCACCCCAGATAGTGGCTATAGCTATCAGCTGGCAGAGACTATTATGAGGCTTATGGAGCTTCAGGTGCGATGGCGTTCGCTCTTTGGATGCCCTCGAGCGAAATAGCGGATGTGACAGATAAACAGACATTGCTGTGGCCGTGGCACCGCTGCAGACATGCACAGGAGTTCCGCCCGCGAAGTCCAATACACCCAAGCCCCCGAGATAACCGTTGTCTGACCATACCATGTGTGCCAGAGGGCAGTATACCAGGGTAGCCCAGAGGAAGATGAAGGGAATTAATGGGAGCAAGCGTCCTCGCTCACACGCACCTCCAATTGAGATGGCCGCGACAGTAGCACAGAAGATGAGTTGGAATTGGCTGAAGAGCAAAGTCGGTATCGTGCCCATTGGTTCCCAGATGGCGCCAATGTGGAAGGCATGGCTCAGGTCACCAAAGAGACCATTCCCATCGCTATAGGCAATCGAATATCCGATCAGATACCACTGGATGGTGCATACGATGAGGACAAGAAGACTGGTGTAGATGGCGGACATGGCATTCCGGCGTGTCGAGTAGCCGGCATAGGCCAAACCCACGGCCGGAACGATCTGCCAACATATCGTGCTGCAGAAGATGATGAAGAGGATGTCGGTCTTGTCGAACTGCTCCCAGTCCACAGCCATGGTGACGACGTCTGAAGCCATCATGAGCACACTTGGGTTTTCATGGGCAGTGAACAGCGCCGGCGGGAGGGGAGTGCTACTTTTTCAATGAGACACGGCCTCCCATCGCGTAACTTGGCTTATCAACTCAATCTGAGACAGGGATGGTCAATCGTTCCCGAAAGGGTAATTTTTTGGGCCACATTGTTATCATCAGGATGTGAGTGGATGCAATTTCGTCTCTGCGCCCGCAACAAGACCAGGCCAAGCCGCCCTGCAGAGGCATGCAGGTGATGTAATGAGCGTATGTACTCTTCCTAGTTTTGAGGGGTAAGACCGGAGCAAAATGGCTTAAATGACTCTCGTAATGCTCTCGATACTTGGTCAGCACAACCAAGACATACAGACGCCACACATGGATTCACCGTAAGGGATCGCCCAAATGTCTCTTGGCTCGGCCAATACTTCGCTAGCTTACTCTCGGACATTCCCTTTCATTCCTTCCCGTTCCATAACTACTCTAAAAACGTAAAATGAAATGATAATCTTATAGCTATCACTGATTGTAGGATGTGACTGCTCGATGAACATCTTGACTCTCAGCGTGTACAAGCCCTTTAGCCCCTCACTCGAGAGGCAATTAATTCTAACATTGTATGTCATATAAATCCTTTTGTGAGATCGATTCACGATCTATAGTTTGATTTCAACTAAATGCTGCCATGCTCGTACAGATTCTCGCACAATTCACAATAATACGAACCTAAAAGCAAATGGAGAAGAGCCTTTCCCGTCAACGCGTCCGAAAGAGCAAACCTTAGTATTCCTTCGAGACTTGGGGCGTTGAGAGATAAATAATGATACATTTCTAGGGTTCATGTCGTTATGGTAAGTGATTGCGGACATAACACGAGCACTCTCAGGTGCGACTGCCTCGTAGATGAATGCTCATACTTTAGTAGAAATTAAGGAATGAGTCATTCATTAGCATATCCATGCTCCATGGGGTGAGTGAGGGATAGATAAATGGCTGTTCGGGGGTAAATTCCCATTGGGAATTTGAGTCACTCCTCGAGCCAGAGCTCGTCTCAGTGATACCAGGCTCCCTCACAGATTGAAGGCGCCCATCATCAGTCCGACGCCGGTCGCAGCCCTGGTGGTTATCTATTGAAGTTTCTCTTCCACCGCCTATATAGAAATCGCCGGATTGAGATGATGGGCTTACTTCTCCTAGGTGAACGTGAGTAGTTGCTTGGGCTTTTTGATACAGCTTCTCACACGTCAATTGAAGAGGGTGGAGGTACGTATTGGGGTTCTCCTGGTCAAGGAGATCGAGCAGCTTCAAGGTGCCGCTTACAGCACGCAAGTCGTCCGCTGCGGTAAGTTCTTCAGGCTGGCGGAGGGCGTTAATGCAAAGAATGATAATGGCCCCTGAGATTATGCCAATGACATCCCTAGAACCGAGTTAGAATTACTTGAATGAGACGACCAATAGCAAAGCTTACCAATAGTAGCTCCTCCATCCTAGAGGCATAACCATGTTTAAGCCTAAAATAATTCTGGACGCTTTCAAACATCGGTGAATGGAAACCCGGGCTGTCGAAGGCAGAGAAGAGAGATCTACTTGGTTGCGCGATGTCCAATATTGAAGCCCTAAACCGCGATTTGTCACAATAACGCAGTTTTGGTAAATATAACACAAGCGCATTAGTCCTTGATGTTCGGGCCTCTGCAAGAGTCCATTCATGTCGAGAGATGGAGAAGTTGAAGAAGCCCAGGCTTCTAGTTTTTCCGTCAGACGTGAAACAGAATCGGCCATCCAGCTTCTATCCGTGGATGGTAGATGACTAGAAAACAGAGTTCTATAGATCTCGCCTTGGATCGTGGCTAGCCGGCATTGTGCGTTGAAAAGATTCAGAGATGTGCCGTTGGAAATTGTAATTATATCGCTATCGCCGTTGTGTGAACTGTCTGATAGCAGTTCCACGTGGAAGTCATGGAGATTATGGGCAGGAGGCCTACCTGTCCGGAGGCAGAGCTCCGAATCCAGAGACGCAGCGATCCAGAACACCCGTTTTCTCATTTCGATCTCGACAGAATCCCAAGACCGATCTTCGTAGCTTGTATGAAGCCCAATAGAATGAGCTAATCGCACGGCATTCCCTGTCAGCATGAAGCTAGGTTGAGGATTCGGGGTGCCCACGAAGAACCAGGCCATGCATAAAAGAGCCTGGACGGAGAGTAATTGAGTGTTACGCATGAGGATATCCACAAGATTCCCCATCGCGTTAGCCGCATAGTTCCATGATAGATTCCCTTTTTCTGATGGATCTCGGCCCTTTTCCACACGACGACGCTGGGATATCGCCAAGACGGAATTAAGACACCCAAGCCAAGCAGGATTTCGATCTAATTTTCCAGAATACTGCTGCCCCAGCAGTGTCATAAAGCTCGGTTGGTGAAAACAAGGTATGGCTTGGTGTTCTTGATCGAAGAACTCGCTTACGAGGGAGAAAGCTTCTTTCCATGGCGGCAAGGGGACCTCTGATCTTGTTGCAAATATACCTTTCATTGAGGAGTGTGTCCATGCAGACCACGACTCGTTTGGAGTGGGATTATTCGGGGGGGCTGAAGTCCATGGTGCTGCCTTTGGGCCTGTGCCGATGGACGCAAGTGAAACTCCTGAAGGTGGCCCTGTCGACTTGTTAGAAGCAACAGTTGTATATGACATGGGTTCAATGTACCAAAGTATCGCATATCGCCAGTGCTGCCGACCACTGTATCAGATCTCGCCGAGCAAGTAGCTGGTGTGAGAGGATCTGCATTGGACGCTCGAGGGCTGTTCGCTGAAGGAGCGCGAGGAAGGGCACTGGCCCTAGGAGAAGATGCTTGATTTACCACAGTAGGAGAAATACCGGAAGGGCCTTCGGCAATTATCTGTGATTCCAAAATACCAGTATGGTTCTTGTCCATAATGTTTCCACTAGACTCGCCCAATGTGCTTGAAGGGACTTGCACGGAGCTTCTTGTACGGCGGCGTTGCGGCTTACGGACGTCAGCATAATGGCATGAGAGCTGTCCAGCCTGGCATCGAGTGCATTCTGGTCGTATCCCATCACATCGAAGTTTTTTCTTGCGGCAAGGATCACAAGCCTACTTTTTGAGCAGATTATAAGCTCTTGTTTCCATACGAGAAGAGTGAGAGAGAACCGCACCTTTGCAAAACGTCTCCGCCGATCCCGATACATCTTCCACTTTGTTCCTCAACTATTCCAGCCTCGCAACCCCTGTGATTGAGTTCCCCGGAAGAAAGGAAAGATGATGGAACACATTTTCCATCTCCAAACACCAAGAAATCTGTGCTACTGAGCAATGACAGCAAAACCCCACTTCCGTTGATTCCGGAAGCCTCGGCATTTCGAACCCCAAAACCGGGTCTTTGGCATGTTCAGAACTCCGAGGTCCAAAACTCCGATCCGCTATACGTCATCCAGCCAGTGTCCTAAGCCCCTTGAGAGTCGACCTTGTTGACATATTGGATGACTTCCCAAATTTGGCCCAGACTAGCTAGTCAATCTTATTACTCGTGTCACATCGTGTTGTCCTTTCTCTATCAGATGATCCTTGAAGAACAAAGGGATAATTTCTATGAATAGCTCTAACTTATCATTATTTATATCTTAGAAGACGATACCTTGTTCAAAATAGACACGGGGACTTGGACAGTCTTGTCTCTAAAATAATCGATGAAGCCTTTGCCAAAACCATCCAAACGCTTCGAGCTACTCACACCCCGGCCAAGGATACCGTAGACCACGAAATGGACAGTGTAGATTTTTGGAAACTCGACTCGCTCAATGGAAAAGTCCGGGTGCCAGTCCTCGATGAGCATCTCTTGAACCTTAGCGCAAGACATGTAAGAACGGAGCCACTCCCACTCATCCTGTGTCTGGACGAATAATCCAAAGTTCAAATTGGCGCCCTTGTCGCCCGAACGTCCCAGAACAACGTCGCCGAGTTGCACTTGGCGAAGGTCGCCGCCCGTGAAGTGTACAGGGAGCTTTGTGTCATAAGACTCGCGCTGCTCCAGCTGCTCAAAACGGGGAGGTGGCGATGTGTCAAAGGAGCTGGTCGTACCGTCAGCGTTGACGAAATGACACTGCTCGCTGAGGTTGGATTGATGCCACAAAGCGGGATAATAAGCTAGATAAGGTCGAGGAATCGCAGTGCGCATATCCAACGAATTGTGAAAGCCTTGAACAGCGTTTGGTAAGCTTTAGCTGTACGTACTGTACATGAGCATCACATACCAGAGTAGTGCTTCAATGAAATATGCCTGACAGCAAGAGCAATTGCTCCAAGGGCCTGAAGATTGGTTGACTGGGCAAATATTCGAAAATAGACGGTGCTGCTGTTTTGATTCGCAGGGTTGAATGCGGGAACGCCGATTCTTTTGCTCGTGTTAAGAGAGCTCAAGGGTCATTTGGATGTGAGGAGGCAACATACTGTTGGACTTCAAAAATATCAAGTTCTTTCATGGTCTCTTCTCCCATGAAGTATTGAACTTGCTTACTAAAAAGTTCAAACTTCTTGTCTGTGGCATAGCCTGTAGCATTAACTAATAGCTGAACTTCATGTCCACCATTATAAAAGATGGCAAGTTTAGTGGTATCTGGAGGCGGAGCACCACGGATTCCAGTGACACGGACCCTGGAGAGTGGTCAGTTAAAGAGTGCCCGGCATTTGGACTGGTAACTTGCCTATTTTCTCCAACTTTCTCCATTTCCACATCATCAATATACGCTTTAACATCGCTGTTAAGGTAGATGTTGCCCTGAAGCTCATAGACTAGCTGAGATCGACACGTATCGACAGTCACCATGCCGCCTGTTCCTTCATGCTTAGTGATGACGCACGACCCATCTTGAGCAATCTCGGCGATGGGAAATCCAGGGTTGATGAGATTGTCGAGATTAAACGCATCGAAACCGGCAAAGTTTCCTCCAGTGACGTACGATGAGCACTCAATCAAGTGTCCAGCAATCAGGGCCCCGGCCAATTCATGATAATCTGTAATTCTCCAGGACCACCAATACCAGGCACAGGCAATGACCGGGCTGGCATCCGAAACCCGACCGCAAATGACAATGTCGGCGCCATTCTGAAAAGCCTGATAGATTGAATGAGCGCCCAGGTAGGCATTTGCAGATACTATCTTCCGCGGTTCCTTTCCGTCTTGGGCAAAGATAAAGGATTCATCAGATATGACAACATTCTTGTTTTGAGAGTCGACATGAGGCAAGGACGCTTCCTTCTGTTGCGGCATGAAGGTGCTAAGTTTGGGCAGAATATCATCTCCTGACACGTAAGCGACTTTTAGATCGTAGCTTTTTTCCCGGATCTTGAATGTATCAGCTTTTATCTTTTGGGGATGGTCTTGGAACACATACCAAGGCAGCAACCTTGGTGGCCAGGCCTCCAGGATTCAGGGCACCACCATTGATGGCGACTTTGATCCGCTTCTGTGCTATAACGGGTAAAGACTGTTTCAGGCCTTGCCAGGCCGTTTCCTCGTAGCCAGAATGCTTCCCCTGCGCGAAAGCCTCCGCATTGTTGGCCATGTTGACCTCTTGATATGTTTAGTATGTACACTCATGCCAAGACAAGTTACCCCAAAGGCGGGGAAGACACACCTGCAAGGTAGTCGCCGGTTATGAAATCGACATCGCCGAGCGTGGCCTGGTTATACATTTCCTCAGCTGGGTCGCCTATGTGCGTTCTATTAGCCTATTATCATCAAGTCGGCTATCCAAGCTCCATACCGTGGTAGCCTGAACAGTTAGCAACCCGGACAGGTCTTGAACCGAATTCTCCAGCTCTCCAATTCATGATTGAGGTCATGGTGACTGATGGTGATTTTAACCGAGAGAAGTTAAGATGCCAAAATCGGTAGGTTAGAGAAATCCTCTGCTAGGTCCGCTGTCGCTGTCTTTGGCAATAGTTAATCGGTAGGTGATAGTGGTCAAATCAAATCAGGGACAATCATGAATGGGAGCCCATGGAATTATAAGGGCTTCGCAGAATGCTTGAATACGTACGTCAACGAAAGCTTCCAAGTCCCGGAAAACAAAAACCGGGGACCAGAACTCCGAGTGCCGGATTCGGGGTGATCAACTTGACAGCTCAAAGTTTTGACAACAGCATTCCAAGTCGTGGGTACCAGAGGTTCCACGCTCTAGTGACCTCGTGGCTGGTGCACTAGAACTGCCTACTTCGTTCCATCTCGGAGTTTTGGCTCAACGTAAAAGTGGACAAGATCGGAGTTTCTACACATCAACACCTCGCGTCTTTCGGCCGGTTGATATCCACCTTTGAAAGTATTTAATTTAACAACTTACCCCCTCATGTATCCTCTCCAATCCTTATTTACATCAGATTTTATCCTCCGTTTACGATGTGCGACTATTCCATATTTTCAGAGGCTTCGCGCATCCTACAAGATGTGTTGCTTGCGGACTCCCGCCTCAGACTCCCGCCGTCCTTCGTTGAAGCTTCCAAGAAGATCAAGTTCGTCGGTGGTGATGAAAAGCCTTTTGTCCTTACCCCTTTAAAAATAACCGAGTCAAGCGCCTCATTGACTGCCCTAGTAGCCACTGCTGCAAATGTAGCCGCTGCGGAGAGGTACGGCATCGAATACCAAGACGTTGAAGTCAACACAGATTTGGCCACTCTCTATCTAGAATCAGTCTTGCTTCCTACAATTCGTGGAAAGCATTTCCTTGAGAACAAACAGATGGCGATGGAGCTTGGCAAAATGGATGTTTATCAGATGAGCAAGCCCATCAGACGCAATACGACCAACGTCTACCGGACAAAGGATGGGCGGTGGTACCACCTTCACGGTTCTATGAATGCGGGGCCTACAATGGCAATGGTGGGCGTCCAGGATACCGACGCCACGCAAGAGCAAGCTGTTGAGATATATAGCGAAAAGGTCTCACAGTGGGAATCCAACGAGATCGAACGTGTAGCCAACGACGAATACAAACAAGCAGGCGTTGTCTGCTACACGCCGGAGGAATTCTTCTCAAGTGAGCATGGGAAAGCCATGTCCCAAGTGCCACTATGGGATTCAAAACCACTGAGGGCACCACGGAAAACTTGGCCGAACACAAAGGACTACGCGAGTTATCAACCTCTTGCAGGCTTCCGAATTATTGACTTTTCTCGGGTCATCGCAGCTCCCGCTGTATCTAAGCTTCTGAGTCTCCTCGGAGCTGATGTACTTCGTGTCTCCTGCGACAAGCTGCCTGAGGTGGTGACAACAATGCCAGACCTGCAAACTGGAAAGCGGGACACGAACATTGATATAAAGACTGAAGAGGGGAAGCACACCTTTGCTGAGCTCGTAAAGGGAGCGGACATTCTCATCGATGGATTTCGCCCTGGGGTTCTCGATCGCCTTGGCTTCAACTCAAAGACTTTACGCGAATTGAACCCCAGCCTGATCTACATGCGCGAGAACTGCTACGGCTTCAAAGGTCCGCTGGCCTATAGATCGGGCTGGCAGCAGATAAGCGACTGTTTAGTAGGCCTATCCTACCTTCAAGGGCAGTTCCTTGGCCTCGATGAAGCCGTCGTCCCTCTCCTTCGTTAGTCAAACCCCAGACCCTGATTGCTTGTCCTGTTCGCTAACTTTAGGTCACAGCCAACTCTGACTACCAAACAGGCTTGGTTGGTGCAGTTGCCGCTATCCAGGCCTTGATTGCTCGCACGAAGGACGACGTGACATTTGACATTGACATCAGTTTGACGCAATTCAACATGTGGTATTACCAGCTTGGTTTGCACTCAAAGGAACAACAGACCAAGTTACTCGCTCGCGATCCAGAGTTTCAACCTCGCCACTTTGACGATATGCCCATCTTGGTCGCGAAAACGCATGCGTCGCTCAAGCGAGTTCGCCCAGACATGTTCAAACACCCAGAGTATTTCTGGGATATGAGTGGTAAAGGATATGGCCTTGAAGAGGACCTAAAGGTTCTTGCTCCTGCATTCAAGTTTGGTAAGTCATATATTGGTTGGAAGGAACCTACTGGGCGTAGGGGGCGATCGAAAGCAGAATGGATTTCCTAGACATCTTCAGGGGTATATCATATGCAGTCTTGGAGTTCATCATCATAGAATTTTTTATAATTTGAAAAAATCATTCTTCAGCTTTATGTAGTGTGTACTATAAGAGAAATGCTTTAGATTCCTGGTTAAATTGGTCCGGCTTGTGGTTTCAAGATAGTCCAAATTTCCGCCGTAGGCCACAACACGTGGAAGACTGACACGAGACTAAGTAATTGAATGCATTCATGCACTTAGGCTATGATTCACCTCAAACAATCGGCCCGAATTCTTTCAATCCTGAAGGTCTAGGGCTATATTACTTCATTCCCATGACCTCGTGCTAGACTCTCCACGGCCGCTCAACCTGGCCTTATATTTTACTTCCATTCAGGGTGGAATAGAATCTAAGTCTTTTATTTTCCTATCGCAACTACCACTAGATTTCTTTGATCTTCATGATATGAGGACACGTCAGGCAATACCTATAGTTCATTGTCTAGGTAGGATCCCCTACCCTAGACCTAACGGGTAATGCAACTTGGGTAGAGCCGGTGGAAAAAACATCCTGAGGTACCTAGGCAGGCATACGGACAAATGAATGATTGAAACATCAAATACCTTATATCTCGTTATTCTAATCTTATTGACACCAAATTTTTGAATGTGCCGTATCTACAAAACAACAAATTGCAAAACAGGGGGCTGTCAGACTGTATTGCAAATATAATTAGGGTAACAACCAACTTATCTATCAATCCACTCGCATTATGCCTAAGCACAACAACCAGAAACTCAATTAATGATTTTACAATATTGAGATTAATATCATGTTTATTACTGGGCTGATTGTTTTGATATCATGTCGAAGTTCAAACTTATATCAGTCGTTCGCCTACTACCTAGAGAATGATTGGTCTATGCCAAATTTTCCCCCCATCAATCAGGCGGATATAAATTCCCCTTTGAGTTTAGGTCTTCCATAAGCGACCCACTGATAAACGATGACAAATTTCAAGCTCAAGAGGGCAAACCTGAGAACATTTCTCTCATTGTCTCCGGAGGACCTTCTTTGTGAGAATATATCTGTGGTAGATGAAATCTTATCTGTAGTATGGGAGTTGGAAGCAGTACTAGTTGGGGAATGCCAAAAGTGTGAATAAAATGTTTGGCTGTTCGACCAAATTACTCAACTGGACTCTCATTGGCCAATTGCCAGCCGTTTGTCCTTATCTTCTCCCCTTGTGAGCTCTTATCATGCACTCCTCAACAGCCAGTATTGCTTATCTCTGAAGCCAATCGTAATGGACAGACTACTGCTGAATTGTGGGAGCATCCGATCGCCGGAATCCATCTTCTTGCTCACGTACGGAGGTGATAGATGTCCCTTTCATCTCCTGTCTTGCCTACCGAAGTGACCTTGATGGACGTCCTGCACATGGGGGCCCCCCTTTTCTCCCCAGCTTGATGCGTCCCAATCGTCCAATCCCCGACACCTAGCCTCCATCTATGCCGGCCAACAGGTCGAGACAGGGGTGTGATGAGTGCCGAAGGAGGCGGAGAAAGTGTGACGAGAAGAAGCCCACCTGCGGTCCCTGTTTCGACTACAACCGCGTCTGCAATTATACCTTGAATCTAGTCTGGGGCGGACGCTCTTTTTCCAAATCCCGGTTTGGGACCTGTCTGCAAGCCCAGAACCCCTCAGCTACTAAAATATGTAGAGATGCCCAGTCATTACATCCCTCTTGCTCACTGCCTTCCCGAACATGTGGCAGCATCTGATCTAGACCCAGCTAACTCCTCCTTTCTTCACTACAGACAATGATGGGGGTGATTTCATTTATGGCACCAATGACCTTGCCCGAGATTATGCCTCGTTACCGCACACGCAGCTCCCGGTAATCCCACAGAGTCTTCCAAATGGCATGCCCATGCCCCCGCGATATAGGAAGCTATTGGATTACCTCGCGAAAGACGTCTTGGCTTCTCTATCCTGCCATCCCTCTATCCACGAGGACCTTTGTCGGGGACTGGTCCCCGCAATGCTGCATTCGCCTCATCTGCTCTCTGCAGGCCTTGCCTTGTCGGCGGCAGGGTTTCTTTCTCGGGGGTTGGTCATGATAGACGGCACCGACGTGTCTCGAATTATCGTCCACCTGCAATCTTCAGGCTTGTCGCTGTTGAGGGCGGCCTTGGAGCGAGGCCAAATGGACGAGGTCTCGCTATCAACATGCATCATCTGGTGCCTGGCGGACGTTTTCTCAACTAGACAAGGAGTTTCATCGTGGCGCATTCATCTCGAGGGTGTCAGGGCGATTCTTGGAAGTAACAAAGAATTTCAAGATATCCTCGCCAAGCCAGGGCCTACCCAATCTGCCCTAAAGCATTTGTACCAACTATACCTTTCTCTACAAACTTTACCTCACGTGCCGTCACTGCCTCAAGTAGAGACATTGACGGAAACAGTGGCCGCGGAGATTTCCTCTGAGCCAGAGATGACTTCTCACCCCAAAATAGATGGCTTCCTAGGGTATAGCGAGGAGCTTCTCGGCGTTTTACAACGGATTGCTCAATTGACCAACCAAGGCCAAAATAACGAAGACTCCATCCGCTTGGAAGCAGACATACTGCTAGGGAGGGTGAAAAGCCTCATAGCTCGAGACATGAGCGCGCCTCCGAGCGTTTCCATATCTTCCGACCTGTCAACCGAATCCGGAAGAGACTTTGCGCTCTGCAACAAGATATTTCAACAGGCAACTTTAATTCATCTATATAGAAGGCTCTACAATTTACCTTCTGGATCAGCGCCGATACAAGGCGCATTGACTGAGATGATAGAGCTGATCAATAGCATGACGCAAGGGCAGCCCTGCCATACCTGGGTTGCAATGGCGATGCCGCTTTTTACCATGGGCTGTGAGGCATTTAGTGATGAGCAGAAGGAATTTGTGCTCGATAAAATCCACAAATTTGAAGTCTGCCTTGGATCGCTCCATGTACGTGTTCTTAGGCAAGCTCTCGAGGATATTTGGAAGCTCAGGCTTGATCAAGGAGATGTTGATGGTACTCTTTGTGCCGGGCTATTTCTAAGTAAGCAAGTTTGATCCGCTGGTAAATTCCAAGCTAACTCCTGATTCACCAAAAGACGAAGTTCAGTACAATATAGTACTTTTCTGAATGTCCTTTTTTCTATCTAGGTGTGACTATGAGATGTACACATTGATCGGTTTGACATTCAGACTAATGATGGGCTTGACAAGAATGATAATGAAAGAAATGTTTTCATTTTGGCAACTGCAACTCCCCTATGTAATATAAATGATATGGAAGGCTGAGGCCTGACTTTCCTTAACATACGCCTCCTATTCTACAGTCTCATTGTATCCTTATTTCAGGGTCGCACCTGGTGACTTCCCAAGCTTTTGTCCCTTCAAGCCTCAAACGTAGATAATTTACAATTCGTCATTAGCATCAATCATCTTGCTCAGAGGGCCCTTTTTAACCATGATGCTCATGACCTCATACAAGATATCGGCAGCAGCCATCGTGGTGAGTTCAGCGTTGGTATCATACGCAGGCTATAAATCACGTCAGCTCATGCTTCCAAGATAAGGGGGCCGGAGCAACTTACAGCAACCTCGACAATATCTGCAGCAATCAAGTTCAGGCTCTCCAGACCCCGGAGAATAGTGCGGAACTCTCTGGTCGACCAGCCGCCAGTCTCAGGGGTTCCGGTGGCAGGGGCCACGGAGGGATCTAGTGTATCGATATCGATCGAAAGGTAGACAGGGTTCTCGGTTCCGACTCGCTTGAGGATGCGGTCAATGATACCATCAGTGCCAATGGTGTCGATCTCACGGGCTTCGACGATCTCGAACCCGCAGTATCCGTCGTTGTCGTAGTCGCTGGGGCCGCTGAGGGTGGTTCGGATACCGGCGTGGATGTTGGAGTGGTTGGACAGCAGACCCTCCATGGAGGCGTGGTAGAAGTAGGTACCGTGGTTGATGCTCGCGACCTCCGAGGGAGAACCGCCAAAGACCTTGGGTTTCCCTGGGCGAATAAGTTAGAATATCTGTCAAGAGTTGTAAAACAATGGAGGATAGGATGAGTTCGTGTAGTGCTCAATGACTTACAGGTATCAAGATGGCTGTCGAAGTGAATGACGGTAACTGGCCCATACGCCCGGTTAATTGATCGCAAGAGAGGAAGAGTGATGGTGTGGTCGCCACCCAGCGTAATGATACGGGGCAGAGTCTTGCCACTCTTGGCAGGACCCTTCTTGTGAGCATCGGTCATTGGAGAGCGAGAAAGAAGGCTGAAGTGGCCTTCTTCGATCTGGCGGAGGGCAAAAGTGTTGTCATAGCTTCGACCCCAATCAGTTGTCGATTTCTTGCGTGGTAATATAGTATTTACTTACGAGGTAACGGGGATGTCGCCGCAGTCCAGCACGGTAGCCCAGCTGTTGAATGGGTTGGTAGCGAGGGGTACATTGTAGCCTCCACTAATACATGTTGATCAGCAGACTGGAGGAGGGAGTGGTGAGGTATGGGTCGTACTAGAGGTTCAATCTTCGAGAGCCCTGCCGAATACCGGAGGGGCCAAAGCGAGCGCCGGGGCGGTACGAAGTACCGGTGTCGAAGGGTGCGCCTTTGTTAAGGAAGAAGGTTAGCTCTCAAGTAGAGGTCTTCTTCTCATGTTGAAAGTTTCATACCGAGGAAGGCAATGTCGTACTTGACATTGGCATTCTTCAAGCAGGGCTGGTAGGGAAGGCGGCCGAAGGTGGAGATGCCAGAAAAGACAGAATCGGCCTGAGTGCCACCGTCTCCAGGAAGGGCATTGTACCAGAGGCCTTCGTGAGGTCCGGAAATGGCTTTTTGCTTGTGATCTCCATGAGCAGAGGCGATTGTTGCCCAACCAAGGGCAAGGAGAGAGGTGAAATGCATGATTTGGAGTAGGGGGAACACCGAGTGGGATCTTTGCCTTACTGACACAAGGTGATATGTGAAAATTGAAGGCGATGGAGAACTACTTATGTAGTAGAAAGTCCTGACGGCCAGTATTTATGTAGCGTCTCGGCAAAATTGCAAGTTGTCATAGATGAACAGCAACGGATCTCCCTCCCTCCCTCCTCCCATCCGGTTACTCCTCACCATCAAACCAGTCCTTGACTAAAGATTCAACCACTTGATGCATTATCGTCCATCTGTTGGTAGGGTGTCATGACGTTCTGATATGCGAGGCGCGTAGTTGCCCCAAAAGGGTTTAGCCATGATGATGCGAGTCGGAGGGATCGAGGCCGTGGCTTCACCCCATTCAAACGGTTTCTTCTCTCCCCACAAAGTGCCTAAGTTGCCTAAAGCAGTAAGCGGGGTAAGCGTCTGATAAGGTGCCGTGTCGAATGAGAGCTCAGAAACGGTCCTTCGTCCAATGGCATATTTGTATCTATCGGGTTGACTACATCCACCACTAGGGAGCAGAACACGACAAAGTCACTCATGGCTAATCTTAGAGCTGTATCGGTATTGTATTTACTCGCCCATTTCATCGCGTCATTTGTAATACGGCATTAAAACTAGCGGTGGCGGATCCAATTAACGTAGCACCGCATTTCTGTTGCCCCCCCCCCCCTGTTTTTTTTCCACACGATAAGAGACATTTTATGAGAAGCGGAAAAAGCTGTCTTATACTGGATAAGTGCATACACTGAACTACTCATCATGACAGAGATATGGGAGACGACATTACTGGCTATCGTTGCGGTTGGTAATAAGAAAATATTTACTGGTATCCATGCTTTATTTAAGAGTAACTACGCAAATGCCGCACTTGGTCAGACACACATCCCTCGTGAACTTGGTCAGCTTGTAATACATCTTTCAGCTGTGGCTTGACACTGTTTCACCCTTGCAAAAACGAAAAACTTTCCAACGCAAAAGTCTTATACATAAGATTTCACAAGAAGTTTGCGTCAGGTTTCTCAAAAATATCGTCGAAAGAAAATGAGCTCTCCTAAACACCAGCTGCCGGGCATACCCGAGTCTATAGAGACTCAACCGGATGAAAGCTCCCGCCTGCTTCCACCCGCCTCGTTGTCATCCTCAATCAGTACGGTGGCTGCTGATGAGAATGACTATGAAAAGACCCAAGGATGGCTGGCGGAGATGTGGTTTTTGACAAAAGCCTCCATCCCAGTCATCCTCGCGTACATGCTGCAAAACAGCCTTCAGACCTTTTCTATCCTCATCGTTGGACGCCTGTCTCCTGAAGCTCTGGCCACTGCCGCCTTCTCTTTCATGTTTGCTATGGCGACAGCCTGGCTCATTGCCCTCGGCGGAACCACCGCCCTTGACACTCTGGCATCGAGCAGCTTCACAGGCTCATCGGACAAGAAGAGCCTGGGGATCCTTCTCCAGCGAGGCATCATTGTGCTCACTGGCTACTATATGGTCGTCATGGTCATCTGGTTCACATCGGAACATATCTTCCGAGCTCTAGGCCAAGACGAGTATATTTGTCGTCAAAGTGCTCGCTTTTTGCAGCTTCTGGCCCCTGGGGGACTTGGCTACGTCTGGTTCGAGTGTATGAAGAAATATCTCCAGGCGCAGGGCGCATATCGGGCGGGTACCTACGTTCTGCTCATCACGTCTCCTCTCAACGCACTTCTGAACTATTTGTTCATTTATAAGATGGGCCTTGGGTTGGATGGAGCGCCAATCGCTACAGGAATCTCTTACTGGCTCTCTTTCATTCTACTGGTGGCCTACTCGGCTTTCATTCAAGGCAAAGAGTGCTGGGATGGATTCGCCCCACGAAAGGCAGTCGCTCATCTCTGGCCGTTTGCTAGACTGGCTTTTCTCGGGGTCATTCATGTCGGAACAGAGTGGTGGGCGTTTGAGATTGTTGCTCTTGCTGCTGGCCGCCTCGGAACAATCCCGCTTGCCGCCCAGTCTGTTGTGATGACGGCGGACCAGATTATCAACACAATACCTTTTGGACTGGGGGTAGCGGCATCCTCTCGCCTTGGTAACCTATTGGGCGCCGAAGATACCTGGGGAGCAAGACGCTCTGCACACAGCGCTGCAGTCCTGTCGGTGATATTCGGCACAGTGATTCTAACCGTGTTGATGATATCCAAGAGAGAGATCGGAAGGCTCTTCAACGATGATGAGCGAGTCATTGACCTTGTGGTTGCGATCATGCCTTACGTTGCATTATTCCAGATTGCGGACGGATTGAATGGTAGTTGCGGGGGAGCACTTAGAGGCATGGGTCGCCAATGGATTGGAGCAGTCGTAAATTGTATTAGCTACTACGGTTGTGCTCTACCTGGTGGTATCTATCTGGCGTTCCATGGATGGGGGCTACAGGGGCTCTGGATGGGACAGTGTGTAGCTCTGTTTCTTGTTGGTATACTAGAATGGATCATCGTAGGACTGAGTAACTGGGACGTAGAAGTGAAGAAAGCATCGGATCGACTGGTGGCCGGCGGAATGGGAGGCGGTGGATATGGCACTATTCATGGTGAACCGTAACTCGGCTTGAAGATGTACATATCGTTTAGTTCGATCGTCAATGGGTTCAATTATCCGATATACTTAAGAGAGGCCCTTTTGATGCTCGTGTATCTTGCCAAGTCTTGTCAAGGAATCATGCAATTATCGAGATGATCGCTTTGCTCCCTTATCTTACGCCCGCTCGGCCGGGGTTTGAGGTTGGTTCCACTCCCCCTTGTGCCCCCACACACCCCAACACTGGTTGTGATAAGCCTCTGGTGACATTCCGAGTGTTCCAGGCACTGTTTGATAAGAGAAGCCGCGAAGTGGCGCCTTTTTGTATGCATGATGGTGCGCGTTGAGCAGGGCTGACCACCTGGTTCCCATACTTAGCCAGCCATGAAGGATATCCTCCGTTATCTTCATCTCCATATAGAACCTATTGTGCAGGGTTACCACAACTCAATATATATTTGGGTGCCATCTCTCTCTCTCCTATAATGTTACTAGCCAAAGAAGTGGCATGAACCTCAAAGATAATTAGTTTCGTTTGATTCCCAAGCCCTGTTGCGCCCCTTTATATGCACTCTCTGGTTTACTCCCATCATGGGTACATTCAACAACGAAAAGTCCTCGGCCAGGACTGAGAAGAGATCTATGCCCAATGAAGACACTGTTGCTATTCCTGAGAGCCGAGTCAATGCGTCCGGCCACAACGATCAACTCAGTCGACAGTACGGGCTTCTTGAAGCCGCCGGCATGGCAGTCACAATCAACAACGCCTGGGTTGTCCTGGGCTCTTCCATTTCCGTTTCCCTCTGTAAGTGTCGCTAGATGGTGGGGATTTCTGTTGAAAAACTAATACCGCCGCATGATTAGTGAACGGAGGCCCTCCCGGTGTCATATTCGGCCTCATCGTGGCAGTGTTCTACTATAGCTTCATCGGCATGAGTCTTGCGGAGGTACGTTCGATTCACGCGATAAAATACCCAACCGGAACCTAAAATGAAGAACATAGTTCGCATCGTCGTTCCCATCTGCGGGAGGTGTCTACCACTGGGCTACGATCGCCGCTGGGCCAAGTTGGGGGCGGGTCACCGGGTTCTTCACAGGTTGGCTCAACTTTTACGGTTCAATTTTTGGTCTTGCTTCACTCGTCCAAATAGCCGCGAACGCTGGAGTGCAACTATACGCCATCTATAACCCCGCATACACCGCCGAAGCCTGGCACGTTTATATCGCATACCTCGTTATCCTCCTCTTCAGCACACTGTTGGTTCTCTTCGCCAACCGACTCGCACCATACTCTCAACACCTGGGCTTGTTCTTGGTTGTCTTTGGAGGCATTGCCACCATCATTGTCCTTGCCACAATGCCTTCCGAGCATTCATCGAATGACTTTGTATGGACCTCCTTCAACGAGAATAACTTAAGTGGTTGGGAGGGAGGCGTTGCCTTCATGATTGGTGTTCTGAATGGCGCCTTTACGATTGGAACAACAGATGTCATTACTCATATGGCTGAAGAGATGAAGAATCCTGAGAGAGATCTTCCCAAAGCCATATTTCTGCAAATCGGCATTGGCGGCGCCTATGGCCTGGCATATGCAGTCGCTCTTGCATACGCCATCTCGGATATCACTGCACTCGATGCTGGCGTGAACAACTTCCCACTAGCCGGAATCTACAGACAGGCCACAGGAAGCCCGGCTGCCACGTTCGGGCTTTTGTTCATCATCTTCTTGTCTGTTGTTTGTTCCGTTATTGGCAGCTTGCTCTCCTGCTCGCGAATATACTGGGCCCTGGCTAGGGATAATGCGGTTCCTCTCTCTGGAATATTCCTCAGAGTAAACGAGAGTCTGAGCTGTCCGCTTGAGTCTACTCTCTTCGTTGCAATTGTGACAACGGCAATAGGAGCCATCCCTATTGCAAGCTCTGTCGGCTTCAGCAATCTCACAGGATCATTCATCATCCTTAGCACAGTTTCATACGCTATCCCAATGGTCGCAAATCTTGCCACTGGGCGAAAGTACTTTACCAAGGGGCCTTTCAGCCTCCTTGGCCTGAAGGGATATGTGATTAATTCTTTGGCTATCGTATTCATTGTGTTGTTCGACGTCTTCTTTTGCTTTCGTAAGTTTGCCTGTGTTCTGTTTTCTGTCATCTCGCTTTCCCAATATATCGGCATACTCACCCTTTTTTTTTTAACAGCTTTGGCGTTGCCTTTTGACGTGACGACAATGAACTACAATTGCGTGATTCTCGTCGGCGTGCTCATAATTACAGCCTTGTGGTGGCTGGTACATGCGACAAAGCACTACCCCGGTCCTATGTTTAAAGACATTTACGTACACGAGGAAGAAACACAATCAGAAAAGAACTAGAATGCATAGAATTGATAGGTTGGAAGTTTTGTTGCACTATTGTTGAGGTTATTGCATAACAACAACACAACACACGACAACAAGGAATTAAATCCATATACATTATTAACCCAAATAATTAATGATGACCGTTTGAATCCGACATTTATCACTAGATGTCTGAGAGTCTGTGGTATGGAGTGATGAACTTTCTCTAAGCTCATTTTCACGTAGCGACCTCCTTTAGTGCTTCAGTCTAGTTAGATGATGATGTATACCAGAAAAAATCATCCTCTAGCTCTGCAATGGAGAGGTGCCACGGGATGCCATGGGAATTGAGCCGATACGACGTGGACCGATCAAGAACCTCACTTTGTAATGAGTCATCCAGATGGACGGGACCGAGGGTCAAGACATCGAAGAAGCATGGCAGGGTATGTGGTCATTCATAAATCCTCCGCCGGCCCTTGCCATGTTGAAGGGAACATGATTATTTATTGCATAGCCTAGACGAGCCGAATCCCTGCATGAGGTGGGAAAGGGAAGACGGGAGGCAAATGATGTCGCTTTCAGACCAATCCCATCAAAGAACGATACCCCGAGCAGGGTTTATTTCCTTTTGTACTTGAGAGTGAGCGTCAATCCTGCGTCTCAGAAGTTTATTGTGACTGGGTCGATCCCGGCGATCCGGCGTATAGTAGCAAATCAAAGTAGGATCCCGGGAAGGAACATGCAGTTCCATAGCGACCTGTTGTTTTCGGCATACTGACATTAGGTCTTGGGGGATGCCGAGTAAAGGAGTGATCCCACCTTCGCATAAACACCCTGACAGTTCTTGGCAGGACTGCGCTGAACAGCCAGAAACAAACCGAGGTTTCAATCATTCGACTTAGGTAATATGTACCCTATTCGTCTCCTAGGTTCAGCTCCTGCTCTCAGGGACTCTGTGCAAACTGTCACTCGTTCGTACTCTGCGGCAAAGCTGCGTCTGGATTGTCTGCGCGCCTTCTATGTCAGCACTCCAACTCGGTTTACTCTGATTACGCTTCTCGAAGATCGATAGCCAAAATGCATCACCTATTAGCACAGTTTTCGGTCTTGGTGACCGCTTCTGGAGTAGCTGCTCAATCATTCCCCCTCAATTGTACGAGAAAGCCGGTCCTACTACCAATACGCGATAATCAAGTCGTCAACAATGTCGCTGGATCTTGGATGGAGGGCATTCCCGGTAACATCGGATACTTGAGCTATACCTCAACTCAGATTGTCCTTATGCCATGGCTGTACGCGATATCGTTCTCGCAACAAGGTCTTTGCGATGTTATACTAATCTGTTTTGGTAGTGAATTGAACAACACCTATATTTATGGCAGGGACATGTTCTGTGACGGAACGATGATCAACTCCACACAGGGCTGCACAGTCCTTCGCGGTAACTATTACGCGCAAGAGAAATCGGAAAGTTTCAAAGAGGCAAAGAACATGATTGAAGCTGGGGGGTCAGTCGAGAGCGTCCTTGAGGGCGCCGAGCCAGGGATCGAGAAGCTCGTCAAAAATACCACCGCTGGAATGGAGAACTCCTTTGGCATCAAAGACGCAAGCCTCATTGAGCAAATACCGATCGGGATACCCCGTGTAAGTTGGGACACTGGGCACAGCACTTTACATCCTCTTGGCTTAGGCTCCAATTCTACATTTCTCAACAAGCTTCGAAAAACCGGGTGGACCTTCTCACGCGCTTTCTCCATATATTGGGGTAGCAATTGGAATTCAAGGCCGATTGAGGGTCATGTAGTGATGGGAGGGTACGACAAGAAGAGAATCATCGAGCCAAATGTCACTGCACCCCTCAAGTATGGCGACTATTCTAAATCAGATGGATGTTTTACCGGGATCAGAATTGTGATATCCGACATCACAGTTAATTTTACTGACGGTTCTAACAAGAGTATCTTCCCCAACAAAGACAAGCTCCATGCTTGCCTTGCCCCCCAGCGTCCGTCTCTGTTGGAGCCCCCTCGTGAGTATCTTGACAAGTTTGAGGAGGTTACAGGCACAAAACATAACGGCAATACATCAACTGGATTTCATTGGGGCGCGTTAATATATGACAGAACAAAATCGTAAGTTATCTTCACTGGTTCTGCTTGGGGTCGGACTGACATCTTTCAGTTTCAAAGGCGATATGACGTTTCATCTCGAGTCCGGCCTTAAAATCCGAATCCCAAACACGCAATATATGCCACCTCATGTCTACCATGATGAAGACGGATCGCGTATCACGGATACAGGTGCTCGGGAACTCGCCATGCCAGAGACCCCGAACGGAGTTCCCATGCTAGGAAGGTACTTCCTCACGAGCGCGTATCTAATGGTTAATCACGATGTTGGAACGTATACGCTATGGGAATCCAATCAAAACGCCTCGATTTGGAAAAATGATCTGGTTATGATAAAGGACAAGGATATTGCCGCCCAGTGCCCGGAAAATGCGACGAAGCCTGTTGAGACGCCTGCTGTATCAAACACAGAAGTTATCCCCGAGAGCACCACGATCATGGAACAAACAGAATCCCGATCCTCCGTGGCATCGCCTGCGACAATTGGAGGATCGGTTGTTGGGGGCGTGATCGGAGCCGCCATCATCGGCCTGGCAGCGGCTTGGCTTATCCGACGCCGTAAGGCGGCAGCTTCTGACGGACCTGCGGAAATGGGAGCATCCAGCGCTAGAGGGGAGTATGATGACAGGAAAGTGATGCCTCCTGTGTATGAAGCATATGGATCAAGGCCTGAGCCTGACGCTGAAATGATGGGTTCACGGCCGTTGCCTGAAGCCGAGATGGCCGGCTCACAGCCACTTCCCACTGAAATGCCAGGGAACCTCATCTACGAGCTGGATGATAATACGGCGGGGAGTGGTACCATGTTTGGAAGTCCAACCGTTGTGGGCAGCCCGAACGAGCACTTCGAAAACAGGTCAGATTCAGACAGAGACAGCATCTTGAGGACAGGAAAGCAATGAACCGCATGCTGTGTGTAATAATATGAGCAGGTGCTGAGACACAAAGGGGAATATAATCGAATGGCTCTGATCAGCCACGACTAGTAAGACATGATAAGTAGAAACATTATCTCGGCTGAAGTACAACAGGGTACTAAGATTAATTCCAAAATCCATGGAAGCACTCGAAAGAGCTATACCGAGAGATTGATAAGGCTAGGGCTTAACGGATGTGGGAGCCGACACCCGAAGCGTGTGATCCGGAAGGGCAACAGTCCTCCTGCTCATATTAAGATCGACTTCCACGCTAGATCAATCAGGCTTTTTTATATTTCCTCTGACGTAATACGCCCTGAGCACGAAGCAAACCATGCAGCGACATCTTGAGGCTCGTGTAGCACAAATGCCGACACAGGGCAGAAAAGCAGGGGCGAGACGGGCAGTGCCGACGGACAATCGAGTTCCCATTGGACAGTTTCTCCTGAAATTGCTTTGGCAAATGCAGGGCTACCGGAAGATCCATTTCCTATTGGATCATTCCAGCCCGGCAACTCCGCCTCACGATCCGAGCCATATAATTGTGGGCAGCTCAGGCCCATAACGCGCGTCTTTCCATGGCTTCCAGTATCGCTTGGAAAGAATGCATCGAGGCATCAAAAACATACTAGAACCCATCTTCGGAACTTGGACAAGTTCCACTCAAATAGGAACACCATGCAACGTAATCAAACACAGCCGACAGCCTGTTCATGTCAGTGCAACTCGGCCCTTTATCCGTATCTGGACATTTAGCGGTGTCATGAATCAACTGGCCTTGACAATATGGATAAGACATACGTACTCGTGAGGGTCCAAGGTCAATTCCATCACAGCAATGCGGCAACTTGATAGTTCTATAAGAGACACATGGTCTGTCGTTGCTGCTGAGTATTAATCACTTACTCTTCCAGTAACAGTATCACTATCCTTCCTCAAACAAAGAAAAGTTCATCCCGACTATTCCAATCATGCGCCGAGCAACGTTGGGCGTTGCCACATTGATAGCAGCCACTACTCATGGCGCTTCTCTCACCGATATCTGCACCGTTTCAAAGATTCAGAGCGCTCTCCCAGCAAACGGCGATCTCCTTGGCATCGACCTGGTACCCTCTAGTGTCACAGCCAGCCCAGTCTATAATGCTACGACCGGTGGTGGCGGGGCCGGGGGCAGCGGCAGCAACAGCGGTAGCGGAACTACTTACAACTACTGCAATGTGACTGTCTCATATGCTCACACTGGGAGGAGCGACACAGTCGTGCTCAAGTACGCATTCCCCGAACCGTCCAGTTTCAAGAATCGTTTCTACGTTGCCGGTGGAGGCGGCTTCTCCCTATCCAGCGACGCTACAGGTGGTCTTCCGTATGGGGCTGCTGGAGGTGCCACAGACGCAGGATACGACAGCTTCAGCACCAGCTATGATGAGGTCGTTCTGTATGGAAATGGTTCCATCAACTGGGATGCAACTCACATGTTCGGTTATCAGGCCTTGGGTGAGATGACAAAAGTGGGCAAGGCAGTAACGAGGAATCTATATGGAGTAGACACCGATGTCAAGGTTTACACCTATTACGAGGGGTGCTCCGACGGTGGAAGAGAAGGCATGAGTCAAGTTCAACGCTGGGGCGATGAGTACGATGGTGTCATTGCCGGCGCTCCCGCTTTCCGCTTCGCACAGCAGCAAGTTCTCCACGTCCTCTCCTCGGCTGTAGAGCACACACTCGACTACTATCCCCCCCCATGTGAGCTCGCCAAGATTGTCAATGCTACAATTTCTGGCTGTGACGCTTTCGACGGTCGAACAGATGGGGTTGTGTCCCGCACAGACCTGTGCAAGCTCAAATTCGACTTGAAGTCTATCATCGGCCAGTACTACTCGTGCGCCGAGAAGAACTCAACCTCGCTTGGTTTTGGATTCAACAAGCGAAGCGACGGCCTATACAAGCGGCAAGCGCCAGGAAGCTCAACTTCTTACCAGCCAGCTCAGAACGGAACCGTCTCTGCTGAGGGAGTTGCGGTTGCCCAAGCGATTTATGATGGCTTGTTCAACTCTCAGGGGCAACGGGCCTACCTTTCATGGCAGATAGCTTCCGAGCTTGGTGATGCTTCTACTACCTGGAACTCCGACACTAATGCCTGGGAGTTGAGCATCCCGTCTACTGGAGGCGAGTACGTTACCAAGTTCGTGCAGCTGCTCGATCTCGATAACCTGTCCAACCTTGACAACGTGACATACGACACCCTTGTCGACTGGATGAACACTGGCATGATTAGGTATATGGACAGTCTGCAAACTACCCTCCCTGACCTTACCCCATTCCACTCCTCAGGAGGCAAGCTCCTCCACTACCACGGAGAATCCGACTCAAGTATCCCGGCAGCTTCTTCAGTTCACTACTGGCAGTCGGTCAGGTCCATCATGTACCCCAAGCTGAGCGATGAGGATGCGCTCAATGCTCTCCAAGACTGGTACCAATTCTACCTGGTCCCTGGTGCCGGCCACTGCGGAGCCAACAGCCTCCAGCCCGGACCTTATCCCCAGAACAACATGGAGATCATGATTGATTGGGTGGAGAACGGCAACAAGCCCAGTCGACTGAATGCAACTGTGTCGTCGGGCACCAATGCGGGTGAGACTCAGATGCTTTGCCAGTGGCCCAAGCGTCCCCTCTGGCAGGACAACAGCGACGAGTTCCAGTGCGTCGACGATCAAGAGTCTATTGACAGCTGGACCTACAGCTTCCCGGCATTCAAGATACCTGTATACTAAGATGTGGTGGGCCTTGGTGTTTTTACACCATGAGCCAAACATGTGATATGAATTGGAGGAGAGTAATGAGTAAATTTCTGATTTAACACATTTCACGAACTCACCTCTTCATTTTGCCTCTTTCTTGGGATCTAAGTATGTGAACGTGAGTGCACCTGAGTCGAAGAAGCATCTACCCTATCGTTTGAATTTCTCATAATCAAGCCAAATTCTAGTGGACAGATAGTATTATAAATGATTAAGTTGAATTTCAAAAAATATATATGTAGATAATAATACATTTTTGTCGCTAATAACTTCCGGAAATACATCTTGCAAATCGAACCATAGGATGCTTATCAAAACTCCTCCGTGACAAACCCGAGTGATAGAAAAGGGCGCTTCTGGGACTTTGCCGCTTGTCATTCTGTTCGTCAATACGTATTGGCGAGGACCCAATGTCTGCGATGAAAACAGTGACACCACCCATGTTCCGTGGCTTGCCTCACTGCGACGGTGCTGCCTGAAGCTGGTACGGCACTTCACGATGTTGGACGATGATATTGGCGTGAAGAATTTCACAGCTGCAATCATCAGGAGAACTTTGGCTACCATTAAATTATTGCCCAAGTAGGCAGTAGAAAGATCTTGTCAGCTTATCTGCGTTCTGAGAGCCACTTATTATAGCGGACCCCGGCACTGAAACCGCTGAACTGCGGCGTCTCTCCCCTGTAGGCATCGCTTGATTAGTGCTGCGGCTGCCTGGAATCAGCCTACCCGCGCGCTATTGACCCACGAGTACTGCCTATAGGTACGTTACCTACTCTCAGTGTCACGGTGTGCGCTTCCATCGTGCCTTCCTTTGCTGACTCTCGCGCAACACATAAGAAGCCGTCTGGCCACTTTCTCTTTGTCTCGATGGCTTCATTCTTCATCTTGCGGTCGCGAGCGTCACAGCTCCAGAAGTCAATCGCATACCGTTGGAACTTGTCCCACGCGAGGCGGGTTACAATGGCGTCTCGAAGTCTCCATCCATTGCCTGCGCCTCTTTCCGAGCTGCCAAAATACATCGCTCAGCACCCGGGACAGCACATTGGCGACATCATTGATCCGTATCGTCGCTATGAGGCGCAATTGCGGACTCTTTACGCCCAGAGCCCCGAGGATCCTCTCCTCAAAGACCCCTACCTCAATGCGCTGCCGCTCTTTGCCGATGGAAATGGCGTCCCAGTCGCAACCCGGGCCAGAGACTTGGCTTCTGAATCGGAAGAGGAGAAGGCAAAGTACATCATGCCTCTTCCAGACGAGAAACGGCGGCCGCACGGCTCTCCTGCTACAGTGGCCGACATGGCAGAATTCCAAAACAGCTTCAACATCTTCTCAGAACTCTCGCTTTCAGACATGAACTGGGACAACGTGGTCGCGGCAGGGTCGTCTGTCGTCAACTGTCTTCTGCCTGTGCCAGAGCCTTTCAAGCAGACAAAGCGAACTCTGCGAGAGTATTACCATGAGAAGTTCTGCCCGGCCTCGGATGTCGACTTGTTCCTTTACGGCCTGAGCCATGACCAGGCTATTGAGAAGATCAAGCAAATTGAACGCGCTATCAAGGATGCTCTCTTGTACGAAGTCACCGTCGTACGGACGAAATATGCGATAACTATCGCCAGCCAATATCCAGTCCGCCACATACAGGTTTGTGACCCCCTCATCCACACATAGCTCCATCTCAGGCGGCTGGAATGTCGGTTCGGATGCAATGACTAAGTGTTTGTTGACAGATTGTTTTGCGAGTCTACAAGAGTCTCAGTGAGATCCTGACTGGCTTTGACATTGATGCCGCGGGGGGCGCGTATGACGGAAGACAAGTCTATGTCACTCCTCGAGCTCTTGCTAGCTTCATTACGCAGGTTAACCATATCGACCTCACGCGACGCAGTCCTTCCTACGAAAACCGTTTGTCCAAGTACTCACATCGCAATTTCGAGATTTACTGGCCTGATCTAGACCGTTCGCGTGTTGACCCCACAATCTTTGAGAGGAATTTTAAGAGAACCCTTGGTCTTGCTCGCCTTCTGGTTCTCGAGCGGTTGCCCACAAGGTCATCGAGGGATGAGTATTTAGACAGAAGGCGCGAGGAGCGAGGAAGACCAGCCATCAACCGCGGATACATCTTCCAAATGGGAGGAAACATCAAGGACGATCATGAAGACGAGGTCGCAGAGTGGGATTACGAGCAAGAAGCTAGTAGCTATACCACCTTCACGGTACCTTACGGGAAAAGGTATACTGCTAAACGCATAGAGAAGCTTTGCTACACTCGCGACCTGCTGCTCAATGCCGAGTGGAATCAAAAGAAGGACGACCGCCGCAAGGTTCACCTCCATCGGCATCCCGCCTTCTTTGGTCGAGTGAAGGATGTGGTTGAGGATTGCTGCGGTTCCTGCCCTAGACCAACCACTGATGAGGAGATCGAGGTTGCGGACAAGGAATCGAAACGATATGTCTCTGGCAAGATGGATTTCATTGTTGATGATCCCGGAAGACAGGAGATTGGATCATTCAATCCATTAACGGAACAAGACTGGACTGATATGGCCTATGTCGGAAACACAGCCCGCCTCTGCCAATCGATCGTTGATGGCGATCTCGATGAGGTCAAGGACTGGTTGTCTCAAGATGGAGTGGGCGTTAACCAGAGGGATCATACAGGCCGCACACCACTTCAGCTAGCTGTTGTTTCATCCACGCCAGAGATTGTGCAGTGCCTGGTTGACAGCGGCGCCCGCATGATTTCTCGGCTCGCCGACGGTAGGACCGCACTACATCTGGCGGCTTCTCGTGGCAGTTTGGAAATCATAAAAATCCTCATGGAGAAGAGTCTTCAAAATGAACGAGCAGAAGAAGAGAGGAAGGATAAGCAAGCCGCAACTAGAAAGAACGGCACGCCCATGGCCAAAGACGCTGCCGAGTCTGATATCGAACTAGTTGATGAGCCGAGCAGCGATGATGATGAGTCTATGGCGACTGCATCCTTCGTCAAGATCCGAAATGACGAGGATGAACACAAAGATTTGGACGGGTCTGCGGAAGACCCGGACATTTTTAACATCGATGTGCTGGCGTGGGATGTTCCTTGCTCCCCGCTGCATCTGGCCATCGTTGCTGGACACGAGGAAGCGGTTAAGATGCTCTGCGACTATAATGCAGATTCTATTCTGCCAGTGAAATTCTTCGATCGCTACAATAATGAGCAGGGCACCGCGCTCCTGACCTTGACACTGGCGTTGACGCTTCCTTCAGCGAAGGCCAAGTCTATGGCTCAGCTGCTCTGTACCTTGGGAGCCACATCTTCCCAGGCGGAGAGCAATGGAACGACGGCATTTCATCGATATGTGGCGAGCGGTCAGAAGGATATGGTAGATACACTGCTAGAAGCGGACCCCTCAGGCGTCAAGAGAGCTATCAACCACTTTGTCATCACTGGTCCTATATGGAACAAGGTTACTATTTCGGCGTTGCACTCTGCCATTGAACAAGGCGACTCAGTTCTTACCCTCAAGCTTTTAAACATGGGAGCTCAGCCCACCATCAAGTTTGAAACGTGGCTTAAATCTGCCAAGTTTTCACCAGCAATGGCGAGCTCTCTCGGCGATCTGGGGCGAAGTAAAAATCTCTTCCGATCAAAAGTCCATCAACCACTGCTCTGCGCGATATACAATGGCCAGCCAATTATTGCGATGCAACTGTTAGAGTCAGGGGTGAACCCAAACACTCTAACCACCGAAACCGAGGATTTTCTTATTCGCGAGCCTAGGCGACCCTATTCCACGGGCGGCAGTGCACTAGATGTCGTGGACACTCTTCTTGATCAGATAAATCAAAAATTACAAATACCAAACTTTTTCAAAAAGCCTATCGAACCACCTAAGGGCACTAAGAACACGGACGCGTGTCTTAGCAAGTACACCCCAGGAACTTACCAGCATTGGGTTGTGTCGGAGCAAATCAAGACACGCAAATGGCAATTTCTCAAGAAAATGGAGGAATACGAGAAGAAAATGGCCCAGGCCGCATCTGAAAAGAACCACACCAAGGAGGATGGGTTAAGAGATATCAAATTGGCATACGAGAACCTCAGGGACTTACTGAAATCCAAGGGAGCTAAGCCCTTTGCCGAGCTTCGCCCTGATCTGCAAGGCCCAGAAAACGACCTAGGGTACAGACCAACAAAATGGTATAGCCCCCCAGAAGAAGAGGAGAAGGATTTCGATTGGGAATTTTGCTTTTATGGCGACCAGGACATTACGGACGCGAGGAAGGCAGGCTACCTCAATTTGTGAGTTCATGATATGGCTTTTTTTCTATTTTTGCCGTTTTCACCTCCCTCCTCTATGCTTTCCCCGCGTTACCTCCTATTCCCATCTCATCCATGTACTGACACAATCTTTTAGGATGGAGGCCGCGTGGGCCGGCGATGTCGAACGTATGAGAGCTCTGACCCTCCACCCCTGGGGCCCCAACGAAGACCAACCCCCGCTCAAGATGTCCGTAAACGATGGCCAGCGGAATAATGCATTTTCTCTTGCGTTCCTCCGAGGTCACTATGAAGCAGCCAAGGTTGTTCTAGAGATTATGAAATCGCAGTGGGCTCCACAGGAACAACCTAAGATGCAATATAAGATGAGGGAAGATGGAGAGGACGACGAGGATGATGAAATGGGCGAGGGTGAAACCGGGCTTCAAATCGTTGGTGAGAAGGCCGATGGAAAATCGACAATCGACGACATCGGAGTTGCTTCGATGGTTGTCACCTCCACGACTAAACCGCACTGGATGATCTATTATCACGTGCCTCGTTTCATCATGATGGATGGCCAGGCTGAGGGATTCGATAATGGTACTCTTTTCCAGCACTGCTTCAACCACGATGATCGCCACGGGATGCAATTTCTGATTGATCAAGCTCAGTACTGGGTGTCTCAAAACTATGATTCCGCAAGAGTTGGTGCTGGCGATAAGGAGGATGAAGAGATGAAAGAACCAGAACAAAAAGGTGATGAGGAAGACAACGATGCTGCGGAAGAGGGAGATCCGCGCGGCGTATTCCGGTTCCCTGAAGCTGATCTGAAGTACGGAATCAGGAATGGAAAGACTGAGTTACTCGGGCTTGTCATTGCGCAGACTGGAGCTGGTGTGCCGCTGGAGACTCTCGTCAGGGAACTCGATTTGAAGGAAAAGAAGAAGCCCAAATACTACCAAGGACTGACTGTCTACGGGAAGAAAAGGTAATCCAAAGCGCTTCTCGCATGAGCCTTCCAAAAACGTCGGCCATACTAACTTCATTCAGATCGGATTGGGCCAACGCCGGTCGACAAACGGTGGCTGAATCAAGATGCGGATTGAGTTGCAGCCCATTGCAGTATGCTGCCCGTTCCGGATCGATCGAAAGTGTCAGGTACTTCCTCAGTGAAAGGCCGTACCAACTCCATTCGGATTTTGGAGGCTCAAGTCTTGCGAGCAGAGATCCGTGTATTCGGCTTTTGAACAAGGTTCCTGACGGCTACAACCGTGCTGTATCGAAGTGGCTTAAAAGTGACCGTACGCCAACTCCCTGGATGCTTGAGAAACGTTACTATAATAAATGCTGACAATCTATGCGAAACAGGCGACTCCGTCATGCACGATGCTATAGAGTGCTCGGATCCAGAGAAGTCAGAGAAACTAGTCAAGTTTCTAATTGATGTTTGTCCCGATGTTCTGGAGAAGAGATCCTCAAACGGTTACACCCCATTGATGTCTGCTTGTTGGAATCGAAATGCTCAAATCATGAAGATTCTTATCGAGGCAAACGTGGACCAATCTGTACGCCTCGACACTGGACACAATATCTTGCACGTTGCTCTGGGCAGGGAGCAGGATGTCGACACCCTGCGCCAGATTTTTGACCTCATTGATCCAACCTTGCGGGCACATCTCTTCCAACAGCGGAGGAGATTGACACATGGTGGTACTGCACCCATTCATTCCTGGATCTCCTTGGTCTGCGGCCAAGGCGGTAATAGCGAATATGATTATTCACAGCGCCGATTTAAGGCCTACCACGGAAAGTGGAAGGACCTTGCCCAGATTCTTAACCTCCTGCTCGAATACTCCAACGGCGAAGGACTGGAGCTTCTCAATGGTGCCGGGGACACTCCTCTCCATACGGCTATAATGTACCGTCATATTATTGTCGCTAGAGTTCTCATTCAGTTCAAGCCTGAACTTCTCTACCGTGAGAACGCCGTCGGTCGTACACCCGCTGAGATAGCATACGACAATCTAACGGCATCTCAGCTGGTCATGCCAAAGACCTTAGATCTGGGTTATACGAATACTTTGATTACCCACATCATACGGCGCATGGAAACCTCTCAGAATGGCCGCGCCGAAGATCTGTACAGCACCAATGCGGCAGCCAGGCTTAGTGAGGCTGGTCTCAGTGGCGAATACAAGCCAGAGATGGTGGAGAAGATTTTGACAGCCGCGGGTCTGAACGAAAATGATAAAGACCTCGACATTGGCAGTGGTCTTACAGAGAGGATAATATGGGACCTCTGCAGCACTGCCATGAGGAACCACCCTCATCCTCGTCGGCTTGTGTCGCTGAACGAGGCAAACGATGTTGCGCGCAGGCTGAGTGAGGAGCATGATATCCAGAGATATTGCAGCGATCGGCCCAGCAGCGATGATGCCAATCCTGAGTAATGAGGAGATTTGAAGGCTTAGCTCCTTGATTTACTTTTGTAACTATATGTTTGGTTGACGAGTGTTATCCTTGCACCGTGAGTCGGTGAATCCATGGCTAGAGATAGAAGTGGCATCATCAAACAATAAACCATCTCCCCTAATTCTAACTGTCAAAATCTAAACGCTGTATCTGTGAGCTCGCTGTTTACAAGTCATTATAGATCCAATGACTACCAAAACACTTCTCATCACATCACTTGCTGAGGGGCACTTTCGAGGTGCAAGAAATGGAATTTAACCTCTATCCACTACACATACCATAAAATATATCAACTTTCGAGGCTTAGAGAAGCCAAAACGTCTTAAACAAAGTGGAATGGCCGTCTGGTGACTCTAATAATTACAAATCCCTAGGCAGAACGAAGAGAAGAATCTCTCTATTTATTTCTTGCTTCTCGGGATTCAAGGGCGGCGAGTCGCCGCGGTAGAAGATGCAGGGGCACTGGTGATTGTAGGCGTAGGGGTTGGCTGCAAATCCGTGGTGGTCACAGTGCAAGGATCGGCCGCCGGTCCAGTCTTGAGCGTGAGAGCCTCACATCCGTCCAAAACAGTCGAGCCGTGTCTGAGAAGATCTGAGCCGCAGGTATAGAACTTGTCCTTTTCACCTGACTTGCAGCTTAGGACGTTGTCTGACGTGGTGCATTCGAGATATGACCATGAACCGGTGATTTTTGACGCCGGATACATGTAGACAAGACTGTTGCTGTTGGTGTGTACAGCCAGATAGACAGTGTTTCCGTTGATTGACGTCTCAAACCGGCCCTCACTGTTAATCTTCCAATCAAAGTGAGTGGGCTGGCTGTCAGCAAGATCAATTGCCAAGAAATCAGAGTAGAGATAGAGCTCATGCTCAGCCGATGCCTGACCAGAGGATCCCTTGATGGAAACGGGTTTGGCGTAACCCGGCGTGCAAACTGGTGCAGCGCTCGTTGACGTGGTAATTGCAGAGGAAGTCGTCGCAGAAGGGGTGATGGTTGTGGATGTGGAGGACACTGAGGGGTCTCTTGAGATGCTAAACCAGGGTGAAAGTTTGTACTGCCAGTCCGTGATGTTGTTGTAGTCACCGAATGTCCGCAAGGTTCTGCAGAGATATCTATACTCGCCGTCGGGAATGTACGAGCCATTGGCGAAATAGCCTTGCGAAGCTGCATAGAAAGCGCCACCGGGTTGTCGGGGATAGTTCTGAAGAGGGAAATCGACCACCTCTCCTGATAGTCCACTAGGGCGCATACGGATCGACCCGATCCAGTTGTTCTTTCCAGCGACAGTTGGATATACCCAGTCGCTGGGCTGCCAGTCTCGTCTGACAAACTATTGCAGCCGGCATCATCAGCTGCGGTTCAATGGGTGGGAATTGCCAAAGAAACATGGACTTACATCAAAGCTCATCTCCCTCGTACTCCACAGAATGTTGAAATATGGTTGTGGAACATCTGATCCATCTTCGTAGGTGTAGACGTGGCCTTCTTCCATCAAGCCTCCGTATCCGCTCAGGAGCAATGGAACTCCCCTGTCCATTTCCCAAGCTCTAGCTTCATATATGCTCCCTTTGATACCTTTTGAGGAATACCGCTTGTTAGAAGGACATAGAATCACCTATTGAAAACGTCCAGTGGAGAGTAAACTTACCCAGGTATGTTAGCATAACAACTTCGCCATTTGACCCGCTGATCATAACCTTGCCGCCATAAACAGGGAGTGAAGAGCTGTCAGGGGCAGTGGGCTCGGTGAAATCAAATTTGAGCGTGACTGAAGCTCCAGCATCCACGACAATCTCTTCAGCCGACATCGATACCTTGGCTACGTCGTCTTCTGCGGCTGAATACTTGGGCTCCAAAGCAACCCAAGAGTTGGCCGAAGTGAATGTGAAAGTTGTGATGCCAGGCTGATGTGCCAATTTGTAAGTTACGCTGTTGTCGTTTGAATTCGTAAGGACGACTTCGTGGCTACCCGAGAAATGCACGGTATCGTTGAGCTCCAGGTATGCGGGACTGATCGAGGTCCCGGACTCGATAATCTTCTGGACGTCGATGAGCCCAGCGCCCTGCTTGCCAACGGATGCTTCGTTTCCTGAACCATCATTGTGCTTGATCGACCTGGCACTGGCAATGACACGATCCCGGGCTACTTTGACGCTGTCTCCTCCCAGGGCTTCGCGGCCGCCTCGAGAGGAAAAGAAGAGTGCACCAACACCTGCCATATACGGAGCAGCCATGCTGGTTCCCGAGAGAACGGCCCAGCTACCCTTACTGACTGGGTACGTCGACAGAATGGTACCGCCGGGGGCAGAGACTTCCGGCTTCATTCTGCCGTCGAGAGTAGGTCCCCAGGAGCTGTAGTCGTTGATTCTACCTCCGACATATCCTGACTTGGGAACAGCCACAGGGTCAGAACTTGTAGACAAGTGAAGAGTCACGTTGTGGCCAGCCTCGAACTGTTTCAGAATCCAGTCTCCGTCCTCGTACAGTACAAGTGCCGCTGTCAGGTCATTAGTCCAGGGCTTGGGGGAGGAGGCTTGGTGAACGACGTACAGTTTTCAGGGGCGTTATCGCTGCCGCGGACGCGGCCCGGACGCTCCAGACCTACGCCTTCTTTCTGGATGTAGAAAACACTAGTGGTTAAGCCTACTAAGGTACTGTCTTGAATTTGCCAAACACAGTCCCCCTTTCTGTTCAAATTAATTAGTTAGACAGTTACATCAACTGATCAGATGTTCAAGAACTTTCTCATACCTAATGAATAAGGCAGTATCTTTGGGGGTTGAGGCTAGCGACCAGTTACAGGCATCAATGTCCCTTGCATTTGGGTAGGCATAAGCCTGGACGCTTCCATCAAGGGTGACATGGTTATAATTATCGCTAATGTATGTCTGTATTTATGTCAGACTTATCAAATATCGCTGTAGAGGCAAGGAATACGCCCATCACTTACCATAGATCTTGTCTCATTGCTTGTTGAAGCGGCGGTGATATTATATGTGACCCAGTTCTGGGCCTCAGCACTACCTACAGCAAAACTTTCTAAACCGTTGCCTCCACTACTAGTGTAGAAGGAACCTAGATACCGTGGTTAGCGAGCCTACAACTGATAAAGGGGAGTGAAGATTGCAACTCACCATGATCTCCGCTATTTCCCGCTGCGATAGACACAAAGACGCCTTCTGCGGCGATTTTGCTCACAACGATAGCAATGGGCTGTTCTGCAAATCCTCGATTGGAGCCCAGAGATGCATTGATAACGTCGGCTCCCTCTTCGTGGGCTTGGATGAATGCAGCAATGATGACATCCTCATAAACGCCATCGCCACAGCCAAACACTTTGTAGGAGCGAAGGCGTGCCTCAGGAGCAACTCCAGGTATCAGGGCATCACTACTTGCCGCAATACCGGCGACGTGCGTTCCGTGACCCAAACAATCCATGGGATCACTGTCAGGAGCATAAGGGCCACCGACAACGTAGTCATCGCCCACCAAGTCATAGCCAGATTCGACACGGAAGCCAGGACCAAAACCTCCACCGAAAGCCGCGTGTGTATAATCAATACCGCTGTCGACAGTAGCGATGATGATACCCTTGCCAAGATGGCCCTTCTTGTGCATGGCCGCGACATTTGTTTCGTTGTGTGCGTTCCAGACAGAATAGCTGGCAAGGGCCTCGCTGTCTACGGACGATGCTTTGCCGACAACAGGAATGGAAAATAAGGCAGCTGGCCATATCTTCTCAACCTCTGGCAGGGATTGAATTTCTTCGACAGACTCTTCACTGGGATGGGCCAAGTCAAAGGAAGCCCCCTCGAACAAGGTCGACGAAAAGTTCAATGCTGGGGTAACATTTTGTCCGGAGTCACTGAGAGTCGAGAAGAATCCGGAAGTGTCCTGTGCAAGAAGCCACATCACTTTGTCAGCTCAATGGTAACGCATCCAGTAAATTAATTAACATACAGCACTTCCATCACGTTTCCTGAATCGGGCAGCTCCCTGAGAAGAGAACTGGACAATGTATCTCAATGGTTGGTCAGGATATGCCGCAGAACCCAGAGAGCCATCCACGATCGATTCTCCCAGAGAAGAACCTAGCAGTGGGAGGAGGAAGACCAAAGATAACGGACCGTGCATCGTTACTCAAGTCTCCTATTGCAGGAGTAGCAATGAGCTCAATATTGACAGATGTGCACAAGGAAGAAGCCAGATTCTCGGCGGGATCGTCTACATTTTATCCCGTACGTTTACCCTTTATCCCGTAAATGAGGGTGACATTGCATTGCCCGCCCTGCAGCCCATAACCCATGTCACATCAAGACTTGTGGCCTTGATGAGGAGGATCTAATCAGATAAGATGGGCCGGCAGGAGATAAGATGGAATTCATCGAATCGGCTTCCGATCGGAGAGCCAAGAACATCCTCAATAGTGCAGAGCGAGCCTTATCGGGTTGGCCGGAGTGATGAAGTCAGTAGGTAGAAGCAATGAGATATTTACAAGGCATTCCACCACCTAGTTTGACCGTTGACAGGAAACGGGGCCAGGTGAAGTGGCCCCAGTCGTAATATCGATTTGATAACCATAAACCACCCAAGGAGCTTCCCGAAATGATTATAGCCTGAATCCGGTTTGGTTACATCGGCCCCTTGCGTTAGTCACAAGAACCAACCAATCTTGGCCGCCTGCGTGTTAACGAAGCTTGCACGTTTTTGTTGTATCCCGGCAGTAAGTGGTTTTAGAGTCTGTAAACCTTTGACATGCCTGTTTGGATATTGCATCCGCCTTTGGATCCGCCAAACCGGGTTTTGTCACCTTTTATTGACTTTAATACCCGCTGAAGCGTGGCGTGACAGACGCATCAATTTCACGGATTCGGCCGGTATCGGATCTGTATTGACTTGGTTGCTTCAATCAAGCTTGGCAATGACATCCCAGAGCGAATTGTGACCAGCACCTGATCGATGATTCTTTGCCATGGTTCAAAGAGCCAATTTGACTTGGAAAAGACATGCATTCAAGGCAGAATCGCGGCTACGCAGAAGCAGGGATTCTTAAAACCTCCATCTCAAGCAGTTTGCTACTTGGGATAAACCAGCTTTGTTAGGTCGCCTATGTCTAGAACATCCAATTCCCTGAACTTCCATGCTAAATTGGGTTAAATCGATCTTTGAATAGAGACAAGGTTGCAGTCAAGCCCTCGGTGCAGATTGAATGCGCCCCTCTCTCGAAGTAGCGAGTTACGAGGTAAATAAAGCGCGGATCTAGCTTCTTCTACTTCACCACTTCGACTTATAATGTGATTTGCAATAGGTAGCAGGGCTTCATCTGCTGAACGGGGAGTTTGGTATCAAAAAGTCTTTAATGTCTGCCCTCACTTTACATCCGCGAATATCTGTTGGTGAGCCAAACCAATCAACCACCACTGCCTGGCTACTTGCAAAGTCCAAGAATAAGATGATGGCCTAGCTACATTCAATCACGAAATCAAGGTGTCCGGGAAATTTCGATACATATCAGTAGTCAGTGCAAGAACATTCCTTAGACAGCCACATGCCCGAGGAGATGGTCAGGTACATATTTTATCGGATGAATTACTATTGCAGAATGTGTTTGAAGGGTTCACACGCTAGCACACAGAAAAGAGAAAAATAAACAAACCAAGAACAACACTGATCGTATTTTCCATCATTTGGAGCCACAGTGTTATGAATGTTAGGTCAGTGATTTCTACCAAGTGGCTTCCAATGCCTGAAATGCTGAACCATCCTACCCCGTGTCCCGCGGATAATAAACGGATTTCTAATTCATTGCGTAATTAAGGCTGGATGTTTAAATAGGTTAGCCGGAAAGTGTATTGCGTGTTGGCTGCTGGGCTGTTGGGCTAACATGAATACGAAGTACAAGGATCTTATTTCTCCAGAGTCGCAATTTCGTATAAAACTAGTAGCACAGCCAAACCATTTCAGGAAGGTCACCAAGCAGAAGGCTGAGCATTCATCAGGGGATCGTTTCCAAAGTACTCTATGTGTATTCGTTATTCTCTTTATGCTCTTTGCAGTGTATCTATTCTATTCCACTCCGTGTACCATGTAAAGCCAGAATCATTACCTCATCTCTATTAATCATTTCACAAATATCAAAACTGATATGTTGACATGAGCTCATGCCAGCATCATTGCAGACCAAACTATGAGACCTGCGATGGCGCCGGGCACAGAAAATACGGCCCGGCCAGCAGAGTTGGGCTTGGCAGAGGTTGATGAGGCAGTAGAGGCTGAAGTCGTCGTCGTCGAGTGAACCGGTTCTAAACTCATGTTGGCGCTTTCAGCAGCGGCAGATGTCACTGGAGGTCTTGAAGTGGTGGTACTCGTGGTGGTGCTCGTGGTGGAAGCGGTCTGAGTACCACGACTATCTATAGAAGAACTCACAACGACGCTAGTCTTCGTCGTCTGCAAGATGGTGCTGGAAGACGTTGCCTTTGCTTCCACCGTTGTTGATGAAGAGGTTGTGGTTGGAGCTTGTGACCTGGAGGTCGCCTCGACCTTGGTGGAGGACTCGGGTTTGGTAGATGACTCGGACTTGATAGTCGTGCTGGACTTGGAATTATCGCTGAGTCCACCCCATGGCCCGCCAGTCTTGGGATCACGATACCAGTTCGATGAGGGGTCGCCAAGACAATCGCCGATAGTGGTAAATTGGTATCCTTTCTCCTTCGCGACGTCTATCATGTACTGGACAAACCCATCGGCCGTGAAAGGGTGGATGTCGTGGGCAAGAGAAATCCACTTGTCGGTGATGGGATTACTGGCTTTGATGATGCCGGAGTAGATCTGTTTCGCGTTGACACCACCATCTTGCCAGTCCCTTGTATCGATATTAAAGTCCGTCTAATTCATTGTCAGGAACATGAAAGATCTCAGAATAGGGTATTCATCTTACAATGTGGTAGGCGTATTCGTTCAGAATAGAAATACAAGGCGCGCTGCAGTGGGTATATGGAGGCCTCCAGTACGTAGGGATGACACCGAAAGTCTTGGAGAATATGTCCTCGTTTTTCAAAACCTCTTCTCTCATCTGCTGCTGGGAGATCGCGTCAAAGTTCTGATGGCTCCATGAGTGACTGCCGAGCTGGTGGCCAGCATTGAACATGCGCTTCAACACGGACGCGTACGCAGCGTTAGAGAGGCCGGTTTTGCCGTTCGGGCTGGAGCCGACAAGAAAGAATGTCGCCTTGATGTTGCCGTTCTTTTCGAGGGTGTCGAGGACTTTTGCGGTATACTCGCCAGGGCCATCATCGAAAGAGAGCGCAACCTTGCCCTTGACGGTGCAGGTGGTGATGTCGACACCATACGGAACATTCCCGAAGCGCGGCCGGGGCATGTCTCTGACTTGGAGGGAATCTGGCGAGTCGACGGGAACGGCGGCGGCCAGGTCACCCACGTCGATCAAAGCCGCGAGGAGGCTGAGTAGCTGGATTCTAGGAAACATCTCTGCCGTCGAATCCAATGGCACAACAAATATGGTCGACTGACAGGCGATCGCGGCATGGCAGAGGGACGGGAGAGACGGAATTTAATAATTAATTCGTAAACCCACAAAATTCGAGCGGAGAATTGTTAGATGATCGTCTCATACGCGACGGGGAGTGGAAATCACGGCAGCCTGATGGGCTGGCCCTGCGAGCTATCCATTGAACACGTGGGGAAGGCCAGGAACAGCCACTGGACAAGGATGTGGGGGAGGTCTAGGCGTGAGGCAAGCATCAAGTTGAGAGCCGGCCTCAGCTTTGATGGAGGGCTAGATGCCGTGAGCCGCGAGCCGTCGCAAGCTATACGCCGGGGGGTTGACCCAGGCCCATCGTAGATCTTGTCCGCACACGAGGTTGCAATATCAGCCGACAAGCGAGAGAGAATGTTACCCTGAAAGCTCATGCATAAGTCTGGGGAAGAGGAGCTCCCCTTTCGTCGAGACTCCTGGTTGTAATGTCGCAACGTGAACGAAAATGGTGCAAACGTGCCCTCGCCGCCACGCCGTCTCGGGACCTAGGACTAGATCTTCGATGGCCTCGTTGGTGAACCAGCTGGCTGGACTAGACTTGGACTAAGACGAACCGGCTATTAGTCACATTCAGGGGACAATGTCTCCCGGCGAGTGGTGCTCTCCCATGCGTACCAAACTCTTGGTGACACAAATAGCCTAAAGTTGCCAGCACAGCCCATCTCAGCGAGTGAGTCGTTCTCAATGCGATCCAAGATCTGCTGGAAGAGAGCTCCAATGTCACTCAGGCCCATCGAACAGGCTGCTAGACGCTTACGCGGGAAATGAATCTAGACCACGGCTGCTCCAAGTGGGGGCTGAGATGCTCATCTTATACGCTCTAGAACGGAACACCCCCACGAGGATTCTGTCTTAGTGGCTTTCTTCTTCCACACGTGCCTAAGAGCAGCATAGGTAGTCAGGGGTGAGACTGGTTGGAAGCACGCAACGGCTTTACAATTGAGATCCGTAGTTCATCCTGAACCAGCCAGTCAAGTCCAATACAGGTCGCGGTCGCAACGTGACACAAATTCAGCGTTGGAAACCAGTATGGCATATGAGGGTCGTCTATCACATTGGTCCATGATCAAATACACATATTCAATGCGGATTAACATCTTTGCACAACTCCGACGTAAATGGCGGCTGTTCATCAAACCCTTGGCCAAAAAAGTAAGAGTTATTACAACCCGAGACAGAAAAGAATGCGTCACGTAATGTTCACTTAGGTCTCTATGCGATTGTAATAAAATAATCAACCCTCGTATAATATTGCCTGTGTAGCACCACATGGCGAGATGATGAGACTTGAATCTGTATGTGATGTATAGGGTAGTCTGGGACAGTGAACCGCTGAATGCGCGATGTGTTTTGACAT